TATATCTCCAACAACTTTGATTATGTGCCATTCAGTCAGTGTCAGATCTTAGTGACCACGTAGACAGATGTTCTCCAGGATGATCTGATCCACCAATTCATACCCCTCTTACATATTTTAGCCTTTTCCTTCATAATTAAATCCAAATCTTCAATGCCCTGGGTATATTCATCAATGTCATGCGCATGTATTTCATCTTTCCATAAACAACATATTATCTTCCTTTCATTTGTTTGATTTCCTTTATTATTTGAACCTCCTTATCCCTTCCTTCTCTTGCATTCCATGTCACAATCTTCCAATATGCCATGGTTGTCATTGGAACATATTGATCTTTATGACCTACATGGCTTTGGGCAATCAAGGCTTTATAGTATGATGTTTTTCAGAAGAGAGAAAAAATGCAGACCAGGTAATAGCCTTAGTCCCACCCATTCCAGATGCAGCATTCCCTGATGATGATAAGAACAGAACAACCAATTCAGGCACGCTGTGGCCAGATTACCACTAAGCAGTGGTGGGATTCAAGTAATTTAACAACCGGTTCTCTGCCCTAATGATTTCTTCCAACAACCACTTTGCCAAACTGCTCAGAAAGTTAACAACCGGTTCTCCCGAAGTGGTGCGAACTGGCTGAATCCCACCACTGCCACTAAACCACCCAAAGCCCAGTTTTGTACCACATGTGTTCATGCTATCCTAGGCCAGAAAAAGTCTCTAATTTAGGACGTTCTATGAAATATTAAGTTAAAGATACCAATATGTCCATGCCATTTTCATTTGTTTCATTATTTACAATAATAAGTCATACATCAAAAGCTAAGTGTCTTCTCTATGGATTATGGAATAAAGAATGGTGGATACCATTTTATTGTGTCTGATTTAATTTATTTCATATTGGGATTCTTTTGGGAAAAGTGGAGGTGTACTTTTGGGCCACATCTATTCTAGCACTTTCTGTGTCCAGACGTACCCTCCCAGTTTAGAACAGACCTTTGCTAGACAGAATCCAGCAAGAAGTTATTGTTCATCTCCAGATTTTGGGAGAACAAAATGACTTTTCAGGTCAGGTAAGAAGTTGTACAAGGCAACGTGAACAATACAGTCTTGTTGTTTGAGTGCTCTCACCGATTCAGAAAAGGCTAATTTTTGCATATCAAAGGAAAATGCTTTGGCTCATAGAAAAAGATGATTTTCTAAACTTCAAAAGGAGGCATAAACACTATGTTAAAATGATAAATGATAGTATCACCTTTACTTAGTAATAAACCCTAAAATTCTACATAACAAATACAGCAACTTCATAGTTACTGATGATGAATGAGGGAAGCATAGATTATCCCATCAACATTCAGTAAAGAAATTTCTTGCTTCGTTGTTTTTCTTAATTTCTGAACAGAAAACTGGATTAGATATTTATTTTTATTTTATTTGAATGTATTGGCTGCACAATTCCAATGGATCTATGACAATGACATCTAAAAGTTCCATTACCTAATTAAACATGACCTCAGAGAAGATGCACCTGCAACAACCACCACCAGAGGGCCCTGGGTAGTAAAGCAGGGGAGTCTGTTCCTCACAAACTCAACCTCTATTATTTCTAACCAGGATATCAAGAGGTTGAGCTTCCTAGATCAGCTGGTCTCTTTGCCATTGGGGGCGCTCGGGGCAATCTGATAACAGCTACTTCCGCTGCGAAATTCTGCATTGAAAGAGAATTATTTGAATTTATTAATTGTCCAACTCCAATGGCATCAGTTTCTCATAAGCACCCAACTGGAGTGAGAACTTTGACCTCATCTGCCACGACTACTACAGCAACCAACAGCCAATCAATCAATCAACCAGAGCAGGGGTGAAATCCAGCAGGTTCTGACAGGTTCTGAAGAACCGGTAGCAGAAATTTTGAGTAGTTCGGAGAACTGGCAAATGCCACCTCCGGCTGGCCCCAGAGTGGGGTGGGAATGGAGATTTTGCAACACTAACCACATTATAAAGGACTGGAAAGGACTGCAGATCAACTGAATGGGGACAGTTTAACCTACACTTAGACCTGATTGTTGCATTTCAGATGACAGCTATTACATTCTTTCCCCCTTGACTGTTGTGGCCCGCTAGTGGCCTGCGCAGATTGTGGCTGATCCCGACGATGAGGAGGCTGGTGTGGTGTCGCGCCAGCAGCCTGTGCAGTGGCTCTCGAGTCGGACAGCAAGGAGGCTGAAGAGGATGTGGTGCCAGAGGCAGAGACTCAGCCAGGGCCTTCAGAACCTCCAGAGGCTCCTTCAAGTGAAGAGAGTGAAGTGGAGGAGCCCCTTCTCAATGCTCGAGCACGCAGGGCTGCCAAAAGGCAGGAGTGGCTACTCAGGAGGAAGGCTTGGGGTTCATTGGCCATTCCCTTAGCCTATTTAAGTTCGCACACAGATAGCAAATGTAATAGCTTTCTGGATACCATGTAGTTCTTTTAATATGTTAAAGAGTTCTGTCAAGGGAGAGCCAGGAAGATATTTTCAGCAAGTACAGTTTTGGAGATTTTTAAGTGAAAAAAGAAGAGAAGCAGGGGTGAAATGCTCCCAGTTCGGACCGGATCGCCCGATCCGGTAGCGATGGAGGTGGGTGGTTCGGAGAACCGGTAGCAAAAATCCCTGCCCCCTCCCCACCCAGCTGAGCCGCACAATCATCAGAGGCTTTTTTTTTTTAACTTTTAAAAGCATTTTTTCTACAACCTCTTCGGCCGAAAAAATGCTTTTTAAAGTAAAAAAAAAAAAGGCTGTGATGATCACGTGGCTCGGCGGGATCGTCAAAGGCTTTTAAAAAAAAAAGGCCTCTGCTGATCAGGCAACTCAGCTTGGATCGTCAGGCATTTAAAAGAAAAAAAGCCTTTTTTTCTTTTAAAAGCCTCTGACGATCCCAGCTGAGCTGCCTGATCATCAGAGGCATTAAAAAAGCCTCTGCCCAGAAGAGGTTGTAGAAAAAATTGTTTTAAAAGTTTTTTAAAAGGCCACGCCCACCCAGTCACATTACATGCCCAAGCCACACCCACAGAACCAGTAATAACAAATTTTAGATTTCACCACTGAAGAGAAGGGATATTGACCCATCTGTATTTACGTATGTATTTATGTATTTTTGGAAAGTAGTGTGGGGAAATGCACAAGTAAGCTCCTTCACCTTTAAAGATTATTGTGTAGACTGAAGATGCAGGTCTGGTGTTGCTGGACACTGCTCAGGTTTCCCTTGACTTGGAATTGAGCCTAAATACCTGTTGCTTCTTGATCCAGAAATTGTGACCTGCAGAAGAGTGGCTGCTGCTTCTGATGGGGGTTATTCCCCGGAAAGTAGCTTGCATATCATGAAAAGGCTTCTAAATCAGAATATAGTGCTTCCAAAAAAAGAGAAGCCCTTTTCCGCATTAATTAGTCATTCAGGATTACAGTCTACAATTTGTGGCGTTGCGTTGCCATCACATGATGTATCGTGACGTTTTTACACTTCACAGAGCTGGGGTAGGCATGGCCTGCACGTAACACATCTGGCCCATGGGCCACCAGTTTGACACCCCTGGTGTACAAGCAAGATCAACATAGTTTCTCAAGCCACAAATCCTAACCCACCGACCATAATAATGGCCCATCACAGGTTTAATTTTGCTCCAGAAGTTGTGGGTGCTCCAACAATGGAGGTTTTTAAGAAGAGATTGGACAACTATTTGTCTGAAATGGTATAGCGTTTCCTACTTGACGGGGTTGGACTAGAAGATCTCCAAGGCAAGGTCTGTTATTCTGAAAAGACACAGGACTACCATGAAAAGTTATCATGGCTCAGGGGTAGAGACAAATATTGAAAATAAAGTTTAAAAACAGAATACTTATAGGGCACACAGTCCACTCAGGAATTTTTGTTTAGTGTTTTGGATTTGATAAAACAATTGAGAAAAGAGTTGACTATCACTGCAATTACTGGATCAACTGGAGAGTATGCCATCTCTGGAGATGTGATTACAGTATGAAAGTGATGAAGATTACAACTTTTATGACTTCAGTGCCATTTGCTCAGTGATAATGAGGACTGGTGTCTTCCCAGTGGATCACTTATCAGAAAAATGAAGAGGCCACAGTTGTCCTAACTTGCCAAAAAACCAAGAGGGAAATGGTAGCACCACCCATACTTCAACTCTGCCCCAACCCTACTCTTCCCCTCACCCTCAGGTATTTTTTTCAGTCAACTTGGTTGGGAATGTATTTAAAACTCCAAACCTGCCATATGATTGAGCACAAGACCCCTGCTGGATCAGACCATAGTTCTAGCTAGACTAATTCCTCCCTCTCACAATGGATATGCAGAAGCTTCTGGAAAGCCTGACATGAGGGGCAAGACAACACTACTCTACACCCAATTCCCTCAGTAACTTTGGGATTCAGCAAAATAAATGAGATAGTTTACAATTTCCAATCCTCAGTGAAGTGGTCTAGTTCACTTTAAAGCCACCAAATGTTAGAGACCATCACACTGAATGGCAGCTGGTCTTGATTTTGCCAGTCTTAAAAATCTACAATCCATTGGTTTCACTGGTAATGGCCACATTAGCTGAATACCACAAAATGTTTTGTTTAGGGGAGGCCAAATATCTGAGTAAGGGCACTTACTTCCCATCCTGTCTAATCTTACAAATCACTTTCCATACCCCCAATTGTTTTCCTTTTCAACTAAAGTGCCATAAATATTTTAGCTCAGCTGTTTGGGCCTGATGCCTTCCATAAATATCAGGAATACAGATCCATGAATATGCCAGGCAACATGTTGGCTGGGATTTCTGGAAGTCAGAATTCCAGAAAGAAAATCTGATTTAACTCAAGTGAGCATTTTGGAGCTGGCTTATATACCTATATGTCATAGTCATTCTATTTCAGAATTTCCTCTGAAAACCATCCAGCAAGCTTGCTGAAATGACAGAACTAAAACCCTACAGTACGGCGCATAGTAGAAAAATCAGACTTACAAATGCTACAATTTTTTTACTTGATTACTCCTAACCATCAACAAAGAAAATCAGAGATTAGAAACTTTTTCATCTCTATTAGTCAGTTGGGGAAAGGGGCCCTAAAACAGAAAAATGTTTGCTTTAGACAGAAAAAAATCGGGGGAATAGGACAAGAGCAAAATCAAGAGAAGCATATCATGTCAAACAGGTACCTCAAAAGCAATAAAGCAAATGAACTTTTGAAGGAAACATGAGAGTAAAACAAAGGAAATTGGTTGGGAAGCACAGGCAAATAGGATGGGAAAGAGACAGGGTTACAAGACCTTTTACTAATACATCATCCATCTATATTAATCCTCTGATTTGGTGTTTCAGAGAGTATTGTGGATGTGCAGAATCACAGCATGTTTGCAGTAACTCCAAATTCTCCCCAAGGCCAGGCTTCCAGTCTTCTGTGAGCATCTCTTCAGTAAGCATGTGATAGTGTGTGAAGGGCAAGATGGATTCTTCCAGTTAAATCATCTGGAACACAAATCTGAGGTAGAATTTGAGGAAAGTACAGCAGCTGGATAAATAACAATTCACAACCTCAGCAACTGGAAAGACAACCCTCCCTCCATTTTCATTATAGCCTTACAGACTTCACTGGCTATCAGAACTCAAGAGTGGCCCCTCCCACCCATCCCCCCTCCCTTCACTTTCCATAGCCTCCATCAGCAATCACCTATCTTCTCAAGCATGTTTTCTCGAACCCCAAGCTTCTTCAGGTTTCACTAAAGCCTTTTTCCATCTCTCTTCCCCAATTCTAGGGACATCATGCTCCAGGGATAGATGCTAGAGGTTAACTTTGCACGGCCTCCCTCCCATTGAATTTTTGTGCTCTTTCGTTATATTTCTAGCCTGCTCTTCTCGAGATTAGGTTCAATGTTCTGCTTCTTTTTCCCCTTACAGTCGCGTCAATCCAAAATTTCTGGGTATCCTTGTTGCTTTCCTTTTTATAACCACAAGGTGCTGTTTGTCAACACCTCCTCAATAGGCCCTTCATACATGTCACCCATAATTCTGAAACAAAAATTACGCAGCTGACCCAGGTTCAATGCCTGAAACGGCTTCTAATTTTCTTAAAAAACGAAAGGCTCTGAATTCTGACTTCTTCCATCAGCCATAGACTATCCACAAATGTGTTCCTCGTTCCTGTATCTGGATTCTTCTGGAACCTATCTATTGTCTACCCTCCATCCTTTTGGCCATCTCAACCCAAATGAACCGATATCCCCCTCCATTATCTTGGTTAAGCAGATCCCACTTCCCTGCATAAGAACGAACCGCTGTGACCAATCTATCAAGAACACCCAGGTTAAAGCACCAAAACCAAGTTTACCTGGTGGACTGGGACTCATTAAACCAACACTCCACATAATTACAGGAGAGTCAAGTGTTTCTCTAGTTAATGCTGGAAAAGAAATCGAAATATTTCTGGGTGCAGGTAATCTCTCTCCAAACTAGTTAAGTAGAAACTAAACAGCTAGGATTCTAAGAGCCAAGAAAAAATAGGGAAGGTTTTTATCCATGTAGTGTCCCGTCCCGTCCCCAACAATGTATCAAGAATTGAATAGTTTGATATTAAGATAGTCTCTAGATATTCAGGTACTACAGTACCATCTAATTATGGTATTCACTAAAATACAATTGGCCAGCACAAAGCCTCAGATGTTTAGGTTCTTTAGTCAATAAAGCTTTTTCTCCACATTCAAGAGGCTTAGAAATGCTCGTTTTCAGGCCCCCATGCAGATTTCCACAGCATTTACTAAAGTCTCAGTCAGGCATATTAAGGTCTGGAGGTCAGTCTTTAGCATTTGTTAAAGCTTCATTATCCAGAGTTTCAAAAAAACGGGGGGGGGGATTGTGAGGGGAGAGAATTGGTCTATCTGAGGCAAGGTTACTGAACGTAAAGATGAACAGTAAATAAAGCTTTTCCCCCAACCTTGGGGCACATTGATATGTACAGTATCAACTAAATGTGAAATAAAGTCATCCGCGTGGACTCTTAAATCAGGATCCTCATCGCCAATGGACATGGTTATTACTGGTCTTCTTGACAGGTCTTCTTTCATATGCTGGTGGCAGCCATACCTCACCACCAAGGCTTTTCCGTGAGCTTCCCACTGTCCTAGACATTTCCTAAAACGTTCTTCTCTCCCACCATGTTCATAGCATCGGGTCCTGTTGCAAGAGCTGAACAAGAACTGGAGTCTCCACAACCTCAGAACATCGGCAATGGCCTTTTCTTGCAGGGGTCTTCAACTGTTAAATACTGGAGAACCCATTGCCTTCATATTTCAGTTCAATTAAATGTTCCTTAGGGGAATCCTTAACATGGCACCTTTGATGCTTGAGCAGGTTGGCTCGGCGGGTGAACCCCTTCCCACAGCTGGAGCACCGGAAGGGCTTGGTCCCAAAGTGGGTCCGCTGATGGATGAGGACTTCCAGGGTGGTGCTGAAGCTGCGCCCACATTCACTGCACTTGTAGGGCCTCTTGCCTAGGTGACTGCGCTGATGCTTGAAGAGCTGGGAAGTCTGGCTAAAGTGCTCAGGACAATTGGGGCATTTGTAGGGTTTCTCTCCCGTGTGGATACGTTGATGCCTTTCCAAGTGGGAGCTCCAGGCAAAGCTTTTGGAGCAATACTGGCACTTGTGGTTCTTCTCCATGGCGTGACCCCGCTGATGAGCTAGGAAAGCAGAGCTGTCCCCAAAGCATTTGTCGCAGTCTCCACATTTATAGGGCCGGGTATGAGAATGAGTCTTGTTGTGATGAAGGAGGTGGACCTTCTGGGCGAACTTCTCCCCACAGATAGGGCAGGGAAACGGGCGCTCCCCAGTGTGCACCCGACGGTGGCGCTCAAGATGGGAGGCCCACACGAACCCTTTCCCACACTCTTCACAGAGATGGGTGCGCTCGCGGTGGTGTCCCCGCTGGTGTCGCATCAGTGTCTGCCGACTCCGGTAGACCTTGCCACAGTCCTCGCAGCCCAGATGGGTCTTCTTGTGTTCCTCCAGCTCAGAGATCTGTGCAAAGCTTCTCCAGCAGGCAGGGCAGTTGTAAGGGCGCTCGCCCATGTGGTTACGCCGGTGCTTGGCCAAATGGGCACTCTGGCTGTACGACTCTCCACACTCAGGGCACTTGAAAGGCCTCTCTCCGGTATGGACCCGCCGGTGCCTCTCCAGATGGGAAGCCCAGATGAAGCATTTCCCACAGTCCGAGCACTTATGGGGCTTCTCTGCAGTATGGCCCTTCTGATGGTTCTCCAGGGCTGAGCTCTGGGCAAAGCGTTTCCCGCACTCAGGACACTTGAAGGGCTTTTCGATCAGCTGGGCACAGCTGTGCTGCAAGAGGTGGAAGTTCTGGCTGTAAGCTTCCCCACAGTTGAGGCATTTGAAGGGCTTCTCTCCCGTGTGCATCCGCCGATGGCGCTCTAGGTGGGAGCTCCAGATGAAGCATTTCCCACAGTCGCTACACTGGAACGGTTTCTCCCGAGCGGCGTTGGCTTCGCTCCTCTGGCGCCCTCTGCCGGCGGAATGAAGGGTCCTCGTACAATCTGAGCAACGTCTCTCAAGGCTTTTTTTCAAGGCGTGTCCACGCTGGGTGGCTTTGTCCTTCTTCACCACTGGAATGATCTTTGGCTGCTTGGGAGTTTCCCGTCTCGTCAAGGGCTTGACCCTTCTGGGCGCACTTTGAGAGGTACCTGGCCGCAACTCTTCCATGCCTTCATGCTCTTCTTCGTCATCCTCATCCTCATCCTCATCATCGTGGTTACTGTTGTTTAGCAGTTGATTAGCTGCTAAGACAAAGGCAAAAAGTTAAACTCCTGGCCAACATCACACCCAGCCCATGTTATTCCAACTCTTTTGATTTGGTGTTTCAACACTGAAATATTCAAATTCCTGGCAAATGTCATAAGTATCACTTCATTTTTTTAAAAGCTGTTTACATAATCTTATTTGTTCTAATGTTTCTTTATAAGGGACTTCACGACTTCTGAAAGGAATGCACATACCTAAAAATTAATGTCATAATATTTAAAATAAGGCTATAGAAGACTTTTACTTCTCCACCCACCCAACAACGGTTTGAAATTTGCAAAAGCAAAGTAATTTTATTTTCAATTTTGCTTATTATGTACTTTAGGAGCAGCAAAAAAAAAAAAAAGGAAATAAGGCTATGTAAATATTTTAAATAAACAAGCTAAGTGAATTTGTCAAATGTATTCACAGCCTTTCCCAACCTGGTGCTCTTCACATGTGTCAGACCACAATTTCTATCATGTAATTAGCAGTTCTCCCAAAGGAGCGAATGTATTACTGCTGTTATACCCTAATGCAGTAGAGGGTGCTAAATTAGAGGAGATTACCATAAGAATGGAGCACCATTCCAATGTATAAATGGGCCAACTAGCCTAATCCCTAATTACAATAGCTACCAATTAGAGATTACAATTACAATTATATCCTGCCTCTCACCTTTTATCCTTTATTTAAGAAGAAAACAAATTTCACTGCATAGGGAATGTTTTTCCTGGACCCTCTGAGTAAAGGTAAAATTTCCACCATCTCTAATCCATTCCCACCAAGCAGCAGATACACCAAACAGATTAAGAATCACAGTCCAAGTTCTTGGGATACTCTGAGTCTAAAGGCTAAAGGAATTAAAAAGGCTTGAAACCAGGTGGCCGATATGAGGTTTGCAAAGAGAAAAAGAATTGGGAAAATGGACTGAGAAGGAAATAGGGTTGGCCAAACTCCAAGGATGAATGCTTAACATCAGGGGTGTGAAAATATGGCCCCCTTACAACCTGTAGACTTCATGCTGGCTGGCTCAGGAATTCTGGGAGTTGAAGTCCACAGGGCTCCTGGAAAAAGAAAGGTAAAACATACAAGGAAGATGGAAGGGGCAGGGCACAGGGAAGGTAATTTCAGTCTAGGACATCCATTTGGGGACATAAGTGTAGCTAACAACACAGAACTGGAGTAGAATGCAGCTAAGAGGATGCAGAAAGGTAAAGTCCAGGCAGAAAATCATGAAATACCATAGCCTTTCCAAGAAAAAGGAACACCTCAGCTCTCCCACCTGTCCTATTTCTCATCTTTTTTTCATTGACCAGGGATACTAACCAGGATTAGTAAGCAGCTGGAAGAGATCTTCCTGGGCAGCTATTCTTGCTCTCCTTCTCTCTGCCATTAGACGAGGCTTTATTCTCCTCTCTCTCCTCCAGGAAGACAGCCAAGGAAAGACTGAAGGGCCTTTAGGCTTGGGAATGGCTATTTGTCTAATGGGTGGAGCCCACCGGATAAAAAAAAAAAAACCCCTCCCACAGAGGAAATGGGAGGAGTTAAAACTCAGAGAGGGAGGGAGGATACAGGGGTGGGATGCAAGAGCTTTTGAGTAGCCTGTCCCACCTGGACAAGTTTTCCAAAACTTGTATGGCTTTTTACAAAGGACACCTGAGATGATCCCAAGCATTTAAACTTTGTTTTTTTTGAGATGTCTGGGGGGGGGGGGGAATCAAAATCTTTGCACATCTAAAGCAGAATTCTATGCTGGCTCAGGAATTCTGGGAGTTGAAATCCACAGGACTTTAAGTAGCTATAGTTGGTCTAAAGCAGGGGTCTCCAAACTTGGGAACTTTAAGACTTGTGGACTTCAACTCCCAGAATTCCCCAGCCAGCATGTCTTAAAGTTCCCAGGTTTGAAGACCCCTGGTCTAAAGGAAACAAGCCTGACTTTTCAGAAATGAGCCCAGCATTCAACTACAATGAGAAACTTGCTTTCATATTGTGAGACTAGGTTGACACATACAAAAAAAATGAAGCAGATGCCTGAGAGGATAAACAGAGAGGATAAAAAGCCAGGAATCTTTGTCTAAAACAGGATTTTAGTGGGATGCAACAGTGGTGGGATTCAATTTTTTTTTACTACCGGTTCTGTGGGCGTGGCTTGGTGGGCGTGGCATGGCTTGGTGGGCGTGGCATGGCTTGGTGGGCGTGGCAGGGAAAGGATACTGTAAAATCTCCATTCCCACCCCACTCCAGGGGAAGGATACTGCAAAATCCCCATTTCCTCCCGATCAGTTGGGACTCGGGAGGCACAGAAAGAATAGATGTGGGCGGGGCCAATCAGAGGTGGTATTTACCGGTTCTCCAAACTACTCAAAATTTCCGCTACCGGTTCTGCAGAACTGGTCAGAACCTGCTGAATACCATCTCTGGTCTGCAACCTTGGCAACTTTAAGCCTGGCGGACTTCAGCTCATTGGCTGGAGAATTCTGGGAGTTGAAGTCCTCCAGGCTTAAAGTTGCCAAGGTTGGAGACCCCTGGTCTAAAAGATTCCTTCAGGGAGGTAGATAAGAAGGAACCCAGTCCTTAAGGGAAACAAAAGGTCAAAAATGTCGCCTGAATCAGACAGAGGATGTTGGACTGTTAGTACGTGAGTGAGGGGCCATAAGGCTAGCCTGTGTGACTGCCTGTGAGTATGACAATGCCATCATAAGAGAAGTTCATTGACTCCAATGCAACAAGCTCCAGCCAAGACTTTCCCATAAAGGGTTAAATGACTTATCTTTTTTCTGTAGCTTTCAACACCCAAGGAATAGCTCTACTTCTCTGGGTAAAGCTAAGTAAAGAATGCTTAGGTTAGTGGATAAGTACTCAACAGAAATTCACTGAGTGATAAAAAAAAATTCAGTGACTTGCATATCTCATTGAGACAAAAATCACTATTAAAATCTGCATGAAAACCAATACGCTAGAAAGTTAAAATCCACTCCACTTCCAGCCAGCTTTGAAGTGGAAAATCTGGTTAATTCCCAACTAACCAATCAGATTTCTGCCTTAGTGTGTTGTCAGTCTCCAGCTTCTGGTTCAAAGTTAATTGAGTAAATCATGGTGGTTTTTTTTACCATGAATGAATCTGCCATAAAGTCACAGTTAACACATGCTCCTCCGCGTGCCCACGCATGCTCCTATTTCGGCACTCGGTGCCGAAAAGGTTCGCCAACACTGATATAGGCTATTCTGGAGGGTACCATGTTGAGAAAAAACTAGTCCCTTGACCATCTAGGACACTGATGGCTAACCTTTTTGCTATCGTGTGCCAAAAGCGGGGGGAGCGTGGTGGGGTCACACACACGCGTGCCCACATCTATAATTCTATGCCCCCCCCGTGCTCTCCCCGCTTTTGGCACGCAATGACACGGTGGGTCCGGTAGGCCCATTTTTTGTTCTCCCCAGGCTCCAGAGCCTTTCTAGGAGCCTGGGGAGGGCAAAAACGGCCTTCCCCACCCCCTCAGAGGCCCTCCGGAGGCCGGAAAGTGTGTTTCCTGACTTCTGGTGGGCCCAGAAGGCCCAAAAATCAGCTGGCCGGCGCATGCATGTGTGCCGGAGCTGAGCTCGTGTGCCCAAGCTGAGCTCGTGTGCCCACCGATATGGCTCCACGTGCCACCTGTGGCACCCATTCAATAGGTTCGCCATCACGGATCTAGGATAATTTGGCCTAGCTTTTGATTCCTTCACATCAGTGCTCACATTTTTCCCCTTTCTAAAAGAAAGTTCTATCCTATTTTGTACACTCTGCCTACAAAATGCTAAAGAAATTACGTTTGAGAGAGTTTGAGTTAAAAATTATTTTTGATTTCTAACATATACAGTTCCTTAGCCCTCTTGAATGGTTGCTTGAGTAGAAAGGTGGGGTATAAATCAAACAAATACAGAAACCAGTGATATGGGATTTCAATTCCATCTTTGTTTTGGCTGAACATCAATTACAGTTGCTAACCCAAACATTGTTTGTTTGTTTGTTACTTCCAAGTAAAGAAAGTGGAATCTGAACTGTAAAGACAGGAAGAAGCTTTACTTGGATGGGTTGTTCAAATCTATATGATGTATAATATCCGATTTACATATATGTAGATCTTGCAAGAAATTTTCATCCAGTCTGAAATTGCAATCCAATATTCTACCGTGTTTCCCCAAAAATAAGACCCTATCTTATATTTTTTTGAACCCTGAAATAAGCGCTTGGCCTTATTGCCATGTGCTCAAAAGCCTGATTGGGCTTATTATCAGGGGATGTCTTATTTTGGGGGAAACAGGGTAGTATTTACAGATGTGAAACTTGTACAGAACAAGATTAGAAGTTTCCAAGGCTATAATGAGAGAGATTGTGTGATTGGAATCCAGAAAACTGTCTTGATCTCTGTAAAATGAAATGTTTGATGGGAGTCAAATGAAGGGAACCAAAATCCATTTAGCTTTTGGAACAACTCATCTCAACTCTGGAATAACCAGGCAGAGGATGAGCTAACCCCAAACAATTAAGTTCCTCAACCTCCTTCCTTTCCACTCAAAAACTTGACAATTGCAGCTACATTATCTAGACTCTTGCATTTGGAATGATACAACCACATATGGCCAACATTGCCTGTTCAAGGAGTACACTTTTTATCTTTCTAACTGCAGATTATGCAGAAGAGACAGGATTATGAGGCAGGACCAGAACATGCTAGTAATATTCAGGGAAGTTACTGAACTGTGCAGCTTCATTAAGCAGCTTCATTAGAAAAGTTAATACCATAGTAGTATGTTCTGAATCAATGGAAGTGGTCACAATCATCTTTTCTATTCTGTCTTTGCCACTTTCTCATTGAAATGAGCAAAGATCAGTCAATATGGAGTTCCATATAGAGACATACTATACTGTCTCCAGCGCCATAGCCTCACACAACTTGCTTGCTATTGCCATATTCATTGGACACATGGAAGCATCAGATATCTCCTCCAATAAGGCATCCAAAGAATGCTGGGATTCATAGGCATCTAATGCAAATTACAAGGACAAAACAGACCTTGTGACATCAAGATGCAAATTGTAACTCTTCCTACTTGCATCTTGACATAATGACAGAAGTCCATGGTAGGTATCACAGCAAATATTTCATCATTCCTCAGCCAGCATGATCATATCTGAAGACCAACACAGTGAGGAAGATGATCCAAGTGGGGAGTAGAAGGACTATGAGATGTAAAGAGCTAGTAAGTTCCAAGTTTGAGTCATGAAAGGTACAAATTCTTTACTCTTCCTACACTATCCACTAGTAAATCAAACCAATAGGCAGAGACAATGTACACATTTTGGACTTGGATTTCTAGCTCAACAAGTCTGTGAAGTGTTTGGAGTAAAGCCTGTTCAGCATGTCTCTCCTAAGATGCAGTGATGTACACAATGCTTTATGCATCCCCAAAAAAGTACCCTGAATTCTGGCCAAAGCCTCAAACAAGACTGGGGAAAAAATTCTGTATGAAAATCACTTCACAACTGAGCTCTCTGTTCAATTAAACCTTACCTGTGCTGATGCTTAAGAAATCTGATATTGATTCTTTTGGAAAGCATATGCACTTGTTTCCCTTCAACCAGATTGTTTACTCTTCAGGGATCTGGGAATCTACATGTTCCAACCAATCATTATACCTAAGATCACAAATGGTGATACAGGACATAAACTGTTTATCTTTCCCCCACCTCATAAATCCACCTCATAAGCCAGAGCACAATCCCTATCAACCAAATCATTCCTATTTAGAACATTGAGTTGAATAAAATCAGTATGCTTCTTAAACATATCTAAGAAAGATACATTCTGGTAGAGAGAATTTCCCTGAGGATGGGCTCCAGCACGAGTCCGAAACCTCAGAAGACAAGCTCTGGTCCCAGTGACCGACCCAGATTGGATCATGCAACATTATCCTGGGACACGTATATTTGCCTTCATATCTGAGAGAAAGCTTAAGAACTTCAATACAGCACTTTAATGTATTACTATGATATCCATGGGATCAACCATCACTTTTCCAACTGCAAAAGAGATGGAGATGATCTCTTATATCAGCAATCTCCAACCTTTCCAGTTCAGCGGACTGGGGAGGGAATGGTTTCGTGCGCGCACACGCACCACTTTCACAAGTGCAGCTTCATGTGCACACACTCACCCACCATTTCCGCATCCTGGTTCCAAATGGGCTGCGGCCTGGGAGGTTGGGGACCCCTGTCTTACATCACTCTCTCAATGCCAAAGCAGTATAAGTCACACTTCCTTCTGCAGAATCCGGACATCAAATGAAACAACATTCAGCCTGAGGCATGATATTAGGGCCTCTACCAAATCCCAAATGTTTTCTACTCATCCCTTTTATTCTTGTAACATCCTTATGAGACTAAATATAATAATGCCCAGCTCACTTTATATTGAGTAGAGATCTGGACGTGGTGAGGAAGAGGTAAGAGAGATTGTTTATTCAAATATTTCCTTAGGGAGATCCATACTCCTTTGTCATAAGAAAGTGAGAAGATTCAGCCCTTTCCTTGCATGTCTCACAGATGACAAAAGACTGTCTTTATTAGATCTAAGAAATCAAATACAAATATGAGCAAACAGAACAGTGATTCCAAAATAGAAGAAAAGGGAAAGTGTATTCTTACCAAGAGACATTAGTGTCTCATAGCTTTCTTGCATAACATCTCGATACAGAGCCTTCTGACGCTGGTCTAGATACACCCATGGCTCCATGACACAAATAGTGTTCTCAGAGGCTTACCAGCACCTGTCAAAAAACAAATTAAATGCAATGGATTTCACTGAAGTAGACTTCCCTTACTTGGAGCCCTCCCATCGTATTTTGCAGCCCAGCTGCATTTTTCCGCATACTTGTAGCAATCATTTCATCTTATTCGATCAATGTTAACAAAATATTCCATAAGCATAAAGCAATATTTTATCTGCTTCCAGCTTGTTTGATTTTAAAAAAAAACCCAAAGGGGAACAATAATGTACTGCAGTAGCCACTTAAAACAGCAACAGCTGCCCTACCACAGAGGGAGTTTGGGGCAGGACAGAAGGAGTAATTGCCTCTCCATGCCAATAAAACTCATAATCATAAATACACAGAGAAAGAGAGCTTCCCCTTTCAACCAGCAGCAGAATTTCCCATACAAGGCCCCAGGGCAAAAGCCCATTTGAAGTGCTTTTCATGCACCAGACTCTTGCAGGCATCTGGGGACCAGGCCGCTGCTCTTGGTTTCCATGGCTTCCAGTTTCAATACAGAAAAGGCTTCACAGGCCTTTAAGGACTTTTACATGATAGGCTTACAGTGATTCCATAACTGTGTTTTCCTCTCTCAGAAAGAGACCCTGGGTGTTATCCTTCCAGGGACATTTGGGGGGCTGGGGGGGAGTGGGGAAAACTTCCAAGAATCCTCAGCATTTTTTGCAAAAGCAGGATCTGCCAGACTTTTCCAAAAGAGGGGAAGCTTCCTCAACCCTCTCAATTTCCCTAAGCAGTTTAGTGTAGTGGTTAAGGCACTAAACTACAAAGCAAGAGACCATAAATTCTGGTGATAGCTTAGGCACAAAGATATCTGGGTGACCTTGGGCCAGTCCCTCCCTCTCAACAGTAGGAGGAAGGCAGGAAAGGGAGCAAACTATTTCTGAAAAAATAATGCCAAGAAACTGGCAGGGACTGAAGCAAACTCATTCCACTGGGACTACAGCTAGTGATATTTGCAGGGTTTTTTTTTAACATTCACCACAGCTTTCTTTTTCCAGCTTGGCTTATTTCATCTCTCGCCCCTCAGAGGCAGCTTAAAAATATATACATATATTTTTTAGATCTACCTAATGGTCCAGAAGCAGCAGAATCTTCACCTCCCTCCAGGAAGAAAAAGTGCTCTGCTAACAATATATGTGAATCTGATGGCTATTTTGAACTATCCTTCTGTCCTTGCAGATTCCTGCAACCCCCTGCAGCAAAGAGGCTGGCTTTGTGAGACTTTTTAGCAAATCGCCTGTCCGACTGCAGTCAGCAGGTTCCTAAGCAATGCCGTGCTCTGAACTTAAATTCTCTCATATCAAAGTTCATTCCCAGCACCGCAGCAAGTCCTGATCCAGTACTAAATAATGGGTAAATTTAGCTTGCTCAATCTTACATGCTCTGAATCAGGTTGGAAAGAGACAAAATCTACACAGGCATTCTGACTTTGAAATTGTATGTCTGGGCTGTTTTATAATCCTCTTGGTACTGAACAGGTCTGCCTTTGTATCATAAGCTACTGTGAGAAAACTGTAGTTTTGCAAAGGAGCTAAAAAATACATTTAAAAAGAAAGAAATTCATTCAGCCCTGGAAGGAAATTTTAAGCCATTCTGTATGCAGATCTGTTCAGGGATTAGTCCTATTGAATCCAGCTATACTTAACCTCCAGATAAGTACACACAGAAATACAATTCTTTGCAAGGCTTCTATTATTATTTAAACACAAAAGGTGTTTTATTTAAATGACCACACCTTACTGTGGTCATTTGTCCCAATCATAGCTTTTTAACACACTCAGCTTCTTCAACATTGCAGTGATGCTGTCATTTTTATCGCAGATCTGTGCAAGTATAACTGTACCATTTCATCAACAAATCAAATGTACACAACATTATCAATAATCATTTCAGGTCAGTTTATTGATTTGATCAACCACCCAGGAGATTTAGGTGGCAAGACTCAATATCTCGATACAGGAGACGGGCATCCCCAGAAGTGGCAGGAAGATAACAAGGGAAAAAGCAAATGCAATACCTTTGCACTTCTGTATATTCAGGATGCTATTACTATAGATCAAAAACAGGCCAATGCTGTGGGTTTTTCCCCCAATCGCATAATAAAATAACCTCTGCTACTGAATATACATTGAAATATGCCATCTGCTCCTTAATCAAGAGTCTACTTAGAATACAGACGCCCCTAAAATTAATTTGGGATGTGTATGCCACAGCAACCTATGACCCCATCCGGGAGCAGCAAACTGGCCCCCAAATCTGATCGGCCTATGCCTAAAACGTCTTGAATCAGGTAGGGGGAGGGGGCGGCAATCCATTGCAGTGATTGACTCTTTTTTATTATTTTATTAATTTTTTATTAATCATATTTCTATGTCGCCCACTCTCCGAGGACTCTGGGCGGCTTACAACAATCGACAGTATACTAAATAGCATATTGCCCCCCAACAATCTGGGTCCTCATTTTACCCACCTCGGAAGGATGGAAGGCTGAGTCAACCTTGAGCCTAGTGAGATTTGATCTTTGCTTTAAAAAGGACAGAAAATGAAATATCCCCTCTTTTAAGTGCAGCTCTTTCTCCGCTACCCGCCTCAAGGGCCCATGTCACACACACACACACATACACACAAGCCCCTCACCCCGATCTCACACACACACACACACCCTGCAGCCCAAGAACGTCCCACCAATACTCAATTGGGGCTCCTCTCCTCTTTCCAAATCCCTCTACCACGGCATTGATTTTATTTCGATCAATGACTCCCCACCCTCCTACCCATTCCACACACACACATACACACACACAAAAAAAACACCCGAGGCGAGGGGCATCGGGACCAATCCCTGCAAAAAAAATAAATAAATAAAAATCCTCCAGGCCCGGATGGCGACGGCCCCACCCCCTCCTCCAGGATTTGCCTTGAATCACCTGCAATCGGCCTGCGGTGCAGCTCCAGCAAGTTTGCAGGTGGGGCGGGGAGGGAGGGAGTCCCTCTATTGCAGGGGGGGGGATCGGCGGCGGACACAGCAGCAAAGCACTTAAAATTAATCCGGATGTGCAGCGGCGACTGAGTCGCGAAACTCCGCCTCTGTAAGTGGGGCTGCCGAGCGGCGGCCACGGCCGAGCAAGGAGCAGCTTCCCCTTCTAAACAGGAAGAGGAGCCCTCTGGCGGGCACAGCCCACATCGGGGACCCCCGAAAGATGAGTCCCCGTCGGGGGTCTGGAAGGATTTGAAGCCCGGACCGGGATTAATTGGGTGGAATTTAAGCCAAATACCTTGAACCCTCAAATTCTGGATGAGCGCAACTCCATCCTCGTCTGATCCTCCTAGTTTTGGCGTGTGACACTTTCCAGCCTAAAATTGTGGTGGCTTTGGAGTCCAGCGGGCTCTGCCAGTAGAGCTTTCTGTGAATCAGCATCCTTTCTTGGCAGTAAATGAAACTGATGTCAGCAGAATTGCTATTTAGGCATACTCTACAGGCTGGCTCACAATTCTTAACAACAATGGACTTTTCAGTGTCCCCATTGTGCTAGACTGCGCTGCTGGGCTGGGACTGCGGAGCCACCTCCGTGTCCACAGATGAACTGCACAACAGTTCTTTCTTCTTTGAACCCAAAGGACTATACATAAAGATGATCAGCAGGTGCAAATAGGTGTAAATTTTATCCCATGTATGTGGTTTCCCAAACACATGAAAACTCAGGGGGGCACACAGTGGTGCCAGCCTCATACCCCATAGACACCATGCCCACCCAAAGGATAAGGTATACAGAGGTGCCCTTTTGGATATATACTTGAGTGCAAAAACCAGAAGATCTCCACAGGGAAGAGGTGAAATCTCAAGATGGTGACCACAATGATGCATTCAAGGCCCTGCCCCTTTTTAAAATGCATTGCCATCTTAATTTTTTTTGACACAGAGACACCTTTTGAAAGATCTCTGTAGAATCAGCATCCTTATACAGGTGGTCTTCAACTTACGACTGGTTCCTTAGCGACTGGTTCAAGTTATGACCCACCTGGAAAAGGGGATTTACAACCAGGATTTGATGATGTGAAAGTCAGCCCCCCCTCTGTAGTCACATGACCCTGCTTTGGGTGCATGGCTGCATTTATGACAGTGTTTAACAATGGTTTTGCATGTTCAGTTTTGGCAAAAGCACACTCACAGCAAACCATTGGTTTGTTTAATGACTGCCACAGCTGTTTTACGAATGCCAACTTTGCTTAATGAGTGCCACAAAAAAGGGTCCATTATAGTCATATGTTGATATTACCTCTAAAGCAGAATTTCTGATTGCGTAGAGTGGTAGTTCTTAAACGGGGGTATTTATCTTGGGAGTATTGACCCAAAAAGCAGACCCTTTACCTGCGGGAAAGCAAGGAGGAGGAAGAGGAGGAGAAGAATAATAATACTGAGGGTAATGGAGCAATTTATAATTACTGGTTTATTAATTGAGGATCCAGTTGCAATTGCCACTGCCAAAGTGCTGGTGTATAACAACCGCATCTGGATATTTTTCTGGTGGTAACAACATTACTTAAAAGACTGGAGAAAGAGGTAACCCGGACTTAAGCTTAAGAAACACTGAAAAGAGAGAGAGGTTTTTTTATTCCCCACTTCCCGTTTTAAACTGCTCATTTAGAGGTCTGTGAATGTTGTTTTAAGTGTGTTGTGAGAGACTTAACTATTTTCTTACCAGAAAGTGTTTTGGTAATTGCAAACTATTAAAAAAGATACATCCAGTTAATTAACTGCTTGAATATTACCGTGAATATTATTATTTGCATTCTGCAAATGCAATGAATTCACTAATACAAGGAAGTGAAATTCAGATCTAAAAAATATAAGTTGTCAATTTACAGGCTTCTTTTACTGCTTAATGACAGATTCATTTTTTTCCCATTAATGTGGAATTAGCCAGTGTAATAAAAGTTGTTTAGGTTAGGTATATTAAAGCCAAATTCAAGTGCTCACTTCACCATGGAAATCAGTGGAACTCTCAGTCCAACCTACTACACAGGGTTGTTGTGGGGACAATGGAAGAATCCCCCTCCTACACGTAACACTAAATATATAGCAAGATCACATACATAAATGGTGCCTGGATAGCTCAGCAGACTAATGCATTGTAATTTAACTCCAGCTGTCTGCAATTAGTAAGTTTGAATCTTGCCAGGCTCAAGGTTGACTCAGCCTTCCATCCTTTCTAAGGTAGGTAAATTGAGGACCCAGTTTGTGGGGGCAATAAGCTGACTTTGTAAAAATATACAAAAGTATGAAGGCTATTGCTTAACGCATTGTAAGCCGCCCTGAGTCTCCGGAGAAGGGCAGCATATAAATCATTTTTAAAAAAAAAAATGCATATATGCACACATTCTGCATACAAATGACTTGCAGTAATAATGTCTTTATTACTTTTATTGAATGCAGGGTTTAAAAAAATTAAAACTCAATTTTAGTTCCGTCAGTTTCCATGGTTCTTTTTATGTAGTCTATGTAGTTTATGTAGTACTGTTTGGCACCTGCTCTAATTTTCACAAATCCCCCCTTTTTTTTAATAACCAACTGAATTTTATTACAAAATCTATAAAGTGTGAAAACCTGTGTCATAAGGATAAGTGATACTTTTTATATGAATCAGGGTTCCAACGTAACACCCCCAACGAAAGAAAACTCCAAGGATTGAGTTTCCTCAAAGTTAAATTTTATTAGAGATGTAATATTGGCACATCTGGGAAAACCCGAATCTGAAAGTTTCCAGGTTTTCCCCACCCAAAGAAAAGTTCAAGTCCCTGCCCAACACCCACGTCCATCACATGGCCCAATCAAAGCACCATCCCAACTGGAGATACCTCCCAGTTCCAGCTGCCTAGGTACAGGGCAAGATGTCCTTGACTCTCTGAGAAAGGAATGTTATTATGACTATATATCACCCATGCTCCATACAATCCCTCCTCCCAGTTTCCCACAGTAGTAAATGTGGCAGGCTTGAAGGCCCAACTGAAAAGATGGCTTCCAGGCCTGACAGGCTAGCAACAAGAATGTCATTTCTTCATGCATACTCTACACTACAGACTTGCTTGAATATGCAAAAGAGTTAACAGCTTCCTACACCCTCTTTACAAATTATTAGCAGTTCAAATACAGTGGAGGTACTGCTGCACCTTGCTGTTCACCCCAAACCCCGCTATGATTTTTCAGAACTTGTAGCAAGGTGTTCTTTTCTGCCAGTAAATGATGGAGTTGGAGTAGTAGAAGCCACCAAGAGAATGATAAAAGGCTTGAAACACTGGTGAAAAGGAGAAAGAGAAATCAGATCAAAAATGGGGGTCCATGTAACTGACTGCAGTCAGGAAAAGAACATTTGCAAAGACCCTGAACCAGACACCTGAACTGATGGTGCTTCTGCCTCTCTAGCACAATCCACAATCAGTATTTAAAAAATTCATGTGTCCCACCTCAACCCTGCCCCTTTCTGGACTAAATGAAGATTTTGAAACCAAATCCTTGTACAACTGACTTCTCCCTTTTTTTAAAATATACAAGTTTGTTTCACCATATTTTGTCCAGTGTACGGTTTCCTGACTTGTATACCGTAAAGGTTTCACATGAAGACAATGAGATGTTCTGCAATTTCCATTTTTCTAAGGACAATCTACAGCTTGACATAGTCAACCCATTTCAAAGGCCCTTTTATAATTAAGGGAGCATGCACTGACTTACCTTTCCCAATTTTCCAGCATGCATCAGCAATGTTTTTTGTTCCTCTGCCTTGTCTTTATTTTATTTTGCTGTTTTTAAAGTGACAGAGAAACAGAAAAATGATAAGCCCCCCAAATAAAAACACAAATACATACATTGTCAAAGAAAAAAAACACATAAAAATGTTTTAAGGGGAAAAAAATACAACAAAAATAGCTATAACATATTTTAGCTATATAGGTATAATTATCTAATGCAATTATTATTCCAGTACATGTATTTTTCTAATACATTTATATAACTATCATTTTTGTGTGGATGTTGTGTTGGATAGTGTTGGATTTTCATATGCATTATGAAATAGACTCTTCCAACGAAAACACTTTTAAAATTTAATAAAACTAAAAAACTAAAAGTAGTCCAACTTTCTCCTCACTTCCAGACTTTATATACAATAATACGTTTTAATTTAGAGGTTAACAGGCAATACACTACAGTAGCTGGTTTACATAGAATGCAAAACCACAACCCCAGTTAACAAAACTGAACTGCTGCTTTTATATGATATGCTGTCTCCAATTAAATCATATTGTGGTTTAATGGGATCGGTCCAGTTTGCACAACATTCCAAAACTATGTAAGGATTCCCACAGCACACCAAACCACAAACAGCCCAGCTCATTTTAATCTGAATGTTAAATTAAATGTTAATTCCTGTACAAGATTGCATAATAAATAAGGCCCAAATGGACAGACTTGTAAAACTTCAATCACAACTAAGGGTACCTACCAGGGGTGAAATCCAGCAGGTTCTGACAGGTTCTGTAGAACCGGTAGTGGAAATTTTGAGTAGTTCGGAGAACTGGCAAATACCACCTCTGGCTGGCCCCAGAGTGGGGTGGGAATGGAAATTTTGCAATATTCTTCCCCCAGGAGCAGGGAGGGAATGGAGATTTTGCAGTATCCTTCCCTTGCCACGCCCACCAAGCCACACCACTCCCATCAAGCCACACCCACAGAACCGGTAGTAAAAAAAATTGGATTTCACCACTGGTACCTACATATGTTTGATGGAGTCCTTTCTGGAAGATGAAAGAAATATGTTGAAGGAAAATATTAGGATGGGAATAAATGGAAAAAACTGAAAGAAAAAACCCAATTCTCCATATTTTAAATTTACCTATATTATTTAATATTTACCTATATTAAATTAGTTTTCTTACAGTTTAGTTTCTTTACTACTTGAACAGTTTTCTTTGTTCAGCAAATGGTAGCTTCCATGCTGACCCCAGAAAATGTAAATCAGAACATGTAAGTCAGATAGAATAATAGTGACGACAAGATAATTATTTCCTTAAGATATTCTTAGAAAAGCTGCTTGATTCTGAGATTTTTATCAGTGGTCTTAAGGCTTTCACTGGAATGGTCCTGCCTTAGTAAGATATCCATATATCCATCTAAAGCATCGATGAATGTGAGATCTTCTATTTGCAAATCATGTAATGCGTTGCCAATGTTTCTTAATTTTTTGCTCTCTTGACACTTTGTAAAAAATACTAAATAGGGCAGATTTTAAAAGTATTTTTGCAAATATCTTCAATATTTGGCAGATAACTTTGATTTCATAGACCTGAGTATGTCTTGGGGGACCTCCAGGGTCCTGGAATCAAACTTTTAGAAACAGTGAGATATACACTTCATGAGATGGCCCATGAAGAAGGGGATGAACATAGAAAGTAATGCTCATTAGAAAAGAGAATGGCACGAATGGGCTGCATCTCTATTGTAATAAGTCTGCATCTTGTTTCTTTCAAAGTTAACAGATTATCAAGAATCTGCCACCAGATTTTTGCCCCAAAAACCTGTTGGGAAAGGCCAAATCATATCAAGTAGGTGGTAGACCTGAAATGCAATGTTTACTGAGATTAAGTCAAATTCATTACTTGTGATGTACAATAGAAATAGATACTATATTTATAAATATATAAATGCTTAAACATTTAGTAAGACCTACACACATACCTAATGTGCCTTTGGGAAGAAGCAATGTTATTAAAGCGCAGGAAAGAAATAACATCCAAATATATCCAATTTATAGTTTCTTGCAAAACCTTGGGACAGCCAACAGCCATACAGGCAATCATAGTTTCAGTCTCATACAAATCCATTCCCTCCAGATGTGTTGGGAAGACAATTCTTATCCTCCACCCTAGTCTCGTATTGTGCGCATCTATTAGGAATTATTGCAATCCCGCACATCTGGAGGGCGTGTGCTGGGAAGGGCGGTAATTTAGCATCTGAATTTAAAACTTAAGGACAGCGTCCTGGTCTTTTCCGACAGGCACAGGTTACTGTAATCATATGCTTGGAGAACTTTCACCCGTAGAACGGAGATTACAACTCTCCCTGCGGATGCTTCGAAAAATTGCCGAGGGTGAAATCAACAGTGCTTGGATTCCTAGAAGAGCCCGGAAATCGAAAAGAAGATAGGTTGTCTTCCTGTCCTTTCCTTTTTTCTTTCCCCGGCTCTCGATTTCGCTAAAAGACTCAGCTGCCTTACAAGGCGGGGAGAGGGGGGGGAGGGGACTTGATTTCATAGGTTTGTCTTTGTTCCCATCCGACTGAATCGGAGGAAGGCAGAGACTTCTGGAGAGGCAGCCCTTCACAGCCCCGCTCTGCTTCGGAGCCACGATTGGCTCAGCTCGTTCATGCAAGTCCCAGTCCTGGATGCGATTCAGAAGGGGACATAGGAAGAAAAAATATATATATACCCTTTGTCTAAAATGATAGAGGGTTTCCCAACTTGAGCAGGGAGTTAGACTAGAAGACCTCCAAGGTCCCTTTTCAACTCGTTTATTCTGTTAAGAAACTACACTCACTCCCTACAAACTATCTCAAGGGGCTTATATACTGTAAACTCAAACTCAACGCTCCTCCCCAATGCATAGCCATCTTGTGCAGTATTATACTGTACTCGGAGTACAGTATAATACTGTACCGGAGGCTCCAACTGGTCCAGAATGCGGCCGCGCAAGTGATAATGGGGGTGACTCGTCACTCCCATGTAATACCTCTCTTGCGCGAGCTGCACTGGCTCCCGGTGGTCTTCCGGGTGCGTTTCAAAGTGTTGGTTACCACCTTTAAAGCGCTCCATGTCTTAGGGCCTGAATATTTACAGGACCGCCTGCTGCCACTGACTGACTCCCACCGACCGATATGCTCCCACAGAGAGGGCCTCCTCAGGGTGCCGTTGGCCAAACAATGTCGACTGGCAACTCCCAGGGGGAGAGCCTTCTCTGGGGGCTCCTGCCCTATGGAACGAATTGCCCCAGGATATACGAAGGATCCCCGACCTGAAGACCCTGTTATTCCAACAAGCCGATCTGATGGGACAATAATTTTAATTGGGTTTTAAATATGGGTTTTAATATGTTTTATAAGGGTTTTAGAATGGGAATTTTAAATTCGGCCAAAAATTGAATTATTTTAATATGGTTTTTAAATTTGTCTTGTATATTGTTTTATTATGGCTGTTCACCGCCCTGAGTCCTTCGGGAGAAGGGCGGTATAAAAATGTAATAAAATAAATAAATAAAATAAATATACAAATGTTTGCAGTAGCTCTGCCTGGTCAATTCGAATGAGTAGCAGAGCACTTCACTGTCTGTTGTCTGAATAGAAGCCACCAGAAAACAAGCTCCGGATTTACTGCATGCAGAAAAGATACAAGTCATCTCTTGGTGCATATAGAAAAGATAAAAATGTAATAAAAAATAATATAAATAAGCAAATGAGGGCCCCACGTTACAAGATGGCTGTAGACATATTGAGCTGTTTTGGGCTATCGAGAGGTGTGGTATGGTGTGTTGAACCAACCCCTTGTTTAACCTGTCCATCATAATGGAATGCAAGCCCCTATTCAGAAGCTGTGCTCAGGAGTGCAAAACTAGCTTTCTTCAACTTGGTGGCTTCCATGTGAGTTAGTACTAGAACAACACCCAGAATTCCCTGCCAGCATAGCCATGGCAGAACATTTTAAAGACCCTTAGAACCCCAGGACACAATTTTCATTTGAGTGACCTCCCCTTTGATCTGATTTGTACCCTCTTGTCAACATAAACATCTCTTTCGGGTTTTGTGTATTGAAATCAATGGCCCAGTAAATGGGAATGTGGGGGTAAATATCAAAATACTGAAAAAATGGGATTATATTCAATATTCTTATTTGAAGGATTTGTTTATGCTTTTTTTTTGATGATGATGAAATTGCTAATAGTGTTTAGGTACGATTGCTGCTGATTTAGGATTGACTGGTTATTTGTACAACTTTCCCTGTGCCATTGTGGTAATAGCTGTATAGATATTTTGGACAGAGAATTCACATTTCTACCAAAAAACATGGCTATTTTTGTATGGTGCCTGCTTTTTGTGCTAATTAAAAACTGGCAGCTGCAGGAAAACAGATGGGGATAAAAATACAAGAGCCAACAGAGCTAATCACAAATTAGATATTGGAAAAGGTTGCAAGGGACTATCCTGTTGTTCCAACTGAAACAACTCAAGAGGCTAGGCAGAGACTAGAAGTGACCACTGCACAAAAGATTCAACAGAACCCTGGTGTCACTGTCCAAAAGAGACTAGGCAAAGAGTTTGTGAACAATTACAGCACAGCAGCCAAGATTTCATAAAGTAGTGAAGTCTTGAAAGACTGCTTCCCTTCACATTGGGAAAGAGTAGAAACAGTATCTTAACCAGCACCCCTCATACAAAAGCTTCCCTCCCTATGAATAAAGTATCCCCTCCTTGTCATAAGTACCCAGGAAAGGGGAAGAAGAGTGGCAATGGATAATGGTAACTCCTTAGGACCAATTCTACAATCCCTTCTGAGTAAATATGCATAGATGTGCTGTAACAAGCTACTCCAAGAATTTGTGACATCCAAACTTAAAGTCAGCTTCTGATACTTTAAAAATCTCAGGTTAAGCCAGTATGGAAGTTGCCTCTTGGGCAACATGTATGGTAGGTGCACATATGTGCAACCACTTTCCAAATGCTTAGAGAGCAGAACATGGGAGAAATAACAAAAACATCTGCAAAGCAGTTCCTAGAAATCTTAAGCTTGCAATACTCTGTTTAAATAAAAATTATTCTCTAAAATGAAAATGGATTCTCCCATATACACATGCAAATCATAAGCAGGATGTGTTGCCTTTTGATCCTCTGCCCCTTCCCTAACCCAAGAATGGCAATGGTAGCGAGTCCCTAGAACAGAAGCAGACTTCATTTTCATAATAAAAGACACATTTAGAACAGTTTAGGCTTTTCCCATCAAGTCTGCCCTATCCAACCAGACTGCCTGGGGAGATGCAGTAATTATAATCTTCAACTAGCATTTATGGTACTTTCTTTTCATCTCTTAAATGGGAAACATTTATTTACTGCTGCCCAGCTAGGGTAGCCCTAACCTGAATATCTGAAAGATTAATGGCTCAAGGAATGTCATCAAGTAATTAGACTCTCTTGATAATGCCAGATTTTTTTCCTTACAAGGAAAATACTCATGTTTGGGAGCATTGCCTGATGGAAGGGGAGACAAAATCAGAATGAAGATTCTTATTTTTCCTGATAAATTGAGGAGCCCAGTGTTTTAAGTTATCCATTAATTCATTTTATTTTTTTTGTTGAAGTTAACATTTATTAAAAAAAAACATAAATCCATAGTACATAAAGAAAAAATTCTACTAAAAATTAAAAGTGGAGATAAACAGATAATAAACAGCTTATTTTCTATATAACAAGAATAACACTAATAATAGGTCTTTATAGTTAGGGCTAATGCCCAGATTTGATATAATTGCACAAGCTTTCCATTAATCTGGAAATCATTTGTTGAATTAATGGTGAATTAAGTTTTTCTCTCACTCCTCAAGTGAAGACGGGCGACCTGAAAAGTTGACAAGAACAGTCACCAAAAAGACCTAAATCTTATTATCCTTCAGGAGAGATAACTTGAGAATCCTTAACAAAACGGTAAAAATCAATTGCCTCCTTTCTTTAACCTGATTCTACTGTAGCGTTTTAATGGTTGGATTCGTACATTGCGCTAAAAAATATTGATTTTGTCTTCGGTTTCGGGTGCTTCTGTGAAGCCCGTCTTTGCTTAACCAACCACGGTTTTAAAACGCACGCGAACCTTGTCTTCTATTCACACACATACATACACGTGTCCGATACAGAAACCTGCTGACACGTGAAGCGGAAATCTGTTTTGTGACAAATCCAGGATGCCTGTCCAGCTCCTTAAACATCAGTTTCTTTTTCTTTTCTTTTTTTCCACGGGTGACTCGAGGCGCAGTTTATCTGCGGAAGCGTAGATGGTTGCAGTCCGGCTTGGAAACCGTAACGGCACAGGAAGGGGTTGGCTCAAGACAGCGGGGCCGTGTGTGGCCAGCAACGGCGGACGAATCCGGAGGAATAGATCCGGGGTGGGGAAAAGAAAGAAAGAACAAAAGGAGAGAGGCGGCCCCGCTCTTCCACTCTCGTGTGTTCATTTATGTATCTTCTCATTTATTCCCCCGAGTTACTTTAACGTCGAAAGTGCGTCGCGAAACACTTGCAGAATCCTCTCCCTTTTGAGATTTAGGCCCACCCCAGCCCCGCATGATCTGGGCCGGGGATAGACGCTAATTGCTGCTTCACCGGGAGCACGACCGGAGTGAAGACTGCCGCAGCTCGGGGTCGTTTCGTTTTCCCGGGGCGCTGCAGCCGTTGACTTTTGAACAGGTAACGATTTGAAAACAATGGTGGGGGGCAGGAATTCAATAAATACGATGGTAGTTTTATTGTATTAGACGCGGGAAAGGAAGGGATGGGAGTGCATTGTTTGTGACCAAGGCTGCGTCGACCCAGGCTCGTTTTTCGTCTTCGTTTGCAGTCCTGACACGTTTTCTGAAGGCAATTCCCGTCGAACTTAAGGGAACTAAGCACAACGAAGTGGCAGATAAGGTTACCTTGAATGTCAGGGCTCAACCCCTGAATATGAAAGAAGGGGGGAGGGAGGGAGGGAAAATAAGAGAGCATCTTTACTCCACCGTTGTATTAGTCAATAAAATAAATTGCATGAAACACTTCCAATCTCCGCAGGTATTTGTTTGGAATCACAAAAAATCTTTTTTAAAATAAGTAGAACGGTCTATGCAAGTGAACATAAAGAGTGCAGGACCAGCTCATCATGAAGATGGATGAATTGAAAGTTTTCCTGCCATCCTAAACCCAGCCACCTCTTTTCTTCCAGGAGTTGTATAACGGAGGCTTCCAGATTTCCCAGTCAGAAAAGTCTGTGGTCATTGTTAGCTGCAATAACATTTCTGAAGGGCATCAGATTGAAAAAGATTAACCCATATTTGTACTTTGGGGGTGGGTGGGTGGGAGGGAGGGAAGGATTCTCTAACAATGCTTCCATTTTATGGGATTGTTTAAATTGCCCCTAAATGGCAATTGGGGAGTTCAAATAGGTTGGGATATATAATTTCCCTTTGATATGACATGCTTTAAGTCAATTTTGAAAGAAGCACTCCCTGAGATTTCTTTTAGATTCCTTTCAAGGTCAAGGGACTGAAAATACAGTGTTTCCTGCAAATGACCTTGTCAAAACAATGAAGAACTAGATTTCTGATTGCAGTGTTCCTAAAACATGTACCTTAATATCCAGAATAGGCAGTTTTAGAGATTGGGGTCCCAGGTTCATCAGCCCAACCAGCTAAGGAGTCAAATAGGTTTTTGACATTGAAAGGAGAAAATTGAACATTTTTGGACCATATTTTTCATTATATTTGGTCTTTTGAGAGTTTTTAAGAATGAAAATAGGAATCTTTGACCTTATTTCCTAAAAATGTTATTTCCCTTTTTAAGTCAAATATTATGTCTTGAAAATCAGGTAATTTTATGGCCAAATTTCAGCAGCACAATTTCAGTATGCTCTGGGATGATCCCTGCTCTAAATATTAATGTAGTAATGGTTATAAAAATGTAATAATTATACATACTTATAATCTGTGTTGATCACTCTGATCCTTAGAATAATCCTATAAATTCATCCAATATTTCATCAGATATACTTACTTATTTGGAAAATGAGGGTCTTGAGCCAGTGGTGAAATCCATTTTTTTTACTACCGGTTCTGTGGGCGTGGCAGGGGAAGGATACTGCAAAATCTCCATTCCCACCCAACTCCAGGGGAAGGATACTGCAAAATCCCCATTCCCTCCCCACTCCTAAGGGAAGGATTTTGCAAAATCGCCATTCCCACCCCACTCGGGGGCCAGCCAGAGGTGGTATTTGCCACTTCTCCAAACTACTCAAAATTTCCGCTACCGGTTCTCCAGAACCCATCAGAACCTGCTGGATTTCACCCCTGTCTTGAGCATACTTAAGGCCAAATACAATACAATCCTGAACATGCTTACTTAAAAGTTAGTCCTACTATTTTTATGCAATTTACAATCACATTTAAGGGATTGCAAGGCTATGAATCTATGGCTTGCTTATATTTCACTCAGGAATTTCCTAGCACATTCTGAAATGCTGTGCTTCACAATGTTGCCTTAGTTAAATTTACTATGCTCAGCCATTGGTTGCCTGTAATAACACAAACACATTCTCAAGCTCAAGACAGTTCAGCCAGCTTTTCTAGTCAGATTAGGCAAACTATTACCTGTCAGCTGCATCATTTGCAACGAAAGACCCACCTTACAGGGCTGTTGTACAAATTACTGAGGTAATAGTTATTTTCAGGTGCTGTAGAATGCTATTGAATCATGGACTGAGTCATAGAATTTTGCCCATTTTTAAGAAGGAAATAGACTTGAAGGGTGCCAAATCCTGCTGTAGATAGTAAGGATTGATTGAATAAAATCTCATAGTATGATTTCTTTAATATAGAAAATCTGCTTCTTGTTTAATTTTTTAGCTTTTGTTTGCCTAATTTCACCTCCCCCCTTCCCTTGATTTCTGATTTCCTGATTTCCTAACTTCAACTTGCTGATGCCATGGCTTGTATATTTCAGGAATCCTATTGTTCAAGCAGGTTAAAGATGATGAGTGAAGAGGAGAATCTGGTGAAAGAGGAGGCAATTCTATCAGAGGAGGAGAAGGAAGTAAAAGAGGAGGAAATATTCACAATTATAGCAGATGAAGAAGACCTGGTGAAAGAAGAGACGATCTTTGAGGAGGAGGAGGAGGAGGAGGAAGAGGATGAGGAAAATCTGGTGAAAATAGAGGTGATTCTCCCAGAGGATGAAGAAAATCTAGTAAAAGAGGAGGTACTTCTTCCAGAAGAAACTTCCCTTCTGGAAGAATATGAAATCAATGTTTTTCAAATCCAAGGGGATGAAATACCCTGTGACAGTGAACTCGGTCCTGAGATCTCAGGTTATATTCCAAGAAAGAGACATTGTAAAACCATGCCACGGGCAGGAACTGTTGGAGAACCCAACCAAGCCACAGCCCGGAAGGGTGGAAGAATCTATAAGTGCCCTGACTGTGGAAAAATCTTTAAGCGCTGTTCACCTCTTATCAGACACCGAAGAACCCATACTGGAGAGAAACCTTATGTTTGCCGTGAATGCTTGAAACGTTTCAGTGACAGCTCGGCCCTTGTGAAGCACCAAAGAATCCATGCTGGAGAGAAACCATACACATGTCCCGAGTGCGGTAAGAGCTTTTCCCAAAGCTCAACCCTGATTGCACATCAGAGAATACACACCGGAGAGAAACCATATAAATGCCCTGACTGTGGGAAGAGTTTTAGCGTGAGCTCTAATCTTGTTGCTCATCAAAGAATCCACACAGGAGAAAAGCCTTTTGGGTGTCCTGTCTGTTTAAAAGGCTTTCTGGTGAGCTCCCATCTTATCAGACACTTGAGAATACACACTGCAGAGAAACCTTATATTTGCAGAGAATGTGGTGAATGCTTTACCCAAAGCTCTCACCTCGTCGTTCATAAGAGAATCCACACAGGAGAAAAACCCTATCTGTGTTCTGAGTGTGGGAAAAATTACCGTGGGATCTCCGATCTGATCCAACATCAAAGGATTCACACAGGAGAGAAGCCCTACAAATGCACAGAGTGCGGCAAATGCTTCAGCCAAAGCTCATGTCTCAAGAAGCACCAGCGAATCCATACAGGCGAGAAACCTTACATGTGCATCAGGTGCGGGAAGAGATTTAACCGGAATTCACATCTGACTAGGCATCAAAAAACCCACGTGGGGTAATTTCTAAACGAGTTCTCTGCAAGTCCCTGAAGAAATAGTGATGGATGTCTCAAATAGTAATCTATTCCTCATCTCCTATAGGATCTTTTGTCCAAATCCCTAACCTGCAAGAGTATAAAAAGATTTGAATATGTTACCAGGATGCCTTTGCAATGTTTTCTTCTCTGGCACTGGTTAAGATCCTCTTTCTAGATTCCCTCCTTTCCATCCAAGATTTCTAATAGGATCTTAGAATCTTCCCTTGAATATCCATACTTTTCCTTGTTATGATTTTGAAAATGACACCCCATTTCAAACACCTTCAGGCATATCAGCCCTTACTTTTTCCTGGATTCTGAGAATATCTTAATTGTCTACTATCCCTCAGGTTTCCACAGTGAAAGAACTGGAAGCTGTGAAAAGTTGTGTTGATAGCAATGGAGGAGAAACAATTAGCACTCATATCCAACTCTGATGAGATCAGTCTCTTTTATTTGTAATGCAGTAGCATATGAAAACAGCAAATATTATTACCACATGAAATTGACACACATCCTCCAGTGGACTGCTTCATGGTTTTATGCTGCCACTGTTTAAAGCCAATGGAAAATTGCATGTGAGGAAAAACCTGCTTTATTTTGTCCATTATGGGGTTTGTTACAAGGCAGAGAAGTAGTCAGGATTTAGTGTACTTCCTTGGCCCAATGACCCACCTTTCTTTATTTTTTTAATAGTAGACTATAGAAACTTCACTGCTTGGAATCTGAGTTATAAACTTGATCATCCTGTGCTTGGTGACTCTTCATTGTGGCTGTTCCCAAAGCTGGCAGGTGGGGGGTGGGGGAAAAGCTGAGAGGACAGGTCCTGGTTTTAATCCCTTGCTTTTTCAGCTTAAAACATCTTGGATAACATGAATGGGAAAGACTGTTGCCATAGAACAGTACTGCTAATCGAAATAAAAGTGCTGGGTGAAACAGCTGAACGATCTGATATAAGCTCCAGTTCTTGGCATCTGTCTTCACGGATGTCATGTCACACCCTAAGAAGCACAAAAAGCAGATGGCCTTCCTTGGTATTACTGAAGAACAATCTGGCATCTTATGTAGCCTGGTCACTGCCATGCATTTGTAGGCTTGTAGTGACAATATCAGAGATTTAAATTATCAATGCAATTATTTTTCTTTCTTTTTCTTTCTTTTTTTTTACTTTTTAGTGGAGTTTATTGAACATTTTAGAATAGATTTCTCTGTCAAGTGACAATAGGATAGTGGCTAAAAGACTGAAATATGCATCGGAAAGGATTCGGTTTCAGTCGCCACTGAGATTCTTGCTTTGTGGCCTTTGGCAAGTATTTTCTTGGTGTAAGTCAGACCCGTAAAATTTGCAGTATGGGGATTATAGCCCTTATTTGCTTATAAAGTTGTTGAAAAGGTTATACAGCCTGAACAGCTTAAATGTACTCCCTAAGCACACTTACTGTGTTTCTCCTTGGGTTTGGGATAATTTTCACACTCCTTGATGGTAAATATGAGTTCTTATAATACCGGTAGTCCTTGAGTTATGAAGGTTGACCGTTTGAAGTTACAACAGACCTCCCCCACCCAAAAAAAAGCTCTACATATGACCTTGTTCCAAAGTTACGATGTGTTCTGATCTAGGCTTCCTTAGAAATTAAACAGCACAAACTTAGTCCCAGAAAACCTCTTTAATTCATATGGCTGTAAATTACTTTCATTTACAGTCTGCAACGCTTGATAAACAATCTTTCAGAGAAAGGTTATCAACACCCACCTATCTCACGTGGAACGCTGCCAAAGAACTAATTTCCAGACACAGGGCAAGGCCAAACTTGGCACAGAGTCACAAACAGAATTTTCAAATCTTGAATTGGCCAGATGAGTTAATTGCTTCCTTCAAAAGCTCACATCCTGGTCGCTTCTCTTTTATGTCTTATGGAAGGGGCCAATCATCTCCAAGCCTTACTCCCAAGTCAACCCTGTTTCCTTAATTGTTCCCGTCTCCTGGCAGCTCTGCATGCGCACACTGGGAAAGGCTCACGCTGTTCTTCTGCCTCGCTGACGTCAGACTCTGGAGGCAGCAAAGAACTACCAGATGGCCTTGGCCTTCTCTCTGCCTCCGACTCAGAGCCATTGTCCGAGCCTTCCCCAGACTCTAGGACTGGCCCACATTCCCCCCCCCACCTCTTCACTGTCCAAATTTGCTGCCAGCTCTGCTGGCCACTGGCGGGCCAGAACACGATGCCTGCAGTGCCCTCACAGACTGACCAACCACAGAGATGCTGCAGCATGTCCACCTACCTTTCCTCCACCACCACCTCATTTTGCCCTGCAAGGTTCCCAGAGACACTTGGCCTGCTTTGCTACCCCATTTGGTTCCACATATTCCACCCCACTCCAATCATCGTTCACTCACTTTTCAAAGAGATTCAGAATTCAGGAAGTCAGGGTAGGGAAGGAGGGCAGGCCTCTCTGCTGCTGGGCCATTGCTAGGCCATGTGGCACAATTGAAGAAAAGAAATCCTGACAGTTTTCATTTTATCACTAGTCTTAGCTCCCCCAGCTTTAGCTACGCTAATTTTATGCTAATGCAATTAATGCTGGGGGAGCGAAGACTAACAATAAAAGGAAAACTGGCAGGATTTCTTCTTGATTTTGCCACGTGGACCAGGAACAGGTTGGGCCTGTCTTCCTTCCCTATCTTGATCTCCTTATTCTGAGGATCTTTGAAAGGTAAACATGCAATTGTGATGGACTGAGATAAGGGGGAGGTCCATAGGGTGGGAAGTGGAGCATGGGGTATCAGGATAGGGAGAGCCTTTGGGAGGCCCAGTGCAGGTGGGTTTCTGCCTGCATTATGCCTCCCAGAGTGTCCCCCACTTTTGAGACACCCTACTTAATGACAAATGTATTGGGGGGAAAATAGGGGTTCATTAATGAGACAATTTCTTTAGAGATCATAACTGACAGAAATTCTGACAGTAATAAGCAGGCTCCATTACAGTTGTAACTCAAGGACTACCTGTATTTCTTTGTGAGTGCTGCCCTAGTTAGAAAGGTCTTTACACAAATAAAGATGCCCCTAGAATCCACATAAGGAAGGCAACTATCCACATATTGGAGGGAAAATCTTCAGTTTTCAGTTATTTTCTTGAAAGAAACTTATTAGAATAAAAGAGGGCTTCCGCTATGGAAATCTTCCTTGGCACTTACAGAACTATGGTAATGGGGCAATGAGCCAGAAAAGATGAGTAATAGGCTTGCCCCCAATATCTCCTCTTTACATGAGAAGGATCACAGGGAAGGAATAAAAATTTCAGAATACTATACAAATCTATCTGAACATGAGCAAGAGAAGTTCTTGCCTTCCCTTGAGCCAACTGTGGTAGCTGACTCTAATTTCAGTTGAAGAGCAGATGGAAGACTCATTTGCTGAGAAATAAGGAGAAAAAAGACTGCCTTAATTTGGATGGCTGCAGAATACCTAAAGTAGTATTTGAATGTTTCTCTTCTTTGCCCTTTAAAGCCCTGCTCTATTTTATATCAGAATGATCTCCATCCCATTATGGTTCAGATATATTATTCTGCTTGTACCTTGCAAGAGTACCCGATAGTTCTCTACTTCTGGTATTGAGAAGTGTGTTGTGGCTTTTGTTTTTCTTGGTTCTTGAACATCAAAATAAGATGATGTGTTACACTCCTAAAATATATACATGTCATATGCTTACCAGTGATTTGTACTGTGTAGTGCATGCCCATCTATGCTTTTTCAGAAGTTCAGTGTATTTGCAGAGATTTTGTCCAAGATATGTATATAAAGGAAGGCAGGCTACAGTATTTCAAACACAAAAAAATAGAATGGTTTTAGATTTAAAAAAAAAAATAGTTAAGGCTCCCCAATCCTATATTTCTACTTCTGATATACTGCAGCAAATATTCCATAGTATAGTTAGTTTTGTTTTAAATTGAAAGTGGCAAATCATTTTAGTCTTGTTTGCAATGCGTTAATTAAATTGATGTTGATGAGGAAAGGAAAATCGGAGGGTGCATCATATAATAGTAACATAAAATAATATGCATTTAACCCCTTGAGTAAATTGTACCAGGACTGGTAGCCAAGGGACATAGTGAACTGTATCAAATATATGGTGTTTGGGTCAGGGTTCAAACCATCTTCCATTTGTCTTGTATTTCCTGCAACACAATCTTGAGTCCCATTTTTTGGATACCCCAACTTTTTCCAAAATGAAGTATACTTTTAATGACTAATTCAAGGACTAGTTAGAATTCTGTAAAAGTATTATAAGGTGGATATTGTACTTAATACTGATTGCAAGTACTTGAAATAACTAGTCAAGTACAGTGTTAGATTCACTTAAGATACTGTATTATAATCTATTTTTGCATTGTTTGCCACCTCTGCAGAATAACTAAGACGTTCAAAGGGAATGTAAATTTAAATGGAGGCCCATGTGGTAAATGTACATAGCATTTATCATCATTTCTGTACTAAATAAGGAAGATTATCACACTGTGCTGTACTTTATCCTGATTGAAAGTGAGCACAGAAATCAAGCTATGGTTTGAAATTTACACATGCACACTGCTTTAATTCTGATAAGTATCTATGGAGATCCAGGTCATAGTTGTCCCAAAGGTGCTTTTTCAAAAGGCAACTGGACTTTGTTTTTCCTTGAAGACATTTCACTTCTCATCTCAGAAGCTTCTTCAGTTCTGACTGAATGGTGGAGAATGGAAGGATTTATATTCCTTGCAGTTATCTGGTTATTAGTACTCTGAGAGTTGTTGAGGCCACTTGGAAGTTTACCTGTGCCCTCGGGGTCAGCTGGATAGTGCAAATAGGTGTGGAACTTTCTTGGAACTGCTATCATTTAATTCTGATACCAGTTTTGACAACAAGTATCAAAGGGTATTGTATATTGTATTTTTTCCCCCTTTTGAAAATATATGGAGGATTGAATACTCATTTAGTATTAAAAGTGGACATACAGTATAATATATTGAATGTCTGGTTCCACACAACTTATGAGACTAGGGTATAATAGTTGAGGGGAATTTATGATTCACAATCTTATAGGAATCCAGACACAGTCTTAACTTCCTATGAACTACACCACCACTTTAAAGAATATGTGGTTTTTTTTAAAACAAACTTGTTGGGCATTGCTTGTTATGTGAACACAGCAAATGTATTTTTAATCCAGTTTTAAAGTACTGCATTGAGCCATTGTATATAACAGATTTCATTCTGATAGTTCACTGGTCAAGATAATTCATCTACCCAAAAATGCTTAATCAAAGTGTTATGAAACGTTTTAAAAAATAAAAAATAAATGATACAAACTAGCAGAATGCCAAATCAACTGTCCCTGAAGGGCCCTTCTTTCAATAAATTTTCTAAAATACTGTTTTTTATCTTTTCAACCACTATTTCTGTTCCAAATAGCAGATTGTAAGAAAGGAGGAGGAGGAAGAGATAGCATCGACCAACTTCTAAATGAAATAAGCTACAGTATTACTTCATTTCCCTTGAAGCAAATTCAGACAATATGTCCAGAGGCAGAGGTGAACTAGCCACAAGTGAAAATATAAACGTCAGAATATTCTTGCTCAGAAGTTAAGCCTTGGTATGGAAAACATTTAAAGTTCTAACAAACTTGCCTTAGAATAAATCTTGGTCAGTTCTGTATTTATTTTTCATTATTATCTTTAAAAGTACCTTAAGGCAGGATGCATAGCTCACCTCCTACTTTATCTTCACAACTATCCTGTAAATTAGATTAGATTGAGAAATGGTTACTGAAAGCTTTTTAATGAAGGAGTAATTTAAATTCCTGGTTCACAAAACATACTAAATCACTCAGGCTGGTAACTAGGAAAGTTCATACAACTTCATCCTCTTTGTCTTGTTTCATGCAAGTCTTTAATTATGATCAATGGTTTCCACATGTCTCAACCTGTAGACATTTCCAGTTAATACTCACCTGAATTTGAAAGTGACAATCAACCTTTCAGATCCTGTGAACCAAAATTGGCAGCTGCCCTAAATTGTGTTACAGATACAATATGGGAAAACTATGGACCATGATTAAGGAGCTATTCAGGATGGAGATAAAGAGGTAGCACATTCATTCCCATTAACCAAACTAAGTACGGTAGCTTTGCATTTCATATGAATAACTAATCCATCTCCTTAACTGAAACCTAATTACTGTAATTAATATATTATATTGTCTCTCAGTTTATCATGTTTTGGACTGTACCTCTTGGAAAAGATTTGGCTTCAATGCTGCTCTGAGATGAAAACACTGATATGTAACACAGGGGTGTATAGATGTTTGAGGGATATGGAGTGGAACATGCTCTCCTGAGCTTCCATAGGCTGCAACAGACCATCCAAAGATGTTGTCTAAAAGGAGTAGCAGCATTCTGGGGGAAGACATCTGTAGTAGATGTTTGAGTAGAAAGCTTCCAAAATGGACACCATTATTCCCCATTGAAATGGGGGATAACTGGCAAGTAGACCCCAATTCCCATATTTGGAGGCTAATTTAGAGGTGACAGAGGGGTGGGGATGAGCAGCAGAATTTCAGAGTTATGAACTGCTTCTGGATTTTGGCTATGAGTTTTCTATTTCCACACTAACTCCTGACCATTCTTACAAGACATAGCACTACTACATGTTTCTGTCAACTGGTGGATATGAGCAAGGTAAGATACTGCTGTATCCCAATTCCTACAATTTTGTTGCAAACTAGGGAAGAACATTCTATTCACTTTTCTCCAGTTTAGTGTAGTATTTTAAAGCACCAGCCTAGAAACCAGGAGAGAGTGAGTTCTAGTCCCAATTTAGGCATGAAAGCCAACTGGGTGACTTTGGGCCAGTCATTCTCTCAGTGCATACTTAGGGTTTTTTTTTTCTTTTCTAACATTTTCCTAATATTGTCTGACTAACAGGAAGAAACCAAAAACCAATAGTTTTTCCCCTGGTTGTAGTATAGTGGTGAAAAGGATAGTATAGGTGGCATAAGTAACAAGGATAATTCAAAGGATTCAGAAAGATTACTGTATTTGTTCATGCTGAATTAATGTATTTTATTGATTCTCACATCACATGGAGCCAACTCAAATAGAGGGGTTTGCACAACTTACAAAGTTCCTACCTCCCAAATACATAAAAGTAAATAATAAATTACAGTTGGTATAATGGTTAAGGTGCTGGGCTAGAAAACAGGAGACTATGCATTCTAGTCCACTCTTAGGCATGGAAGGCAGCTGCAGGACTTTGGGCCAGTTATATCTTTCAGCCCAAGCCACCTTTACAGGGTGATAGTTGTGTGAAAATTAGAAGGTAGGAACATTGGGTATGCATGCTGCTTTGAGCCAAAATAGAGTTTGGATAAAAAGTATAACAATAATTAGGTAACCTAACTCAACCAAAAGTTCACTTTCTACTTATTACTTCTTCACATTCAAATTGAAGGTTGGATTCCCATGGATCTCTTAGCCAAGCAGATTCCTTCGCCAACGACCACCACCCTTCCCCACATAAGTTACTCAAGACTCCAGTCCAGCATGGCATGGTAGGAAATTATGCATCTCAAACCGTGCTACTTCTCAGTAGCTCACTGATCCTGCTACAGCTACTCTTACTCTTCTGCTTCAATGCTCTATTCTTCCGAGTATTTTCTTGCTCTTTCCCTGTTGCTTTGCCACCACTGAATGCTGAATTCAGTCTTATCTCTAAATTAGCTGTTAGCTGGCCAGTAGTGCAGTACAAGAGTCACTCGGCTATTTAGTGAGCCCTTAGCACAGCAATTCATAGCATGTAAATCCACTAAGAACCCAATGCTCAAGTACTTGTAGTTTTCTAGGACATCTCCCCGCTGACTGAAAATAACAGGCTTTCAGATCTCAATATTTGTACACAAGAGTAAACATTAGTACATTCTGCACACAGCTGCATATATTCTCTGAGGCATCAGATATTCCACCTGTCTTTCAATTCAGCCTGAATTTAGTCATCTCAAGAATTTCCTGAACTTTCCGTGATATTTATAACCTAGGTTCTCATTCCACTTGGCTTTCTGCTTCTAGAAACATTGTCAACTAGCAATAGATCGAGAAGCTACTTGAATCAGAATGCCCTGGCTGAATATCATTGTAACTTTTATGAGAATTTAAAGCATAATATAACTCTGTAAGATAATAATCTAAATAACCATTATGTTAATATATAACCTAATATAAACCTTATCAGAGATATAAACTGATCAATGTAATTGCCTTCTTAGCATAGGCTATGAAAATCACAGAGTAAGAATATTATTGCCGAAGAGAACAAGTACGGAGAGTACAGACAGTAGCAAGTTGCACTCAATAGCAGCCTTGCTTGCTTTTATTAGATTTATGCCCTGACCTACCACCTGATGATGTTCAGGGTGGATTCTACCTATAAAATCACATAACAGCAGTAGAATTTTAAACATAGTCATACATTTTTTGTCAAATTGAATTCAGGTTTCAGGGAATACCAAAGTAAACAAGCAAGTCTTTAGCCTTTTTTTCTTAAAATATACAGCGAGGGGCCAGCAGTCCAAGGTCTAGTGCTACTCTGGAGAAGGCCCATTAATGTATGTACAGCCTCTTGCAGGGTAGAACCATAACAATTCAGGTTGCTTCACCCAGTATTGACCATTTGGTAGTCTCTCAGATATTGCTACCCAGAACCAGTTACCAGGCAGATAATCAGTATTATACATTAGGACTGTTGTAGTGACAATCTACCCATTTTAAAGATTTGGTTTGAGTCTATTAGCTATTTAATCTGCTGACCTGCTTTTCTACATCTATAGATATTAAATAAAATGGGATTATATTTTATGGACTTGCAGTTTGATACTATGGGGACAGTATTGCCCAGAACTATTTTTGGGGAATGGCTCCATAGATAGGAATGGAACCAATACAACACCACAGTGCCACTTGATAAGATGCCATGGTCTATTTAGTGTATCAAAAGTTACTGAGGAGTTTGAAAATGCTTAAGTGTCTTCATTCTAATTCCAATATTCTGAAATAGATTTTCAGGATATTTTTCAGGCAAATGGAAAATGAAATAGTGGTTGTCTTTCAAAGTAAATAATAGAATATGGAGTCCATAAAATAACAGATGCTCTCCAAATCACATCACAGTACTACAGTTGGTGAGCTAGTAGGAAAGCAAAGGCTGTTACAAAGAGATTTGAAGCAGATGAATTATATATACTGTATATTCAGAAATGTTTCACAATCTGCAAAGGTTAAAGACCTGAATGTTCAAGTGCAGCAATAAAAATCTTAGTGGAACAAACAGATCAGAGAACTTTGATGCTCAATCTCCTGATGGTGTAAACTGGTGCAGAATATGGAAGCAGATGGAAGGTCACTATTTAAAACGGGAAGGTCAACACTTTTTTGAAGTGATTAAAATATATAATTTTTGAAAAAATCTAAAAAGTACATCATTGTAACAAAATGTAAATTGCATACATTTTTGCTGTTTGTTCATCTTGCCTTCAGAAGTTATGGGTGCTCCATCACTGGAGATTTTTAAGAAGAGATTATCTGAAAAAGTATAAGGTCTTCCTGTTTAAGGATTGGATGAGAAGACACTCAAAGACCCTTCCAACTGTTATTCTGTTCTCTTGGTAGCTTGAACAGGAAAAATGCTTCTTAGACTAACTTTGACACTTTGAATGTACACTGATCCGCATACATTAAAATGAAATTTCGTTGCATACAGCTCTCAAAGGGTCACCACCTCCAGTATACACTACATAAACATGACAAAATTATGCATATACCCACATAAATGACACTGGGAAACAACACAGTCTAGTTCGGATGTATACACATACATGGCGAGAGGATTCAATTGGCCAATTGCAAGCCAACTTGCAAAATATTTGAAATGTTTGAATATTTGAACCACAAAACAGTGGTTCAAATATTCAAACTTCTGCAATTTAGTTATTGCTATGTTCTGCTATTTATACATCACTCGCTACCTTTCCTTCTACAATCCAAAGCCCACTTACGAAGCACCCAGACTGGTGTGCTTTTCCTGTCTATGTGAGATGATGCAATAATTGCCTTTTATAGCAGCTTTTTCCCCTCGGAAGTCTTACACAACTTAAGCTACCTCTCTGAAATTATGTGTCATTCTGTCCTCGTGCTGGCTCTTGGTTTTACACAATTTCCCCTGGGCTGAAACGGAAATTCCAGTTGACCAAAAAACAAACAAAAAAAAACAACCCCAGTTCCAAATCGCGGTCGCATTTTTCCAGCCGTGCTTTGCGCAAGTGTGTTAACTTCTAGATTCTTTTATTAGCCCTTCTTCGTGCATTTAAGAGCTTTCCCAGTCCAAGCTAGGAGGAACTGGGCACGGCAGCCTCTCCGTTCCTCCCCAGAAGGACATTACACGCATTTTAACCCCTTCTCTTTTTACACCAATAAAGAATTCTAATTCTGATCTATCTAGGGCGAATGCTACAGGCTTCTCCTCTTCCTCCGCCCAGGATCACACCTGGGAGGGAGGAGCGAGGAGAGCCGTTGCTCGTCATTGGCTTGTTTCCTATGGGGTGAGGGGGGTGGATCTAGCCGCCAGCCTGCGCGAGGAGGCGTGCGGGGGGTGGGGGTTGTTTCGCTGCTTTGGCAAGACGGGAAATGGCAAGCTTAGAGGGCCTTCTTCGGACCGCCGCGCTAACTACGCTTCCCTGCATGCTTCTGGCTCGCAGAACGCTGGGGGGAAGGGGATGGAATCGCCCAGTGCGCTCTGGGAGTTGTAGGAGCGGCAAAAGGAGCCGGTGCTTTCACTTCCCGTCGGCCCTTGCGCGCCTGCTGCCTTGGGGCGGAGGCGGGAGGAGGAGGAGGAGGAAGGAGGCAGGGAGGGAGGCGGAGGAAGCGCAGGGAGGTGGCGTTGCGGCATCCAGCGGCAGACCGTCGGCCGGCGGGGTGACTCGGAGCCGGGGTTTTTTACTCAGCCGGAGGCCCTTCCCGCCGCCATCGATGTGAGCAGGCGGCCCTCGGGGGAGGATTGGGAGGGCGGGCAGGGCCGTGTGTGGGTGGGGCCGGCTCGGTGGGGAGGGGGGAAATCCTGCCGCCTTCACGCTCGGCTCCAGAGGGGACGGCGCGACTTAAAAGAAGAAGCGCTGCCACTCGGGAGTTTAAAGGCGTCGTTGTGCCAACGGTACCCCGGCCTTTACCCAGCCCGGCCCGACCTGGGCTGCCGCCTCCGCCTTCTCCTCCTCCTCCTCCTCCCCCCCTCCGGTCCCAGCGCTTCTCCTTGAGCGGTTGGCGCTGTCAGGCCGGCGCGCGCGCGCGTGCGCTCCACCTCATCCCCCCTCCCCTGCCGGCACGCGACGAAACCACAAGCCGAGAAGCCGAAGCGCGCTCGCGCCTCCTTTAGCCCCCGGAGCCTCCTCCTCGCCGCCGCCGCCGCCTCCTCCTCCTTGAGTAACATCGAGACGCGAAAGCCTGCGCCCGAGCGGAGTTGCCCACGCAAAGGCAACGGCGGAGATATGAAGATCAAAGATGCCAAAAAACCATGTAAGATTCTTTCTTTCTTTCTTTACCTCCTTTCTTTCTTTCTTTTTCTTTCTTTCTTTCTTTTTCTTTCTTTCTTTCTTTCCTTCCTCCCTCCCTCTTTCTTTCTTCCTTCCTTCTTTCCTTCCTTCTCTCTTTCTTCCTTTCTTTTTCTTCCTTTCCTTTCTCCCTCCCTTTCTTTCTTCTCTCCTTCCTCCCTTCCTCTTCCTTCCTTCCTCCCTCCTTCTTTCCTTCCTTCCCTCTTTCTTCCTTTCTTTTTCTTTCTTTCCTTTCTCCCTCTCTTTCTTTCTTCCTTCCTTCCTCCCTCCCTCCCTCTTTCTTTCCTTCCCTCCCTCCCTTCTTCTTTCCTTCCTTCCATCTCTCTCTCTTTCTGTCTCTCCCTTTCCTTTTCTTTCTTTTTCTTTCTTTCTTTCCTCCCTCCCTTTCTTCCTTCCTTCCTCTTTCCTTCCTTCCCTCCTCTTTCCTTCCTTCTCTCCCTCCCTACTTCTTTCCTTCCCTCCCTCTTTCTTTCTTTGTGTGTCTCTCTCTCTTTCCTTTTCTTTCTTTCCTTCCTTCCTTCCTTCCTTCCTTTCCTTCCTCCCTCCCTCCCGCCCTCCCTCTTTCTTTCTTTCTTTCTTTCTTTCTTTCTTTCTTTCTTTCTTTCTTTCTTTCTTTCTTTCTTTCTTTGACTTGCCTCTCTTTTTGCTTTTGAAAAAAAAAAAACAGTTATCTGTATTATAGTCAATACTGGATGTTTCCACCACATAGCTTCTGTATAGGAGGGTTTTTCTGTTTCTATTAGGAATAACTGGATTGTGAAAGTGTATGTGTGTGTGGCACAGGCATTTACTAGTAGTTGAGCATCCAGTGCATGCGTGCATTCTTGAAAGTAAGTCCCATTGATCCTATTTAACTTAGTACTGAGAAAAAAGTGTTTTTTAATAATCAGAAGCATAAATAAACAGTGCTTATTTATCCAATCCTCCCATTGTAATACTGCGTTTTCAGAAAAACGAGTATTGTTTTCTTTTGATTAGTTGCGTGGATGTAGGAAACTAAATTCCAGGTGGAGAGGAATTGATTATGTATGTTACAAATGTTTACAATAGCAATAGCATTTAGGCTTATATACTGCACCATAGTGTACAGCAGTCAATGCCAGAATAGCAGAAATGATCAAGGGGAAATACAATTTCCTAAGTAAAACTTCGCTTTTTCAGAACACCTGTAAAAGTGATATGTCTCTTGCTGCTTGTCTTGGCATGAAAATAGTTATGCAAGACTATTTTAAGTTGAACTAAAACAAAAGTATTGCATTTGGTAACTTAATAAGAACATGCCTATATCGAAACAATTTTTTAAAATTTGAAAATATACTACTTGTACTTTTTTATTTCTATAATTGAAATGCTAGTATTAATACCTAAAGTACCAAAAAAGGGAAGTGATTAATTTAACACTTTGATATTTGTAGAAGATCATATATATGCAATTGTATTCCTCAGTTTTGAGTGCAGTACAGTATATTCTTGTCATATTTGCAGGGATAAAATGCTTTCTGATTTATTTGAACAATGTGTACAAGATGACTGAAAAGCCTGCTGTACATGCATAATTGCTGGTAAAAAGTTGTTTTAACAAGACAGCTTTTGTATTAAAATAGACCTCACCATATTATGGAATAGTGCTCCTTAGTTACAGTGTGTCTTCTCTATCTGAGGTCTGGGAACAAAATGTTGATGGCCAACTTCAAGGTCACTGCTTTCCCTTCCTAATGATTAAAATTAACACAGACCCCTTCAACTGTAGGACTGTGAAAGAAATAAGGTCTCTCTGAAATTGTGTTAATGAAAATACTGCTTCCATAAAAACAAAAAGATACTGTGAAAGATTGAAGACCTTCAAATGAAAATGTACCTAAAGAAAGTTTTCTGAAAACTAAAAGAGCCAACTTGCTTCTGATAACCACATTGATGTTTCCCAAGAAATCCATAAAATCTAACTTCAAATATATGGTTGTTCATTTTTTTTAAGGCTGAAAATTATTACTGTTCTGTTGGCAGAAAGAATGTTCAAGGTTTTCTTAGTCCATTTAACTTTATTGCACAATAATAAAAAGTTATAAACAGGTGACTTATGTTCCAATATTTGTTTGAAGTATGGATTGTAACATTTTGATTACAATTTATGAAGCAACCTATGTAAAAAGCTTTAAAGCTTTAAATCCCATATCTCCCCTAAAAATTAATACCCGAAACTAAACATACATGAACTAGAGAAGGGTGAATTTGTTGTAACAATGTGCAACTAAAAGATGCTTTACACCTCTCCTGGACTCTGTTTCCACTTCCCCAAGTGAGGTATATATATCTCACAATTTGGGAAATGCTGTTTTACAGCTTCTTCAAATGAATCACCCTATTACAAAGTATTATTTTAAAACAATATCAAATCTGAACCCAAACATTTTCATCTAATGTTTTCAAATACTTAAACTGTTCTGAAAATATTGTGGTTGGCCTTAGTTTCAATTCACTGATTCCTGAGTAATTTAAATAGCTGCTTTTGGGGGGAAAACAATGACGTGCTTTTGTTCTTAGAATTGTGCATATGCACACATATTTACATATGCACATTTGACCAGCCCATTGGAGATAACAGAATTTAAACAAAGCTGTCACATACTTATTGTGTAACAAAATCCTTATGATATATGGGAATCAATGGGAATACATAGAAGTGAACTTGTCCTCTGCTCTTATGAGAGCTTTTATCAACACCAAACAATTTTCATTAATTGTTTAACAGAATAAAGAGGCCTGGCAAATAAAATAATATTTGGTATTTCTAACAATAAAGCTCTCTCTCTCCCTCTCTCTCTTTTTCGCTCTCTCTCTCCACAGCTTTTCCATGGTTTGGAATGGATATTGGTGGAACGCTAGTGAAACTTGCATATTTTGAACCTATAGATATTACTGCAGAAGAAGAGCAGGAAGAAGTTGAAAGTCTGAAGAGTATTCGCAAATATTTAACATCAAATGTGGCCTATGGGTCCACTGGTATTCGAGATGTCCACCTTGAACTTAAAGACTTGATACTCTTTGGACGAAAGGGAAATTTGCACTTTATCAGATTCCCAACACATGACTTGCCTACTTTTATTCAAATGGGAAGAAATAAAAACTTTTCCACGCTACATACGGTGCTTTGTGCCACTGGTGGTGGTGCTTATAAATTTGAAGAAGATTTTCGCACAGTAGGTAGTTTAATTGCATGTTCTCTCACTGATTGACAGAGTATGTATACTGATTGTCTGTGATGATAAAGTCATAAATCTGTGTAGCAATTAGCCATTTAGGTTTATATACCTCCCCATAGCGCTTTACAGCACTCTGTGCAATTTACAATGTCATTATTTGTGCATTGCTCCCAACAATCTGGGTCCTTATTTTACTGACCTCGGCAGGATGGAAGGTTGAGTCAACCTTTGACTAGGCCCTGTCAGGATCGAACTCCAGACTATGGGCAGAGTTTCCCTGCAATACTGCCCTTTAACCACTGCACCACCAGGGCAATCACTTCTTTTTCATAAGGCAAGGGTGTGATAAAGGCAAAGAGATCTCTGGATTTGTACTTTGGAATTTGACTGCTGAAGAATCACTGTCTGCGTGTAGGGAGGAACAACTTCCTAAATAACTCCTTGTTTTCTTTGCGATCCTGCACAAAAGAGCTGGCAAGATTTCCCCTGATTGTTCTTTTAAGTCTTACAGCAAAAAAAATTAAAATATGGTGACATAGATGGGATTTGTAGTATGTGGATATATTGGGCCTTGCCCTGTTCAGGCAGTTTCCTTTTGTCTTTTTCTTTGTTTAGTAAGCTCCAATTATTACATGCAAAGTAAGAAGGCAATCGGACAAATTTAGATACTTGCTGGGCATGTGAACTGAGTGGCGCATGCTTATCTTACCAATTGTCATGTGCTGCATATTACATATACAACAACCCTCTGCTCCAATATGTTGCAATATAACGCTCTCATCAGTTGCAGCAATCTAAAGTCTTTTTTTAAAAAAGAAAAATGATTATAACATTTTTATAAAAGGGTCAGGATAGTATGAATGATGCAGCGGAAATGAAACTTGACTTCCATATTTTGATAGTGAATATATCGTGTGGCTCTCTTAATATATCAATATATCACATCTATCAATCAGGCTCTCGAAATTTTTTAAAAATATTTTCATCCTGCCTTTATTATTATTATAAATAACCCAAGGTGATGACATAAATAACACTCCTTCCTCCTATTTTCCCCACAACAACTCTGTGAAGTGAGTTGGGCTGAGGGAAAGAGTGGCCTAAAGTTCCCCAGCTGTCTTTCATGCCTGCAGGGGGACTAGAATTTACAGTCATCTGATTTCTAGGCCAGCACCTTAACAACTAGCCCAAACTGGCTCTTGAGCTATCGCTTCCAGTATTACCTTTGCCATAGCTATAATTGCAGTTCAACTTCTGGAAGATCCTAAGCTCTCATTTGGTGTAGATGGAGAAAAATTTAAATTTTACAACAATACTAGAAAGATGGTCTAGATCTAGAATGAAAGATCAGGTGCCTGTAGCCTCTTAAGTTTTGTTCAGGAACATGTTAATGCTAGTCAACATTTCCTCTTCTTTTTGGAGATTGGAGACCTCCAGCTGCACAAATTGGATGAACTTGATTGTCTCGTCAAAGGCTTGTTATATATAGATTCTGTCAGTTTTAATGGCCAGGCAGAATGCTACTATTTCGAAAATGCATCAGAACCGGAAAGATGCCAAAAGATGCCTTTTAACCTAGATGATCCATACCCGTTGCTGGTTGTAAACATTGGCTCAGGAGTCAGTATTTTAGCAGTTCATTCCAAAGACAACTACAAGAGAGTGACTGGAACAAGGTACGCATATAAATACATGCCAAGTTTATAATTTAATTTTATAGTATGAGTTTTTATGCTTATGTATTTATAAAATATATTGAATGGCTGTCTCAGGTTTATTTTTGAGAACATTATGGGCTGATAATTATTAGATAAATGATTTTTAAATCCTAGGTTAAAAAAAAAATCAAAGGAAAGAAAACCTGTGAGTTGACAGGTTATTTGACTATCTTTAGTCAAGCATAGACAAGTATCTTAAAAGACTTGCAGTGAATCAGTTTCCGAATAGACGTCTTAAGATGGACTTGTTACATTCAAAGTAATGTTCATAAAGTACCCTATGGAGCGGCAGACTAGTAGTAGAAATTAAAGTATTTATATATGTTGGTTCATTAAATACACTTCCTGTTTTATGTCTTTACGAATGTTTTTCTCAGTTCTCAATTGATCATATTGTATCTCTTTCCTAATTTTAAATAGGCAAGACATGATCATCATTGCATTAGTTAAGAGGTATAATTTTACAAATATTTCATGTTCAGTCTAGGTGGTGGGACCTTTCTTGGTTTATGCAGTTTACTGACCGGATGTGAAAGTTTCGAAGAAGCTCTAGAAATGGCATCCAAAGGTGACAGCACACAAGCTGACAAGCTAGTCCGGGATATTTATGGGGGAGATTATGAACGGTTTGGCTTACCAGGATGGGCAGTGGCATCTAGGTAGGTATTGGAAAGTAACACAGATCCTGAATTCATGACATGTGCTGTGTTAATAATATATCCAGTGTATTACATTATATTATTCATTTATAAATATCTGAGAAATATAGAACAGTAATATCTTTTTGAAATGGAAAGTATGTTGGTGGCATGGAAAGACTACCTTTAATAGTACTCTCTACCCATTACATTATATATTTTAATATTTTTCTTTAATAAAGATTTGTAGAAAAAAAATTGAGTAAGACGTTTAGGTGAAATTTACTTCCTCATGTCCCATAGTTTCTGAGAAAAGCACTAATGCTGTGGAAGGAGGAAGGAAAGAGAAGAAAAGGACAATTGGTAGCAAGGTTCTTTAGTAGCAAGAAGAGTGGGGTCAACCTGTTCTCCAAAGCACCTAAAGGCAGGACAAGAAATGACACATGGAAACTTATCAAGGAGAGATCCAGTCTAGAACTAAGGAGAAATTTCCTGACAGAACAATTAACCAGTGGAACGACTTGCCTCCAGAAGTTGTGGGTGCTCCATCACTGGAGGTTTTCAAGAAAAGATTGGACAGCCATTTGTCCAGAATTGTATAGGATCTCCTGCTTGAGCAGGGGGTTGGACTAGAAGACCTCCAAGGTCCATTCCAACTCTGTTATTCTGTTAAAGTGGATAGACTCGATTATAGTGATAAAGATTACACCATTGGGAGACTTGGGTGTAGCAGATTAGGAGTCAATCGTCATGGAGAAAATCTGCCTATGTGGTCACTACAAGTCTAAAACAACTTGATGGCACATATCAAATCATAACCCATAGAGTTATCTGGTTAAAATTCTGATTAATTGCCTAGCACCAATAGTTGCCATTAAACGAACTGACTTCTGTCATCAAACCCGCAAGTAGTGCTTGCCCACTGAAATTTATTTAAATATGCATTTCAGTTGAAGAGGCCCCAGATTGTCAGTTAAACAATAAAATATGTATATCTTGGTATCTTGAAATACCTTTGCAATCACAGTCATAATAATATGATTGAAGAAGTTTTCAGTATGTTTGCTTAGAAAACAGAAGATTGATTTATAGCTTAATAGACTAAGGCTTTGTTGCTCAGAATAACGTTCTTTCCCGTTGACAATTATGTTTGGTTTCCATTCAATATCGACTTTGTCAATCTATTTTTTTCCTTCACAAAAAAAAAATGACAGAACTAGCTCATTTATACTGCATTAGTTTTTTCTTTAGATAACAGTTATAGGTAGATGACTGCTTGGCAGTAAATAGAAGAATCATACAGTTGAAAAGCATTTTGCTAGACTATCAATTAATTGCTTCAGTGCCCAAGGATGCAATTAATCTGGTCCTGAAAAATTAAATTCAAAGAACTATTTCCTATTCATGTTTCTACTACTTAATCTTCACTACTGCCTGATGAACGTGCCTTTCACAATTTCCAAAACCCAGGACTTTCTGATTTCAGAAGACACAATAACTCTTCCTTTATCTGATACATGGTAACATTTTTCTTCTTCACACAGAGTAGTTAACGGTCTACTCTAAAATATATATTTGACTGCACTCAGTTTTTCTTTCTCTTAAGTCAAGAATGCCTGCATACATTCACTGTCACCCAATTTCCTGCTACTTCCAGAGGGGAAAAGCAAAACTAAGTCAAAAATTAAATTGATCCATCAATAAGAGTGATTTGGAAGCCTGGGCACAAAATAAGGTCTGCCAGTTATATCAAAATACCATGAAGCATTTAATGATTGTGAGATGTTTCCAGCCTTTCCCATCCTACAGTCCTTCCAATAAGCTAGACTTAGATCTTGTCGTTCTGACACTGAACATTTTTGATCTCCCAAAGAGGAAATCATAGGTACATAGGTGTAACTGGAAGAATGTAGATCAGTATCTAATTGGAGAATTTTGCAAGTTTATTTTTATAAGTACAAAGGTGCTTTCTGTTGTCTAATTGTTTGATTATGTGCCAACTTTTAGCGACCACATAGATAGATTTTCTCCTTGAGAATCTGTCCCTAACCTGTGTTTTCAGAGTTTCACAAAAGCTTCTATCCATCAAAAGAGATAATGATCTCTGGCAGTGCACCATCTGGCTTAACTGTATTGAGCTTCGAGTTCCAAGGTTGTTGAGCAGTTCTTATTGCTTACAGACCATGACATGAGTCCTTTCAAGCTTTGTAAGCAGCTTTTATATAAGAAGTACATCTTATCACAGGCAGAGAGAGATATTATTATATACTTTTTGATGAACATCAACTTTGTAATTTTTTTTCTAGCTTTGGGAATATGATCTGCAAAGAGAAACGGGAGTCTGTCAGCAAGGAAGACTTGGCTAGAGCAACCTTGGTTACTATCACCAATAACATTGGATCTATAGCACGAATGTGTGCTGTAAATGAGGTAAACAGTGTTAGGGGGAGGATGTGGAAACTTTGTGTTGTCTTAAATGCAGATTGGAACAATTATTTTGTTAAGGACAAGCAAGTTCTTTCTCGTTATAATTTCTATTCAAGTTTTGTCCTTTTTCTTTCATTGAATTTAAATACTCCAGAGCAATCCTAAAGTTGATTGGCACTTAAATCTGTCTGTCTGTCTGTCTATCATACAATTTAGAGATTGTCCAATTCCAAATGACTCTGGGTGGCTTAATCAATTTTTCTAAAAAAAAATAACTAGTGTCTAGAAGGCAAACTATAACAAAAAAAATAATAATAATGTCCTACAATGATCAACCACAACTCTTTTCATAGCCTTGAAGAAAGCCAAATTTTCAGTGACTTACTTCCTGAATGTTACCCAAATGGGAGCTGCACCTGTGGGTGGATGCTCTTCCCTTGAGCAGCTCCTGCATCAAGAGAAGGGATGCTTCCTGGGTCCTGATAGATGACACTTTTATCAAAGAACCAGGAATGCCTCCATTCTCACCAGTGGAAAGAAACAATTGAGATAGGCATTGTATCAGCCAGTCCCTATGACCATTAAAGATTTTATAGGTGATAATACTGATCTTGTATTACTTTCAGAAGCTGATTGATAGCCAGTGCAGCTTGTAGAGCAGTGGTCCATCATTGCCTGTTCCATCTCATTCTGGGCTGTTGTAGCTTCCAAATGATTTTCAAAGGCAGCCCCATGTACAGCTTATCGCAGTAGTCCATTCAACTATATTAGCTAACTATTAATAATGATGTTTGGTCTAATGCTTGGGGAGAAAGGTGTGTTTGTTTTAAACTATGTTTTATGGATTGTTGTGGTCCATCTAGGGTCATTGTATGAGATAGGCAGCCATATAAGTACTGTAAATCAATCGCTTTCATCCAGTATACATTCCTCCAGAAGTTTGTGTAGTGACCACACTTCTACGTTTACTGCTTTCTGAAGCGCTGCTCTCTGAATTTCTGCATCTGTTTTTTATGCATGGAAAACTTCAACATAACCAATTTTACCCAACAGGAGAAAGAATTAGTTGCTCATTGGGAATATTTCTTGCTGTCTTTGGCTTCTTTACAGTGCTGCCTTGTTGCATATGGATCAAGCAGCATTGTACAGGGCTATGAAGACACTAAGTACTGCTTCACTGTAAACAGTGGTTGAATTATATTACACCTAATACATAAGGATCTGAGGAATGGCCCATAGTATTTTTGTGTATGCAGGATTAAGATTATAGGGATATGTGAAAACCATCTGATGTCATTGCCCAAAGTTTACTTTGATCTTCCATTGTTGGTATAGTTACACTTAATAAAATGCAACTAAAATGTATAAAGCAATTTCAAATAAAAAATGACTCAATGAATTACTCAGAGGCCTGAGCAAATTAAAATGTCTTAGCTGTGTGAAGAAGGCATGAATCTTGATATCAAATAAACTCGCCTGGAAATACTGTTCCACACAACCATATCTCTTTTTTTTCTGGACAAATTCAAGAACAATTTAAGTAGGAAGTAGAATTTTTGTCATATTCATACTGATTCAAATTGAATCCAAACTCTATTTTTACCAGGGGAAGCATTTCCTGAGCTGAGTTCCATTCAGAGAGTATATTAAAGTGACAAAAGATTTACATGGTTCAGCTTCCCTGCAACCCATTATACTAACTGCAGATCTACTGTGGAGATTTGGGAGAACATACAGAAGAGGGTAGGATATGGTCTGGGAATAGAGGGAGATGGAGAATTGGCAGAAATCTCAATTTCTTTCAACTGGGTCAGAAGACCTCTGAGAAGGAAAATACTGCTTTTATTCAAATTAGGAAATGTCTGTGTCCGACTCACTGACTGGTCTGCATAGTGCTCTAAGTGGGTGGTTATGTTTATAAATTGATACATTTCTACAGTTAAATAAAATGTAGGCTGTCCTGGAACAACACCTTGCAAAAGGCAGTACATAATTCTAGTATGTAAAGTAAAATAATTCTGTTGAATGTAACTTACATAAACACTGGGACTGTGCTCCTATGCACATTTATCTACGAATAAATCCAGAGAGAATAGTTGCTGAAAATGGTAGTTTAATTTTTTTCTTACACTTTAAAGAGAAAACTTGAATTGCTTTTGATTATATTCAGGAATAGAAATATCTATTGCTGTTTTTTTCCTTCAGAAAATAAACCGAGTCGTCTTTGTTGGTAACTTTCTACGTGTGAATACTTTATCAATGAAGCTCTTGGCATATGCACTGGATTACTGGTCCAAAGGCCAGTTGAAAGCTTTGTTCCTTGAACATGAGGTATGTATCAATCATATCCTTCTTTACATATCTTTACATACATATCAATGTTCAGCATCCTGTAGCTATTTTTATTCTTGATTTGATATAAATATATGCATAAATGATGTGTTTGTAGTGGAATTATTGGAGACAAATTTAAATGCTGGATTTTATGCATTACTATTATTGGTGGAAAGACACTTCTGAAGAGAACAGTAGGGTTCACTCCAAAGCTTTAGTAAACTTCTCTATTAGCAATATGTTTGGGACAGTGGTGGGTTGCTACTGGTTCGCACCGGATCAGGCGAACCGGTAGCAGCAGCAGCAGGAGGCTCCGCCCACCTGCCCGGACGCTTCTGCGCATGTGCAGAAGCATCACAGGAGCGTACCCACAAGCAAACCAGTAGCGACGGGTTTTGAAACCTGCCCCTGGTTTGGGAACATGTATTTATTTATTTGACAGATTTATTTCCCATCTTTTCTTTAGGAGCTCACAGCTCACACCCTCCCATTCCCCTCCCCCCATACACAACAGCAGCCATTTAAGAGAGGTTGAGCCAAATGACTGATCGAAAGTTATCCAGCAAGCCTAGAATCTGGATCTCTCAAGTGCCAGTCCGTACTCTTCACCACTGTACTACAGTTGTGCTCATAAGTTTACATACCCTGGCAGAATTTATGATTTCCTGGCCATTTTTCAGAGAATATGAATGATAGCACGAAAACCTTTCTTGCACTCGTGCAGGTGTTTGGCTGGAGCCATTTATTATCAATCAAATGTGTTTACTCTTTTTCAATCATAATGACAACAGAAACTACCCAAACGACCTTTATCAAAAGTTTACATACCCTGGTGATTGTGGCCTGATAACATGCACACAGGTTGACACAAAGAGCTGTGAATGGCTATTAAAGGTAACCATCCTCACCTGTGATCTGTTTGCATGTAATTAGTGTGTGTGTATAAAAGGTCAATGAGTTTCTGGCCTCCTGACAGACCCTTGCATCCTTCAGAAACTGACATTTCTGGATTCTGAGTCATGGGGAAAGCAAAAGAATGTCAAAAGATCTGCGAGAAAAGGTAGTTGAACTGTATAAAACAGGAAAGGGATATAAAACGATATCCAAGGAATTGAGAATGCCAATCAGCAGTGTTCAAACTCTAATCAAGAAGTGGAAAATGAGGGGTTCTGTTGAAACCAAACCACGGTCAGGTAGACCAGCTAAACTTTCAGCCACAACTGCCAGGAAAATTGTTCGGGATGCAAAGAAAAACCCACAAATAACTTCAGGTGAAATACAGGACTCTCTGAAAACATGTGGAGTGGCTGTTGCAAGATGCACAATAAGGAGGCACTTGAAGAAAGATGGGCTTGCACAGTCGAGTCACCAGAAGAAAGCCATTGCTACGCAAATGCCACAAAGTATGCCGCTTACAATACGGCAAACAGCACAGAGACAAGCCTCAAACTTTCTGGCACAAAGTCATTTGGAGTGATGAGACCAAATTGAGCTTTTCGGCCACAACCATAAACGCTATATTTGGAGAGGAGTCAACAAGGCCTATGATGAAAAGTACACCATTCCTACTGTGAAACACGGAGGTGGATCGCTGATATTTTGGGGATGTGTGAGCTACAAAGGCACAGGAAATTTGGTCAGAATTGATGGCACAATGAATGCAATATGTTATCAAAAGATACTGGAGGACAATTTGCATTCATCAGCCCAGAAGCTGCGCATGGGACGTACTTGGACATTCCAACATGGCAATGATCCTAAACACAAGGCCAAGTCGACAGCAGAATAAAGTGAAGGTTCTGGAGTGGCCATCTCAGTCTCCTGACCTCAATATGATTGAACCACTCTGGGGAGATCTCAAACGTGCAGTTCATGCAAGACAGCCCAAGAATTTACAGGAGCTGGAGGCTTTTTGCCAGGAAGAATGGGCAGCTTTACCATCTGAGAAGATAAAGAGTCTCATCCACACATACCACAAAAGACTTCAAGCTGCCATTGATGTTAAAGGAGGCAATATACCGTATTAAGAATTGGGGTATGTAAACTTGTGATCAGGGTCATTTGGGTAGTTTCTGTTGTCATTATGATTGAAAAAGAGTAAACACAGTTGATTGCTAATAAATGGCTTCAGCCAAACACTAACCATGAATGAAAGAAAAGTTTTTGTGTTATCATTTTTAATCTCTGAAAAATGGCCAAGAAATAATAAATTCTGCCAGGGTATGTAAACTTATGAGCACAACTATATATTAGTTTTTTGGGACCATGGCCTTCAAAATCCTGTTGGGTGCAACACCAGTCATAGTTTCACTCACTCACTAACATATTTATCACACTTTTATGCTCACCCTTCTCTCAAAAAGCAATTCTGGGCAATGTACAACAATCGAATAACACAACAAATACATAAAAACGGATGCCAAAAAATATAAAATGTCATTATTAAAAATGAAAATATTATTAACATTTTAAAATATACAGATCCCAGAGTAAAAATATTAACCACCCTACAGAGCCATCTAAGAATGTCTCCAGTTCCTTAGCGGCTGGAAGCCCTGGTGACACTACCAGGTTTTGAGGGACTTCCAGAATGATAACCTTAATAGCAGAGAGGGGTGTCACATACTGTAACAACTGGTTCGCCCAGAACTGAAAATGTGAGTGCGGAACTGAAAATGTGAGCATACACGCGGCATCAAAAAACCGTTGATTATATAGGATGTGATAGCACTTGGATGGTGCCAGACATTGGTCGGAACTACCGGTTCGTCCGAACTGGCAGTAGCCCACCACTGCTTAATAGCATTCAAAATGATTGGCTTATATTCAAACGTGTTTCAGTTGCTTGAAAAAATACAGGTTGAAAAGAAAAGACTTGGGGATTGTCTTCTAGTAACTTCTTTCAAAACGAAAACAGAGTGGATGCAACCTTATAAACCCTGTAAAACACAACATCACACAGAAAAATAGTGCACACAGATTTGATTTTCATGTAGTCTTATATGCAATTTCTTAAATTGACAGAGAAGCTAGCAGTAAACTGAGTTCAGTCACCATCATGATAGCCTCTCTAAACTATATTCAAACAGTTTGGAAAGAATTCAGAATTGATAGTAAGGAGGTTTCCAGACAGAATTACTTGCATAACCCATCAAGGAAGTCCTGGGCAATTTTTTAATATTTCTTTTCTTAAGAAATTATCTCTGGTAGGAAAAAAAGATGAAAGTAGCCATAGATATATACAGAAGAGTTTTAAATGGAAGATAATGTCTGTTTGTGCTCTCATACAGTTCTTTGAATCAGGCAGGTTAATTCTTTTAAGACTTAGTATTTGTAATCTTGACAGAAAAATAGTATGCAGAGCAGGGGTGAAATTCAGCAGGTTTACGCTGCCAGTTCTGGAGAACCGGCAGTGTAAATTTTGAGTAGGTCGGAGAACCGGCAAATACCACCTCTGGCTGACCCCAGAGTGGGGTGGGAATGGAGATTTTGCAGTATCCTCTCCCTGCCACGCTCACCAAACCACGCCCACAGAACTGGTAGTAAAAATATTTGAATTTCACAACTGGTGCAGAGGATAAAGAAGTCACAACTGCCCCAAAATATTTATACAAGGGAAAGGAAAAAAGACTTTGTTTCATACTTCTGTATATTTTTCAAATTTATCAAATATAATGTGTCACCAAAAACTGAATTGTGCAAAATCTTCTTTTAAATGCAGGGTTACTTTGGAGCAGTTGGTGCCCTTCTTGGATTGCCAAATTTCAGCTGAAGCTCCAAGCCACCACAATACTGAATGGTTCTCTACCTTTCTGGCATTATTACATATTGTTTTTATATCAACTTGAAGAGCAGAAGGGCTGCAATCTTTCTATAAATGTCTTTAACTGGAGGATAAAACTATCATTGTTGACATCTGGGTGCTCCTATAAAGAAGCACTTAGCAAGGGAGTTGACATGGCATTCTCTAATCCATTTCATCAACATTCTTCAACTTGGTGCCCCTTCTAATTTCTCAGCTGATATAGCGGTTAATTATGCTGGTTGCAATACACAAATAAGGGGCATCAAGCTGGGGAATGCCGTAACAAACATTTAATACTCAGCATGTGTCTTAAACTTAACTGTCTAGACCCTTCAATACTAACCCCGTTTTGCTTCAAAACTATTCTTAAGCAATTGGGTTGCATGTAATTGCACAAGGTTAGACATGGCCTTGTGCTCAAGAGTTCATTTAGATTTCCAGTCAACTCTAAAACTGATTGTAGCCATGAATGAAGAAAGGATCTTTGATGCAAGGTATTGTGTTTCAATGCAAGTAAGTTACAGCATGTTGAAATACTTATTCAGGCATCAGTGTTAAGTTTCCAAACATTAAACGTAAAAACATCAGCAACGGTTTTGTACAAGTGATTTAATGAATTAATCAAGAATGTGTGTATAACAACCAGTGACAGTACAAGATGACAGTAAAAAAAAAAACCAAACCCATATATCTCAGAATTACTGCTATAAACAGTGCCAGCAGATGATATGACTGAAATCAAAGCAGCAGTGGTGTGGCAAAGGCTGGAAAGACAGTTCTTTAATAAGATGCCTTTGGTGTGACTTCCCAACTCCAAGAAAGTGAGTTGATCTCATGGAACCTCTATTGACTAAGAATATTAACTTGGGACTAGGTTGTGTCCTTAAACCATTATGGCAGCTATAGAGGTTGAACTGCAGAGTCAACAGATCCGGTGTTCATTGCACCCTAGTAAACCGTTCCAGTGGTGCAACAGTGTGGCCTTGAGATAAACTCCTATACTTACTGTATGCCACTTTGGATACAATGGTAAAGTTTACAATAGTGGCATATTTAATAGACTGCTACAACAAAGCTTACCATAAAACCTCAGCAAAAAAAAAAAAAAAGAATTATCTCAGAAAAGAAACTTTCTATGCACAAGGATGTAATTATTGTATCCTGAAGGAATATGCAGTTACCCAATCCATGAATTAAAATTTTCTAGAAGGGAATCTACCACTGACTAGAATTCATCTTGAGTTTTAGGTACTGCTTATTTTACTTGATCAAGGTGATACACTATTTCGGCACATGAATATTTTATACAGCAATATCTATATGAAAAACAACTCCAGCATTCTTGGAAGATTGGTTGGTTTAGGTGGTTTTTTTAAAAAAAATCATTTGTCTATAATTATATTTCAGTGCTTAGTATTAGTAATTGGTTTGTAGTATATAGCAATCACCTAAAATATTTTCTGTTTTTAGAACTTGGAAATTATCTCTTTATAGCACAGGGCAACATCCAGAAATGTGTACGTACCTCATTGGTTTGAGGAAGTCAGAAAATACAACTTCAGTAAAACAACTCATCATAGAAACATTATACTTGATTATTTTAATCCCTCCCAATTCATACCAGGAAAGTAAAGAGTTACTGTTTTTCATTTTATCATACAATGTTTTTTAATTGAACAGGTTTACATCATGGTAACATCATAGGTTTGGAATAAGCTCCATAAACGAATTCATTGGCAATTTTTATGTTAGACAATTTCTATTTTTATTTTTGCATTATGTAATTGCATTTGTAAGAATAGTGCTTTTACAAAAATGCCATTGTAATGTTACAAAATTCTGCCATTGTTCATGTGAATTCATGCTGTTAGCAACCTCATTTAGCACTACTGTAAGAGCTTTCTTGGTTGGGAGTGGCAGAGATTTCTCCTGAAAAGATAAAGATAAGCCAAGAGAAGGGACATTTCTTTTTTACTCTCCTTGAGAAATTCTGAGTGAGTGGCTCTTCAGTCCCAACAGTCACATGAGTGCCTTAAGGTTCCTTTAATGGAGTTTCAATGACATGTTCAGTTTTTCCTGGCTTTGAATATTGGCAGCTTTCAAACAAAATTCACCCATGATGTTGCATTTTTTTCTTTTTTCCCCATTTTATTTTCAGTTCTAACATAGTCGCAGAGTCCTTTCTGGTAGTTAACAATGTTTTACCTTTATCCTTAGGGGATAGATGGATAGATAGGTAGGTAGATTGATGATAGATAGATAGATAGATAGATAGATAGATAGATAGATAGATAGATAGATAGATAAACACAGTCTCTTAAAATAAGAGAATGTTGGCTGCTAAGGAGACAGTTTTTATTTCTTAAACCAGATCATATTTATAGTGTGCTGTTGGAGCTAATAAAATTTTCAAGAATTATTCCATTAAGGTATGGTTGGGTAAGGTTTCTCATATAATCATCCCTTATTAAACTACTGAATTAGAGCATTAATGGACCAGTTTCCCCCCCCCTACATTCCTTGAATTAGTTCTCATTTTTATATTGCCTTTTTAAACATTCCATGAAAAACAAGATTTTATACAAGATTATACAAGATTGTATAAAAACCAGATCACTCTTTTTATCCATTTCAGATTATAACAAGAGTGGTCTTGTTGATTTGTTATAAGGGTGCAATGTGGGTTGATTGCACAATCTTTTTGAATCTCACTGATCAAATGAATTAAGAGTAGTGTTTTGGTCCTTTTTTACTGTACTGCTCCTTATATCTTCAATAGTAAGATTGTATTGTGACCATTTGCAAATTCTTTATAATGCTTGGAATTGGCAAATTTAGTGTTTTGCCACCTCTAAGCATTATAAAACCTTATAATTCAACAATGCATATAAAATCAAACTGCATTTGATAAATGTTCCTTATGTCTTTTGGATTTGGTTTGTAGGGTGCAATTAAAAGTTTCAGGTTTAGCATGATGTAATTTAAGGTGATCTTCTCCAAAACATGCACCAAAACGTTAGTATCAGCTGTAGGTGTTGTTTTGTTGTTTTTTTGTTTTGCAATATGCTTTCATGGAATAGATAGATGTATTAGAAGGGAAAGAATCATGCCCGTTGAAAGCCTGAACAGCAACATGCTAAATTTTAATGTGAGTGTACTTCTATTACACTGTTGATCTTTAAAGTTAAGTCTTTGGATTTAAAAAAAAAAAAAAGATTTTACTTAGAGCCAGTTGAATGACCACTCTCCACTAATTAATTGTTTTGTAGATAGTATATTTATAATTTAAATGCTCAATTCAATATATGTTTTACTAGGTAAATTACATAATTTAGAATTTGTAGCTTTCTAAAAAGTCAGCCTCCTTTTAGGATCCAGTAGTCTTGTTCTTAAGTGGAAATTAATGCTATATGGATGGTAGAATTTTAAAAAGTAGATAGGGATTATGACTATAAAGTAATCTGCCATTAAAAGTAACACCTTTCACTACCATTCTAATGAGCTATACTAAATATAGATTTACTTTTAATATAGAATTTTTATAAAACACAATGAATGATCTTATTTCTTTGATTGATACTTCCCCTTCTGCCTCCCCCACCCCGTCATATGCATGTTAAACAGTAGCATCAACTTATTTATGCCTGTTATAAATTAAAAGTAACTAAGCTTTTGCATTGCAAACCTTCTGTTTTGGGGAAACAGATGCTTCCTTAATTCAGAAGTGATCTCCTTTTAAGTATGTTGTAGAATGCATTGCAGCACAATATGTGTTCTTATATGAAATAATATACTTTATATTCTAAACGGTTAATGGGAAATCAGTAGGAAGCCTGCAAGCAAGCATTCTTCTAGGTAAACACCTTAGTAATTATGTTATGTTAACACCTTATGTTAATTTTCCTTAAAAATTAACATTTTGGGACACATTTGATTTTGGGACACGTTTGAGATGCAGGAAGTATCCCTCTTGGTCAGGTGTTGGTCACATTAACTGATCTATTTCTAAAGGTTTTGCCAAATATTTGAACACAAGCCTTACTTCTACAAATGAGGATGATTCACATCTCTTACTACCTTTACTGTGTATTTTGTGCAGAGGGGACAAATGGAGAGGAATCTAGAAAGCTGCCTTTATTAATTCAGAATATTCTCCATCTTATTCAGTATTATCAACATGAACTGGCAGCATTCCTCGTATCAGGCAGGTGTCCTTGTCAGTTTTACTGGAGATTCCAGGGAGTCAACCTGGGACATTAGGGTATTGTATAAAGCAGCTCCTCTACTCTTCAGCCGCAACCTCTGGGTTACTTGAAAATAAACTATAAAAGGGGTGCCTCAATTACTTAACCACAACTAGAACTTTTCATGAAACAAGACTGAGAACACCATAGCTTTGTGCGTTAGGTTAGATCAGTTTGGCTCTACAGTATTTTTATCCTCGATTTGATGGAGGCCAATTTGATATAGGACAGAACTAGTGCTGCCTTAGCTAAATAGGAAAGCAACAGTCTAGAACTCTATTCTCAAACGTACCCTTTGAATTATACTGGACTACTTTACGAAAAAGCAGAATTCAGCTTTGGGTTGTGCAACATGTGCCCAAGCAGCTGCTTATACAGTAACACCTGGAACTTCTTTTAATAGGAATTTGGGAGAGGGAGACAAAGCTGTGGAAAGGAATTCTGGTTAGTTTAAAGCAGCCTTTCGCCTTCCAGATGGGTTAGACTGCAGGTCCTCTTATACCCAAGGTTGGAACTCTGGGTTATAAACAAAGAGTATTAAAAATACCCTATCACGCCCCAATTAAGACAATTTGGTCGGAGGAAAGGTGTGTGTGTGTGTGTGTGTGTGTGTGTGTGTGTGTGTGTGTGTGTAAGCACCTGAGTCCTTGTTTGCTTTATACTAAATCACATTCAACTGTTAAACAGAAAACTTGCAACAGTACTGAAATTGTTCCTTAGAGTTACTTTTATGTACCAAACAGTTAAGGATCTTTAATAATGAAATAACGATTACTTGAAGTATTAGCTAATAACCAGGAGAGAAAAAACACTGTAAACGTCAATCTCTTCTATTCCCTCTCTCCTCGCTTTTTCTGCTTCCTTTCCACTTTCTGAGGGAAATATGTAGCAAGATATAGGCAGCACAGTAGGAAGGATCAGGTCTTGGCGCATCCTGAAGGGAGTGCAAAAACATATCCATACCTCCTTATGGCTTTGGCATCTCCCTTTGGACAGGAGAAGGTTTCTTGCAGAAAGGCAGTTCTCTACTTGACTACCCTGAATTCTGCCTTTCTTTCTCCACAAGTGACCCAAAGGGAAGTGGGTAAATTCAAGGAGGCAGCTACACTCTGGCAGATGCTGTTGCTGGTACTCTTTCTTAATAATTCCACCTGCCGATTCATCCTAGTCTTTGGCCTTTTAGAAAGAGGGAGGGAAGGAAGGGAGAACAATATCAACTGAGAATGAACTACTTGGGCCTAGTCGCCATTGCCACTAGGCCTCTGAGCCAATGAGGGGATGATGTGGCTGCTTCTCTGATGATGAAATCTCTTTTGCGTAGTGTATTTTGCGCCCTCTCTTTGTTAAGGTGTCCTGAAGAGAGGTAGAAGTGTGACATAAGCATGCTTTACCAAATGCTTGTTTAAAGTCAAATGTAGGTAAGACCCTTAGTAGCCCTAGGTGAAGGGCATGGAGAGAAACTTTAAAACAATCACAAGTTAGTCTAAGGTAAAACTATTTCTCATGGTCTTATTTCAAGCTCTGTATCTTGTAGTTAAGAGTTTGTCATAAAACTCTTACGTAATTAGCATATGTATGATAAAATACAGAATTTTATTTCCAGAGTTACAAAAAGAGTTGTTCCTGGGTTCATCAATCATTGTAGTTCAGGTGTGTTTGTGTAAAGACCATGATTCAACCAACATATCCCATATTAATTGAATCCATTGCTATGTTCCCTACCCATTTTTATTGTGAAAACAATTTTTTAAATTTCTGTTGTATTTTGGTTAAACCTAAAACTTACTAAAATTGCAGACAGAGTTTTTCTGGAATCAGAATGAATTTAAGTTTTCATTTTAAGTAATGAAAAGAAATGCATTTTAAGCAATAGTTAATATGCTGCAGTTAGTGATAACTACTAAGTGGTTTTTTTTAAAAAAATGAAAGTTTTATAGATGGCCTGGTTTCAGTATTCAGGACACTTTAATATCCATATTATTTGGAAATAGAGAAGATAGTCTTCATATTTCCCAGCAAAGTTGACATTTTAACTTTTTTTTTAAAAAAGAAAAAAAAAATCTAATGACTCAACTTGTACCTAGAAACTCCATGACATGCTCTTATTTCCAAAATGTATATATAATATACTGTGAGAACCATTTCTCATATATTGCCTTATTCTGTTGTAGTAAACTTACTGTCTAGGCTTTTAGGATTCTGACAGCGATGTAAAAATGTATGTTTTGCAAATTTAAATCATAGTTACTAAATTATTTAATGTATCTTTTGTAAAGTGTTTAATTTATTTTTAATGTCAAAGCTTTTCTGTATTGTTTTCATGCAACCAAATAATGGAAACCTATGCTGCATTCATTCCCATCAGAATTGTATAAAAATTCCTGACAGCTTGCATGAGTAAATGTGAAATCTAATTTTGTTGTTCAATAATGAGCTTTTGTGTGTGTTTTCCTAGCTTTAGTGTTCTGTAGACAGAATTTTATTTTTTTCTAAATAAAGTCGAATGGATGGTTCCCTCTACCATATTTGATTTAATTTTTTGAAGGTATTAATAAAGGGGTGAGAAATCTAGCTTATGTTTAAGAAGAAAATAAACTTGACTTTGGTGGATAAGGTCACATCAACAAAGAAGTACTGTAATCCTGCTGAGAAAGAATAATTAAGCTATCACTAACAAAGGATTGTTTGGTCTAATCTTTGTAGAATTGTTTCTCATTTTGGTCATATTTTATCAGTGACTCTTACAAAGAGTGTGTACAAGCAGATAATGAAATCAGATAGAAGTATTACAACATTGGTTTGGTTTTTGCTCCTTCAGATTTTGGAGTATGACTTTTAGTTACTTGAAGTTTCAAGTCCCTGCTTACCCAGCCCTCTCTTCACCTTATCTAGTTCCATAACAAAGAGTTAGGTTTGATAACAAGATTTTCATTTCTGTGATTATTATTTTTTTTAGTGTGTAAAAACACATCATGGCCAACAGGTGATCTTTATGTTCCTGTAAGCAGGAAATCAGTTCAGTAATAGTCATAGTCACCTGCTTTCACCCTTAAAGTAACACTAGGAATGTGCTCAGGGGCTCATCCTGAAATTTAGCATTCCAATACCATGTAATTCTAAAAAATATATTTAATCCATTCAAATATACATTCCAATAATAACAGACTGAACTCCAGTAACTAGTAAGTATAGGCAATCATTGAATTGAAGATTAGTTTTTTTAGCAAAACTTTATTAAATTTCAGGAAAAAAATATACAAACAGAAAAAAGAAAAAGTGGGGAGGCTAGGGAAAAAGCAAATAGTGTGTGCAGACAGAGGAAAAGGGTATATATAAAAAGTAACTCCTTCCTTGTAACTTCTATCATAAAGAAGTCTAATAATCAGTACTAAGATTAGGGGGGCATTTTCTTCAGTTTCAACCCAAAAATCCAAGAGTGGTTTCCAAGAATAGAAATGAAGCTTGATGAAAGTCTTTTCTTTAATCAAAGTCTTTTTGTCTTCTCCACCAACAACATTAATTTCACCTTCTTTCTTCTATTGTGGCATACGAGTCCTTCCATCTCTGCGCATAAAAGAAGCCTTGCTGCTGTTGTCTTACATAAGAACAAAGTACCATGTCTTTTTTTGGGGGGGGGGGGTTTAAAAAACAAACTTTATTAGATTTTAAAAAATAAAATTGTATAAAATATTCACAACCTTAAAATACAATCAACAGTATCAACAAACAACTAAGTATATATAATGTATATAAGTACAAATATATACAAAAACTTATTTCCTTTTTTCCTTAATGACGGTGTATAATTATTACTTTTAATTTCTTACTAAATTTTGACTTTACCTTCTTTTCCATTGGTTTATCCACTCATACCAACTGTCCCATATCTTAAAATACTGTGTCTTCCTTATCTTTCAATTTCAACGTTGGTCTATCCATTTCTGCACATTGTAAATTTTTTGAATTATTTGCTGCTCCGTTGGCAATTGATCTGTTTTCCAGACTTGTACTAGGGCTAACCTAGCTGTCGTAATTATATGTAATATTAGGTACTTTTTTTCTTTTCTAATGTTTGTTTAAGCATTCCTAACAAAAAAATTTCTGGTTCTAACTCAATATCCTCCACAATTATTTCTGATATCCAAATTTTTATTTTTATCCAATATTTCTTAATTTTTGGGCAAAGCCACCAGACATGAAAGAAGGTTCCCTGTGCTTGCTTACATTTCCAACACGTTGGATTGAGATTTGCATACATCCTCGCCAATCTCGCAGGGGCTAGATACCATCTGTACCACATCTTGTAGTGGTTCTCCTTATATGCTACGGATTTTGCTATTCTATAGTTGGTTTCCCATACCCTTTCCCATTCTTCCAATTGTATGTTTTTACCAATATTCCTTGCCCAAGCTATCATTTGTCCTTTGACTAGATTTTCTGCTAGGTCGAATTCTAATAAGTATTTGTAAATCTTTGAAATCAAATTTCCATCCTTAGCTCCTAATAATTTGTCTAGTCGGTTGGGATTTATTTCGATTCCTCCTTCCTCACTATCTTTATTGTATCTAGTTTGTATTTGTAGGTAGGGCCACCAATCTATTTCTATACCTTGTTCCCTGAGTTCCTGCCATGTTTTTAATTTTCCTTGGGGATCCAGTAATTCTTTATATCTTATTAATTTATGGGGGGCTAGTGTGTTGGGGTGCGTTGCCGCCTCCAATGCAGATATCCAGCCGGGAACCTTCATATAATGTTTATTTTTAATTTCGAACCAAGTGCCAATCAGTGAATTTCTTATTATGTGGTTTTTAAAATGTTTATTTATTTTGTTCCCGGCGTTCCACAAGAAGGCATGCCACCCCTTTAATAGATCGTGGCCTTCCAATTTTAATAGTCTGTAATTATCCAAATTGACCCACTCCTTAATCCATGTTAAACTCTGCCTTACAGTATTTTTCCCACGCTGGTAGGCCAAAACCCCCTCTAGATCTATCATCCTGTAATATGTTTAAATTTATTCTTGGTTTTTTTCCCTCCCATATGAATTTTGATGTATTGTGTACATTTCCAACATTTGACACACCCATAAAAATCTTTTGACAATTTATCAGGCATTAAATGCCAAAAGTGCACCTTATAAAAATTCTGTTTCAAATTATAGAGTTGATCATCAATTTTTATCTGCATTTTTACTTATCAAAGTTTCTTACATTGACCTTTTACTAGAAGACCTGATTTTCTTATAGAGTCAAAATCATTTTTAAGAATAAAGTAGTTTGCTTTACCGGGTAGAAAGCTGACTTAAATGTCTTTTGGGAGAATCTCCTCTGCTGACTTTGTACTGGATGGAAAGATTGCTCTGGTAACACATGGAGCTGAGGTGTAATGTGTACATTCCCTTAAGAGAACTTGGTCACCAACATCTCTAACATCAGTAGGCTTTAAATATACCCCTTTTGAAGGATCATCCTTAATTCCTGATTTCTCCATGTAGAGTTTTTTTTTTTTTTTTACCTGAAATTGTGTTGTGCTAAAAGGTAAATACACACAAAGAGCCTAAACGTTCCTTTGCAAACATAGGCAACATTCAAACAGCAGCTTCTTGTGGTTAGGTAGGAACCAGCAAGATGAATTTCAACAGGAACAAATGCAAAGTCCAACATTTGGAAAAAATCTAAGCCGTGCATATAAGAGGCGACTGGACAGGATGACATACTGAACACAGTACTCAAAAAGAATTGGTATTGATAGATCACAAACTAGACATGAGCAGCAAGGAAAGGGAAATGCAATGGAACAGTGTTATTACCATAATCACAGCATTAACATACCGCGTTTCCCTGAAAAGACCCTGTCTTATATTTTTGAACCCCGAAATAAGTGCTTGGCCTTATTTTGGGGGAGGTATTATTTTGGGGCACGTGGAGGAAATGGCGACTGGCTGCGCATGCATTTAAATATTTTCGGGGAGGGTTTATTTTCAGGGGGGCTTATTTTAGTGCATGCGCTCAAAAGCCCAATTGGGCTTATTATCAGGGGATGTCTTATTTTAGGGGAAATAGGGTAATCATATTGATCAAATTGCATCTACAATAATATGCTAGTTCTGGATATTGCATTTTAAGGAGGACATTGAAAATCCCTTGAAAGAGCATCACTATAAAATTTAAGAATTAGGTCTTCATACTAATGAGAAATATGGTGGTATTTTTAGCAACCAGTTTTAAAGTTTATGCCTGGCTGTCTTCATATCACTGCTTCATTTCATATGTAATAAGGGAAATATTTTAAATTATTTTTAAAAATGCACAGCAGTTCAATTTCTATGCTGTTAGGTAAATAATATAGATAGATGATACATAGATAAATAGGATAGATAGATAAGATAGATAGATAGATAGATAGATAGATAGATAGATAGATAGATAGATAGATAGATAGATAGATATTATTAATTTAATTTGTATACCGCCCTTCTCCCAAGGGGACTCAGGGCGGAGATAGATAGGTAGGTAGGTAGACAGACAGACAGACAGATGATAATTTTGTCTGTTATGAAGAAAATTTATATGGCCACCCAACTCAGTGATTGGGCAGCTTGCAGAAGTAAAATCCCAAATACAAAAACCAATGAACCCCTTCCTCCATGTGATGTCAAGCCATTTGATGGGCTTCATACCACCCTGGGGTTCCCAGGTCTACTGGCAAAACCATATCCATGGCCTTCATAAAAACTGCCAAAGTGGGAGCTAGTCTTACCTTTCCAAGAATGAGGCAGCCACTACAGAGAAGTCCTATCTTTGTCCCACTAGGTAGATCTCCTTAAGAGAGGATCCATAACATCCCCTGCCTTTCCACTGGTGGGTGTGTTTGGTAGATGTAAGTGGGAAAAGTTGGTCCTTGAAATCACCTGCCCCCAGGCCACCTAGGATTTTAAAGGTGACAACCAGTGCCTTGAAGTGGACCTGGAAGCAAATCAGCAACCAATGCAGCTCCTGCAAGAGATGTGACACATGCAAATCCCGACTTGCACAAAACCATGTGGGCTGCGTATTTTGAACCAAATTGAAGCTTCCGGATATTTTTCAAGGGCACTCCCAGATACTTCACACACATATATATATAAAAATAACTCCTTAGGACAAGTGCAAGACAGATTGACTTATTTCCTTGCATGGGAAAGAACAGCCCCAGGGCACAGCCAAATGAGTAAAAGAAGTAACTTTATTGATGGATCCTGTCAGATAAAGGCAGTATTTGGGGGGGGGGTGTCCTCTCAGCTGTTCCTGTAGAGATCAAAGCCCATCTTGGTGCAAGGTTTCTTAGTGGAGATACTGCAAGTTTCAGTTGAAGGGTCTTTTATGTCTAAAACAACAAATGTGTCGTAAAACAGTTATGCAGATTTATGTACAAATAGGTACAGAACACAGAGAAGCAAGTATTTTCTTTCTTTTGAATTGCCAGACAGAATGCTGGCCCTGTTGAGGTGTTTTGACCTTCTTCATATTTCAGACATTTCATGTTTTAAAAGTATTAGTGTGTCCACTTGTTTGCAAGTCAAAGCTTTTTACATGTGTGACGCTTGACTTTTGCATGCTTCTGTGCACGTGTATATGTGCTATGTAGTAATAGCACTTACACTTATATACGCTTCACACTGCTTTACAGCCCTAAGCGGTTTACAGAGTCAGCATATTGCCCCCCAACAATCTTGGTCCTCATTTTGCCCATCTCGGAAGGATGGAAGGCTGAGTCAACTTTGAGTCTGGTGAGATTTGAACTGCCAAATTGCAGGCAGCCGGTAGTCAGCAGAAGTAGCCTGCAGTACTCCATTCTAACCACTGCGGCATGTAAATTGATGGAGACATAGAGGGGAAAAACTGACAAAGATTCTTCTACCTTTCTCAACACAACAGAAACTGTGGCCCCCAGGGAAATGTAAAGAAGGTAGGTTCAAAAGAAGAAAAGAAGCATTTCTCAGCGTAAAGCACTTTAATCTAGGAGGCTCACTGCCTCCTGAAGTAGTGATGGCCCACTTGTCCTTTGGGAAGATGCTGTTGTATTCATTATCTGCCTGCAGCCTTCACTTTAAGTATCTGGTGGACCCAACTGTGAAGCGGGGGGTGTTCTTATAATGGACATATTCCATAGAAATAAGAAATGATTTAATTGTCTAAGCCCCATGAAAGAGGTGCAGAATAAATTAACTTCCAGCAGGAGTATTTCTATACCAGTAGTCCTCAAGTTACAACCATTCATTTAGCCACTGTTCAAAGTTACAGCATCCCCATGGTCATGTGCTCAAAATTCAGGCATTGGCAAATGGCATGACGGTTGCAGCATCACCAGATCATGTGATCTGTGCTCACCATTTACAACCTTCTCAGTCAGTTTCTGACAAGCAAAGTCAATGGAGGAAGCCACTTAATGATCACATACTTCACTGAAGAACTGTAGTAATTCACTTAACCAAAGTAAAAAAGATTGTATAATCTAATGTGACTCAACAGCTGCCTTACTTAGCAACAGAAATTCTGGTCCCAATTATGGTTGTAAATTAAGGACTACCTGTATTGTAAAGTGCTATTGTTCAAGGGAATATATATTTCTGTAAAAATATCGATAACATCTATTTGATTAATCCCAGGAGTTACTATTTTAAGGCAAAATTAAACCTTGGTTAACCATATGGGAAAAGACACGCAGACCAAATTAGGTGGGAGGTTTGGAAATTCCCGATTGCATGGCTAGAGGCACAGAAATTAAGGGGATGAGCCAAAGATTTCATGAAAACATAAGTAATACTCATCTTCACTTCATTCAATCAATCCATTTTTAGTCCCAGTTTAACATACTTTTACCTATAAATTACTATGTGATTTGAAAAATAGAAGAAACCCTTCTGCTAGCTGTTGTGCCTTACATTTTCTTATGTACAAGCCCGTCTTTCTGTCTGTCTACCCATCTCTGCCATGCAAAAAGCAGACAGGAGGAGGTATGATTCAAAAGAGATCCTCTTGGCCAAAGTTATGATTGAAATATGTTCATCAATGCCCAGCTGTCACAATCATCCTATGATTGAATCAGTCTAGGAGATTTTTTTTATTCTGGACTTTTTGAGGTCCATTTGCTGGCTCATCAGTATACACACACACATACACACAAAGAGCATAAAATCATTTGAGGACAGTAAGTTCTGTCCATAAATGACAACATACTTACAATAGAAGTAACCCCTTCAAATTTATGGCAATTTATATTCTACTAAGCATACACAGATTTAAAGCCCCCAAAATCAGTACTGAATTCTTTCTTAAAAACAATTTTAAAAAGAAACCCCATTTTTAAAAATGTGACCGCAATTACTGTGCATGTCTGAAAAAGTGAGGAAGATGAGAAAAATTAACAATATTTTAATTTTATCCATAAATAAAATTAAACATCACATTTAGTACATATTACAGTGACTGAAATTAATACAAATGTAAACACGGTAAAAAAATTATTTCGTATAACAACTCTAAAATACATTAGACCACGTAAAAAATACATCTCAGGACTTAAGTGTTTTAAACACTAGAGGAAAGTGCTTTTTTAAAGATAATATTGCCATTAAATATTAATCCAGAGCATCAAGTTTACTTAAATGAAAATAATTCCTAGCACACTTGAGTTCTTTCTATAACAACATACCTCTGGTTGAGATTTAATATTAACTCAGTTTGAGTTGCTCTATTATATCATTTCTTAAACCCTGCAAGCCATTTAACCCTTGAAATATACTAACATTCGATGACCATGCTTTAAGGACTGTATCTATGAACCTGAACCTGGGTAGTTTGTTATCAAAGGATGCACTTCAGTTGCAATGTTGCTTATTCTGCAAAACAGCTAATGTAGCCTAATGACACTTACAGTAAATGAATGCACTGGGATGTGTTTGATTTTGTATTTCAGGAACAGACAATCTTTTCAGGCTAGGGGATTTATTGGAAATTTCAAAAGCATTGCAGGTGATTTCATAGAATGACTGCATGAACGGCTGCTATGGTGGAGAGTTCAGCCACGTACCAACCAACAAGACACATATCTGTTTCCCACTACACATTCCAACTTCAAGATAGCAATAGCAATAGCAATAGCACTTAGACTTATATGCCACTTCATAGTGCTTCACAGCCCTCTCTAAGTGGTTTACTGAGTCAGCATATTGCCCCTAACAATCTGGGTCCTCATTTTACCAACTTTAGAAGGATGGAAGGCTGAGTCAACCTTGAGCCGGTGAGAATCGAACTGCTGGCAGTCAGCAGAATTAGCCTGCAATACTGCATTCCAACCACTGCACCACCATAGCTCTTATCATCCCAGTAAATTTATGGCAGGTTGTTTTTTGTTTTGTTTTGTAATAGTTTATCTTTTTTCAGGGCACACTGGCACACGTTTAACTGATCACCTAACTACTGTAATTCTCATTTTCAAAGAATACCTATGTTAGTTTATTTGGAGTTTGGAATATGTTGGAATCTGCAGCCTGCCTGCTTTTACTGCATATCAGTTTCAGTGATGATGTATAGACTCTGGCAAATACCAAGGCCACTGAGAATTAACATCCTTTGGCACTTCACTGCCTTTCCGATCATTTTTTTTCCATTAATTTTACAGCATTATTTTGTGTACCACAGTTCTGTAGGACCTGTAGACATACATATAAATCAATTCCGTTGCTTCTCATTTTCTGACTATAAATTGTCTCTAATAATAAAAGCTCCTGAGACTAGAGACAAGTTTTCCCTTCTTAGGAACTACTTCTTCAAAAAAATAGTTTTGAATGATAAGGGTTGCGCCATTTTAAAGAAAGCACTTAATGTTTACGTAGAATAGCTTTCTGCAATTTAAAAAGAAACTATTGCATGTTCTATCCCTCTCAAAAAATCTATACACCTTCTAGAAATATGAGTGAAAACAAAAACATTTAATTTTTTACTTTACATGTATAGTTTTTCCAGGCTTCAGAATTCATTAGTCGTACCATTATAAAGAAATACATGTTATTATCAATGAGATCTATAATAAAGGATAATGATTGAATATTACAACACAGAATTTTGATTTTATCGAACAAGTATGCCTCAATCATGCAATTTTTATAGGCACCAGTTTAGAAAAAGTGGTAGCAATTGTTTTATCCTTTTGCTGTTAAATCTGGAGCAAATTACTTCATACATGTCAGTTCATACATTTTGTTACAATCTATACAGTACTTAGCATTGTATTTTAAATCAGTGATAAACTCTTACATTTATTTGTGTTATTTTTAGTCCATATAATCCTAAATCTTCAGTAAAAATAAGAAACAGACCACTGTTCTGTTATATACTTCTGGAAAGAGTGGGAAAAACGAACAGATTTGAATCTAACAGTGCTACACTATCCTTGCCTGTAGTTTTGAATTATAATCATATTTCAGATGATCAAAAAGATACTCGTACTAACTTCCCTTTCTGATAAAAAATTTAAATCTTTCTATTTTCCCACTAGAATTTTATTTAAAAATAAATGGAAGACATTATAATGCTACACACACACATACACACACACACAGAGTGAGTTTGCTTTGCATTATGTTCATGTTTCCATTATCTTGGCTGTCTTCCAGAAAATAGTTCTGCTCTAGCTTTCAAAATGTTCCTTTAATCACTTGCAGAAATCCTTGCCTCCCTTAAACAATGCGAATCTTATTTGAAGAGCCAGATTATGTGAGGTAAGAAAATGTACTGCTCATTTCTTTACTCAGACCAGAGCAAATCTAACCCATTCCAGATGTTAGGGCTGTGTTAAGTTCATAAAACAGCATTTAAAAGAACTGGAAGAAGTTGTGGTGACAACCCCCATGAGGTTATCCCTGGAAAGCAAGTAGGATACTATTAAGTATCTGTCTCCATTAGTGTATATTAATTCTATGAGAACTTGGGATATTGCTCATCTCATGGTTTAAATATTAAACAATTATAATTGTGTATTATGCAGGGATCCCAAATTCCCCTCCTTTACTGAGAGGCCAGATTATCTTCCTTATGTTCCTTGCTCATTAGTTCTACCTTAGTGCTTCCAGCTTCCCGAGTTGCAAGCTCATGATCAATCAACCCGAGATGGTGCAAATTGAGAAGAGAATCAGCAATAATCCGTGCAGTCCTCTTCTGGTAGCCCCCAGATGTCACCATCAGGATAGGGATTCTGTGCTTTCGAGCAGCTCTGAACACAATTTCGTCTCTTTCGATAATGCCCTGGAAATTTACAACACCAAAAGTTGAAACAACGAATATTGGATTTCCTAATAGTCAATCAGCTGTACAGGTCATAGTTTTACAATATTGCATGTACTTTACACCAATCTCTTTTGTGAATGAAATGTTACAGTTACTAGCTGTGATTACTGGTGAGCCTTTACCAATAAAAAACCTAGGAGCTGATCAACAGCCGACCAAGGAAATAGTTGAAAATGAATTCTTGAATTGCTTTCAGCAGCTATATGAGGTGCATTATTGAGACAGCAAGGATGGATCACATCAGATCTGGCATGAAATGTTGAGCATTTTTTTTTAATTCTCTCTGTATCAAGCAGACAGGAACTCACGTCTTTGCAAAAATTTAACAGATAACAATTGCTAGTAGTGAAACTTTCCCCCCCAGAACCATTCCAGGCAAAGCAGTGGGAAAAACCCCAGAATTCTGAGTCCAAATTAAACCATGCAGCAACACAAACCAAATGCCTTTCTGCAACTCCAAGGTAAGGTGGCGCAGTGGTTAGAGTGCAGTACTGCAGCTACTTCATCTGACTGCTAGTTCAGCAGATCAGCAGATCAAATCTCACTGGCTCAAGGTTGACTCAGCCTTCCATCCTTCCGAGGTGGGTAAAATGAGGACCCAGATTATTGGGGGCAATATGCTATTTAGTATACTGTCTTTGGTGTAAGGTGCCCAGAGTCCTTGGAGAGTGGGCAGCATAGAAATATGACTAATAAAATAAATAAATAAACTCCTTAAACCAATTGCATTTTCCCACAAGACTGCGTGCATTAACCACAAAGGACAGGTGTGGATCCTAGAGAAAGACACAGCTGCTTTAAAGAGTTGCAGACAATGTACCTTCTTATGTTCCCACGCTCTCATAATATTTTTGGAATAAAATTTGAGCACTACACAATCCCAGTCAATAATTGAGGGGGCATACAGTACGTAGCACCAGATTAAAAACATTCAACGTTGAGAGTAGAAACAAAGAAAAGCAACTAAGAAAAAAAATGAGATTAACTCAGGCGGTGAAGTAGGGCTGTGCCAGGATTTCAGAATAAATAATGAGGTGGGTGCCATAGCTCAGGTACTGACAAACTACTGTATCCTACTATATTTTAATAAACAAATATTTTGTGATCTACAAACCTCAGGTGAAATAGCTAAGCCCCCCAGAGGATCGCCATCCAAAATATCAGTTCCAGCATTATAAATAATGATGTCAGGTCTCATTTCATTCAGTGCACCTTCCACGTGAGTTTTTACTTTTTGAAGGTATTCAGTGTCTTCTGTGCCCCAGTCCAATTCAACTCTCCGTCTTATGGCTCCTAATAATTACAAGGATTATACACAATTAAAAGGGGGTGGGAAGGATAAGGAATAAGGATAGAAAAATACTTAGCTTTTGATAATTAGGATACACATCTTTTTGGACATATCTAGGAGGAAACTGTTTCAAATAATGTAAATAACCCCTCTTTGAACCTTATAAGTAAACAGCAATGGTTTATTCTGTGAATAGGATTTTTTGGTTTTTGACTTTATTCAAATATATTGTGGTATAGGTTTCTAAACATTTACAGTGTAATCCTACAGAATTTACTTAGAAGTAACCCTCACAGATTGCAGTAAATTTTACTGTCTACATATAGGCTTGCAGCCTTAAACTATAATGCTGCCTTTCATTCCTCAGGGAACAATATTAAATTCTGAGTGTAATAATTTCATGATTACAAATTAAATTGTACTAATTAGATCATATTAATTTCAAAAACACTATCAACTTACGTTTAGCAAGTCCATCGCCTGGATAAATATACCTGTTGTAAACATCCATAATATATACTCTCCTGTCTTCCAAGAAGTCTCTTTCATGTCCATTTCCCTACAAGTTAAAATAATAAAAACCCATTAACTAGGCCAAAACATGTTGTCTTTGTTTGTTTTTTTTAATATGTAGGTTAAAACAACTTCAAAGCAGTGTATTGTGATATAACAGAATGTGATTGTGTGGGAATGTTATTGATATCAAGATGAATTACAGCAAGCAGCTATTATAGGATTTCTCTGAATTGTTAACTCTAATAATTTTGAATTATTAAGGCAGTTCTAGTTCAACTTCTATGTTCAGGCCTGTAGACACATATAGCGCTCTTCCCAAATATGAATCTGTAAAAACATAGGGAATTACTGCTCTTCCATCCTGGATTTCTTCTTCTCACCTTTAAGCAGTGGTGGGTTTCAAAAATTTTTACTACCGGTTCTGTGGGTGTGGCTTGGTGGGCTTAGTGGCACGGCTTGGTGGGCATGACTTGGTGGGCATGGCAGGGGAAGGATACTGTAAAATCTCCATTCCCTCCCCACTCCAGGGGAAGGTTACTGCAAAATCCTCATTTCATCCCAATCAGCTGGGACTCGGGAGGGAGGCAGAGAATAGATGGGGGCGGGGCCAATCAGAGGTGGTATTTACCAGTTCTCTAAACTACTCAATATTTCCGCTACCGGTTCTCCAGAACTGGTCAGAACCTGCTGAAACCCACCCCTGCCTTTAAGATACTTTTATAAGATCATTTTTACCCAATGTCTGCAATTTTTAAGTTCCCTGGAGATGACAATTAATTATAGGTGGTCCTCACTTAATGACCACTCATTCAGCAACTCTTCAAATTTGTGACCTTGGAGTTCCTGCCATCACAGCATCCTTGGGTCACATGATCATCATCTGCAACCTTTAATGGTTTCTGACAGGCAAAATCAATGGGGAAGCTTGCAGGAGGTCGCCAACAGCAACCACATGATGTTCTTGCTTAACAACTAGAGGTAATTTGCTTAATGATGGCAACTGGGAGTGCCAGCACTGGGGATTCATCAGAAACAAGTGTCTAATCCACCATCGTTACGTTATGCTATATAACAAATGTGGCAAACCATTTGCACTGCTTATTCCTTTCCCTTTTAGTATTAAACTGACAACGGGCCACACATTTTATGGATTATAATTTTAGTATAGTTAGACCACGTATAATTGACAGACTGGATTTTATCTAGATTTTAATTATTTATTATTTTATATTAGAATTTTTAATTGTATATTTACTGAGTGCTTTTATTCTGGTCTCTGGTCTATGACTGTAATAATAAATTGAATTGAACAACTAGTGGTAATTTGCTTAATGATGGCAACTGGGAGTGCCAGAATTTTCATCATTAAAAGATCTATCACATGACATTGTTTTTTATGATCGCACTGCTTATTAGCAACAGCTGGTCCCAATTGCCTAGTTAACAGAGGACTATCTATATTGCATTAAACATTACTTGTTAAGTTTTGCTTTGTAAAAATATCCTGAAAAAAACTTCCAGTTGAGCAATTAGTTTCTTTATGGTAGTATGTCTCAGGACATTTTAATTTCATCACTCACCTGATGTGCATCCAAGTCTATAATAGTTGCCCTTGAAACTCCTTCAACTCTTTCAAATAAAAACTGAGCAAAATAAATCAAAAATAGGAAAGAAATTTCAAAATTAAAACATACATTTTGCACAAGCTATGAATGAACCTTTTAAAGAATTATGTCATATACTGTAAGGGATATATCACGGGCTATTTATTTTAACACTATAATACAGAATATCCATTTGAAAACACTCCCAACATTTCAAACCATTTACCATATTTTTCGGAGTATAAGACACACCTTTCCCCACCCCCTAAAAGAGGCTGAAAATTTGGGTGCGTCTTATACTCCAAATGTAGCTTTTTCAAAGCTTTTTTTCAGCCCTAACGAGGCGCTAATGAGGCACTAGCCAGCGATCTTCCCAGCTTTGCCTGCTCCCTCCACTCTCAGCTATGTTTTAACAAGGCGCTAGCGAGTGAAGTGATCTCCATGCTTTGCAACTCTCAGCTGTTCTTTAGAAGCTTTTTTCAGCCCTAACTAGACGATAGCCGAGTGAAGCGATCTCCCCCCACTTCTTTGCCTGCTTTTCTCATTGCTGCTTCCTCTCAGCTGTGCCTTAGAAGCTGTTTTTTTTATCCCCAAGCAGGGGATAAAAAGCCAGCAAACTAATGTGCTGAAGATGACCAGACTAAGGACGCTAGCCAGATGAATACCTGGTAGGCAGATTTTTTCCCCCCTATTTTCCTCCCCAAAAACTAAGCTGCGTCTTATACTCCGGTGCATCTTATACTCCAAAAAATACGGTACTTCTTTTCATCCATAAAACACACACATAGGGAAAAAGCAATATCCTAGTCATCTATTCAAGAATCTTTGTTCACACATCCTGCTAAGCTAACATTGATAAGCTTAGTTTGTTGTATTAATTTTTCAATTATGGTTTGTAAGTTACAGCTTCTTTCTTTCGATATACCATGTTAAATCTCAAACACTCCAAATACATGGACGATGTTTTATATAAACTCTATAAATATATGTATTTTTTCTCATCTCTTTACCCAATTCCCTACTGTTTGTAAAAAGCTGAAGAGAAACATCCCAAAAGTAATCAATCCTGACTGTTCTTTGGAAGGACAGATACTGAAGCTGAAACTCAAATACTTTGGCCACCAAATGAGAAGAGAGGACTCACTGGAAAAGACCCTGAGGTTGGGAAAGATTGCGGGCAAAAGGAGAAGAGGACAGCACAGGATGAGATGGCTAGACAGTGTCATCAACGGAATGAACATGAATTCAGGCAAATTCTGGGAAACAGTGGAGGACGGGGGGAGGGTAGGGGGCTGGTGTGCTGTGGTCCATGGGGTCACAAAGGGTCAGGCACAAAAACTGAACAACAAAAGAGAATTTTTGTGTATAGTACAAAATTTTGCTGGATTCTGTACAGGATTTGGGAGGGGAGCTTTTGTTTTGCTATCTCTGGCTCTTTCCCTTACCAATAAAATAATTCAGTCTTAATCATAAGCACACTCAAAAACATAACTCACGTTGCAAAATTTGGTTTCCACCCAATTTGTCGATCAAGTTATGCTGGCTTAGTTCATACACAATACTAAACCAAAACCAGGTTACAGACTACAATTACTGAGTTCACGATTATGCTAAACCAAAACAAGCCAGGATCTATGAACACAGTCAAATAAATACGTGAAAATTGTATCAGATAATATTGCAGGAAGAAATGAAGTATATAAACGTTAATTTAATCCTTGGGGAAAGGTACATTCTTAGAGAAGGATTATTTTATTTCCTGATCTCTCCGAGAGGAGGAAAAATTCCATAATTATTTTCATTATATGAATTACTAAGAAGAAAATCAGTTGATTTCGCAGATGTGAGACACAATTTTGCAGTTTCTATCAAGAATCAAAATTTTTGCTTACCTTTATAGTCAATGTGATATCAGCATATGCACAGAAGCCTCCACCCTTATCACTTGAGCAGTGATGGAAGCCACCACCTGGAAAAAGAAGTAGAAAATCTGATGTTTCCCTGAAAATACAACCTACTCAGAAAGTAAGTCATAGCTTGATTTTTACACATGTGCCCAATATAAGCCCTACCCCCAAAATAAGCCCTAATTAAGACCCTACTCACTCTAGTGTGCACAGGTAAAAATTAAGCTAGAGTAGGGGTGGGGTGGGGGGGTGAAGCTGCCCTATTACTTACCTACAGATAGTTGCAGCCAGGCCTCATACACCTCGGCCCATTTCTTTTGCTGTAGGTGGCAAGGTTTTCCTGAAGGCCTCTGTAGCCGATAAGAGAGCTCCGGATCAACCCTAGCTCTGTTATCAGCTGCAGAGGCCTTCAGAAAAGCTTTGCTGGCCTTGCCGGACGAAGAAGTTCCTGAAGGCCTCTGATAGTGAAAAAGAGGCCGGGGGCAATGCACGCAAGTGAAGTGAGTCAGTGGACATGCCCCCCCCCCTAAAAAATAAGACCTGGTGCCTTTTTTGGTGGCAAAAAATATAAGACAGGGTCTTATTTTCAGGGAAAACATGATATATATCCAGTGGTGGGTTGCTACCGGTTCGCCCCAGTTTGGGCAAACCGGTAGCAGCGGTGGTGGGAGGCTCCGCCCACCCACCCCGACGTCATCAAATACGCTCTGCGTGTGCGCAGAAGTGGCACACGCGTGAGTGAAACAACCGCACGCGCAAACCGGTAGCAAACCGGAAACCCACCCCTGTATATATCTATATCTACACACACACAGACACATACAAACTCCAGATGGCTGTAAGCAGGTAAGAGGCAATGAGGTTGTAGTCTAGAATTGATTGTGATAAAGGAAGTAAATCTATTCATACTTACCAATATTAATTGCCCATCCTCGCTCAATAGCCAGTTTCCCTGCCTTAAGATAAAGAGGAGAAAAAATAAAGAATTAGCTTATGAAAAGTAGACCCCCAAAGGATTCTGCAAACGTTTAAGCACTGTTGTGAAATTAAACCCTTGCTATTTACTCAACCAGAACGCAAGGGATTTTGAACAAGTGAAATTTGTATTAACTTGCTTTCTTTGGAAGAAGTTGAGAGATTTTTAAGGGATTCAATGGGTGCCCTAAGCTTTTACAAGATTTAAGGTGCCATTTCATTTAATAATGGCAAACACCCCCAAATATTAAAAAGGAGACAATATTTTTGGCCATCCCCACTGGACAAAGCTCTGATGGCCATAACAGGTATTCTTTTCACCCTTCTTTGATACCTTAATATTAAATCTAATCCTGTACGCTCACACCTTTGATTCAATTTTGACTCTTGGCAATGGCCAAGAAAGTCAAGATTCTGGAAGTGTTTTGCTCTTGCCGCCTCCTCCTCCTCCTCCTCCTCCCTTGGATTGAAAGAGAAGGACTGGCCAGCCTCACCCAACTGCCTTCAAGCTTAAAGGAGGACTAGAACTGATGGTCTCTGTCAGTTGCCACCTTACGCTTACTTGTGCCTTGCTATTATGCGATGATAGTCTGCCATGAACACTGGGGAGGATGGTTGGGAGGGGGAATACTTGGGGGAAAACAAAAGTAACTGCTGCATCTCCTCTAGATGCTGCTTAAAGGCTACCCAGCTAGGAAAAGAAGGCAGCTGCATATACCAACCTACACTTAAACTGATCATTCTCAAAACATCTGAATGTGATTGGTGATGGGCATGGGGAGGGGGCTCAGCAATGGGAAGCAGTTAAAGGAGGGAGAAGTTGAACTTAGGGAGTTTGGCACATGAGCCTCAGTTCTTGGTATGCACTACTGCAATATACTTGACTTCTAATAAAACTATACCTTTCTCAGCAAATGGAGCCTAGGATCATTACTATTTAGAGGCTTAAGTGGTGGCAGGTCTGACAGTCTCCCAGTTTCTAACATGATATCTTACCACTATACCAAAACCATATTTTTCTGAGTATAAGACGTATCTTTTCCCCCCCTAAAAGGGGGTGAAAATTTAAGTGCGTCTTATACACCGAATGTAGCCCCGCCCACCCATTGGACCCCACCCTTTGGCCTCTGCCTCGCAGCAGTTACCTCCTTGCGAGCAAACAGAAAGAAAAAACAGTTTCTTTCAGCTTCAGCACAGGCTAATTAGCACAAGTTGATTGGATCGGCCTCCCGACTCTCAGCTGCTTTGCTCTCAGCTGTTTTGCACAGGGCTCTGCTGCTTGCTGCAAGGAAGAAAATTGCTGGAGCAGATTTTTTTCCCCTTGTGCTAATCAAGCTATGCTGAAAACGAAAGTAAAGCAGGCTGTTTGCTGCAACAAGGCAAAATTGCTCAGAGGCAGAGGGAGATTTCTTTTTCTTCTTTTCCTCACCAAAAAAGGTAGGTGCGTCTTATAGTCCGAAAAATACGGTATTTATTTATCAAATTTATATAGTCACCCACCTTACCAAAGGCAACTCTGGTAAAGATAAAACTACATATACAAAACAACAAGCATAAATAGATATCACTTTAAAAAGTAAATATTATATTTAAAAAACCAGATACAAACCCTAGGTGAAGAGAGGATAGGAAAAGCCAGTTCAGCAATGGAACTAAGTAAGACTCCAGTTCCCTGGGAGCCCCAGACTTGATAACATAAACTGGTCTTGAGCACCTTCCCTGAATGTCAAAAGGGATAAACTAATTTTGGAGGGGAAGGCTGTGCCATAAGGCAGGTGTCACAGCAGAGAAGGCATGTCTACTGGGACTCGCCAAAGACAGGTCCTTGGTTGCTGGTACCTACAGTGTGTCTTTTCTACCTGAACAAATTAATCTGATCTGATATAGATTGGTTCTCTAATACAAGTGTAATCCAGGGGTGAAATGCTCCCAGTTTGGACCGGATCACCACGATGGACGTGGGTGGTTCGGAGAACCGGTAGCAGAAATCCCCGTCCCCACCCCCCATGCCCAGCTGAGCCGCGCGATCATCAGAGGCTTTTTTAAAAAACTTTTAAAAACATTTTTTCTACAAATGCTTTTAAACGAAAACAAAAGCCTCTGATGATCAGGCAACTCAGCTGGGATCGTCAGAGGCTTTTAAAAGCATTTTTTTTACAACCTCTTCGGCCAAAGAGGTTGTAGAAAAAATGGTTTTAAAAGTATATATAAAAAAAAGTTAGTCAAGCCCACCCAGTCACATTACCCCACCACCACCAAGCCACGCCCACAGAACCAGTAGTAACAAATTTTACATTTTACCACTGGTGTAATCCTATGCTCATTTAGTCTCTTTGTGAATTATGGCTATCTCCATGCTCTTATCTTGGAAGGGTTACCAAAATGATGTTTCTGTCTTATTTAGAACTACATAGCAATTTGGACTCTCACAATATCAACCCTGCAGAAACTATTAGAGAAATACTACCAGATAAATGTACATTGATAAATGTAACAGCGTGCTTCTAGCATCTGCGATTAAAAAAAAAACAGATAAGGTAGTTGATCAAATTTGGAGAACCACTAAGAATCAAAATTTTTAAATGGCTGCACTTACATCATGAAGTGAATAAAAAATAATTCGTATCAAATCCAACTGTTGTTGGTTCAATGGGTCATGCAAACTCAGGAAAGCTGGATTAAGTTGAGAAAGTAATGATAAAGTTACTGATGGATCACTCTGCCATGTGAATGAAGTATCAGATGGGATGGGACAAGATCTGAGTTTTGTAAGAGTTTCTTTCATCAAGTCAATCACTTCCTTCTTATTGCTGAGACCAATGTGCAGATTTATTCAGCTCTAGAAACCAAGCAAGACATGCTTACCATTATTGTTCCTCCTGTTTGAGTTCTCAGAGGCCTGAGCACTTTCCTCTGAACAAGGAAATTTGGCATAAAAAGGACTGGAGGGATTTCTGTAATGGTAGCCACTACAAAGGACCACTAGAAGAAGAGAAGCAGGAAAAATATATATCCAAATCTGACTCAAGATTAATTTTTGTCAATGCATTTATGCATGTCTACCCAAGTCCCACTTATTCAAGTCAATGAGATTTATCCCCAATCAGCATTCGTAGGATGAGAGCCAGCATACATGATCCCTTTACAACATGGGCGTCAAACTCGATCGCGTCACATGACGTATCGCGATATTTTTTGCCTTTGTGGAGCCAGGATGGGTGTGTCCTGCATGTGACACATCCGGCCTGTGGTCCGCCAGTTTGACAGGCCTACTTTACAACATAATTTAAATGTACTGACTCCGAAGTAAGTCCAATCAAGTCAAACTGGACTAACTCAATAAGAATGGCTAGTAATTCAACTGTAACGTTATTACTATAGCTATATGCAAAGGAAAAGCATTTATTTATTTCAACAAAGTAGATCACCACAAAAACCATCTGTGACATTCTTACAGAGACGTAAAACGTTGATGAACAAACAAGAAGAGCAGATTAAAGCTGGATTCTAGAGCTGCCTGAGAAGATGACATATGTTCCTGATTTTTCTCAGCCATCCTTCCACTTATAAGGTAATCCTCGACTGACGACCAGTCACTAAGTTATATCCTATCTGAAAACCCTCCCTTTTCTGCAAAATCACACCTTACAGTGGACAATGGGTTTATACTTATGACCACTGCATTTGCTTAATGAATGCCACACTTACTTAACAATTGCTGCAAAAAACTAAAATCCCACAATCACATGACCAAACCCTTTTACCACTCTAACAACCATAATGGAAGGCTCCGATACAGTCATAACTTGAGGACTACCTATAGTAAAAATCCTTGTCTGATCTGAGATAATTCTCCCTGTTTTCCTGCATCCCCCCCCCCTTGTTCCATTCAACTTAGAACAATGTTTGTTACACCTCTCTTTAACATCCAATGTCCTTATGCCCAACTACAATCAGATAATTCAAGCACTGAGTTTAACTGGTGAAGAAAAATATTAACAAGAACATTCTGCGAAGGCAAAAGTACTGAGCAACAATGAATAATGACAATGATTTCAACTGCTGGATGGAGCTAATGTAGCAAACAGCCCAACTAAAAAGACAAGGCAACCAATAACTAAGCTGCATTTTAAAAGCTGCATTTTAAAGCTGCATGGCAAAAGCACAATGTGATCTAGAATACCTCTTCAAAACTTTCCAATATATATGCTTCTGTAAGCAATACAAGAAAAGTTAACCAATATTCAAACATCTTGTATAACTTGTAACCAAAATTAATCTGCAAACTGGGCCATTCATCGCTGCCTGAAGTATGATTTGGAGCACTTCATAGGTTTCTTGCCAATTCTGCTCTGCAAAAATGTTCTGAAATTGCATGCTAATCTACAATTTATCTAGAGTTTTAAGAGGGGTAGTACATGCATGTTACTTGCTGTGTTTCTATTTCTAGCCCCTAAGACAGGGGTCAGCAACCTGAGGCTCTGAAGCCGCATGTGTCTCTTTCACCCCTCTGCTGTGGCTCCCTGTCACTCAAAATATGCATCACAACCGCCAATGTGCGACATCTGCCAGCACGCGATTTATTGAGCTTTTCAACCCCTGGTAGGTCAACCATGGATAAATCCAAGAAAAGAAAAGTTTCAGAAGAAAACAGAATGTTTACTTCGACTACATATGCTAGTTTTGTGGCTGCTCAAGAAATAGTCAGGCAGAGGAAGGGTTTTGTGGCTCCCGGTGTTCTCTTTTCTGTAGGAAATGGGTCCAAATGGCTTTTTGAGTGTTTAAGGTTGCAGACCCATGACCTAAGAAGATCAGAGTCTCAGCGCTAGATGGAAATTATTTTTGTTGTAGTTATTTCTTTTAAGGTAATTTAAAATTGCCATGGTTTTTTATGCATGTAAGCATGTACATATGTGAGACTGTGTGTGTGTGTGTATGTGTGAGAGAGAGAGAGAGAGAGAGAGAGGGAGAGAGAGAGAGAGGGAAAGAGAAGGGGAATGGAGGGAGGGAGAGGGATGCAATATATGTCAGGGAGGAGAGATTTTTTAAAAATTTCATTGAAGAAGATGACACCATACCTTTAATCGATTCAAGTAATGTCTTGTGTGAACTACTAAAAGGTCCTCTTCGGTTGCCTCTCGAGCCTGTACAATCAAGTCATCTGTAATTAACTTTGCTTCTGAATTTAAAAAAAAAATGGGGAGGGTTAATAAACGATATACAAATAAGATTCACTTTTCAACAGTTTAAAGCCAAGCCATACTAATTTTTTTTTTCATTTTAGGTAAGAAAACTTGTGCTGGATCAGATAAAAAACCTGTCTGACTTTGGACACTACTGTATTTTCAAATTTCCACGTGCTATTCAAAAAGCTGATTTTATCCTTTAAAGTTCATTACTCATCACTCTGCTAAACAAATAATTCCCTCAACACTGTCAAACTATTTACTAAGTAAGCACTACTATTAATCTTCTCATCGTTCCCACCACCCATCTCCTTCCACTTATGACTGTATGACTGTAGTTTTGTTGCTTGTATCTTTACAATTTATATTGATATTGTTTCCTGATTCCTTATTTGTTCCCTATGACTATCATTAAGTGTTGTACCTTATGATTCTTGATGAACGTATCTTTTATGTACACTGAGAGTATATACACCAAGACTAATTCTTTGTGTGTCCAATCACATTTGGCCAATAAAAAATTCTATTCTATTCTATTCTATTCTATTCTATTCTATTCTATTCTATTCTATTCTATTCTATTCTATTCTATTCTATTCTATTCTGATTCCCAGGTACTTTCAGGGCCATCTCTCCCACATGGAATGTGTGTGACATGTATTCTTCTCATGAAGGGGATGCCTCAGATCCTCCCCACTGGTTTTGGGGAGAGGGGGCCAAAGATAGGCATTCTCATTGATTGCCTCTGCCCTCTTGAACACTCTCCTTCCAGAGATCCCTATGGCTCCTACTTTCAATTATTCAGGAAGGCTGATTGTTAGGGTCTCACATAGCTTGCTTGCTATCCTTGAAGGATGGGGCTAATTTGGGTGTATTTAATTAGCTACTGTCTTTTAAATTCACGATGACTTTATGATGCTATCCTTTTATACTTTCATGGCTGTGAATGATGAAGAGTCATTTTGAAGTTGGCAGTACAAATCAATAGATCAATCTACAAATTAAGTGCTTGTGGGATGTGTTTTTCCCTACAGCCCTTTCCCACTGAGTCTACGGACGAGAAATGAGGTAATCTATTAGCATGGGTTAACATTCATGCCAGGGAAACTGAAGATCCTGCAAATACAATGACTCCAATGTCCTGCCAGCTCCTTTTTTGGCTATTCTAATATTGGAATTCTCCTGGCAGCACATTTTTCTGCAGCTTCCCAGAGAATGTTTATGAGGTTGGAGATCCTTCTCCAAGGGCAGCTCTGAGATTCTGCCAAGAGAAGAAGATCTCTAATGAATCCTGTCGTTCCTAAGTTATCATAATTTAAATGCATACCACAGATTTCCCCAGACAAATATCTCAACAAACGTTGAAACATTTTTATCCCAGACAATGATGCCTACTGACTAGGGAAGAAAAAAGCGGTAGTCTAACTTATTTGGGAGGTCATGGAACAACAGAAAGAAATTTAGAGAGTATGAGGTTCACTTTTAAGATTTACTGGAACAATTTTAGTCTCTGCCCTTCATATAATTTCTGTTCATTGCCATGCTTGGCAACTAAGTGGACTGGCAAGCTTATTTAGGGACCAGGTTTCCTTCTCTTATTTAAAGGCTGTGTTCATGTAAAACATAGTTGCTGTGTTCACATGATACACTAATCCCAAATAAATAAACCATATAATGATTTAATGTGAATGGGTTACTTAAAGCAACATCTGGATTCCCATAACACTCTACATCAGGGGTCTCCAACCTTAGCAACTTTTAAGCCTGGTGGATTTCAACTCCCAGAATTGGAGGCTTAAAGTTGCCAAGGTTGGAGACTCCTACTCTACATCACAATCTTCCAATTCCATTTAGTCTAGCCTAATGTATTGCGAGTACTTAGCCAGGTTCTTGGTGGTGAGTGAGTGTCAAGGTTCCAGGAGCCAGTCTTTTGATCAGTCCAGCATTTATAAACTGAACTGGCTGAAAAGCAACTGGCTGCACATCATGGTTATAATGAATATATCATTTCTTCACAGTACATCAGATGAATGCCACTCAAACACAGCCTCAAAAAGTTTCTATTGTTCCTCCTGCTCTACTTTCCCTCATGAATGCCGCAGAAGCGAACAGAAATATGTGCACAGCCTGCAAATATATATTCCCTACCCTTTTTTTTTTTTTGCAAAACATTCTCAGCTCATAATTATGTAACTATTGTACAACAGAAGCGGCCTAAAATTCTAAATAATAAATAAACGCAAACCTATCTATTTTTGGAGTATTTAAACAGGAAGGACATCTGTTGGAAACGTTGTAGGAGTTGGTTTCTATACCGGGGAGAGGATGAAATTCCCATGTGATTACAGGTAGTCCTTGATTTATGATCACAGTTGAGCCCAAAATTTCGGTTTCTAAGCAAGACAATTGAGTTTCGCCCCATTTTACAACCTTTCCTGCCATAGCTGTTAAGTGAATCACTGCAGTTATTAAAGTTAATAACCCGGTTGTTAAGTGAATCTGGCTTCCCCAGTGACTTCGCTTGTCAGAAGGACCCAAAAGGTGATCATATGACTCCTGGATACTGCAACTGTCCTAAATACATACCAGTTGACCAGATTTTGATCCTGTGACCATGGGAATGCTGCAATGGTCTTCAGTGTGAAAAAGAGTAATAAATTACCTTTTTCAGTGCCGTTGTAACTTTGAACTGTCACTAAATGAATGGCTGTAAGTCAAGGACTGTCTGTATATTAAACAATCTAGGTACAATTTTCTCATTTGAAAATATCTGATATAAAAATTATTACTTTTTTGTTTGCTTTTTTGCAAGCTGACTTCTCTAAAAGAGCACTAGTTTAATTTCCAACAACGTTTATATTGCTATTTTGTTTTTATTACCTTTCAAGAAATTTATTACTTTCCCCCATTTTCCAGCATCAAATGGATGCAGTTTCTCCAGGCCCAGAAATGAAATGTTGTAATCTGGTGAATATACAATAGGCCAGCAAGTGGACGGAGTATCTTGATATAGTTCTGTCCTATGAGGCCTTGAAGAAAATAAATATGACATTAGACATTCAAAATACTGGTAGGTGAGAATAAACCACATTTTATACATATACTTCTGAATTACATAACCATTTCGCTACATTTATTAAGAATATCATTTATAAGCATCACATTAATTTCCTTTAGAAATCAGCAGTGTTATTTCAAACTGCAGGAAAGAAATAATGAGCCAAAATAATTAAATGCATTAAATTAATTTTATTACAGTTAGGAGCCAAAAGGATATTTTAAGAAAATCTGATTTTAAAAATCTAAAATATACAGAATTGTTTTACAACATTTCTAAAACTATTAAACTATCAAGTATTAAAACCAAAACAATAAATTACTTAATTCAATACTATCTAAAATTTAGACTTAGACTTATATAAGGTTTCACTTAAGTGACAGCTCTGAAATGACAGACATGAATATAAGTAGTTCTCGACTTATGATCATTTGTTTACTGACCATTTGAAGTTACAACAGCACCGAATGCCTTATGATGTGTCCTTGCAATTGTCACAACATACCCACAGCCATGTGATCAAAATTGCTCTTGGCAATTGGGATATATTTATGACAGTTGCGGCATCCCAGTTGCCATTTAGCAACTTTTCCAGGTGGCTTCCAAAAAGCAAAGTCAATTGGGGAATTCAAATTCATTTAACAACTGCGTGATTCACTTAGCAACTGTGGCAAAAAAAAAAGTCATACAATTGGGCATGGTTTATTTAACAACTCTCTTGCTTAGCAATGGAAATTTTGGGCTCAATTGTGGTTGTAAGACAAGGATATATAATTTCTTATATATTAATATAAGAAAATTGTTTCTATCAAATAGTATCTTTTATTTCAATTGCTATGGAGTAAACATTTTAACATACACTGCTCAAAAAAATAAAGGGAACACAAGCAGAAGACATCCGAGATCTGAATGAATGAAATAGCCTTATTAAATACTTTCTTCATTACATACAGTAGTTTTGTGTTCCCTTTAGTTGTTTGAGCAGTGTATAAACTACTGTATGTAAAGAACAAAGTATTTAATAAGGCTATTTCATTCATTCAGATCTCGGATGTCTTCTGCTTGTGTTCCCTTTATTTTTTTGAGCAGTATACAATGAACAGTTGCAGGAACTGGGGATGTCTAGTTTAACAAAGAGAAAGGCTATGGGTGACATGATAGCGGTATTCCAATACCTAAGGGGCTGTCACAGAGAAGAGAGGGTCAACTTATTCTCCATGCCCTCGTCACTTCCCGCCTGGACTATTGTAATGCTCTCTACATGGGGCTCCCCTTGAGGAGCACCCGGAGGCTCCAACTAGTCCAGAATGTGGCCACGCGGGTGGTTATGGGAGTGTCATGGCGCTCCCATGTAACACCTCTCCTGCACGAGCTGCACTGGCTCCTGGTAGTCCTCCAGGTGCGAGTCTAGGTATTGGTTACCACCTTCAGAGTGCTCCATGTCTTAGGACCTGGGTATTTACAAGACTGCCTGCTGCTACCAATAGCCTCCCACCGGCCAATTCACTCCCACAGAGAGGGGCTCCTCCGGGTGCCGTCAGCCAAGCAATGTCGGCTGACGACCCCCAGGGGGAGAGCCTTCTCTGTGGGGGTTCCTGCCCTCTGGAACGAATTGCCCCCCGAGATGCGGAGGATTCCTGACTTACGCACCTTCTGCTGGGCCCTCAAGACGCTTTTATTTCAACAAGCTGGGCTGGCCTAATTTTAATTTTGTAATCGTTAAATTCTTAATTTTAAATGTCTAAATTGGGTAGCTTTATTTTAATTAGATATGGGCCAAACTATTTAATATTTTTAAATTGTTTTTAAATTTTATATTTGTGTGTTTTATGCTGGCTGTACACCACCCTGAGTCCCTTTGGGAGAAGGGTGGTATATAAATTAAATAAATAAATAAATAAATGATAAACGAAGCACTTGAGGGCAGGACAAGAAGTAATGGATGGAATCTCATCAAGGAGATACAGAATACAATATTCTGTATTACGCTCATCTTAACAATTCACTTTCCCATTTTCTCTGTACCATTGGCCTCAGTGTGTGCACACACAGGCAGGCACCCACACAGGTGCACACCTACCTAACCCATGAAAGTTGTGAGAGGATAAGTCTCTATCGCCATTTTTATAAACGTTCTTTGAGCCAAGACATCCCAACACAACTACCTCCAAGGCGTCTGTATTCTCAAGACTAGCATGTTGTTATGTATAAAACGCAGCCCGGGTGGTAAATGAGTTTCGATCAAAACCCAGGACTCGTGTAAGATGCAGCCCGACCCCCAGGGGCAACATGTCGTCCCGAACCCAGCCATTGTGAGAACACACATATCCGTCCCAGCAACCGCTCCGAGGAACGACGCGGCGGGGACGCGGGACTCCGCAACTCTTGCCTCCCGCAACATCGCAGCCTAATATGCGCCCCAGCTTTGGCGTTGCCCACCCCGTCTGGTACCCGCAACCCGGTCGGTGCAGCTCTGCAGCAGCCGCAGCTTCCCCCACCACCACCACCCCGGGAGAAACAGCTCCTCCCCAGGGGCCTCTCCCTCGCCCGGGGAAGTCCTGCGCCCACCCCGTCTCTTGCAACTCACATGCTGCCTTAAGCGAAGCTCGGTCCGAGCCCCCGACGTGTCGAAGTCCTGCCCGGGCAATACTGAGCATGCCCGGTTGCTCTTGAGCACGCTCAGACTCTTCCAATGAGGCCACTTGCCCTTATCTGAGTCTTGCTTGCTTGCTCTGCCCTCGGCGTTCTTAAAAACAACAGGCGGGATATGACGTTCCGTTGTGGCGTAGTGGGGCAGGTTGTGTGAACCCGGAGTTATTGTTCAACTGAATCAGCCACGTTCGACTTAAATTGGATAACTGAACCGTGAAAGTTGGCTTATTCACGTAGTAACACTCTTGATTATGCGCCATCGAATCGTTTTTCCACTTCTGGCGATTGCACAGATTTTCTGCGAGTTACTCTCTCTACTCAAAACAAATAATCAAAAGTTTTCAGATATCCTCCAGGGCAACTTCCCATTAGCCACAGACGGTTTTGCCCTTTCCTCTCATTTTAGTACATCCCTGAATTACAGGATTTTTTTTTTTTTTTGGTCTGCACTACTATTAATCTTCTCATCGTTCCCCACCACCCATCTCCTTCCACTTATGACTGTATGATTGTAGTTTTGTTACTTGTATCCTTACAAGTAAGGATATAACCATATTGATATGGTTTCCTGATTGCTTATTTGTCCCCTACGACTATAATTAAGTATTGTACCTTATGATTCTTGATGAATGTATCTTTTCTTTTATGTACACTGAGAGCATATGCACCAAGACAAATTCCTTTGTGTCCAATCACACTTGGCCAATAAAAAATTCTATTCTATTCTATTCTATTCTATTCTATTCTATTCTATTCTATTCTATTCTATTCTATTCTATTTTATTTTATTATTCTATTCTATTCTATTCTATTCTATTCTATTCTATTCTATTCTATTCTATTCTATACTATACTATACTATACTATACTATACTATACTATACGATAATCATAGGGTCCAAATAAGCAATCAGGAAACAATCAATATCAATATCAATAATAAATGAATTTAAAAAATAAATATTTCCATGAAGTTCTAAAAAGCATCATCTCCTTTCTCTACTGGCCTTCATTCTTCCTTAACACTCCCCAGATATTTTTTTTCTTTTCTTAAAATCCCTCCAAACGTGGAAACAAAAATAACAGCCTTTCACTTTGCACCGCGATTTTAAAAGCTCTCGGCAACCCTTGCTGTTATCTAAATACAGATCACAGCCAAGACCGGATTCCGCGCAGGAACATTCCTAGATTTTTCGAAAGCCAAAAGTTCGATAACAATTCGAAATCACAATCATCTTCCTGTCCACGCTGGAGAAAGCCCAGGTAATGTAGGAAAATGGGAGCAAGCGGGAGATGAACTCTGCAGGCAGCCCCACCGCATGAATTCACCTCGCAGGTCTGACCATTTACCCCACGCGCGGACGGAGCTGCTTCGGAAACACCGGCCGCGACGCTTTCCTGTTCCTGTTTGCAGAAGCAGCGCCCTCCACCTCCCCGCTTTGTCTATTGGCTCACGGCGTGACTGTTTCCACCCTTCGCTAACAAGAACCCCTTCAATGGTCGGTGGTTCTGACGTTGCAAGCGGGGTTTGGCTCTTCCGAGTGTCTAAAAGAGATCCTTCCAAGTCCGGAGGGAAGCTCCGCCCACGACGTTACTCCTGACTAACAACTGTTCGTGTGAACGCTCCCTTAGGCAAAAGGTTCCATCTTGGCTTTCTTTCTGGATCCTGCACTTCTATGCCACCTTTGTTTATTATCTACCCAAAGGTAGCTTCTAGATCACTTGGGCACTGTGGAGTTTGCATTAATCAGGCTCAAGCAGAAATGCCACATACCCCTCGCCAACGGTTGCAGCCTCGGGCTCCAATTTGGTCAGAGACAGAAACTCGAGATTTCCTGGCCCTCTGGGGTGAATTGCTGATTTTGAGGTGGATTGAAAACCGCCCGCCAAACAGTGACATCTACGAGGATCTCTCAGCCCAGATGATAGCCAGGGGTCACGAGCGCAATGCTTCGCAGTGTAGGAACCGAGCCCGGGATCTGAAACGAAGTTATCGGAGAGCCAAAGATGCCCAGATCTGTGCTGGAGCTGAGACCGTGTCTTGCCGTTACTTCCGAGAATTGGATCAAATGTTTGGAGGTGAAATGGATAGGACCACCAACCGGAGCTTGGCCAGCATGGATGGATCCATGCAGGTGGTGGTAAAAAGCGAGGATGCAAAAGATATGGAGGCCCAGGCCTCTGAGGAAGAGAGTAACCAAATGACGCCCCCAAACACCCTCTCAAGTATGGATGCAGACACAGACACGGAAACCGAACCGAACGTGGGGATCACACGAGGGTTAGTGACAGTGGTAGATCCCAACGTGATTGAAACCACAATAGTTCAGGAAGGTCCTGAAGAGAAGGCAGTGCCCTTTTGTGGGCAACCCGTTCCAGGCTGCAGTGAAGATGGGCACCACACTGCTACTGGTGAGCAAGAGTCATTTTTCTTCAATGGCATTTTGTTTTTCAATTGGTGCTCTTTGCTCTTCAGCCATCTCATAACCTTGGGTTTAAGTTAGTTATGAGAATCTCTAAGAACTTGCCTGAGATACCACAAAGATAGAGATTGGCTCTTGGTTTGTTAAAAAAAAAAATATATGAGAGAAATGACCTGAATTTTAGAAGCTCAAATTAGATACAGGTGGGGAGACAAGTGCGGTCTGAGATTTAAGTTCAAAGAAGGAGCCAGGCTAAACGTAAATGTTGTACATTCTCATCTCAGCTTGCCAAGATAGTCAAATGGACCTGATGTGCTTTTAAAAAAAGGGGGAGGGGGAAGGAGGACAAGAGCCATTTGACCAAGATCAAAAAAAGGTAAACAGTAGTTGGTAAGGAGGTAAGTTAGATTTTCATTCTAGAAACCAATCAGCTGCTTTTGTTCCACTTTGTCAAAATGATTGTGTGATAGCTACATTGAGAGCCAGTTTGATGTAGTGGTTAAAGTACTGGCCTAAAACCAGGAGACTGAGTTCTAGTCCTGCTTCAGGCATGAAAGCTGGCTGGGTGATTTTGGGCTAGTCATTCTCTTTCAGCCCAACCCATCTCATATAGTTGTGATGGGGAAAAGAGAAGGCGGAAGAAGGTTTCCAACTTACTCAAACTATATCAGATGGTAGACTGCCATCGGTCCCTGTTCCTGGAAAATAAGAGAATCCAGCAATCTCAGGCTACCTCACCTTTGCTGCCCTGTTGCCAGGCCACCTACCATATTTTTCAGAGTATAAGATGCACAGGAGTATAAGATGCACCTTAGTTTTTGGGGAGGAAAATAAGAAAAAAGCTGATTGGCGTGTGGATCGGCCTCCCGGAATACCCCCAATCAGCTGTTCTCAGAGGTGAATTTTAGCAACAGGTTCCTTGGTTGTGAGCCTTGCTTTTTTTTGCTTTTTTTTTTTCTGTCTCTGAAACTTCTGAAACTCTGTTTCAGAAAAAACTTTTTTTCCTGCCTCTGAAAGCCTCTGAAACAGAGCTTCAGAAAAAAAGCCTCTGAAACTCTGTTTGGAGGCTTTTTTTCTGAAGCTCTGTTTGGGGGCTTTTTTTTCTGAAGCTTTGTTTCTGATGCTTTTTTCAGCCTCTGAAAACTCCGGGTTTTTTTGTTTTTTTTTAATTTGATTTATATGCCGCCCTTCTCCGAAGACTCAGGGCGGCTTACAATGTGCTCAGCAATAGCCTTCATCCTTTTGTATATTTATACAAAGTCAGCTTATTGCCCCCACAACTGGGTCCTCAATTTACCTACCTTAGAAAGGATGGAAGGCTGAGTCAACCTTGAGCCTTGGCGAGATTCGAACCCTGCAGTAATTGCAGGCAGCTGGTCTTAATAACCAGCTTAATAACAGGGTGCCTTAAACCCCTGTACTACCAAGGCTCTTTGAGAAGCTAGGCGGGGCTACATTCGGAGTATAAGACGCACCCAGATTTTCACCCTCTCTTTGGGAGGAAAAAAGTCCGTCTTATACTCCGAAAATTACGGTAACTGGATGGATTCATTGAGCAGTAGATAATATTGTCCGGATACCTAACCCATTTCCCCCTAACAGGTAGAGGCAGGCGAGAGAAGTCCTTTGGTCATCCCCTGACAACAGCAGAAAGGATGGCATCTATGCGGGAGAGGAAGAGGCGGTCACACGAGGAGATGATGCATGAGATCATGACCGACTATAGGAGGACCTGGGAGACCATGGAGGCTCTTCACGAGAGAAGTGAAATCAACGCTGGGGACTTCCGTGAAGCCGTGCTGAGGGAAATGCTTCTGGACAGAGAGGCCCGGACACGGGAGGCCCAATTAAACCGTGAATCCCGGGCAAGGGAGGCCCAGCTGGATAGAGAAGCCAGGATTAGGGACAACCAATTGGAGAGAGAGATTAGAATTAAGGAGCTTGGTATGATTGAAGCTGAGCTTCAGCGCACCAGGGAGATCCTCCATCCAATGGTTGATGCCGTGGCATCTGTGGCAGAGGCCTTGCGTATGGCTAGCAGGATATTGCCACCGTCTCAGCCTGCACAGAAAGTGAGGGCTGGAGTCTTCTTGGAATCAAAGGAAAGCAAATAATTTCTGTCTCTCTTTCAAGTATAAAACTTTTATCTTGAATGGAAAAGATGTGTTGTCAGGAAGTGAAGGGAGGAAAAAAGTGCTAAATTCAGGGATTTTTAATAGTAATTTTATCTTGCCCAGTAAGAGGTTGAGCCAGGCTTATCTACTCGCTTAATTAACTCATCCTGTGGAAAAGAGAGATAATGTACATTCTGGATGGTTTGGTTTGGAAAAAGAAAAGAAACTTTAGAAAAGACATTACAGTAGCTTATTGATAGGAGCCCTCCTTTCCCTTACAACCAAATCCAGCTGACTGCTTATTTGGGGTTCTTTCTGGAGAGACTTTATCCGAACGGAGGTATTGGAGAACAAAATGCTTGCATATTTTCACAATGGAGTATTGTTTGAACTGTCGACTTACAACAGTTTGTTTAGTGACCGTTTGAAGTTACAACGGCACTGAAAAAAGTGACTCATGACTGTTTTTCACATTTACGACCATTGCATTGTCAGGGTCACGTGATCAAAATGTAGACGCTTGGCAACTGACTCACAATTATGATGGTTGCAGTATCCCAGGGTCATGTGATCGCCTTTTGACAAGCAAAGTCAATGGGGAAGCAAGATTCACTTAACAACCGTGTTATTAATATAACTGCAGTGATTCACGTAACTGTTCCAAGGAAGGTCGTAAAATGGGGCAGAGTTCACTTAATAGTTGTCTTGCTTAGCAACAGAAAAGTTGGGCTCAGTTGTGGTCATAAGTCAAGGACTCCCTATAGTTTACTGTATGTGTTTGTATATGCTAGGTATGTATCATTCATAACTCTTCCTTCTCAAATTCTCATGACCTGGCTTCATTTTTCTACCAGTTAGTGGAGACAATCAATAGAGAAGAGATGCTGCCTTCACATGTACTGATAACCTCCCCTTGAAGCAACTAAGTGGTGCTTTGCAAACGAAGTGCTGGACTGGACGGAACTGACTTAGCTTCTCCTTCCAGATCTCTCATATATGTAACCAATGAATGTGGCTCTCTTAAAGTCCTTGTGGGGTGAGTTCATAGCAAATCCAAAGCCAGGTTAAAAAACCCCACAATTGCTGTGTTCACATAACTTGCTATGAATGAACGATATGATGTTTTAATGTGATGGCCCATTTCACAGAATATGGTTCCCTTCCTTCCTCTGTGGTTGTTCTTGATGTTGATAGGAAGCAAGAGGTCTGGCCCTCGTCCTCTGTTTTGCAGGGTCCTGTAGGGCTCAGTAGTTTTCTCCACTTCTGTTTAACATCTACGTGAAGCTGCTGGGTGAGATCATCTGCCACCATGGACTGAGATATCACCCATCTGTATATAACAGTTGGAAGGGACTTTGGAGGTCTTCTAGTCCAACCCTCTGCTCAGGCAGGAAACTTTATGCCATTTCAGACAAATAGTTGTCCGAACTTGTCTTAAAAACTTCCAGTGTTGGGGCATTCACAACTTCTGAAGGCAAGTTGTTCCACTGGTTAATTGTTCTGTCAGAAAATTTCTCCTTAGTTCTAGGTTGCTTCTTTTTTGATTAGTTTCCACCCATTGCTTCTTGTCCTACCCTCAGGTGCTTTGGAGAATACTTGAGTCCCTCTTCTTTGTGGCAGCCCCTGAGATATTGAAACACTGCTATCATGTCTCCCTTAGTCCTTCTTTTCATTAAACTAGACATACCCAATTCCAGCAACCGTTCTTTATATGTTTATAGCTCTCAGCCCCTAATCATCTTTGTTGCTCTTCTCTGCACTCTTTCTAGAGTCTCCACATCTTTCACATCGTGGCGACCAAAACTGGATGCAGTATTCCAAGTGTGGCCTTACCAAGGCATTATAAAGTGGTATTAACACTTCACGTGATCTTGATTCTATTTATGCAGCCTAGAACTGTGTTGGCAGCTGCAGCACACTGTTGGCTCATATTTAAATGATTGTCCAGTAGGACTCCAAAATCTCTCTCACAGTTAACTATTCTATTGAGCCAGGTACCTATACCATACCTGTTCATTTGGTTTTTCTTGCCTAAATGTAGAACCTTACTTTTTTTCACCATTGAATTTCATTGTGTTGGATAGCACCCAAAGTTCAAGTCTATATCAAGTATCTTAAGCCCATGGTGAATTTAAGCAATCATGATCTCCTTGTAGAGCTTGGAGACTGTTAAGGGCTGGATGGGGAGCAACAGACTGAACCTGAACTCTGGCAAGATGGAATGGCTCTGGGTTTGAGGTTGTTTGGTTCATGGAGAATTGCCACCTTAGGTCTTGGATGAGGTACCACTACCCCAGACAGATCTAGTGTGTAATCTGGAGGTTCTCCTAAACTCATGACCCTTGCTCAAGGAGCAGATGGCAGTTGTGGCCATGAGGCCCTTTGTGCAATTGTGGGCTATGTGCCATTTATGCCCTTTCCTGGACCAACAGTCCCTGCTCATAGTCACCATGCCCTACTTACCTTCTATCTTGACTGTTGCGATGTTCTCTACATAGACTGGCCTTGAAAAGTATCTGGAAGCTTCAATTGGTTCAAAATGCAGTGGCCCACATGGTTTTGTATGGGCCTAGATGTACATATGCGTCATCTCTCCTGCAAGGACTGCATTGGCTGCCAATTTGCTTCAAGGTCCAATTCAAGCTGATGGTTGTCATCTTTAAAGCCCTACATGCCTTGGGATCAGGTTATTTAACCTACCCAACCCACCAAAGCTGGGGCCAAGGGAATGCTATGGATCCCTCTCTCCTAAGGAGATCCATCTAGTGGTACCAAAAGGAAAAGCCATCTCTACGGGGGCTCCTTCCCTGTGGAACATCATCCCACAGATGATATGATCAGCCTCCACTTTTAACACTCTGTCTCAAGGCCCTGAAATCCTGGTTTGCCAGGATTGGGGCTTGGGTACCCCAGAGTACAATGGAAACCCTTCCAATGGCTCATTTGATTGTTGTTGCTCGGGTATGTGCAGTTATTGCTTTTTATTGTTTCTGTATTGAGCTTTTATTCTTGTAAGCTGCCCAGAATCACTGAGAATGAGTTGGGTAGCCATATAAATTTTCTTAAATAAATATGCTAAGGCAACAGCTGGGTTTCCACACCACACTGGCTCACACATATTTAACCTTACGGCAGCCTAGTCTGGTTTGTCATCCAGAGCCTATTGGGGAATATGTGTGTGCAGGAAAAAATAGGTTATCATTTCTGATGCCTCATTTAGCTATTCTGAAATACTCACAGTATTATGCTGCCTCACCAGCCAGTATCATTAAGATTACAACTGGAGGAAAAAGCCTTTCTGCTTTTGATACAGTACGTTGAGCTTCATTAGCTTCTTCCAAGAAGACCATTCTTTGTTTAAAACCAACTTCTTTACTTAGAGCGCTAATAGAAACAAAAGCCAGATAAATCCAACACTGTAAAAAGAAATTATATTTTTATTGAGCAAGATATTCAAGACATTGCATTTGACAAGACACAGTGAAAAGACCATTTAAAATTAGTATTAATTTTCCAAGAGTTTACACTTTATGGGCAGAATAATGTGGTCACTAATATTTTAGTATCTTGCTAAGGTACATGGTTGTACTTACAACCATTCATTTAAAGATGGTTTCAAGTTAAGACAGCCTTGGGGGGTGGGGGGCAGAAGTGATTTTACAGTAACCCCACATTTATGACCAGTTGCAGCATTCTGCAGTCATGGGATCCCAATTTGTGACCTTCCCAGCTGATTTCTGACAAAAAAAAAATCAACTGGGAAAGTTGGATTTGCTTAACGACCGTGGTAAAAATGGTCATAAAATTAGGCCCGGTCATGTCATGACTTGATTTACAACCATCCAATTTATGACAAAAAGTTCCAGTTTCAATTGTTGTAAATTAAGGACTATCTATAAATGTCAAAACATTTTGAATTCTTGCCTCATTGCTACACATGGTTGACTCCTAAAGTTGATAGCATGCACTGAAGAATTTTTAAAAAAACGCTAAAAAGTAACCACATTCTCTCTCCAGATTTTTATTTCTATTGGCATTCCTTTAATTTTTTTTATAGGACAATTAGTATGACTCCTAAAATGTTATATCAGGAAATATTTACTAGGTTGCTGTCTCCTGGTATGCTCCAAATATGCTCAATTTTAACTTCCATATTCCACCAGCCATTTAACTGACACTGAGTAAGGAAAGGCTGAGATGGATTAGCACTCAGTGGGCAACAATACACTTCTTGTTCTCAGCTACACACCCACACACTCAAATAGATTGCAAATAGATTTCAATGTCAAACAATGACTTATTACTAAGATCTCTACATGACATTATTGGGGGGGAATTCATCCAGAGTCTTACCCATAGGAAATCCTGCTCTACTGAACCCAATTTTCAAGGAAAGAATCAGTAGCCCTAAATGTTGCTTAAATCCTGATAGTAGGCTGGATGAGTAAACAAGTTGAAATTAAATCCAGACAAATCGGAGCTGCTGTTGGTATGGAAAAAGTAGGACTTCTGGGATAGAGAGAAGCTTCCTCTGCACAAGGTTGCAGCCCCCAGAAGGAGCAGGTTGGGGTCTGGAAGTATCCCTCGATCTCCATCTGTCACAGGACTTGCAGACAGCAAATTTGGCAAGAAGAATGTTTGCACAGTTACAAGCCACTACATCAAATGCGACCCTTCCTGAGCCAGCTGGACTGTGGCAAAATTGACCATCTGCCTTAACTGTGTTGCGTGTGAGGCTATTCTTGAAAAGGGTCTAGAAATTGCAAATACTACCAAGCAGGGCAGCTAGGCTGCTGACCGCCATAGTGTATAGAATTCATATGATTCCTGTAATAAAGATCAATAATCGCTGGCGTTTTCTGGGAATAATTCAAGCATTCTTGTATAAAATTTTTTATAAAAATTGTGTTTAAACAAAAGGAATAATTCCAGGGCAATAATGACTCATAAAACGCTACACAGTTTAGAACTTGACAATCTATGGCCAGGTGTCAAACTTGATTTCATTGAGGGCCACATCAGGGTTGTGTTTGACCTCAGGGGGCTGGGATGGGCGTGACCAGCTCGACGTCACTCATGTCGGGGTGCCTGTGTTGGCCCAAGCGCTCTGCCAGAGAAAATGGGCTCCTGAGCTCCATTTTCGCTGAAAGAGGCATCATGGGCCAGTCCTTCGCTGTTTCCAGGGTGGCCCCGCGGGCCAGATCTAAGCACCCCACGGGCCAGATCCGGCCCCCAGGCCTTGAGTTTGACACCCCTGGTCTATGGGATCACCTCTCTTGCTATGAACTTGACTACTCAGATTAGCAGGAAAAACTGTTCTGAAGATGCACTATTGTCAAAGTTTCTACCATCTGGTACGTGAAAAGTGAAAAAAGTGAAAAGTGCATGGTTCCAGGGTTTTTTTGTTTTTAAACTCTTTTACTTGTGTTGTTAAAAAGCTAATTCAAGCAAATAAATTCTCTTAGGGTCGTAATGGCTACATTTGATTTTGAGGAGGTGAGAGAGAGAGTGCCCTCAAAAGGCGAAGTTTGTGTGATGGACTACAGTGCAGTTATAGTTACCCAGGAACACATTAGGAAAGAACGAGACAAGAGGCAGCCCAGTCCAGAGCTGGATAGGAGACAGAAGAAGAGAGTAAGAATAGCCACTGCTTAGGATCTCTGAAGTTATATCTGTTAAGGTAAGAGTAGTAAGGGTTTGGTCTGGCAAGATTTTGTCTATTGGGTGTAAGCAAATTAAGAATTGAACTGTAGCCAAATTGTTCTGTCAACCTTGGTCTTAGCCTAACCGGAGGGAGAGAAAATGGTAAAAAGTAAAAATCTAAGCAAACAACCAGTATCAGAATATCTTTTTAAAAATGCATTTTAGCATTGTACACTCCCCACTTATTGCAAGGAAACATTTTTCAATACTTTAAAAACTACCGAATACACCATTCTAATCAGTAATGTTATATGTACAGAAGAGTGGCTGCGATTAAGCCGTAATGATCAATGCTTAAAAATGTAATACTGACTGACTTAATATTTACAATTGACTTAATATTTACATTTAATATTTTCAGCCCCTTGGTCTCAGGGCAGCAGACGGCATCCAATACTATAGTAGTCCAAGACTGGGTAACCAATGGCCTTCCAGATGTTGTTATGCTGCAATTTCTACCATCTCTCACTGGTGACCATAATGCCAAGTGCTGTTGAAAACTGGAGCTCAACAACAGTGAAGAAAGTCATTTACCTTTCATGGTTACACATAAGCACATTCAAATCAATGGTACAGGTTAGTTACAGATACCTTAACCCTCTCTGATTTCAGTGGGTTTTTTTTTTTAAGTGCGACTAAGTCTGGATCCAATGTAGTAATAACAACAAAAATAACAACAACGATCTACAAACAATCTGGAACCTAGATCGAATATTCAAAAATTAAAATAAAATCACAAAAGGTATGGAAAGAGAGGTAGAACAAAATGTTTCTTTAAAAATACCAATGTTGACCAAATAAAGGGTCAACAGATCACTTGGCGCAGAGAATTCCACATACTGGTGTCACACAAGGGCAAATAACAGGGTTCCTGAGGATCACTGCAGGGGACAGCCTCATGTGGCAATCTTGAATAATATAGCCGAATAAGCAGCACTTTGGATGATGCTCAGAAGCACGTCTAATCAATTAAATTGAAGAAAACTGAAGTTATGCATTAATTTAAACAAACCATACTTTAACTTGCATTTGTAACCTTGATGCATTCTTTAAATACTAAAGTCTGCACAGGCAACCTCCTATAAAAAGCATTAGAGAAAATCTAGAGATTAACAAGGATGAATTCTTGATTTACTACACTTTGAAATTCCAAAGTTGCCTCCATACAATATAGTCTAGGATTTGTAGAGGAACAAAGATCGGTCTGTGTGGCTACTATCTATGTATCACATCTTTATTCCAGCATTCCATGTGATGTGACTTTTTTTTGTTTGTAGAAATATAAGGTTTCCCTTTCAAATCTAAGCATAGCAAACTCCCAAGCCAAAAAGGAACACAGCATCAAGGATGTGTTCAGCAGTGGGGGTCCAGTCCAACTACCCTCTTTCTCTCTATGCCTTGATGAAACTTTGGAAAGAGTGCAATATATCTATTTATATATGTTTTGCACAGGCTAAGAATCTATATTAACACATTAATGATCATTTTAAAGCATTTTCCTCTAGTTACTAATAAATGTTTTACATTTCAAACTACAATGTTATTTTCTCATAAAATTGAAAAACGAATATTAAAATACATTAAGTCTTAGCTTTCTGGCATTTTTATACTTCTTGTAGCCTTATTAACCCCTGACCTCAGTCCTCTTGTTCTATATCCACTGCTCTTGGCTGTCACTTTTCTTTGTTGCTACACATTTTGAAATATTGAACATATAAGTACAAAGAGAATTTCAAAATCCTAAAATAAGTCCACTGCTTCTGGGCCCACAGATGACGACACACAGTTCTTCCAAAGCTACCATTTAGAGAGCAAAGACAATGCTAATATTAATAACCTATACAGAATTGTCTTTAGAATTTAAGTTTTCTGCCCAATATGGATTCTCTGGTGAGAAATAAGGTGCGATTTCTGATTGAAATTCTTCCCACAGTTGGGACACTTATACGGTTTCTCTCCAGTATGAAGCCGCTGATGAATAACAAGCCCAGAATTGAAGCTAAAACTTTTGCCACAATCCTGGCATGTGTATGGTTTCTGCCCTGTGTGAATGCCTTGATGAGAAATAAGGTGCGATCTCTGATTGAAGCTTTTTCCGCAGTCAGAACATTTATATGGTTTCTCCCCAGTGTGGATCCGTTGATGTATTACTAGACCAGAGTTGTAACTGAAGCTTTTCCCACAGTCGGGGCATTTGAAAGATTTCTCACCCATATGGGTCCTCTGATGCGAAAGGAGATGAGATTTTTGGCTGAAGCTTTTCTCACAGTTGGAGCACTTATATGGTTTCTCCCCAGTGTGAATTCGTTGGTGTATGATGAGCCCAGAGTTGTAACTGAAGCTCTTCCCACAGTCAAAGCATTTAAATGGCTTCTCACCTGTGTGGGTCCCATGGTGAGAAGTGAGATGGGATCGCTGGTTGAAGCTCTTGTCACAATCAGGGCACTTGTACGGCTTCTCTCCTGTGTGGATTCTCTGATGGACCATAAGCCCTGAGTGGTTGCGGAAAGTTTTTTCACAAATGATGCAGAGATACGGCTTCTCTCCTAAATGGAGAATTTGAGGTCTATTGATGCCTACATTCTGACAGAAGCTATTTTCCTGTTTTTTAGGGGTAATTTTACTTTCTCCGATGTGGATGAGTTGCTGGATCACTATTTGGTCAAGGCGTTTTAAATTCCCCTCCTTGCACTGACCAGCTTTGCTTTGTGTTTTATCAGAAGCAGCTTTTTCTCTTCTCTCTGGCAGCACATTGTAGTGACTTACAGTCCCCCTTTCCTGTTTATATCTTTGAGAGCTACTCTCTTTAGATCCTCCTCTAAACATCACCTGCATTTCTACATGCTCTGGTTCTTCTTTTATGGATGTCTGCTTCTCAGTCTTGGTTGCCATCCCATCACCTGTTGAAGTAAATCAGATTTTAAACAAAAAAGATGGTTTCCAGTCTTTTCCATCCATAATGTTAAACAATGATAACATAGGAATAAAAAAAAAGAATCCATTAAAAGTTTCAAATGACATTACTAATTGAATCTAACCCAAGAATAATCTCCAAAATTATGTTACAGCAAAAACAATGCCAGTTAGTAGAAATTTCAAATGCACAATTATATGCTGAGGAAGATAAAGCTGAGGTATAGAAAGCCAATACCATCTTTCCATTTTACTCCATTGATACATGCTGAAGGACGATTAGACAAAGAGTTGTATTTATTTTTTAAAACAATAATCAAAATAATAAGCACTCTGTTAGAGAATGTTTGCTTATCTAAGATTCCAGATTCAGAAACTGGAATTTCTGGTTAAGCAGGATCTTCTAAAGAAACTATTGTACACATAATTTCATACTCCAAATATCAGATTTAAAATTATCCATGGGGAATGGAAGTAAATTTTACTGGGGCTGCAATTCTGTGGTGTTGGAAAATGTGGGTAATTTCCAGTTTAGTTTATACCGAGAATATGCTTAATCAATCCCTATCTCCACATAAAAGCAAGAACATGTGCCATTCAGTTCAGCTAGAAAAAAATATGTGACATTATTAAACATCAGCAAATATCACATACAATTAATTGGCAAAACCCGGATCAAAATTAGAGAGAGACATAAACAAGAATTTACATTACAGGTAGTCCTCAACTTATGACCACAATAAGAATCAGAAAAATTGTTATTAAGCAGTGCAGTAATTGAGCAAGTCTTCATGTGACTGTATCTGATTTTATGACATTTTTTGCCACAGTCATTAAGTGAATCATCAGTCTTTAAGCAAGACGTCACATGACCACAACTTGCGACCACCTGCTGGCTTCTCCATTCACTTTGCTTGGATGTTGCAAGTGTCATAGTTACCAGACAGATGCCAAGTGCCTGAACCAAGGGTGGGTTCTACTTATCTTTACTACCAGTTCACAACAGGGCCGAGCATGCGCAGAAGCGTCCTGATGATGTCAGGGTCGGTGGGCGGAGCCTCCCGCCAGTTTTACTACCGGTTCTATAGAACTGGTCCGACCCGGGGGCAATCCACCACTGGCCTGAACTACAATCACATGACCATGGGGGTGCTGTTACAGTCTTCAGTGCAAGGATCACTTGTAAGCTATTTTTTTCAGTACATTTGTTAACTTCAGTCACTAAAAGAATGGTCATTAAGAAGATTACCTGTATCTACAGTATATGTCTCTAGCTATATATCAAAGGGACACGGTCACTGGAAACTATACTGAGAGTAATTAGCGTAAGTCCGGAAGGAACTGGCCTTTGCTTATTGCAGCTTTAACTCCTTTAAGTACATAATAGGAACAGACTACAAGTGGAAAGTAAGACACAAGGTGATCTAGTCTCAATTCTGCACCACAAAGGAAACAACTTGATGAAGATGATGTATGCAACATGTGGAAAGAGAGCTGAAATTCTCCCCCCATCTGCACTATTTTTCTTTGAAAATTCATTCTGAGACAGTATGAAAAATGCCTCTGAAAAGCACATAAGCATGTGCCAAAAGCACATGCTTCAAAGCAGCAACTGTTTCTTGCCACAGTCAGTGGTGGGTTGCTATCGGTTCATACCGGATAGGGCGAACCGGTAGCGGTGGCGGGAGGCTCCACCCACCCACCTGGACACTTCTGCACATGTGTGAACCGGTAGCGGCAGGATTTGGAACCCGCCCCTGGCCAAAGTACTCTACAAATTAATATTCAATGGTACACTGTCGCTGGACAAAACAAATAGCCTTCTTGGCAAAATCAGGCATCAATAAAAGCTTGTGCCCCCATAGGACATGTAGACCATTCATATTTCCTGAAAGATCACTTATAAACTGGAGCTTTTCACATTTATTTGTGATAAACATATAACACAAGGAATAATACAAATCCCCAGCCATTTAGTGAAAGCTCAGCAGCAGTTTGCAAATGAGTGTCTCTACTATACCTTTAGAGATAAACTGATACACATGCACCAACAGTAGTAGCATAGTAGTACTCCAAAAGAAAGATCATAATTAGATTTGTTGCCAAAGAGCTAAAACGTTAATGTGCCACCTTACAAATTGTATGAGCCAAACTCCTAACACTCATTTATTAATGAATTCTTTAGGGTGGAAGAATCCAAAAATTGTCTGAACCTCTTGTTCCTTGAATGGCAATCTGTCCAAGAAATTGACACTGCTGTATACCTCAAATGTTAAAATAAAAGGGAAAATCTTGTGGTGGAATGCTTGGATTACACAAAAGATTAATACTTTAAATCAGTTGATTACTAATGATGGTTTTAAATATTTTGAGAAATTGCCTTTTGACATTGATGTGTCTGCCTGCGTATAATATGATATATTCAGTTGAAACTTATGTTAATCAGTTTGGCTCAAATGCTTTAACAATCTCTAGGCTACCTATAATTTTAGCTTCATTATAAGATGCAGTGTTTGAACCCAAAAAGTGAAATGAAAGTCAGAAGTAATGAAATATTTGAAGCTGGAATGAAAAAATGCAAAATATACATCTTATGATTCATAAATAAAACATATTCATCAGAAAACATTATTTGGGATTTACTGTACCATTTAATTATTTTAAAAAAGGATAGACATTATGTTCCTTGATATGTGAAGGCCCTTTAACCCTTATGATTTGGTCTTGTTCTATCACAGCCTTGTTTGTGTTTACTAAAGTTTGTTTATGTAATATTGGAAAAAAATATTAAGGATCTCAAAGGGATATTGAATAATATCCTTAAAATGGGGTTTATTGTTTCATTAAGAATTTTGAGTTTGAGGTAAGGCGAAGAGGATAATTGTAAGTAATTGGACAGAAACATGCTTTCCTGATTTTATGGAAAGGATTCAGGACATGAATTACCTGTTTTTGAAAAGCCTTTGTTTTCTAAAAGTAAGATGAGCATATGTTGCGATATGGTCTATATTTAGTGATATGCTTAACAACTGGATTAATTTTCTATGTTTATTTATATTATATGGATTTTTCTGTTAGTTTTTTTCTGCTTTTGTCACATTTAGTTTATTTTAATCACTATAACAGATTTATCTTTTTTTTTCACTACATAAACATTAAAGCATTGGGGGTGTTATGCAGACTTTTTAAATATTTCACCATTTCAAGTCAATTTTAAAAAGGCTGATCATGAAATATCCACCAGCTCATTGTCAATAATGTTGAGATAATCCTGTTTGTTTCCCAGTCTGAGATCTCACCTCTGTTGCGGACCTGATGATAGAGAAGAAATTATTGTTTCATATTGTTTTGTCTCAAATTGTTTAAATATTGTATATTTCCCAGTGTCATAAATAAAATTCAGCCCCATCAATTAATTAAACAAATAAATAAAATGATCCATGTGGGACTAAGAGGCCGCTATTCGAGCAATTCCATTTATCATTCCAAATAGCTGAAATCTTAGTCAAAATGATTTTGGATTATTTGTTCAGGGTTTCTTTTCTCTTTGAGAAAATTCACATAGTCTAGAGCTTCTTTTCTTTGGGAAAGGAAGTAAGAGGAAATGTGATATATCTAAAACTATGCACTGGTAGAAAAGTTTTAGACTATTTCATACAATATCAGAATTCATTATTATTCCATGAAGCTAATTGGTGGAAGAAATATTTCACATACTTGAAATATTACTCTCTAGAATGGTACCCTCATGTCCATCAACTGCAGTTGCTGATACTAACAAAGGAGAATATTTGTAGCTCAGGGTTGACATGAGGGGTCCTTGGTGCACTGATGATGTTACCTAGTTTGGGTAATAAAACACCTGCAAGAAAACAAGCAAGCTCGGAGAGCACCAAGGACCCTCACGCAGTTGCTGAAAACGTATTATGCAAATTCAAAAAGGAGATAAGCACACCAGCAAAAGAAAAGCAAAAGCCCTTGAACTTAATTGTTTCAGTCTTGCAAATTGCTTGTTTACATTGACCTAGAGAAAGTAAAATCTGTCAAATAGAGCTCAACTCCTGATTGAGTTTTCTTAGCAGCAACATGGAGGTAATTTGACTGTGCCTTTCCTGGGATGCTTTTCAATTTCCCAGAATATTTTCTGGGGTGTTTCTCACACCCAACCCTGCTTAGCTTCCAAATCCAGACAAGGTCAGCCAAGGTCTGCATGATGATGTGTCAAATGAACCACCGACTGACTGTCTATCCATTAATAACATCATCCATTGGGAAGCAGGAACAGTCAGCACCTGCTATTTCATTCTTCTTGTTGTAGGCTTCTCTCAACGCCTACAATCAATTGGCTGGCCATTGTCTGGGCTGGAATGCCAGATGAAGCAGATTTTGCCCACAGGGCTCTTTCAAAACAAAATACTCTATTCCCAAGCAACCCCCAACCTGACCAACCAAAAGAATGGCTCATCCTTCAGTTCGTGCCATTAAACAGGAACTCCGTGCTTCAGTTTAATTCACTAATATCAATTTAAAAATAATAATTTTTACAGAGTGCAGGTTCCAAGCAGAGAGGCAGGTTGAAAAATACCGGATACAAATCGATCCTGGTGGGGGACCCTAGTATAAAAGGTTTTCTGCGATAAGTATTTCTTCCCTACATTCCACCTTACAGTCTTTCTTTTACCTGACCCGCTGCCAGTTTATTCGGAGTTATCTCGGAATTGATGCTAGTCTTCACTCTGGTCGAGTGACGAAGCGTTGATTCGATGTCCGCCGGGCCACTTATCTCGGTCCTATCTATCTCATAGCTTTCACGATGGCGGCAAATCTATTTACTACAGGAAGTTCATCCTCCTGGCTCAGCGGAGCGAAATGGAAAAGCCCTGATACTTCCTAGGAAACAGTAAGCGGAGCCCTCTCCTGGCAAGATGGGAGAGGGGCTTCTTCTACGCTGAAAAACACTTATTTTAGGTGCCGCCCAGGAGAAGCTTTTTAAGTTACCAACGCCTTTTTCTTCAGAGCTAGGAGTAAAAAAAAAATCATCCTGGGCAAGTACTGTAAAAAGCTAGCGCATCGGGAGAAATTGTTTTGCCAGCTCCACGGATCGTTTTGAATTAGCAGGGAGCTTTATTGCTATTTACTGGCAGGTTACTACTACATTCAAAAACATAATTTCCGCCATGGCTCCTCTAAAAATTATGCTGAATATTCAGAAATCCATATTATGTTTCATTTGAATGTACTATAAGTACTAAGTACTATCCAGTCTGGTGGAGTGTGTGCGTGTGTGTGTAAATGGGCTATGTCTGTGTAAATCTGGGCAGGTTCATACCAGTAGGGAGTTTGGTGCAAAGGCCCTGCCTCGGATGTTACATGGATTAACAACAGTGGTGGGTTTCAAATTTTTTTACTACCGGTTCTGTGGGTGTGGAATGGCTTGGTGGGCATGGCAGGGGAAGGATACTGTAAAATCTCCATTCCCACCCTACTCCAGGGGAAGGATACTGTAAAATCTCCATTCCCACCCCACTCCTGGGGGAAGGATACTGTAAAATCTTCATTCCCACTCCACTCCAGGGGAAGGATACTGCAAAATCCCCATTCCCTCCCAATCAGCTGGGACTCTGGAGGCAGAGAATACATGGGGGCAGGGCCAGCCAGAGGTGGTATTTACCGGTTCTCCGAACTACTCAAAATTTCCGCTACCGGTTCTCCAGAACTGGTCAGAACCTGCTGAAACCCACCTCTGATTAACAAGGTCCATGTCAGATGTTGTGAGGAACCAGGTCAATCTGACAGTTGGGCTACTAGAAACAAAACCATACATGGAGAAGACAAGAGAACCTGGAACTGATGGATGCTACTACAACGGTAGACCTAATGAGAGAGAAGACCAAAGTGGTCGCAGTGGTGGTTGGAGCGCCTGTGGCTATGACTCCTAAATTGAGAGAGTAGATCCAACATATTCCAGGAACAACCTCAGAGTTCTCTGTTCAGAAGAGTGCAGTGCTAGGAACAGTTCGAACCTTCCAACTTCCATGCCTCTGGTAGAGAATCTAAGATTGAGGAAAACACAGACCACCCATAAGGGTGAAAATGGACTTTTTAATTATATTGTAAAATAATATTGTATTACTATATAGATATATTAATATCAACACAGTATATATATAGTATAAAATGCATTTTATATATATAATTATTATCTAGGATGTTAAAATGTGACAGTAGAATTATGAGGAAGTTTCCATATACACTAGAAGGAGCTATTTTTGGATGCCCCTCTGTGGTAAAATAAAAATATCAGCATATCAAAGATTCTTGGTGTCTAATGCCTTGCACTTATTATCCCTATATTATTATATTTTTATCCTGCCATTTTAATATATCTCAAAACAGAAAGCATATATACACCTACCTCCTATTTCCCTGCAACAACAGTCCTGTGAGGTGGGTTGGACTGAGAGAGACAGTGGCCTTCCCAAAGTCACCAAGCGAGTCTTCTGATTTCTAGGCTAGCACCTTAACCACATAAAGAATATAAAAAAAGGAGGAAAGGCAATTGTGAAATTACCATCCTGTCAGATAAGTAAAAGGAATTTGCACTTTATGCAGGCCACTTCTGGCTGCCGAATGAAAACATTTTTGTGAATAGGGATGCTAATTTGTTGGTGAGCCAATTCATAGATGGCCAATATTTCATTTTATATCATTTGGCTGAGTAATATGCTACATATCAGCATTTTTGCTGCTTTTGTTGATTTTCAAATACCTTTGGACTTTACAGTATTCCAAGGAAAAATTATGGAGATCATTGGAAGTTTCCATAATAAATCATGCCTTTTCACTCATTTGTACCTGTATGAAAACACCTGTCTGAGGATTTGTTGAACATCTTCAAACTTTTCAAAAAAGAGGAGGGGAGAGACAGAGAGGTGAATCTCCAGTTTAATGTTTATATTGATCATTTGTTTAGGCACTCTCTCATCCTATCTTTTATTTCCCAATAGTGGGTAGGAGACAGATTCCTACCTGTATTAAAATGCACAGGTATCTGTAATGTTTGCTAACCTCAGGCTTCTGAATGGCTTGGATTTTGCATATTACACAATTTGTTGAGAGATGTATAACTGGGATTCTTAGGATTTTTTTTCCCTAAAATTGAGGATTCTATATTTCCTCAGCAATTTATGTTTTCCAGGGCAAGGCAGGTGCAAAGGACTGTGTTTACAATGACTTCTTTATCTTGGAAGCAATGCAGTACATCTTGAATGCTCCTTGGTGTGTTCCCCATCCCAGTACTTCCTTGTGCTTGGAGGCAGAAGCTAGTTCAGTAGCAGTCTGAGTCTGGATAAGTAAAATAACTTAAAATTGATATTCTGTTCTGAGAACTTAGGAAGAGGAGCGATTGAACCCATGTCCAGGCAACAACTAGGTTACAACCTTTCACTATATTTATTTTCTAAGAATGCTCACTCAGTTTTTATAACACCCATGGCATTCCGTCAAATTAGAATGTTACTAGCTGTTGGTGCTTTGAGAAATATCAACTTCCCGTTAATTTCTTTTTAATTAAATTTAAAATTAAAAAAAAATATTATGAGCCGAGGTGGCAGTGTTTAGAGTGGCAGTACTGCAGGCTACTTCAGCTGACTGCTAGCTGCAGTTCAGCAGTTCAAATCTCACCAGCTCAAGGTTGACTCAGCTTTCCATCCTTCCAAGCAAGGAGCGTAAAATGAGGATCCGGATTTTTGGGGTCAATATGCTGACTCTGTAAACTGCTTAGAGAGGGCTGTAAAGGCACTATGAAGCGGTATATAAGTCTAAATGCTATTGCTATTGCTATTTCCATTCATTTCTTTTAAATTAAAAATAATCTTTTTAAAAAGTCAAGTGTAGCAGGGAAATGTTATGCTTATTAACTTTACTTTGTAAATAATGTTCTTGTAGATAGGTTGCTTACAATCTAAACATTCGATCAAAATAATGTATTTTATCTTGGTTAGAGGAAAAAAAAAGAATATAGCATCCAAAAATAGAGTGCATCTTAAATTGGAACTCATAGGTGATTTCCTAGTGTTCAAATTTATATAGAAATATATAAAAAACGGTTGTTGAAACTGGATATGTCTAGTCTTATGAAAAAAAGGGTTAGGGGTGACATGATAGCAGTGTTCCGATTTCTCAGAGGCTGCCACAAAGAAGAGGGAGTCAAATTATTTTCCAGAGTACCTGAGGGTAGAACAAGAAGCAATGGGTGGAAACCAATCAAGGAGAGAAGCAACTTAGAACTAAGGAGAACTTTCCTGACAGTTAGAACAATTAATCAGTAGAACAACCTGCCTGCAGAAGTTGTGAATGCTCCAACACTGGAAGTTTTTAAGAAGAGATTAGATAACCATTTCTCTGAAGTGGTGTAGGATTTCCTGCCTAAGCAAGGGGTTGGACTAGAAGACCTCCAAGGTCCCTTCCAACTCTGTTATTTTAAGTGTGGGGTTTTTTTTTTCCTAAGACTTTTCTACAGCGTGGATCTTCTGATGCCTATTTAAATGTGATATCCACCTGAAGCTTTTTCCACACTTGGAGCATGAATAGTGTTTCTCTCCTGTATGTATCCTCTGGTGTGTAAGAAGGCTTGTGTTCACATGGAAACCTTCCCCACAGTCCGGGCATTTAAAAGGCTTCTCAGAGGTATGCACTCTTTGATGCCTGATAAGAACTGAGCTGTAACTGAAGTTTCTCCCACATTCAAGGCACTTGTAGGGTTTCTCTTTTGTGTGTATCCTCTGATGGATAAGAAGGTTGGAGGTCCGATTGAAACATTTCCCACAGTCTGAACACCGGAAGGGTTTTTCACCTGCATGTTCAATCTGGTGCCTGATGAGATCAGAACTGTATCGGAAGTTTTTCCCACATTCTAAACACTTGTAATGTTTCTCCCCTGTATGAGTTCTCTGGTGGATAATCACATGGGAAGAGTGATTGAAACTTTTCCCACAGGTCAAACAAGTGTAGGGTCTTTCTCCTGTGTGGATTCTCTGGTGAGCAATGAGGTGTGAACTCTTGCTGAAGTTCTTCTCGCATTCAGTGCACTTGTAGGGCTTTTCGCCTGTGTGGACTCTCTGATGGGCACTGAGAGCAGAGGTTCTGCTGAAGATTTTCCCACAATCAGGACACGGATGCTGTTTCTTAGACACTCGCTTTCTTTGCTGACTTGGCTGTTCCTTGGAGTTTCCTTGTGATATGATGGACTTTATTCTTCTGGATCCAGGGTTTTTGGCATTTTGTTTCCCTGTTCTCTTCTGGTTTTTAGAAGCTTCTTTTTCCTGGGAATTATTCTTTTGAGGTATTCCTCCCACTTTCCTGCATAGTTGTATTTGTCCTGTTTTTTTCTCCTTGGAAGTGTTTTCCATTTTCTGTCCAGTGGCTGGAATGGAAGCAAAAATAAATAGCTTTGACATCATATCACAAATCTGGGAAGAAAGCAAATCATAAATGGTATCTAGGAAGTAGGGGTGAAATCCTACCGGTTTGGGTGAACTGCTAGGGATTATGGGCATCAGTTCGCCGAACTGGTAGTAATTACCCCTCCTTGGCCCCACCCACGCCCAGCTGGTCGCCGCTCACCTCTTCTGGCTGCTCAATATTCCACAGAATTCAATGTTAAATGCAGCAGAGAGAATGCTAACTTTTCTCCCTCCATTCAGAACAGAGCTGTTGCAGCCTGTCCCTTTAAGGTAGTCCCCAGGAGGGAGGGGGACGGGAGGGAGGGGAAAGCAGCTGGAATAGAGCCGTTTTTGTGAAAGGCAGGGAAATGGGGAAGGGGATTTTCCTGCCTGTCATCCATTCCTCAATCTTAGCACAGATTGAGGGAAGGATGGTAGGCAGGAATATCCCCCCCCCCATTTTCCTGCCATTCGCGACAAGGAATGGCTGGGAGGGGAGGGGCCGGTGAGGAGCCCCTCGATGTGAGTGATGTCGAGTTGGCCACGTCCACCCAGTCACATCACCTCCCCCCAACAAGCCATGCCCACAGAACCAGTAGGGGAATTTTTTTAATTTCACCCCTGCTAGGAAGCATCTTCTTGAACTTGGGGGACTACATGAAACATTCCAGAGGTAATTCTTTCAACCAAACCTGTAAAATAAGTCAACTTTATTGCCCCCTCCACATCTTCCTGCTGAATCCAAAACACAGTACAAAATGAACTCATGAACTAAATTCAGTTCTTCAGGACAACATGTACACTGGAAATTATTTGTCTTTACCATCTTCTGTAAAAATCAAACAAATAAACAACCCTTCTCAAGTCTTGCTTATAGCTTTAAGATTCTCTGGAAGTCTCCCAGCCAGTGATGGGACAGAGAGCCGCAGCAGAGGGCCCAATGCAGCTCTGGAGCCGCGAGTTGCCCACACCAGTTCTACACACCAGTTCTATGCTAAAGAATCACTGAGGGTTTTGTACCAGATGTGTTTCAAAAGGCTTCTACTACAAACATCAGCTAACAACTGTAAAATAAAATTGGCTTCATGTATTGGCAAAATATAGTCTAGGCAATATTTGAGGGTGAATTCAGTGGCATCATTTTTCCCTTATTTAAATGAGTTGAAGTGCTTTCTTTGCAGTGACTGTTGTGCTGTTAGGTCCCTGTGTACAGTAGTGGGATTGTCTTTGGACCACAGGTGCTCTTTTGGCTTGTGTCATATCCCCTGACTAGATAAGTCCATCTTTTCTTAACTTTGTCCTCTACTGATTCGTTAAATTCATAACTAACATAGCCATATTGGCTGGGAGTGCTGGGAATTCTAATTCTATAATACATGGAAACTACTAGATTTGGGCAAACTGGAATACTGTACTCCATCTACCATGATGTGCGGCCAGCTGGGATTTCCATGAAGATTGACACAGTTCCCCAAAAAATCTTACTGTGGTAGGATGCATAGAATTAACATACATAGAATGAGCTACAAGGAGCTGAAATGTGGCACTTAGAAAGACAAAGGACAATATCACAGGATGGACTGTATCGCCCCCTACAGTTGGATCAGCAGCAAGCTAATAAAATGCATTTCATTGAACTTGGTTTCTCTCTTTCTCTCTCTCTTAAAAAAACAAAACAAAACAACAACACCCCTATGCATAATCAAACTTGAACAGTAGTTGGGTGGGAGACTGCCAGGAAACCTCAGGCTGCAGACTCGACTGAGAAATCTAAAACATGCTGGAAAAAGCTGGTTGCAAATCACTTCGGTATTACTGTATTGCCAAGAAAACAAGATAGCCATGTTCATGAAGTCACCAAGAGTTCAGCTTGACTCAAAGGAGACTTCATCATTAACATGAATAGTAGCAATTTTGGTATAGTAGTTAAAAGTACCAAGTCAGTGACCAGGAGACCATAAATTCTAATCTTGTCTTCAGCAGGAAGCCCTCTGGGTTAGCTGGTACCCAGAAACCTCTTTTAAATGAAAATTAGAGAAATTATACACTCGGAACCTTCTACTGTACATGCAAAAATGTTCATGACTATGATTCCAATTTACCAATGAAAATAAAATAAAATATATGGATGGAATGACATCTCATGGACTACAGTTCACAAAAACATTTGTAATAAATTAAGATACTACCGTGTTTCCCCCAAAATAAGACCCTGTCTTATATTTTTCTGAACCCTTATTGCCATGCGCTCAAAAGCCCGATTGGGCTTATTATCAGGGGATGTTTTATTTTGGGGGAAACAGGATACAAGGCTTGCTATTACAGTATTTTGACAAGGAGAGGAACAATCCTTACATGCTTCAGCTTTCATGCAAAAAATTGCCATAGATTTAAAGTGTGCTTCTATCAAGAAAATAAGACTTGATTTTTAAGCCCTCACAATATAGATTTGTTGAATTATAACTGTTGCCCTCCCACTCCCTGACTAACCTTCCAGTACCTTAGATATTTTGAACAAATGTTCCTCCACGTTCCCCCCATCTAAAAATTTAGCAAATAAAAAGTATCAAATCTGACTCTGAGAATAGAATAGAATAGAATAGAATAGAATAGAATAGAATAGAATAGAATAGAATAGAATAGAATAGAATCTATTCCTCCACGTTTAACTCGGTCAAAACAGTTCCCTATCTTCGTTTCTTTTCCCTTTACACACACCGATCCTCGTCAATTCTCCAGTTTCATTATCCTCCAAAAGCATTTCCTTCTTCGCCAAGGATCTGTGGGACCGTTCCCTTCAACTCTTTTTCTTTTCCCCTCCAAAGGCTGTCTCTAAGTCAGGGAGAAACTTCCAGCATTTAACCAAGCCCGGCTTGCGAAGGACCTCAGTCCCCACTTCGGTCGGTCAAAGAAAAAGCTCAATCAAGTACTCCCAGCATCCGCCGAAGAGAAACAGACCTCCAAGGCGACGCTGTCGCGGCTCGTTCTCTGGCCAAGTCAGGATGTTCCTCAGCAGAGAGGAAGAGGGAGCGACTTCCTCTTGGCTTTCCTAGCTGAAATCGAGAGGCCTCTGGCGGCCAACACCATTTTCAACATCGGAATATTTTCTTTATTTTTGTTCTCTTTGGCCACGGGAAGAGCAGGATTATGGAAAACAAGCAAACAACCGAAAGCATCTTTGCCACGTTAAAGGCAGAGAGAGACTGTCGAAAGTCCCGCAGAAGCTGAGATCCCGCAGATCGAGATCCCTCTCGTGGTAGCTCGGCGAGAAAGAGCTCGGGGCAAGGGCCCGATGGAGAGCCGGAAAGGCGAGGACGAGCAAGAAGTGGAAGCGTGCATTCATGCCGGTTTGCAGTACTTTGGCAGAATAGAATATTTTATTATTAAAATAAAAACAACCCCCAAAACACACTAAGAGATTTTTTTAAATTCGTGTTTTAAAAAAAAAAATCCAAAAAGTCTCTTCAAGGCATTAATCTTTTTTTCCTCTGGACATCCTTTCAGGTTTTATAAAGGTCTATAGTTTATTTGTAATTCTTTTGACTGCAAAGCCTTTATCTGATGTTCCACTATTGCATCAAAATAAGAGCTGCCTTAATTTTATTGTGATTTTTGTATAGTCCTCAGATTCAATTGATAATTCTTTTTATTTGTTTTTTCCCCCATTTTTTTATTTATTAAATTTTTATGCCACCCATCTCCCCTTTAAGATGACTCTGGACTTTTAATTTTGGACTTTTATATTACACTTGAGTTTTAAGCGCAATATAAATATCGATTATCATCATACAAATACTAAAATGAATTTGATAATAATTACACTAATTATGTTAATATTAATAAATTATATTATTTCCCCCACCTCTGCAAAAAGAATGAGTTTAAATGACAACAAAAAAAAAATTAAAAGTATTGATGAGGAAACAGGATTATAAAGATAAGACACCAAATTTGGAGGGTGGGTTAATTATATGGAACCTCTATGGTCACCCTATATATTTCTGATAAGGAACTGTAATGTCCAGGAAACACACGGGATATGGAAAAAAGGGTCTCTTAAATCCAACGATATCCAAGTTAGGACCACGCAGGGCTGCATCCCCCTTGCTTCACAACAGCAGCCAACCTGTCCCTAATCGAGCTTCACGAGGAGAAAAGAAAGAGTCATCAACGGGGCTGCATTTCCCCTCTTCCCTATATTTTCCCTTGCTCGGCCCTCTCTATCCTCATCAAGTTCTCACAGGAACAGCCAATATTGTATAGCTATTCTGCCATTTAACTCCGAAAACTGATTTTAGCCAGAATGAAGTTTTCACTCAGGTCCGGTACTTTCGCCTTCCCTCTACCTTAGCAACAGAAGCAGCAACGGAAGAGGGGGGGTGGGGTTGGCTTCGGCCCAGGCGCGAATTCCAGAGCACCAGGACTGAGCCCGAGCCTGAAGATTCGCGTACTGTATTATTCTCAGCTGTCACCTTGGATTTTTCTCCACCTCGGAGGAAAAACGATCGGCAGCCGCCCTGATTTTCACGCGGAGCTATCGATTTGCTGCGTCTGCGATTAGGCGGCTTCCTGCACTCCTTGAGACCTTTACTGCGCAATCACGGGATGTCATTGCACTAAGAAAGTGAGACGAGCGAAATAACCAGCACCTCCGGCTAGTTTCGTTATACCTCAACTAAGTCCTGACAACATCGGACTTAGAAATAAACCAGATAGTTTTAGCTCTAGATGTGAGGTAGTCCCAGAACATAGGAGCAAGTTTGGCTGTTGCTGCTGGTGTCCCTTTTCCCCCTCATCCTCAGACTGTAGTCACTTTTCTCCTTAACTCATTCTCCTTATGAGACCATCTCATGCAGCTATTTCATCAAGTTTTGGGGACAGATTAATATAATTGATATCTTTTTGGAACGTTTCACATCTTCTTTGTATGTAGGATCTTGGTTTTAATCTTTATTAGGTATTTATGGCAATCCAGATTGAGGATCGAGCAAATTGTCTGCCACTCAGTGTCTGTGGATTGGAACAACCTATAAACCCTTTAAATGAAAAAACAAAAACATTAAAAAAAAAAGAGAATGGAAGAGAAAAAGAATAAATTCTGAGATTGAGCCAGGTATTTTAGGTATAAAATTCCATTCAAAAACAATCTCAAACCAATGAAGATTAATGACTGACCCATCCATTTCCCCTCAATCTTTCCCCTCCCACGCCTCGTATTTTCAAATTTGACTTGCTATGGACGAAATACAGTCATTACAGTACTTCATGTTAGAAAGCAAATATAGACAGAGTACTAGTTCAGGGGTTTTCAAACATTTTCAGGCTATAGAATCTATTTGTTGGTTTTTTTATATCCCACAATCCTTGATTAAGAAGGAAAGCTCCAATGATAGAAAATTAGCTGTATCTGAATGAACTTTTTTTAAATATAGTCTTTGCTGTAACTGCATCAAATTCTCACAGAACACTAGGGTTCTGGTTTTCAAATCCACAATTTAAGGCGAGTAGGTTGCTGAGAATATAGACCCTTTAAATGTAAAACCCAGAGTGCACGATTGATTTTACTACCTTTAGTATCCCCACTACATCCCCACTACTGTAAAATGAGGCTTCACTTGGATGTTACTTTGCTACAGGGGATGAATGGTCAAGAAAAATCAAGATGGCAGCTGCGATAGTCTTCTACACAGTAGAAGCCCCCACTCCTTTATATGTATGATAGCAATAACACTTAGACGTATATACCGCTTCACAGTGCTTTCCAGCCCTCTCCAAGCAGTTTACAGAATCAGCATATTGCCCCCAACAATTTGGGTCCTCATTTTACCAACTTTGGAAGGATGGAAGGCTGAGTCAACCTTGAACCAGTGATCATACAACACCCATTAAAAGTGTTTGGGACTTCCATTGTGTAATTGGAACTGCCCTCTTGACATAGTACCACCCATTATATTTTTAAGAAGATGGTGTCTCACTCCACTTTCAGATCAAAATTATGTAATCAGGACAATAGCATTATAGCTATTGTGCCGATAATAGCATCAGACTGCATTTCCAAAAATGCTGGGGAATTTCAATTTTGACACCTATTTACCAAAAGATAATTATCCCTTCCCCCCTCCCTTTTGTAATGCTTTTGTATGCTTAGTTCATATGGGATAACATACATGTTCTAAATAAAAAATTCCATCAAGACAGCAGCTTTGGAGTTATCCAAACTAATGGCAAACACTGTATGGAACAAGCCCCAGCTAGCGCACCAAGGGCAAAATTGATGGCAATACAAGTAGTCCTCGAAACATCACTGTATTGGAATCTACCCATTACAGATGCATATTGTGAGAGTCATGTGATTTTATCTTTTTTTGTGGTGGTCATTAAGTGAATGCTGCGAAGTTTTAAGCAAACATAGATTGTTAAGTGAACCAATGGTTTGCTGTGGACATGGTTTTGCTGAAAAATTGGAAGTTTGCCAAAAAGCAAAACAGTTGTAAAACACAGTCATGTTACTGTGGGACACTGTAAATAGCCATAAATATGACTAGCACCAGAAGTTTGGTCATATGACTGTGGTGGGGGCCGGAGTCCGGACTATCATAACTTCGAAACAGGTCATAAATCCCCTTTTCTGGGTTGGTCATAACTTCAGACACTAAGCAACCGGTCATAAATTGAGGACTGCCTCTATGTGGCTGACATGATTGACATGCTTTTGGCAGGACTCGACAGCTGAGTAAGAGCTGATAAATGCTCAACTGTATGAATGTATTTAATTATTTTCTTATTCCAGAGAATATCAGGGCATAGCAAGCGAAACCACCATATTGACAAGCTGGAAATCAAATCCACAGAGAGACAAATTAAAGGCTGAAAGTGAATGCAATCTGAAGTATTTGGATTCTACTACATACCTTTCTGCAATTTTCCTACAAAGTGAATTGTATTCCACAGAAGCATATGCTAGTTTCATATGCTTCTGTTGCTTCTGTTGTTGATAAAGATCTGTTGCTCTTTTAGAGTAACTGTATGCCCTGCGATCGTCTCTTTATGACCAAACACAATTGCCACTTTAGAATCTGACAAATTTTATACTAATTTATGTACTTGGAACATTTTCAGTCATCATTCTTGAAAACTGTGATACTTTCATCAGTTATAAATAAATCTGTTTAAAATATGTTCCATCTCTGTGAATGCTTTTCCAAAGACTTTGTAAAGGACCTATACTTATGTATGTTCACATATATATTCACACATGCTAAATTGGCAAACCCTGTTACCCTTTGATTTAGAAATGGTCTGTGAACCCATTTAAAATGAAAAAAATTAAATTTTTTAAATTAAAAATTTCCTGGCCTAATCACTTTCAAATAAACTGTATTATGACTCCCATCTGCCTTTCCATCCTTGGATGGTGGGAGTTGTATCCTAAAACTTCTGAAAGCACCAAGCTGGAAAATCTTAGAGTAGGATCCAACCAGAGGTGGGTTTCTGCAGGTTCTGACCAGTTCTGGAGAACCGGTAGTGGAAATTTTGAGTAGTTCATCGAACCCGGTAGTAAAAATTCTGACTGGCCCCACCCCCATCTATTCTCTGCCTCCCAATTCCCAGCTGATCAGGAGGAAATGGGGATTTTGCAGTATCCTTTCCCTGGAGTGGGGTGGGAATGGAGATTTTACAGTATCCTTCCCCTGCCATGCCCACCAAGCCACACCCACCAAACCACGCCCACAGAATTTGAAACCCACCACTGGATCCAACACAGCATGGCAAGGACATCTTGTTGGGCAATGGTAGAGAATTAGGAAAGGAGGAGACAAAGGAAAAGGGGGCATGGAGAAAGGGACAGATGTTGCTGGACAAACTATCAAGTAAAGGCACTAATTTATTTCTGAGTTGGAGTTGAAGACCTTTTTTTACAAAAATTGTTTATTAGTGTCAGAATCTATGTACAGTATATTTTTCCTACTCCCTATCCTACTCATCCTGGGTTGTCATGGCATAATAGTTTTGGATTTCTAACACTCCACCGACTCAGTCAAGAACACAGCAGCTGGATCGTAGATGGGCTTTAAAGCAATACGAAAGGATGCCATTTTTAGCCAAGAAACACTTTTCTATATAGGACATATAAAAAAGAAAATTATAATTTTCCATTTCCCAAACTCTTATTACCACAACCAACCATTTCTTAGCTTAAAGTTCTGGAGTTTAATGGGAAAACATTTCAGGACCCCAGTTGTGATTCTGACCACCTCCAAGAGCAGAAAAGTGTGTTGACTTTCAGAGGAGGAAATCTAACGACAGGTAACACTTTCCACCCTCTCAAAAACCTTTGGGGTCCCCATAGCTCTTACATGTCTGGAAAAGACTTTCCATTCACAAAAGAGATGCACACTGGCTGCAGAGTTAACATCCATCCCTTGTCTCCCATTGGTCCAGGAAGAGGCTATCATCAAAGAGAAAGTCAAGAAAATTTAAGAACCTTTTTTTCCTCCGCCCCCCTCCCCAAAAGTTAGAGCCCAGTAGGTGTTGGATGAGCAATTCTGTTGCCTTCAATCCTTCTCACTCTCATCTTTATGGATTACTTTGGCCTACAGGTTACTGGATTGTAGGCAAAAAGTATAGTCATGGGCTGCATCCAGACCATGAGCACCATTTTTGTGATGAGCTGGGGCCAAACCTTCTACTTTCCCCTGTTCTGAATGCTTTGGGGGATCGGAAGATGAAGAGGCAAAATGGAAACCTTAAGGCAGGGGTCCCCAAATTTGGCAGCTTTAAGACTTGTGGACTTCAACTCCCAGAATTCTCCAGCCAGCATAGCATAGCTGGCTGGAGAATTCTGGGAGTTGAAGTCCACAAGTCTTAAAGCTGCCAAGTTTGAAGACCTCTGCCTTAAGGCCTACGCTGGCTTAAGTTGCCAATTTCACCCCATAAAACTGGTCAACTCTCCCAGCCTTCCTTTTTTGTAGTATGGTCATTCAAAGCCTGGTCCAGTGTTTGACCCACCTTCACCTACCGGGTTTTCTGACGACTGTGAAGTCTCTGGTGAGCAATAAGAGGCGATTTTTGACTAAAGCTCCTCCCACACTCAGAGCAAACATACGGCTTCTCTCCCGTGTGGGTTCTAATATGTTGGGTCAGGATGGAGCTCACCCGAAAACTCCGTTCACATTTGGGACATTTGTAAGGTTTCTCTCCTGTGTGGATTCTCTGGTGTTTACTGAGAGTGGAGAGAATGGTGAAGCCCTTCCCACAATCGGGGCACTGAAAAGGCCTTTCCCCTGTGTGAATCCTCTGGTGCACACTGAGGTGGGAGCTGCGATTAAAACTTTTTCCACATTCCAGGCACAAAAAGGGTTTTTCAGCTGTGTGGACACGCTGGTGCTCAATAAGGCTTGAGCTCACAGTAAAACTTTTCCCACAGTCAGGACATTCATAAGGTTTCTCCCCCGTGTGGCTTCTCTGGTGAGTAACAAAATTGGAGCTTTGACTAAAACTTTTCCCACATTCGCCACACACGTAAGGTTTCTCCCCCGTGTGAACACGGTGGTGCTTGATGAGATCTGCTTTGTAACTGAAACTCTTGTCACAGTCTGGACATTTGTAAGGCTTTTCTTCCATGTGGATTTTCCGATGTCTACTCAGAGTGGAGCTGGCCCCGTACCTTTTACCACATTCGGGGCATTTGTAAGGTTTTTCGCCCGTGTGGATCCTTTGATGGGTGCTGAAGTTCTTACTGTGAGTGAAACATTTCCCACATTCCAGGCACTTATACAGTTTATCTGTGGGGCAGACTTGCTGAGGTTCGGAATGATCTGACTTGCCCAAAAGGTTTTCCCCAAGACTGGGACATCTCAAGCATTTTTCTCCCATTGGGGGATTCCTTATGAATTTCTTCACCAATCGTTATGTAATTCTAAGTACCAAAAATGGGTAACAAGCCACTTTCCTCTACGTTGGATTTTTTTTTTAATGTGGAATAAAAATTGAGTGTTTGCAGAAGGGTTGCATGAAACAAACAAACAAACAAACAAAAAAAGAATTAGTAAAAGATGGCTTTGTTTTCCAAAGAATAATAAGATGACATTTTGGCTAGAATGATCAAAGTATTTCTTTGTTTGATTAGCTTTCATTCAAGGTCATTACATCTTCTCTTGCCTCTTTAGACGTTGCCAGAAAGGGGCAAGATGAAAACATGGCTTCCTCTGTGATCTGCTGCCAAGCTAGAGAATTCAGATAAAGGACTTTATTTGCAAAAATTCAGAAAGTCAATTTAGTTTGAAATATATTGCCACATTCCCTTAGTTCCCACATTTAGGCAATCAGGTTTAGTCCTGTCAGCTTCATCCATCAAGGCCAACACCAAGGGATTGAGGGAATTACATCCAAAATATAAAATTTGTATTAGTAAAGGTAAAGGTTCCCCTCGCACAAATGTGCTAGTCGTTCCCGACTCTAGGGGGTGGTGCTCATCTCCATTTCAAAGGCGAAGAGCCAGCACTATCCGAAGAAGTCTCCGTGGTCATGTGGCTGGCATGACTAAATGCCAATGGTGCACGGAATGCCGTTACCTTCCCACCAAAGGGGGTCCCTATTTTTCTACTTGCATTTTTTACGTGCTTTCGAACTGCTAGGTTGGCAGAAGCTGGGACAAGTAATGGGAGCTCACCCCATTACGCAGCACTAGGGATTCGAACTGCTGAACTGCCGAACTTTCGATTGACAAGCTCAGCATCTTAGCCACCACGTCCCACAGTTTGTATTAGGGTATGTTTATCTCTGCTCTACCCAATTGTGAGTAAACCGGTGTAAAGGTATAGATTAATATTTTCTTTGAAACAAACTTAACTTCTAATGACTATAATGACATATTCCAGGAAATTTAATCTCCAGATACCAATCATGGATTTTACTTGTTCAACATCCAGGTCATATCTTAACAGTACTCTATCTTTAACTTCTCCATTTTTTTTCTATAAACCTATTACTAGCATAGCCACCTTCATCTCACTCAACTGCCTAGAATTAAGAGTAGATTTAAAGTGATCAAAAGCAAAATCTTATACTAAATGAAAAGCAAACAGCTAGAGGAAGAACCCCTGGCCTGCTACATCTCAACACTGCTCACACCCGAGAGCTAAATTTGATTGGTGACAATCCTACAGAAACAAAATCTCCCATTTGTGCCACAATAAACTTCCTTACATTTGTTTCTAAGTCCATGGATCTTCTAGAGCAGAGATTAGATGCTAGAGTTACTGTGCAAAATTATCTGCTTCAACCCCACCTATAACACATATGAGTCTCCTCAGCACCGCCACTTGCTGACCGTACAAAAATAGAATTGTTTTTCAGTTGGATCTCTAAGGCTTTTGGCCATCTGGAAAAAATATTAAGTGAAGTAGAGAAAAAAAAAAAGGTGGGGGAGGAATCATGTCAGTTCTAGCACCCTCATTCTTGGGATCTTGCAAAAAAAAAAAAAAAAAAAAAAAGCTCCTGAATATAAAATATGCTCATCATCTTCTTTAGCAGGTGTTTCTTTTTGTAGAACTACCATTTTTTTCGGAGTATAAGACGCACCAGACTATAAGACACACCTACCCTTTTTGGTGAGGAAAACAAGAAAAAGAAATCTGCCTCTGCTTCTGCCTCCCAGCAATTTTGCCTCCTTGCAGCAAACAGCAAACAGCCTGCTTTACTTTCATTTTCGTTTTCAGCATAGCTTGATTAGCACAAGAAAAAAAAAAAATCTGCTCCAGCAATTTACCTCCTTGCAGCAAGCAGCAGAGGCCCCAGCAAAACAGCTGAGAGAAAAACAGCTGAGAGTCGGGAGGCCAATCCAATCAACTTGTGCTAATTAGGCTGTGCTGAAGCTGAAAGGAACTGTTTCTTCTTGCTGCTTGTTGCAAGGACGTAAACTGCTGGGAGGCAGAGGCCAAAGGATGGGGGCCAGTGGGTGCGCGGGGCTACATTCGGTATATAAAAAGCACCAAAATTTTCACTCCCTTTTAGGGGCGGGGGGAAAGGTGCATCTTATACTCCAAAAAATACGGTATCTAGAATGACAATTTTCTAAGGAAACTGGAAGAAGTGCTCTTAATGCATATGGGGGCATATCATGGCTGTAATAAAGAATACTGTATTAACTAATGCATAATTGTACAAGTAGTCCTAATTAGTGACCTACCTTACATGCTGGTTGTGAAAAGTACGTGGGACTGGTAAACGCCTAGAATGGAATTCTGCCCTGGAATTCTGAAAACAGAATAAATAGCAGGAGAATCACAATTTCTGAAAATTCTTCAGAGCAAGATTTCTCTCTTAGTATAAAGCAAGTACAGCAAAGAAATGTGGGGATAATTTTAGGTTTTTTTTTTTTAATCATAGGAAGGCATTCCAATGAAGAATTTAAAGGAAGTTAGAATCATTCTAACATCCACATTATAACAAATTAATCAACCATATATGTAAACCCCCTATCTTTTGTGGGATCTGTCATCTCTTTTATGCTTGTATAAATATAGCCTGTAGGTGTAAATATGCATGCGTTAACTTTTTGTCTGTATGTGTTATTCCATTAACATGGGTCAATTGTCTCTAACCCCAATGCTGGGAGGTGAAGGGAGTCCCACTACTAAGGGAGAGACCCAGTGGTGAAATCCAAATTTTTTTACTACCAGTTCTGCGGGCGTGGCTTGGTGGGCGTGGTGTGGCTTGGTGGGCATGGCAGGGGAAGGATACTGCAAAATCTCCATTCCCACCCAACTCCTGGGGGGAAGGATATTGCAAAATCTCCATTCCCACCCCACTCTGGAGCCAGTGAGAGGTGGTATTTGCCAGTTCTCCGAACTACTCAAAATTCCCACTACCGGTTCTCCAGAACCTGTCAGAACCTGCTGGATTTCACCCCTGGGGAGACCCTATTTGTACCAAAGATGCTTTTTCAAAAGCTAACTGGACTTTCTTGTTTTTACCTTGAAGATGTTTCGTTTCTTATCCAAGAACCGAAGAAGCTTCTTGGATGAAAAGCAAAACATCTTCAAGGAAAAAAAACAAGAAAGTCTGGTTGCCTTTTGTAAAAAGCACCTTTGGGACAACCATCACCTGGATGACTGAGAATTTCCATAAACATTTATCCTATTTGTACGTATGCCGGTAAGTTGTCCTCTGTTGACTATAACTGAGATCAGCATTTCTCTTGCAAGCAAGGCAGCTGCTGGCTGGGAGGGTCGCAAATGGTGATCACATGACCTGAGGACACTACAGCTATCATAAATACGTGCCAGTTGCCAAGCACCCAGATTTTGATTATATAAGTGTGAAGGCTGATTGTAAGTCACTTTTTAAAAGTGCCATTGTAACTTCAAATGATCACTGAATGAATGGTTGTAGTTTGAGGACTCTCTATACTTGCAGAGAAGCTCTACCAACTTCAAAAAAGAGCTGTCTTTTGAGCAGAGTTGTGCATATTTACTCCTATTCCTAGGTAAAATAATGCTTCCCAGTTGGTCTTAACCCCATTCTGTCACATCATAATAATGTGACATCAGTTGCACGCATGGGACTTAGTGGCCATGTCGACACAACCTACTAACTTTGCTATTGAATTAACCCGTTTTCTGCATTTACAAAATACAAATTGAATTAAACATGTGGATTGGGTTGGTCCAATAAATCTCCTCCAGTCCAACTTGACCCCTGGTGATCTCTTCCACCCAACTGTCTTTTGACAATGCTGTGACAGCGAACTTCACTCTCTTCATTTTTCAACTTTCACATCTAGCCAACTACTCCTGAGAATTCCCTAATGCAGTGATGGCTAACCTTTTTGCCATCACGTGCCAAAAGCAGGGGGAGCGGGGGGGGTCGCATGCGTGTGTGCCTACACCCATAATTCAATGCACCCCACTTATGCGCGTGCGACCCCCCCCCAGGCTCCCCCCGCTTTTGGCACGCGATGGCACGGTGTGCCTGGTAGGCCCATTTTTTTGCCCTCCCCAGGCTCCAGAGGCTTTCTTGGGGGTTCCCCATCCACCCCAGAAGCCCTCCGGAGGCCGGAAATGACTCGTTTGCCAACTTCTGATAGGCCCAGAAGGCCCGAAAATCAGCTAGCAGAGCTGAGCTCACGTGCCTACTGATACGTCTCCATGTGCCACCTGTGGCATGCGTGCCATAGGTTTGCCATCACGGTCCTAATGGTTCCCCTCCCATTCAGACATCAGCCACAGTCAAGCTGGGTGCCACTAACACCTAGCGGTGAACTAACAGTAAAGTTTTTTTAAAAAAGAAATGGTGCAAATGCATTTGCTAGATCTTTTACTTCACTTTCTTTTACACAGGCTGAATCATATCGTCCTTAAAACAATTAACAGTATATTTAATTGTTAAGCAGGGAGCAACTGATTGAAGGGCCATATCTCCAGATCGCTGAAGTTTTTTGGGGGTGTTTTTTTTTTTTTTTTTTTTGGCAACGTCTAAGGCAGCTTTAACAATATAAATCCAGTACATTTTGACGGCATCGCCTTGGAGGAAACTGTTCCTCGGGTGCGGGATGGTGGAAAAGTTATTTCAAAGCCGCTCTGGTTCTTCCAACCTCCCCATTTGCGCGCCAAAGGGCTCGATTGCACTGACCCACACGTTCCTTTGCGCGTCCTAGAAAGCCTTGTGCTTGGGAACGGGGCTGCCCTCGAGCAATCTCCATTCGCCTGGATCTCTCCAGCTGCCGAGGGTAAGAAAAGCGTGACGTCAGAAGCAGGGTGGCGAGCCTCGCGCGAGAATTCCCTTCCCCGTGGAAAGCCCGTGCAAATTCTCCGGAAGCGGAATACTCTTTTGCTCCTCGGTGCAACCTCACACTGCTCTCTGCTGGCTTCAACGAAGCCTAATCCCGTTGGAAAGCAAGGGACGAGAGAGGCTTCATGCGAATCTCTGTGAATTCCCTCCCAGCCAGCAGCTGCCTTGCTTGCAAGAGAAATGCTGATCTCAGTTATAGTCAACAGAGGATTGGAAGATCCCGTGCCAGTGGGCACCTTGGCACCAGCACGATTCTCCAAACAGCGCTGTCTTTAGGATTGACAAACGGGAAAAGTTTGCGGATAAAATCAAAAATCCTTAGGGGTAGCTGAAAACTTGTTTGAGGACAGCGCCCATTATTTTTATTTTTTTTTATTCAGTTTGTATACCGCCCTACTCCCGAAGGACTCAGGGCGGTGAACAGCCATAAAATAAAACATATAAATACAAAATTTAAAATAGAGATAAAACAAATTAAATAAATTTGGCTGAACCATATTTAAAACCCCAATAATTACTTCAACTGTGTGTAACTAATAGGAATCGTGAAAAGGTTCGAACGAGTCTTACTAACCTGTCGATGGAGCTGGCAATTGCAGTTTATGGAGTAGTTGGCAATTGCAGTTTATGGTGATGAAGGATATTATAGAGGGAGCAACATACCTTGGTCCCCAAATCCTAAACTTCACTTAACAGAACGATAGCTCTGGGCTGTCTGTACCTGACTGGGCAGGAAAAAGATTTAGAGGTTGTGATTTATTTTTTTAGTTTATTTTATTTCATCAAGCATGTATTTTATGGCAGATACAAGTGTAAACATAATTATAAATACATGAAAAGGATACAATAAAAGAAAACATTAGGACAGGGATGGTAGGCACACTGATGCACTTATGCACGCCCCTTACAGACCTCTTAGGAATGGGGCAAGGTCTACTGTAGACAGTCTAAGGTTAAAGTTTTGGGGATTTCGGGAAGAAACCACAGAGTCAGGTAGTGAATTCCAGGCGTTGACAACTCTGTTACTGAAGTCGTATTTTCTGCAGTCTAGTTTGGATCGGTTTACCATGAGTTTGTATCTATTGTGTGCTCTTGTATTGTTTTGGTTGAAGCTGAAGTATTCATTGGCTGGTAGGACATTGTAGCAGATGATTTTATGTACTATGCTTAGGTCAGACTGAAGGCGGCTTAGTTCTAAGTTGTTTAAGCCCAAAATTTCAAATCTGGTGGCATAAGGTATTCTATTGCAAGCAGAGGAGTGGAGGACTCTTCTTGTGAAATATCTCTGGACTCGTTCGATTGTATTATTGTCCGATATGCAGTGTGGGTGCCTGCAATATTGATGCAGTATGCAAAAGATGAATTCCGTGTTAAACTTCCTTAGGAAAGGATTTGAAAAATGAAACTGCTTTATGCCATTATACAGATCCTTAACACCATTATACAGATTCGTAACACAACAGTTGTACTGCTGAATCTTGAAAGGCAACGAAAGGCAGCCAAAGATATAAGGAGGTTGGCAATTTTTCAGTCTGAAAAAAAAGAAGAAAAAATTACAGAGAAATGTGAATGCCTGCCAAATGATGCACGGATTGGAGAAAGCAAACACAGCATCTTTTTTCCCCCCCTGTACAAATGTATGACTTGAAGACATTCAACCTTGCAAAACAATGCAGGCAAAGATAAATATTTCTCATAAAACATAGTGAAGCCATGTGGTGATACAGTCCCTCATTTGTACAGCTTTAGCTGGGAATTAGACAGTTGGTGGAAGAAAAAGCTATTTGAATACCAGTCTGAATACCAGAGGAGTGTGAAAAAGCACACTGAGCTTCACAGAAACATTTTGTTGGCTAGGATAGGAAACAGCACCCTTTGGATGTTAATCTGATGTGACAGGGCTCTTGAATTGTCCTGTATTGGTTCTTTAGTTAATACAGATGTAATAATACTCGATAGTTTTGAACCAAATTATAGACTGCCTTGAAGATCTTTTGCTAGAAAGTTAGGATTTAGATATAGAGCTATGTGAAAAGAAAGAAGCATTGCTTATTCCATTGGAAAAAGAAGTCTGTAGAGATTCTCAGCCATCCAGGTCCATGGTTGTCCCAAAGGTGCTTTTTCAGGAGGCAACTGGACTTTCTGTCTGCAAGGAATATAAATCCTTCCATTTCCCACTATCCTGTCAGAGCTGAAGAAGCTTCTTGGACGAGAAGCAAAACGTCTTCAAAAGAAAAAACAAAAAAGTCCACTTGCCTCCTGAAAAAGCACTTTGGGGCATTGGAAAAGAAGAAATCTCTAGTTTCAGCATCTTTCGGAAATAAGTAACTGATGCACTGTTGTGTACCTGATCCTATGGAAACTTTCTGGGAGGTTGAGGATTGTAGTTCCTACCGTACAAGCTGAAAAGGCTTGTTAACCTTTGGTCAATTTTGGTTGTTTTTGATAAGGTTTAATTGGGGTCAGATCTGATTAGTACTTGGATGATCAAAAGTCTGTAGGTAACGACTGAGAAGTTACCTTAACTGAGAAGTTACCCCCAAAACTTTAACCTAAAACTGTCTACTGTTGACCTCACCCCATTCCTAAGAGGTCTGTAAGGGGCGTGCATAAGAGCACCAGCGTGCTTATCGTCCCTGTCCTAATGTTCCCTTTAATTGTATTCATTTTATGTATTCAATTCATGCTTATACTGATATATATTATTTAATATGTACTCGAATAAAGAAAGAAAGAAAGGATTGCTGGACAGGTGGCAGTTGCGAGCAAGAAACATTAAAATGGAGTTCAGTTTAAAAATAAAGTTCTTTATATACTGAAAAAAGAAAGAAACTGAGCCTTGGTAGTACAGTGGTTTAATGCACCCTGTAATTAACACAGCTGCCTGCAATTTCTGCAGGTTCGAATCTCACCAGGCTCAAGGTTGACTCAGCCTTCCATCCTTTCTAAGGTAGGTTAAATGAGGACCCAGTTTGTGGGGGCAATAAGCTGACTTTGTATAAATATACAAAAGGATGAAGGCTATTGCTTAACGCATTGTAAGCCACCCTGAGTCTCTGGAGAAGGGCGGCATATAAATCGAATTTAAATATATATATATATATATATATACAAAAGTATGAAGGCTATTGCTTAACGCATTGTAAGCTGCCCTGAGTCTCCGGAGAAGGGCGGCATATAAATCAAATTTTAAAAAAAGAACGAAAGAAAGAAAAAGAAAAAGTCTAAAACAAGCCCCACCAAAATAAAAAAATGAATCAAACTTCGGGCATCAAAAGATCTTGCAATTTTAGATGGAGGAAATGAGGTTGGACTTCGTCGCTCCAGACCACCGAAGGGTCGAGCTGCACTTCACGCGCTCCGTGCCGCATTAGGGCAGGCGTCTTTCTGCATCCGTCCGACGCTTAACCCGGCCTGTCTTTCCATTAGCGAAACGGGCACGGGCCCCCTGGATCTAGAAGCTCAGGATCGTCGTGCAGAACAGGCAGCGGCCAGCAGAGGGCTCGGGTTATAATATCGAGAAGGAGGCGAAGGGAGTCCAGGCGCCCCTTCCCTTCGCTGTGCTCCCAGAGGGGTCGGCGGCGGACCTGAGCTTTTCAGGCAGGAATTTGGGAACGCTGCACGGCAACCTCGGAGGGAGGTACGCGGCAGCTCCTGCACCCCCACGCACCAGCCGTGCAGGTCGGCTCAAGAGTCCCGCGGCGTCGCCTTCCTTCCCCGACCGGAGTGAGAACTGGCCACGGGCCGCGGCAGCCATTAAATTCTTCCTGCGCTGTTGTGTAGACGGACTGCGGCGAAGGAGAGGTAAGGAATCGACTGGGCAGAAAATGGGGGGTTTTTTTAATCGGGAAATGGGGAATAGAGACGGTGGAGGATTATAAATCAACGCATTCCGCTTTCCCAATCTGATCTGGGCTGGATAGAGAGAGAGAGAGAGAGGCAATCGACATTCTGGGGTTGCGCTTCTCTTAAGAATCATCGAATGCAAAGCTTGGGAGGGATTTTGGAGATAGCAATAGCGCTTAGACTTATATACCGCTTCATAGTGCTTTACAGCCCCCTCTAAGTCTTGTCTGACCCTTTCAGGAGTTGATTTCTTTAAGCCATGATTTGTGGGACAATGTTTGAGTTTGCAACCAGAACCAGTTTGGTCTAGTCAGTGGTTAATGGTTATCAGGCTAGAAATTGGGAGCTTGAGTTCTAAATCCCGTTTTAGGCATGAAAGCAGGCTGACCTTGGATCAGTCACACTCTCTCAACCCAACCCAACCCAACTCACCGGATTGTTGTTGTGGGGAAAATAGGAGTAGGAAGGAGTATTAAATATGCTGAAAATAATAAAACTGGGATATAAATTAAAACATAAATCATGGTTTTGAAAGCACAGTGGTTGGATTGCCACAGTGCCCCAAAGAAGTAAATGGTAGAATACCTCAAGCTTCACGTCTGGAGCTCATTCACGTTTCATAAATCAATAAATCATAAATCCCTTTTAATGATCAATAAATCATAACTCCCCTTTAGAAAAGGAGCTATAAGGGATGCTCATCCCATTTGCAGATGACACAAGCTGTAAAGGATGGTTAATACCGCCAAATACAGGCTGGGAATTCAGTAGCATCTGAGAAACATGAACAGTTGAAGTGGGAAGAAATTTTGCAGTTAGGTAAGAAAAAGCAGATCCTCAAGTATAAGATAAGGGGTACCTTCCTTGGCAGTAGTACTTAAGAGAAGGATTGAGCATTGACCACAGATTAAACATAGCCAGCAGGGTGATACAGCTGCCAGAAGAGCTGATGCAGTCTTAGACTGCAGCAACCAAGATACAGTATTGAAATCAGGGGGAAGGTTAGCTCTGCTCTATGCTACATTGGTTAGACTGGAATACTGTATCTACCAGTAGTTCTGGTCACCACAATCACAAAGAAATTGAGGAATTGGAAAGAGTGCAGAAAAGAGTGTCAGAGTTTATGAGAGGCTTGGGTACAAGTTATCTTCCAACCCCATTTTGGTTTAGTGTGATTAGATGAAAATAGGTCCAGTCGACTAACGTATGTAAGTAATATACTGCCCAATGCTGAGGCCAGAGTTTCATAAAAAGCCCCAGCGCTAAATTAAAAAAGCCACCCATTTATTGTAATGACCCACTAATTTCTTATTTAGAAGAAAGGGATATAAAATTTCTAAATCACCTCATTGGGGATCCAGGCCTGGTCCACAGCCTAGATATGTTTCAATTAAGCAGGTATCATTAGCAAGATAAAGTCAGCTGTTTCGTGTATACCTTTGAAACCTGGAGATAGGCTCAATCCAGCCATCAGTTAAGCCACATGAAGAGTGACAAAAGTTCTACAGTATTATACCAGAGTTGGTATCAGCTGTGGATGAAAACCTGTTGCACATTTGTCCTTTCAAAAACCAATCATTGCAGTAACTTGCAAATTGGAATAAAAGGAGTAATACTGTAACCTGTCATGACAACAATAGGAGTATCAAAAACGTTACAAATAGACAAAACCAACAGGCAGTAAATTAAATTGGCCAACAGGCAGTAACATGTCAACTAAGGTGTTTAAATAAAACATCTTGGGTTGTTGATGACATGCAAACAGAGAAGGAAATAATGTGTTATGTTGAGACATCGAGTTCTGCTGATCGGTTGCTGTCATAGAGAAAGCCCTTTCAACATTAGGACACAACAGGTGATCTTAAAGACAGGCAGATTCACAAGGGAATTGTTGCCACTTCCTGTAGCTTGACAACACTTACAAAGAAACTGGCAGCCATTAAAACTCTAATAATTAAATAGTTACATGAAGCCAGTATTTTATCCTATTCAAAAACTTAATAAAACTTTCTGAGTGGTTTACTGGGTGGCCCAACACAGAATCTGTTACAATAGTCTAGCCAAGATAATTTGCAGCATCCTATGGTCATGTGACCATGTTTAATGATGATTTTGCCAAAAATTGACACTTTGTTTTTGGCAAAAGCGTGCCATAATGAACAATGAGTTCACTTAACAACTGCCACAAAAAACAGTGTAAAATTGGGTTGGTCACATGACCGTTCCATTTTTACAACCGTTGCAGTTTACAACCATAATGGGCGTAATGCAAAGATTACCTGTATTCCAATCTATAAACCAATTCCAGTGAGTCCCTTCTTCTAACTCTTACAGAATTCTGCTCTCTTGCATTTTCAATAGCTGAAATCCGTCTTGATTTTCATGTACTTTGAATTAGAGAATAATTGTCATTTGCTACTTTGCCTTCATTCCATAGCACCCAAACAATGTATGCGTCAAATTTGATAAGAACAAATCTTCAGAGCAGTAAGAGCATAAATATGCTCAGAATCCTTTGAAACTAGAAAATGTGGGGCTGGATACATCACACTGTGGTTCCTAGCACAGAATAACATCTGTCATCTATTTTCTCTTCAGCTGTTAACAAAATGCTGACCCAGGAAATCAAGACGACCTTTAAACAGGAAGAAGAGGAGAAGGTACAGCAGCACGACCCCCACTTGAAGGACTTCAGAGAAGTGCAGAAGACACCTGAGGAACATGCGGTCCAGAAGAAACACAACTGTTCCATCTGTGGAAAGAATTTTTGCCGCCGCTCAGATCTTGTCCGACACCAGAAACTCCACTCGGGAGACAGGCCCTTCACCTGCACCAAGTGTGGGAAAGGATTTGTCCAGAGCACCCACCTCATTGCCCATCAGAAGAGCCACACCCGAGAAAAGCCCTACTATTGTCCTCACTGCGGGAGGAGCTTCAATCAGATCTTGAACTTCACCAGGCACCAGAGGACTCACTCCCAGGAGCCCCCTTTCAAATGCTCCGACTGTGGGAAAACCTTCAGCCGCAGCTCGAACCTGATCATGCACCAGAGGACGCACACAGGAGAACGACCCTACAAATGCTTTGACTGCGGGAATAGTTTCAGTCGGAGTTCCACCCTGGTGACTCACCAGAGGACCCACACCGGCGAGAAACCTTTTAAGTGCCAGGATTGCTGGAAGAGCTTCGGCAGACGCTCCACCCTGGTCATGCACTTGCGGACTCACACCGGGGAGAAGCCGTACAAGTGCTCTGACTGCCCTGAAACCTTCAGCGTGAAGTCTGGCCTTCTGAGTCACCAGAGAATCCATATGACCGAGAAGCCCTACCTGTGCCTGGAGTGTGGCAAAAACTTCTGCCGCAGTGCGGACCTCATTATACACCAGAGAATTCACACTGGAGAAAAACCCTATCAGTGCAACGCCTGTGGCAAGAAATTTAATACGAATTCCCACCTTGTGACCCATCAGAGGATCCACACGGGAGAAAAACCCTATAAATGCCCCGAATGTGGGAAGAGCTTTTCTTACAGTTCAGTTCTGGTGGGCCATCAGAGACTTCACACAGGAGAGAAACCTTACGCCTGTCTCGAGTGTGGGAAGACTTTCCGTAACAATTCACATCTCATCACTCATCACAGAGTACACTCGGGAGAGAAACCTTACACGTGTCCAGAGTGTGGTAGAAATTTTAGTGTAAGTTCAAATCTTACAAAGCATCGGAAAATCCATGAAAGAGAGACATCCTTGAAATATTCTGAGTAAGAAACGCAGTGGATGGGATTCTGATTAGCTACTCAAGATGCTTAAAAAGAAGATAACAAAAATATATGGCTTATTCGGGGAATTTTGCTAGAAAGTCCAAATGCTTGCGGTAAGGAAAGCCAAAATGAAAGTAGACATAAGAGAGCGAAGAATGTACAAGTAGTCCTAGACTTACGACCGCAATTGAGTCCAAAATTTCCGTTGCTAAGCAAGTGAATTTTGTCCCGTTTTTACGACCTTTCTTGCCATCATTCTTAGTGAATCACTGCCATTGTTAAGTTAGTAACATGGTTGTTAAGTGAATCTGGCTATCCCATTGTCTTTCCTTGTCAGAAGGTCGCAAAAAGGGATCACATGACCCCGGGGACACTGCAACTGTCATAAAGATGTAAGAGCCTTGGTAGTACAGTGGTCTAAAGCACCCCGTTATTAAGACCAGCTGCCTGCAATTACTGCAGGTCCGAATCCCGCCAGGCTCAAGGTTGACTCAGCCTTCCATCCTTTCTAAGGTAGGTAAATTGAGGACCCAGTTTGTGGGGGCAATAAGCTGACTTTGTATAAATATACAAAAGTATGAAGGCTATTGCTTAACACATTGTAAGCTGCCCTGAGTCTCCGGAGAAGGGCGGCATATAAATCAAAAATTAAAAAAAAAAAAAAATACATGCCAGTTGCCAAGCATCCAGTTTTGATCATGTAACCGTGAGGATACTGTAACAATCAATAGTGTGAAAAACAGTCGTAAGTCACTCTTTTCAGTGCTGTTGTAATTTCAGGCAGTAAATGAATGGTTGTAAGTCAAGGACTACCTGTATGCCATATCTTGTACGAAAGGATTTCATTATTAAAAGATCCTTGATTTTTTAAAAAAAATTCTCTTTTAAGAATGGGATCTGATGAGGAAGATGTATTGAGTTCAGATTCAGGCAACAAGGAAACAAGCATGTTTTTCTTTCTCTCCAAAATAATGTAACACAAAAAAAGTATATTTGCATACTTTTACTTGCTTGCTTGCTATTGCAAAATCCTAATTTTTAACATATTGTGGAAGCCTAAGATACGCGGTGGCTCAGTGACACTGAGCTTGTCGATCGAAAGGTTGGCAGTTCAGCGGTTCAAATCCCTAGATTCTGCCAACCTAGCAGTTCGAAAGCACATAAAAAATGCAAGTAGAAAAATAGGGACCACCTTTGGTGGGAAGGTAACAGCATTCCGTGCGCCTTTGGTGTTTAGTCATGCTGGCCACATGACCACGGAGACGTCTTTGGACAGCGCTGGCTCTTCGGCTTTGAAACAGAGATGAGCCATGCCCCCTAGAGTCGGGAACGACTAGCCCATATGTACGAGGGGAACCTGTACCTTTAACATACGGAAATTATGGAAAGATACAGTAGCAGTAGGGAGAGGGCCTTTTTTTTTTTTTTTTTGCAAAGTCACACACTTGGGGGATTCCAGTTGTTTAGGATAGTCATCAAGAAGTGTCAATCAACTGTGAGGCAAATAGTTCAAAATATTATTGGAACTTAAAATGTCTGATTCAATTCTGCTGTAGCTCCTATGCTGTTAAACTGCTTAAGCGTTGAATAAACAGAAAGGCGGGATATGATAAATAAAGATGGTCTTTTTACTCGGCTGCCAAAAGTGTAGGCTAATGTGTGAACTGTAACAGTTTTTATTTAATCCACCAAGGAAGATGAAGATGTGCAAAATAAAATGAATTGCCCCCAAACTAAATCCCTAATAAGACCTAGCTTTCTTTAATTTTTGTGAGCTCTCAGGCTACTGAATTTTCTGTGCAGCCTTAAGGATTACAAAGCTAGTTTCATTCCAGCAGTTTCCATGTCAGGATACCTAATTTTGCACTTGTGCAGTCCAACTGTCTGGGTGTGAAAGTCACAAACGTAATTAATTGCTATTGATTTGGTCTTAATTTTTTGCTGACACACAAAGCTAACTCTGTTGCTGTTAAGTGTATGAAATCATTGGAAAACTTTGACAGTATCATGGCAAAGAAACTAGTGTAGAGGTAGTCCTTGACTTATGACCACAATGGAGCCCAACATTTCTGTGGCTAAGGCAGTTAAGAAAACTATGCCCCAATTTACGACCTTTTTTGCCACAGCTGTTAAGCGAATCACTGCAGCTGTTAAGTGAGTCATAAAGCCATTAAACAAATCTAGCTTCCCCCATTGACTGCTGGCTGGGAAGGTTGCAAAAGGTGATCACATGACCCCAGAACAGCGCAACTGTCATAAAATACCTGCCAATTGCCAGGAATTTGAATTTTGATCATGTGACCATGGGGATGTTGCAATGGTGGTAAGTGTGAAAACTGGCCGTAAGCCACTTTTTTCAGTGCCATTGTAACTTAGGTCATTAAATAAATGGTTGTAAATCAAGGACTACATGTAATGTGGTTCACACATTGTGCCAAGCCTTCATTTTTGTTTGCTTTTCGCCTAGGGTGGTGTGTGAACCCAGACAATGGTAGCTTGTTTAATAGCAATAGCACTTCTTAGACTTAAATACCACTCCATAGTGCTTTATAGCAGTGGTCCCCAATCTTCGCAGCTTGGCGGCCCGACGTAGGGAAGGGGAGAGGTGAACCGGGCCATGCAAGTGGCAGGCTGGTGTGCAAGTGCATGCCCACCACTCGCATGAGTCAAGATACACGCGCATAAACGCTGGGCCGCCACTCATGGCCCGGTTGCAAATAGTGGGCAGTGGCCCGGGTTCTGAGGACCCCTGCTTTATAGCATTCTCTGAGCAATTTACAATGTCAGCATATTGCTCCCAACAACCTGGGTCCTCATTTTACCAACCTCGCAAGGATGGAAAGCTGAGTCAACCTTGAGCTGGTCAGAATCAAACTTCTGACTGTGGGCAGAGTTAGTCTGCATTAATACTGCATTCTAAGCACTACGCCACCACCACAGCTCTTAATACACTGTGGTTAAATGAACTGTTTGAACCTACGTGAATGAGTGTGCGTACATGTTTTCCTGGAAAAGTGGTTCTATACGAGCATACAGCACATACAGTGGCAACACATGGCCAGCCTGAAGAAGCTGAGTAGGGTCAGAAGGGATTTGTTTTTGGAAGGGAGACAGTGCTGGAGAAACAGTGGCAAGCAAAAAGTTTCAGTTTAAGGAGATATTATGAGTGATCTGAAGCCTCATTAAGGAATGACTGCCAAGCAGATTTTGCTTGGACGTTGAATCAGCTCCAGTTCTGGGTTGGTTGCATTGACTTCCTGGCTGCCTTACCCCTTTTGTTCAAAAACACAAGTTCCTGTTGCTTGTCCGGTAGAGTTGCCACTGTCCTCCCTTCTCAGGTATATTTCAACCCATCTGGATCGTATCCAGGTTATTACGTGTCAAGGGATCCACAGGCACTGATGGCAAAACATTGGAAGAAGTGCTGAAGAAACAGGCAATTCTAGCAACGGGGTAGTCAGTCCCAGGTGTTAAGATTTCTTGAGAGAGAAATTGAAATATCTCATTATCATGACCAGCAGTCTTATTACAGCTGGGAAACAGCAGTTTGGGAGTTTTCAAAACCTTTGAAACGGGTGAAATCCAGCAGGTTCCGACAGGTTCTGGAGAACCGGTAGCGGAAATTTTGAGTAGTCCGGAGAACCGGCAAATGCCACCTCTGGCTGGCCCCAGGGTGGGGTGGGAATGGAGATTTTGCAATATCCTTCCCCCTGGAGTGGGGTGGGAATGGAGATTTTGCAATATCCTTCCCCTGCCATGCCTACCAAGCCACGCCCACAGAACTGGTAGAAAAAAAAAATGGATTTCACCACTGCATTGAAACCATTTTTACCCATTTTTCCGATAGGAAAAGCCTCCTTCCTAAGCTCTTTCTGGAAAAATATAGGAGGGAGATGGCATAACTGTGCCGGCTGCATAAATCTATACATGAATAAAAATGATTTTAACAAAAGCTGCAAACAAGTGAACCTGGCATGTTTTGCAATTGGAACAATCCAAATGAAAGGAAACATGTCTGTTCAAAGGAACACATGTCGAGACCAGTTTTAGTCTCAGCCATAACATAACACAACACAACGAAACACCTTCACAGCCAAAAGCACTAACTTTATTATTGTTGAAACTTTAAGGATGTAGTTAGTTTTAGATTTCAAAGGAACTGGTTGTCCTGTACAGGAGGAGAGGCCTCTTGTGGCTGATCTCCAAAATTGCAGCCAAGATCTATAGCAATGGTGCAGCTCTAAACTACATTCAAATATAAAAGCTGAAAGCAAGAAAGTGAGATAGTTCCAGGCTGGAAATACTTGATGAAACCAAATTCAGCCAGAGGAGCATCCATTACAGAATCATGGAGTTTCCCTTCTTGTATATCTTGTTTTCTGCAACCACAAACAAGTCACCTATTTTGAAGAATGTTTAGAATATGCTATAGAACTTCACTCTGCCAGAATTGTTAGGCTTCCTTAGATTTTTGCATTAGTGAGTCAATCCATGCCTACCCTGGGTTCACTAATGCTAAAAACTATTACCGTTAAGTAAGCAATTTCTTAATTGTTTCTTCGCCAGATAATAAAGGATGCTTTAAAAAGTTTTAAAGTTTTTTTAAGGTTGCTTTTTTCTCTTTTTTGCAAATTCACTTCCCCACTGCTTTTGATGGTTATTATAAATCAAATACGCTAGCTTTAAAAATACGTTCTTGAATCTATTCTGCCCCAGCTACGGACCCCAAAGAATGCAGCACACACAAACTCTATACAAAGCTTATTTTACTCAAATAACTTAGTCTTTATCAACCAAAGGCTGTTAATAAACTGTCTTAACAGCCTACCAGAATTCTAAGATAAGGTAATCACAGTCTTACTAGAGTTGGCAGAAGGCCCAGAAACAATTTTGCAGAGAATCCAGACGTGAAGGAGATTGAACTAAAGTTGTTCCCTACAGCTTGCTGCAAGCGGCATTCCTCCTTAAATAGGCTAAGGGAGTGGCCAATTAGCCCCAAGCCTTACTCTTGAGGAGACCTCCTCCTGAGGAGCCACTCCTGCCTTTTGGCAGCTCTGCGCACCCGTGCATTGAGAAGAGGCTCCTCCTCTTCGTCCTCTTCACTTAAAGGATCTTCTGGAGGTTCTGAAGGCCCTGGCTGAATCCCTGCCTCTGGCACATCTTCTCCAGCCTCCTCACTGTCCGACTCGAGCACCAGCTGCACAGGCTGCTGGCGCAGCACCACACCAGCCTCCTCGTTGTCGGAATCAGCTACAATCTGCACAGGCCGCTGACGGCCCACAACAGAATGAATGATTTTCATGTGAACTGTGTTATCTTAAAATATTCACAAAACTGCTATGCCATTCTACAAGATAGTCCTTGACTTACAACATTTCTTTTACTGACCATCAATAATCATCAATAGAAGTCTTCATGATTTCTTTTTAGCAAGGCATGGGATGTGGGTCCTTGGGTCTCTAAGCTTGGTTATTTTCATTGCCAAATTAGGTAATATTATTAGTGCACTGATGATGTTACCAAATTTGGTAATGACAGGTTGGCAAGAAAAAAAAAAGCAAGCTTAAAGAGTACCAAGGACCCCCCAGTTCAAATCTGAGCTACAAATATTATCTTCTATCGGTAGGTCGTAGTAATACTTGTGGAATCTTTGAAGTGACAACTTTACAATGAGGAGGCTTGAGAATGTCCTATAGAGCAGAGATGGCCAGAGTCAGTCCTGATTGTTTAATAAAGTACTCACACCACTGGCCCTTTAATTTCATTGGCTGAACTGCACAAAATTGTACACTGCATGATAGATAGCTATGAAACAGAGGTGCTATTCAGCAGATTCTGACCAGTTCTGGAGAACTGCTAGCAGAAATTTTGAGTAGTTCGGAGAACTGGTAAATACCACCAGTGACTGGCCCCGCCCCTATCTATCTCCCAGCTGATTGGGAGGAAATGGGGATTTTGCAGTAACCTTCCCCTGGAGTGGGGTGGGAATGGAGATTTTACAGTATCCTTCCCCTGCCACAGTGGTGGGTTGCCCCTGGTTCTATAGAACTGGTAGTAAAGCCAACGGGAGGCTCCGCCCACTGACCCTGACATCACCAAAATGCTTCTGTGCGCGCAGCCCCGTTGCGAACCGGTAGTAAAGGTAAGTAGAACCCACCCCTGCCCTGCCACGCCCACCAAGCCACGCCCACAGAACCGGTAGTAATAAAATTTGAATTCCACCACTGCTATTAAATCATTGAAATAAGCACCAAACGTTGGTGTCATTTGTCCACTTCGATTCCTTTTTATATATTAACAAGACCCACATGAAGTTCTGACAAATACATTTTGAAAGATATGCAAAAATTGGGGGGGGGGGAAATCTGAAAAGGATCATTTTCACAAAACAGTATTCACAAAATTCTATTTTCTCTCAAGAGTTTCCTGAATGGCCAAACAAAAACCAAAAAAACCCCTACAACACCACATTAAAATACAGTCATAGTTCAAAAAGAACATTTTGGATTTGGGAACAGAGATTCCAATCAGATTAAATGTTAACCAAATGGGCTCCATTTTATCACAAGTATAGAAGCTACTTTTCTTTTCTTGGTGACAATAAAGACCAAATACAAAGGCATGCTAATGAAAGAGGCAGAATTTGGTTCTTTTTTTCCCCTCCCTTTCCCCTGGAACAGACTTCTGAATCCACTTCATGAGACAGAAATAACTTCATTTAATGTGATAATTACATTAAAGTAGGATCTGCACTACTATTAGGTACAGCAGAGAGACAACGCTTCTCAAGCCTGAACTTGATTGGGGTGCGGGATTGTTCGTTTCCTTGGGCATTCTGACATGCTTTTCTCAGGCCAATGCTTGTGCTTAGCTTCTTGGTTGCAGTACAGAGTCCACACCCAAAAGACAACAGTTAGGCAAGGACAATAGTTAAATATGATTGAATGCAGTTTATATGTAATTAAAATTACATTAAATTAGTTACATATCATTAATTCCCCTTTCTGTTACACTAACAGTTGCAATCTGCTGGCAAATTTTGGAGGTGGAAAGCATATGCTAGGTTTTGGGGAGCCACATACATGCCGAGTGTCTCTGGCTGTGCACCTGGAAAATTGACACTCGGCAGACTTTCTCAGCAGACACATTCTACAGACTGGATCCTTGGGTGGTGGTCTCTGAGCTCAGTTGTTTTCTTTCAAATGTTTCATTACTCAACTAGGTAACATCATCAGCCCACAGATTCTACAGATTCAGGCAGCAAGCAGCCCTCCTCCCACACATTCTCCTCGGGCCCCCTAAGTTAGACTGCCACTTACTGGTCTAGCACAAAAAGATGTCTTAATTGCCAAAGTTGAAATAAAATCCAGCTATGAAAGTAGTTGGGGTGGTGTAAACAGAATGACGTGGGACGCAGTGGCTCAGTGGCTCAGACGCTGAGCTTGTTGATCGAAAGGTCGGCAGTTCAGCGGTTCGAATCCCTAGTGCCGCATAACAGGGTGAGCTCCTGTTACTTGTCCCAGCTTCTGACAATCTAGCAGTTTGAAAGTACGTAAAAAATGCAAGTAGAAAAATAGGGACCACCTTTGATGGGAAGGTAACAGTGTTCCGTGAGCCTTTGGCATTTAGTCATGCCGGCCACATGACCATGGAGACATCTTCGGACAGCGCTGGCTCTTCGGCTTCGAAACAGAGATGAGCACCGCTAGTACCCTAGAGTTTGGAAAAACTAGCACATATGTGCGAGGGAAACCTTTATCTTTACCTTTACCTGAACAGAATGAGGGCCAGACACCTTGTTCTTCACTTCAAATAATAGAATATCTTGGCCAGCCTTAGTGGCATTTCATAAATTCACCCTCCTTCAATTCAATGCAAAGGCCCACTTGGTGGATGCCATGAAAAATGCCTTCTGTCCTCCAAAGCTGGCAGCCAGTGCAATCGTAAGAACTGTCCTCTAGGGAAACCAAACTCTTTCTAGTTCCTCTGTCCTTTCCTTGCTACCCTGGATGCTGTTCAGAAACGATGGAGATGTCTGATGATTCCACTGGATGATTCTCTTCTGGGAATAGTATCTTATTTGTGGCACTCTGTTCTTGGTCTAAAGAATTGAAAGACAGTAAACACAAGCTTTTTTTCCTCCACTTCATCTATTCTCAATAAGATTAGTTTGTGTAATGTCTTTGGTTCTCAACTCTGCCCCAACAGTTTAAAAGTTGAGAAAATTTCCTCTCTGAATCAACTAATACCACTCTATAAAGCCCTAGTAAGACCACACCTAGCTTACTGCATCCAGTTTTGGTCACCACACTATAAAAAAGATGTTGAGACTCTAATCTAGAGGAGAGCAACCAGGATGATTAGGGGATTGGAGACTAAAACATATGATGAACCGAGTGCCACATGCAGGAACTGAGCATGGCTAAGTCTAGTGAAGAGAAGGACCAGGGGAGACATGATAACAGTGTTCCAATATTTGAGGGGCTGCCACAGAGAGGAAGGGCTCAAGCTATTTTCAAAAGCACCTGAAGGCCAGACAAGGAATAATGGATGAAAACTGACCAAGGAGAGATTCAACCTAGAAATGAGGAGGAACTTTCTGACAGTGAGAACAATCAACCAACGGAACAGCTTTGCCTTCGGAAGTTGTGGGAGCTTCATCACTTGAGACTTTCAAAAAAAGATTGGACTGCCATTTGTCAGAAATGGTGTAGGGTCTCTGCTTGAGCGGGGGGTTGGACTAGATGACCTAAAAGGTCCCTTCCAACTCTGTTAATCTATTAAGAACTGCCTTGAATCCAGCTCTATGCGCAGAAAAAGGCTCATAAATTGGCCATTAGAAGAGACAGCTGGGAGACGTTTTGCCTCCTTTGATTCCCTTATATAGAAATGCCCTCTTCAACTTCAGGGCTGATTGAACCAGGAATTCACTTCTAATAAGGAAATTCAGGGTTCACTCTTAATAGTTACCCCTGAATTTGGCAGGGAACCATTTTCTCCAGTGGTGTGACACCTCTTATGCTGAACGAACTGTTTGCTCCCGTTAAAACTTTTCCCACAGTCAGGACATATGAAAGAAGTCTTCGCCATGTGGATCTTCTGATGTGTAACCAAGTGTGAGCTCACGCGGAAGGCTCTCCCACAGTCGGGACATTCGTAAGGTTTCTCTCCCGTGTGAATTCTCCGGTGGATAATGAAATGAGCCCTTTGGCTAAAGCTTTTCCCACATTCCAAGCACATGTACGGTTTTTCTCCTGTGTGAATTCGCTGGTGAATCACAAGGTTCATCTTCACACTGAATTTCTTCCCGCAGTCCAGGCACTCGTAAGGTTTTAAGCCGGTGTGAATCCCTTGGTGTTTCGCCAAATGGGCATTCCGACTAAAGCTTTTCCCGCAATCCGAACACCGATAGGGCCTGTCACCTCGATGACTCCTTTGGTGCCTTTTGAGCGCTGAGTTCTGAATGAAATTCTTCCCACAGTCTGTGCAGTGATAAGGTTTCTCTCCCGTATGGATCCGCTGGTGGTTGACCAGATGGGAGCTGTATCTGAAGTTCTTTCCACAGACGTGACAGATAAGTGGCCGTTTCACCCTAGGGATGCCTACTTTTCTTACAGTGTCCTTCTGAGATATCAAACTTCCCGTGCTAGACACAGGTGCTGCCTGGGCTTGATCTGAAGGGTTTCTCTTGGAAATTTTCCAGTCCAAAAGGCATTTTTCCAAAGGAGAACTCTGAGGGCAAGCTTGCTGGAATGTCGTATAAGTGTTGCTATGCGGTTCTAACTGCACACGATTTTCAAGCTCGGAACTCTTTTTGTCATTCCCATAGGCTGTTCCATTACCTTCAGGATAAACAGACAAAAAAAAAAAAAAAGTAAGTATAATGTCAGACAGAAACTGCAAATTTAGCAATAGCAGCTCATTATGAGTCTCATTTCCCAGTGAGACTCATTTTGTATGCAGGTCTGGGTTCAATCTCAAGAAACTGGTGAAAAACGCAACTGTAACAGTAACAGAGCTGGAAGGGACCTTGGAGATCATCTAGTCCAACCCCCTGCTGATGCAGGAGACCTGTACTAGGGATTCGAACCGCCAAACTGCTGACCTTTCTGATCGACAAGCTCAGTGTCTTAGCCACTGAACCGCCTAGTCGGGCTCAGTGTATGAATTCAACTGTATGAAACCCCCGAAAAGAAGAGAATAAGAGGGCAGATTCTTATCTCCTTCCAATGTTCAGATATTGCTAATTCCACAAAGCAGAGATGATTCATTATAAGAAATCTCACAGAACACTCCTCTTGGAAGCGGAGGAGAGATCTGGGCTAGGAAATCCTTTCTTTTTTAACTTTTTTTATCTCACCGCCAAATGAAGCCTTTGTACATAATGCTAAGCAAAACTCCTCCATTAAACGCTCAACAATGGCCGTCCTGGCTGGGAATTCAGTAAATATCCAGTTTGGCAAAAACTGTACTTAAGCCACCATATAGTTTGTTTGCGGGCCTACCAGGCATCAAGTTAGAAAGTGGGAGATGGTGAGTTCTAATCCTACTTTAGCCATGCAAGCTAGCTGGGTAACCCTGGGTTAGTCTCTCTCTCTTTCTCTCTCTCTCTCTCTCTCTCCCCCTCCCTCCCTCCCTCCCTCCCTCCCTCTCTCTCTCTCTCTCTCTCCATCCAACCTACCTCACAGGATTGTTGCGGTGGGGAAAATAAGGGGAGGAAGGAGATCTGAATAATAAAATAAAATAAATAAATAACTAGATCTAAAGTTTTGGGTGGCTGCACTGCCCTTAGAATATTCTAACTGCAGTGGCGCAGTGGTTAGAGTGCAGCACTGCAGGCTACCTCTGCTGACGGCTGGCTGCCTGCAATTTGGCAATTCAAGTCTCACCAGGCTCAAGGTTGACTCAGCCTGCCATCCTTGTGGGGTTGGTAAAATGAGGACCCAGAGTGTTGGGGGAAATATGCTGACTCGGTAAACGACTTAGAGAGGGCTATAAAGTACCGTGAAGCAGTATATAAGTCTAAGTGCTATTGCTATTACATTATACACTATTGATGTAATTCTCCTGAAAATCTTTCATATAACCAAGAAGTCTATTTTATTTCTATTATGTTGCTTACAGGATTTCATTTCTTTTGACTCTGTAAGGTTTCTTATTTGTAATCTCTTTTTACTGTTTGAATTTGATGTACATTGCTTGGAATCATAACTACCACAACTTGGTCACTATGCAAATCTCCAAAATAAATAAAAATTTAACTGGAAAAATTGTTTCTGCAGAATGCTCTTGATACTTGAAATCAAATATATCAAATGTACATTGCTATTACCATACCATTTGATGGCTTCTGTAGTACAGAGCAAATTAGAGGATAAATGGCATATAAATGGCATTAAATTAATTAGATCAGCCACAATCTTCAATATTTAGAGGGAAGGCTGAGAATCACTTAATCAAACAAGATCAAAGAAAAAAAGAGCAATAATAACAATAGCCATTCAGTGTCATTGTTAAGTCGGGCAGCATATAGATTTTAAAAATTATGGTTGGTCACACAGCCAGCCAGATGTTTAGACTGGATTTGGCATTTTTATCCAGCTATCAAGCCATTCCCAAGAACCTGGGATATAGACAGATGCTATTATTATGGTTATATAACCTACTGACCGAGCATATGAGATAAGAACTGTTAATAAAATGTTATTTGGGAATCAGCTTACTCAACCTTTCCTAACATGGCAGCCACCAGATGTGTTGGGACTGCAACCCCCAGAATTCCCAATTTGGATGCTGTGAGAAGCAATCCCCATTCATCTGAAGGGCATCTGGCCAGGTAAAAGGCCACTGCAATAGAAAAATACAGGTAGTCCTTGAGTTACAATCACAATTGGGCCCAAAATTTATGTTGCTAAATGAAACATTTGTTAAGTGAATTTTGTCCCATTTTATGACCTTTCTTGCCACATTTGTTAAGTGAATCATTGCATTTGTTAAGTTAGTAATATGGTTATTAAGTGAATCTGGCTTCCCCATTGACTTTGCTTGTCAAAAGGTCACAAAAGCTGATCACATGACCCCTGGAAATTGCAACCATCATAAATATGAATCAATTGCCAACCATGTGAATTTTGATCGTATGACCATGGGGATGATGCGAAGTGTAAAAAACGGTCATTAAGTCACTTTTTTCAGTGCCGTTGAAACTTTGAACGGTCATTAAATGAGCTTTCGTAAGTCAAGGACTACTTGTACAGGAATTACAGAATAATGGAGTTAGAAAGGACCTTGGAGGTCTTCTAATCCAAGCTCCTGCTCAAGCATGAGACCCTATACCAGGGGTGAAATGCTACCAGTTCGGACCAGTTCGGCCAAACCGGTAGTGATGGTGGTGGGTGGTTCGGAGAACCGGTAGTGACGGCAGTGCGAGGCTCCGCCCACCCATCCGGTTGTTATCACTTCCTGGTTTTAACCAGGAAGTAACCTGTATTTTACCCTCTGCGAACCGGTAGGTAAGGTAAGTAGATTTCACCCCTGCCCTATACCATTTTAGACAAATGTCTGTCCAATGTCTTCTTTAACATCTCCAGTGAACCCACAACTTCTAAAGGCAAGCTGTTCTACAACTGGAACAACCAACCAGCAGAACAGTCGGCCTTCAGAAGTTGCATTCAGAAGAAGAACGACGCTCTCACGGAGGCTGTTCACCAACCTTCCACGCCTTTATGAATTTTCCGGTGCGTAATAAGGTTGGAGCTTTGGTTGAAACCTTTCCCACAATCAGGACACATGTAGCATTTCTCTCCCGTGTGGATTCGCCGATGCCGAATCAGAGCTGACTGGTAGATGAAGCTCTTCCCGCAGTCCAGGCAGGTGTAGGCCCTCTCCCCAGTGTGAATCCTCTGGTGTTGAGTCAGAGCAGAGCTTTGGCTGAACCTTTTGCCGCAACTGACGCAGGCGTAGGGCTTCTCTCCGGTGTGGATCCTCTGGTGTTGAGTGAGGGCCGAGCTCTGGTTAAAGCTTTTTCCACACTCCTGGCAGTGATACGGCTTTTCTCCAGTGTGAATTCTCAGGTGAGCGGTGAGTGCCGATTTGTGACAGAATGTTTTCCCACATTTGGGGCAAGAATCTTTTCTTTCTCCCACGTCAGCCGGAGAGCCTTCCACAGCCTGGGTGCTTTTTCTTAAGGGAACAGGTTCATCAAAGCTTCCCTGCGCGATCTGCTTCTCCTCTTGGAGTTCCTCTCTGAGGTAAGGAAGGTCAGAGTTCAGGGAGTCCGTGGCTTGTAAATGACCCATCAATCTTCCAAACAGTGTCGTGGTGATGGGGCTTCCTGGTTCAGAAATATCTCCTGCAAAGAGAGTTTTTTGGACTTTTAGACCGTGTGCGAAGCACAAGAGGCCAGCTTTATGGATCGAAAGCATTCCTACCCCATTATTTCTCCATTCAGCACACTTACAAACCAAACAGCAACCCAAAAGCCAAAGTTTTCCCACTGCTACAAGAGACTGTCAGATTATTATAAAGTTTGGAATAGAATGTATGTGGCTAGAGAACAGAAGCCAAAACAAGAAATAGGAGTTTTAAATTAGCATTGATTAAATATTAACCAAAGTTACCAATTATTATTAAATTTAAATTACTGATTATAATGTAAGTATACTGTAGATATTTATTATTTATTTATTTATTTATTATATTTCTATACCGCTTTTCTCCCGTAGGACTCAAGGCGGTGTACAGTCAAGAAAAATATAGATACACAAACATCATAAAATTGCTAATTAAAATTATTATTATAACATAGTTTGACCCAATTAAATAGAACCTAAAATTATATGAGTAATATGAGTATTAGTAATGATATAGATATGAGTAACTAGTATTGTTATAATTGTTATTATATCATTATAGTTGTTATAACCGATAGGAAGGCAATGTAGAAGAGCGAATTATAAAAACAGAACATATATGCTGATATGGAAGGCTGTAAAACTACTCTGCATTGTTATGTTTCTCTTGTTTTTTTCTGTTTTTGTTGTTTTTTGTTTTAAAGGTGAAAAATGTTTAATGAAAACTAAAGAAAAAAGAAAAAGAAAGAAGCTTTCACATAAAACAAGGCAGGACTTCGATAGCTCAGCAATGGCTCCAAACACACCACAAGAAGAGGCTGATATTGTACATGCAGATAGTCCTTGATTTACAACCACAATGGAGATCAGAATTTATGTTGTTAAACAAGATGGTTGTTAAATGAGTCAAGCCTAATTTTTACCTTTTTTGCCGGGGATGTTAAGTGAATTATTGCAGTTGTTAAGTGAATCATGTGGTCTTTAAATGAATCAGACTTTCCCTATTGACTTTGCTTACCGGAAGCTGTCTGGGAAGATCATAAATTGACGATCACATGACTGCAACCACTGTAGATACAGGCCACATGTCATGTTGATCATGTGACTGTTGGAATGCTGTGTCAGTTACAGGTGTGAGGACTGGTATCATGTATTTCAGTTCCATTGTAACTTTGAACAGTCATTAAATGAATGGTTGTAAGTCGAGGACCACCTGGTGATGAAAGCTTGCAAATTCTTTTGACATTTTAATTGTTCTTAATTAGGGTACTTCCCAATTATGGACAGGTAGCTTTTTTCTTGAATCAAAATAACTACTAATTTTTATATGTCTGAAATAGGCCACCAAAATGGAGTCTTGGCATTAAAACTTCCCAGAGTTTTAAGAGGATTGTGCTGTCTGAAAGTCCATCTTCATCCATAGTTCGGTTTAACTGACCTTTTATCTAATCAAATTGTCAATATTCTCTTCCGACTTTGTTGATAATTGCTGATATAAATATTTCTTTATGTTTGCTTCCTGCCAGACTCCTGTGAGCATTGCTTGCATGGAAAATATTGTAGTCTTACTGCTTTTGGGTTTTCAGAATTGAGAGACGCAGCTGCTTTCTTTCTCCATGAAATGTTCTGACTACAATCTCCATTTGGAAACTAAGCTTGAACTTTAAACTTTTATGACTAAAAGAACTGGCCTAATGTTTACTCTTTCTTGCTTTTTTCCACTCCGTTATTTATAAAGTTCACGAGGCAGTCAAAAACTTGCACATTCTTCTGTGCCATGTTAGTTTAATTTTAATAAGGGGATTACTCAAGTTAAGATACCCTGTGGTATCCTATAAAGTAGTATTTTTACTCCACGTTGTTTAATGAAACAACTACCAGAGTTATCTAGAACTGAGATGCCACTAGATACATATTCAGCTGTCGTATACAGGTAGTCCTTAAGTTACAACTGGCCACTTAGTGACTATTAGAAGTTACAATGGACCAGTGGTAGAATTCAATTTTTTTTACTACCGGTTCTGTGGGTGTGGCTTGGTGCCAGGGGAAGGATACTGCAAAATCTCCATTCCCACCCCACTCCAGGGGATGGATACTGCAAAATCCCCATTTCCTCCCCACTCCTGGGGGAAGCAAATTGCAAAATCTCCATTCCCATCCCACTCTGGGGCCAGCCAGAGGTGGCATTTGCCAGTTTTCCGAACTACTCAAAATTTCCGCTACCGGTTCTCCAGAACCTGTCAGAACCTGTGGAATAGCACCCCTGCAAAAGACCTAACGGGGGGAGGGGGAGGGAGCATTTTGGGCGCTCGGCAACCAGGTTGCATATATGGACATTTGCAGGGTCTCACGATCACATGACCCCATTTTACTTTCAGTAAAACTGACTCATAACAAACCATGGCTTCACTTAACCATGTAGTTGCTTTTATGACTGTGGTATTCACTTAAATGACTGCCACAAAAATGGTCATAAAATTGGACCGATCATGTGGGTCACCTGATTTACAACCGTCATGAGTTACGACCCTGTTGGGCCGCCCCTACTGTGGTTACAACTTGAGGACCACCTGTATGTAATGTATAGCACAGAAATGACGCTACTGTCCCGTTTCATACATTCACAGATAGCTCCTACAATGAATGAAAATGCACTTTTAACTATACCTTTCTTATATGCATGTTTCTTTCCCCTCCCCTCAAAAAAACAAATCATTATATGCATAAAGACAAAATGTAGAGAGTAAAAATGTAATTATTATTTCAGACTATTTTAGCCATGCCTCACCGGGAATAAGTTTTGTCAAGGACTGGTTCTTCCAACATTCTTGAAAGTTCGACCTCCACAGGCCGTCCCTTTGCTCCGTATGGGTGGCCATGCCAGGCTGAGCCACTGGGAAGCCTGCTCAGAGAGAGCCAGAAACAGCCAGTCTCCCTTTGCAGTCTTGTACTCTACTCCAGCTCTTGTACCCTTTTTCAGATCAGTGGCCATTAACTGCCATGGGAAACGATTTTCCCCCTCTGTGTTTCCCCTGTCCGCAAAACAGATCCCATCCTAATGAACAAACTCTGAAGGCATGCAAGGCAGCCATATTGCTGAATGAAGGAGGACTGAGACCAATCACCCCATAAATTTCAACTTCTACCCTCAAAATGATGCTATAGAGAGCACTGCACACCAGAACAACTAGACACAAGGGCAGTTTTTTCCCCGAATGCCATCACTCTGCTTAACAACTAATTCCCACAACACTGTCAAATAATTTACTAGCCTGTGGTAAATGATTCTTCTCTTCCTTCCTAGCATCTATCTCTTCCCACTTATTACTATAACCATTTTCTTGTACCTTTCAATTTATATTGTTTTTATTTGTTTCCTAGTACGATTTGATAGCTTATTAGTAACCTTGACTATCACTAAGTGTTGTATCTTTTTATTCTTGATGAATGTATTTTATTCTCCTTATGAGAGCATATACACCAAAGACAAATTCCTTGTGTGTCCAATCACACTTGGCCAATAACAGACTTGGCCAATAAAGAATTCTATTCTATTCTATTCTATTCTATTCTATTCTATTCTATTCTATTCTATTATTCTATTATTCTATTATTCTATTCTATTCTATTCTATTCTATTCTATTCTATTCTATTCTATTCTATTATTCTATTATTCTATTATTCTATTCTATTCTATTCTATTCTATTCTATTCTATTCTATTCTATTCTATTCTATTCTATTCTATTCTATTCTATTCTATTCTAAATGAGAAACCACCAGAAACTCTCCTGGAAACATCCAGGAGACAAGGAAACAAGAGTATAAAATCCTGGAAACAAGAGTATAAAATATATAAAGGAGGTAGGGACATTAGAGGTAGTTGAGCCCACAATTTCCATTGCTAAGCAAGGCAGTTCTTAAGTGAATCGTGCCCCATTTTATGACTTTTTTTTTGTCAATGATTGTTAAACAAATCACAACAGTTGTTAAGTGAGCCATGCTGTCGTTAAACAAAGTTAAGCAAACTTTAGAAACAGATCAGGCCTGTCGCAGCCATCTTTCCGTTTCTCAGCTTGCCACACATTGGGGGAAGGGGTGGGAGTGTCAGACCAGACAGCAGCAATAGACCATCCCGTGGGAACCCAGGTCATCTCAACAGGTGCTGGCCAGAGACCGAAGAGACACCAGAACACCTAATTGGACAATGTCCCAAAGGTGCTTTTTTCAAGAGGCAACTGGACTTTCTGGTTTTTCTTTGAAGAGGTTTTGCTTCTCATCCAAGAAAGCTTCCTCAGTTCTGACTGGATGGTGGGGAATGGAAGGATTTATACTCCTTGCAAACAGCTGGTCATTTGCATTCTTTTTATAGGGTCATTAAGACCACCTGGAGGTTTATCTGTGTCCTCAGGGTCACCTGAGTGGTGCAAATGGGTGTGGAGCCTTCTTGGAACTGTTGAAAGGACTGTGTTGTAGATTGGAGATAGATGATGTTGTATTCCTCCCCCACTGTTGAGAGAGGGCTGTTCAATTTTGATGCAGATGGCTTCTTTAACCCCCCTTTCGAAGCAGTGATCCTTTCTGTCTAAAATATGGACTTTGCTGTCTTCAAAAGAGTGGCCTTTGCCTTTTAAATGCAGATGGACTGCTGAATCTAGCCCTGATGGGTTTGTTCTCCTATGTTGTGCCATGCGTTTATGAAGTGGTTGTTTTGTTTCCCCGATCTGCACATGGCTCGCTGCATTGTACTCCATGTACCACGTTGCTCAGTTTCTGTCTGGGTCTTTTATCCTTGGGGTGGACAAGTTTCTGCCTCAGTGTAGTTTTGGGTCTGAAGTGTGCACATATGTTGCGTTGGCTAAAGATCCTCCTTCCGATATGCCTTCCGATATGCCTGCAACGGATGGAATGACGTTGCTTCGTTTATTGTTCTTGCCATTGTCTGTTACAGAGAAGCTCCTGTAGTGTCTTTTTTGAGATTTGATGAAGGCCCATTGGGGACACGAAACAACCACTTCATAAATGCATGGCACAACATAGGAGAACAAACACATCAGGACTAGATTCAGCAGACATCATCTCTCTCCAATCTACAACACAGTCCTTTCAACAGTTCCAAGAAGGCTCCACACCCATTTGCACCACTCAGGTGACCCTGAGGACACAGATAAACCTCCAGGTGACCTTAACATACTGCTAAAAGGATGCAAATGACCAGCTGTCTGCAAGGAGTATAAATCCTTCCATTCCCCACCATCCAGTCAGAGCTGAAGAAGCTTTCTTGGATGAGAAGCGAACCGTCTTCAAACAAAAAACAGAAAAGTCCAGTTGCCTCTTGAAAAAAAGCACCTTTGGGACAACCATGACCTCCATAGACTAATTGGGCAATGTGACCTGTGACACTGAGGGAGGGAATTATCTACTCTTTAATTATACAGAAACCACGGGAAATATTTAGAGCTGGTTTTATTGTTATCCGTGCTGAAATGATGTACTCAATAAAACAGTTCTTTGAGAAAGTTGAAAGTCTCGGAGTGCTGAATTGGTTGGGTTCATTAGTTGGAACTTTGACATCTGGCTTCCCCCATCGATTTTGCTTGTCAGAAGCTCTCTGGGAAGATTGCAAATGAGAATTCCAGGATGCCGGGATGTTGAAACCATCATAAATGCACGCTAGTTCTCAAGCACCCGAAGTTTGATCGCATGACTGCGGGGTTGCTGCAGTGGTCGTTAAGGGTGAGAAATTGATCTTAAGTCACATTTTTCAGTGCCATTTTAACTTTGAACGGTCGTTCAACAAATGGTTGTAAGTCGAGGGCTACGGTAGCTGTAATCGGGACACACCAATTTTAGCTGGCTTTACAAACAGCATGCTTTATTAGGGACTGCTGAGGGATATCAATAAACTTTGCAGTTGACCTATAAAAGATCAGGAAGGACATATAAAGTGATATGAAAGCATTTCCTTTAATAAAGTTAGTTAGGTGCCGTCAAAGCAAGCTTGACCGAATACTCAGCATCTTAACCTGCCTTTGGCAATATCTGAAAGTTAATCCAAAAATCTTCTTGATCCTGATCGTCTATTTTATCTGATGTCTTCCTTTTCTGCTTCTCTTTTCACCCTTGTCAAGAATAATAACCCTATCTATCCTTTCATCCCTCACATCGGCTGTCTAAGTAAGTGAGTTTTTGCTTGTTGATCTTTGCTTCCAGAGATCAACTGGCCTTTGCTTGATTAACGGTTGATCAACAGCTGTTGATCAACCCATGTGCCTTTAGCAATCGCTTCCAAAAACCATAATTCAAAGGCATTGATCTTCTTCTTTCTCTCATTCCTTCCCTGAATCCAACTTTCACAGCCACTCCCAAGTATGAAGGTGGACAGCTCCAAAATATAATAAATAAAAAATAAATCACCACTGGAAAAACCAATGTTTTACGTGTTCTGATCTTTGTTAAAATTGAAATGTCCTGGTCCCTTCGTAATTTTGTTCATGATTGGTTGTTTATGTAAACCATGTAACACAGAATCTAAAAGAAAAAAAAAATCCAAGTTTTAATAATACAGGAGATAATGGGAGATATAACACTTACCCAGGGACAATACATGCTTATAGTTTTCCTGCATGACATCCTTGTAGAGGGCTCTTTCGTTCACATTCAGCAATGCCCACTCTTGCTCCGAGAAATGCATGGCCACCTCCTCAAACGAGACCTATTGGAAATAGGCAACATCTTTAAATTTCCAATAGACCCCTCTAGCAACCTCATAGTCATATATTGCCTGGTCTGAAAACACATGGAAGTTTGGAATGGGGCCAAGAACTGAAGGAAGAATCTGCCGAACAAACGATCTGGGTAGGGTGATAAGAGCAACATATTTCTCCTGCTCATAAGGACTGACAGCAGGGTATGATCCAGTTTTTCTGGGCTGGAGGCTATGCTTTGAGTGATTTGGGGTCACAAAAACCAGTGTGGTGCACCCAGAACTAAAATTCTGTTTGGCTGCATTTCATTTACATATGTTCTAAATTTAATACACATAAGATCAATTCCCAATCATGTATTTAATATTTTATTATATACCATATTAAAAATTAAAATGTGGCCAGTGGGATACTTGCGGTCTTCCCGTCTCAGGATGTACACCTCTAATATTAGATTATTACTAGATAAAGGAAAATAAATGAATACGCTCTTAACACTACCAAATAATAGTTCAGCTGCCATATCTTTTCTTTCCTTTTTTCCCCTGTCCTGCCCCCCAAACTCAACAGCACCAAGAATTGAGGCTATGATTTCAGCTGAAAACATAGCTCTTGATTAGAGTATATGTGGACAACTGTTATTTGTTTGTTTGGTTTATTTTTATCCTGTCACAATCTTGGCTATCACAATGCCACAATAAAAAAAAACTACAGGATTTAAACAACCTACCATGCACATTGCAAACACAAAATCAAAGCTAGGGAAAATAATAATTATAATAACAACCACAAGAGGCATGGGTGATTTTACTGAAAGTTTCGTCAAAAAAAGCTGTTTTTAATTACTTTAAGTTACCTGGGAAGCAGCTTAAATATCAATGGGGAACCCATTATGTAGTGTTAGTGCTGCTACAATAAAAAGCAGCACCTTTTAACTTTCTCTCCTCTGGCATTCCAGAAATGTGGGTTAACACATTTAACCCTTGGGACATCGTTTATGCAGGCAGAGTGAGTAAAAATATGAATAGTGCTTATTTAAAAGGGATCTGATCCAGTGGTGAAATCCAATTTTTTTTACTACCGGTTCTGTGGGCGTGGCTTGGTGGGCGTGGTGTAGCTTGGTGGGCGTGGCAGGGGAATGATACTGCAAAATCTCCATTCCCGCCCCACTCCAGAGGAAGGATACCTCAAAATCCCATTCCCTCCCCACACTGGGGCCAGCCAGAGGTGGTATTTGCCAGTTCTCCAAACTATTCAAAATGTCTGCTACCGGTTCTCCGAACTGCTCAAAATTTCCGCTACCAGTTCGCCAGAACCTGTCAGAACCTGCTGGATTTCACCCCTGATCTGACCGCAGCCAAAATTGCCAATTAAAAAAAAAAAAGAATTAGTGCAAAGGAAGGAAAATATCCTCTAGTGCAGGGATCTCTAGTACAGCTTTGCTGCCTGGGGAATTCTGGGAGTTGAAGTCCTCCAGGCTTAAAGTTGCCAAGGTTGGAGACACCTGCTCTAGTGTTTCCTTTTCAGATTGTTGAGCCGTGTAAACTATATTTTGTTACCCAAAGAGCACACTTCAACATTTTTCACACGAATAAAGCATATTACAGAGACACGTGTTTTCTTCCATCTACATCTTGTGTTTGCATTTTTGTTCTCCCAAGTACAGCCTGATGTATATAAGATGCTTACCTGTCGAAAAGCCACAGAGCTAGAGTAGGGTGTTACCAAAAGTAAACAAGGCGCGATTTTGCTTTCTTTCAGAGCAAGGAGGATGCCTGGAAATTACAGAAAACATTAACATGAGACAGTAACTAGTTCGTCTATTATCCTCTCTAAAAGAGAGTTTGCATGCATCTAGAATCCCTGGTGTTTAATAATACAGAAAACAACAAGATGCTCACCCAGTGACATCACATGTTCAAAATTCTCCTTCATGACATCTCTGTAGAGGACTTTTTCACCAACATTTAGCAAGGCCCACTCCTGCTCTGTGAAATACACAGCAACCTCTTCAAATGCCACCTACACCACAAAAAAAATGACATCTTTATTTCATAATGGAAGAGCTTCTATTCCTACCCTTAACACAATCACAGTTCACCACGGAGCTTTGCAAAATTATGAAAACTGGGAGCGAGGCTAAGCACTAGGGCAAGGGTGTCAAACTCAAGGCCTGCGGGCCAGATCCGGGTGCTTAGATCTGGACTACGGGCCCACCCTTGAAACAGTGAAGGACCGGCCCGCGTTGGCTTTGCCAGCAAAAATGGAGCTCGGGGAGGCTCCTTGCAGCCTGCCTGGGCTCTATTTTCCGCCGTGACAGTCTCCTGCAGCCCTCTGCCAGCAAAAATAGAGCCTGGGGTAGTCGTATGCACACCCCCCTGGCTCTGTTTTTGGCTGCATGCAGCCTCCCCAAGCTCCATTTTCGCTGGCAGAGGGCTGCAGGAGGCTGTTGCAGCCGAAAATGGAGCCTCAATGAATGATATCAAGCCTTTTACACCCACCCTGGCCATGCCACACACCCTGGACCTCTGAGGTCAAACACAACCCTGATTCGGCCCTCAATGAAATTGAGTTTGATACTTCTGCACTAGGGTTTATATAGTTCAGGCCAAATGGTTGTTTGGCTTGTTCTATCCTGATACAGGCAGGATATAAGTGTTGTGGCCTGTCAGCGGCCAGCGGAACTGGTGGCAGACTCAGTGAGATTGGGGAGGAACATGGGCCAGTCCTGGAGTCTGGGGAAGGCTCTGATGAGTGCTCTGCGTCAGAGGCAGAGATGGGGCCAGGGCCATCGGACAGTTATCAGCTGCCTTTGGAGTCGGACAACAGTGGGGCAGAAGAACAGCTGGAGCCTGTTCCCGATGTGCGCATGCGCAGAGCTGCCAGGAGAAGAGAATAGCTAAGGAACAAGGGCCGACTCAGGAGTAAAGACACAGGTGGACGGTAAATGGCCCCTCCAATAGGGAATAAAGAGGAGCGAAAGGGGAGGGGAGTCTGCAGGAGAGAATTAGTTCAATTCATTAGGGTGAAGATCTGTTCCCGACTTCTTGCCAAGTAATTGCTGCTACAGCGTGGCGTTTGGAAGATATCAGCCTGGCAACTCTCCAAGCCTGATAAAGGTCTGTAGTTGTGAAATCTCATGAAAGACTGTTTGCCGGGACTTTGCTGGAGAGGAATTCCCTTTAACCTAAATAAAAGAGGTTTTATCGGGACGAGGTGTCTGCTTCATGCTCTTGAGAAGCCTAGGTCAGAACAATAGGTTTATACTTTGCAACTGAATGAATTAAGAAGAACTGTGGAAGCAAGCAAATAACAAAAAAAAAAATCATATAATCACACAATTGCTCAGGTAGTCCTTGACTGATCATCACAATGGAGCCTGACCATTATGGTCATAATGATGGTTGTAAAATGGGTTACCGACATGACGCAAACACAGCAGTCACAAACCTATTCACTGATATTCCTATTAATCTGCTAGAATGTGAAATTAAGTGTATCGTATAATATAGGTAGTACTTGATTTATGCAAACAATTGAACTCAACATTTCTGATGCTAGGCAAGACCGTTGTTAAGTGAGCTTTGCTCATTTTATGACCTTCCTGGCAACAGCTGTTAAGTGAAACATTGCAATTGCTACACGGTTGTTAAGGGAGTCTGGCTTCCCCACTGACCTTGCTTGTCAGAAGGTCGCAAAAAGTGATCACACCATTCTAGGACACTGCAACCATCATAAATGCATGACAGCTGCCAAGCATCCACATTTTGATCACATGAGCATGGGGATCCTTGCAACAGTTGTAAGTTTGAAAAACGATTGTAACTTTGACCAGTCACTGAATGAATGATTATAAGTCAAGGACTATCTATAGTTTACATACTATATTAAGTCTCTTTTCTTTTGTGTTGATATATACATTGACTTCTTTCATGACTTTTGACCACATGCCGGCACAGTTTGGTTAAGAATCTTTACCTGTCTGTGATAGTTTGCCATATTTCTCTAGCCTTTCAACTTGGTAATGACTGCAGTGTTGATTTAACTTTGTCTTCTAGTACTAGAGATTTGGAAAATCTTCAGAGAATATCTTGAATTTTGGCATTCCTAGTACTACTGTACACAGAATTTCAATAAACTCCTTCGACCTTCTGTGAACCAATTACCGTATTTTTCAGAGTATAAGATGCATCAGAGTATAAGACTCAGCTTAGTTTTTTGGGAGGAAAATACGGGTGGGGAAATTTGCCCACCAGGTTTTCTTCTGGCTAGCGTCCTTAGTCTAGTCAGCTTCAGCACATTAGTTTGCTGGTTTTTATCCCCTGCTTGGGGATAAAAAACAGCTTCTAAAGCACAACTGATCTTTGGAGAGAGAAGCAATGAGAAAAGAAGGCAAACCACCGAGATTGCTTCACTCTCGCTAGCACCTCGCTAGGGCTGAAAAAAAGCTTTGAAAAAGCTACATTCGGAGTATAAGACGCACCCAAAATTTCAGCCTCTTTTAGGAGGGAAAAAAGTGCGTCTTATACTCTGAAAAATACGGTATTTTCTGTTTATGACGAGTCCTTAGCATGCCAATTCAAGGACGGAATCTTCTAAGTTCAGAGATCTTCTGGAAGACTCTCCTTGTTTTCTCCCATGTCTGTTTCCATCTTTGATGTTGTAATGCAGGGGTCCCCAACCCCTGGGGCATGGCCCACTGCCCAGCAGTGGCCTATTCGGAACCAGGCCACGTGAGAGACGGGCCAATGTGTGTGCACAGGTCCACTCATGTGAGCAGCACCCCAAAAGCTTCTCTTCTCTCGTGTGAGTGAAGCTGCCAGTCCACCACTCATGCGGCCCCGTTCCCCTCTCCACCCCCCCCCCAGCCAGGCCACCAAGCCGCAAAGGTTGGGGACCGCTATTGTAATGAACCTCATCTAACAGTCTCTGAAATGTTTTAAGTTTCTTCTTGAGATCTTTGTTCTTTCCTCCCTTTGGTTTTTCTTCTCTTCTTAGCAATTTTCACTACCTATTCTGACATTCAGATTGCTTTCTTTCTTTCTTTCTTTTTTTGACTCCCTCTTTTCACATTCAACCTTTAACAATTTATTTGATCTCATTCCATAGTTCTTCCTGTTCCTGACCAAGGAGACTCATGACTTCAAAGCAATTTCTGATGTTCTCCTTGAAAATGATGGATCAGTGAGCTGAATCATATCTGAAAACTAGCTGGTTTTGTTCTTCCAATTTAGCTTGAATTGGAACTTGCACAGGAGCAGTTTATACATATGTTCCACAGTCAGTTTCTGGCCATAATCGTTGCTGTAATAATTTAGCTGATTCACCTCTTTGTAACAATAACACAGCCAATCCTTTTCCAGTACAGGAATCATATTGAAATCATCTCCAGTGGATGACTAACCAGCCTCTAGTCTAGTGATATGTTAAATCTATTATCTTTCGGCATTATTCCCAATGTTAAACTTTACTGGAATACATCTGCAGGGTACATGTACAGTAGCTGAATAAAAAATAACATAATTCCATATTGTTATATTTGAACCACTGGATTTATTGTTCTATTAAAGTGATAAGGCAATACATTATTTTCTATACACTCTCACAGAGTGTATAAAAATACACTCTTTTTGTTGGGAGGGTCATCAGACTTAATACCTGGGGTTAGTTTACACATATCAATTTCCTTAGCCAAAAGAACATTGCCCATGGAGCCTATGTTCTTTTTGCTCACCTAGGCAAAAAGGATAAAAGGGGGACAGCCACTGTGTTCCCCTCTGAGGCATTTTTGCTCTCCAAAACAAAGCCAAATAAAGACCTCTTGAAAACTACCTACCTGAGAAAGTTCCATCTTGCTAGAAAGAAGCACAGGAAGTAATCCAGGGAAGCAGAGACTGGAACTTTTTATCTGCCCAGAAATTAGAGAAGAAACAATTTATTATAGTACAACGGATGAATCCCATTAGTCCAGTGGTGAAATCCTCCGTGGGTTGGCACCAGTTTGCTGCCCACGCATGCATGGTATGTGCCAGATGCACGCTGCGCGCAGTGCACAACAAACACGCTGGATGTGTAACACACTGTGCATCAAATGTGTGTTTCACACGGAAAAAGGAGCCATTTGAAAGTAAGTAGAACAGCGAGGGAGGGGAACAGTTGTGCCGCGTGATTTAGATTTGCTAGAAAGCAGGATTTCCTGCTTTCTAGCGAATATAAATCGTATGGCACAGCTGATCATTGGAAATACTGGTTCCGACAAACCGGCACCTTTTTTGACTTCCGGTTTGCCCAAACCAGTAGCTTTTATTACTACTGGTTTGCCTAAACCAGTGCGAACCGGTAGCATTTCACCCCTGCATTAGCCCTATAGTAGTACTACAATTCCAACAATCAAACCTAGATGCCAAAGGTGGATTTTTAAATAAGAGAAACTCCCCCCCCAAGGAATGCAGAACTGCACATATGTGTACTATAAAAGCCTATGGGTTTAAGATTTATTTACAAATAAGAACAGCTGGTTTATTTGCTTTTCTTCAAAGACGCAAAAAAAAAAATAAGGTATTCATTTCCAATAAAGCTCAGCAATTGGTATTGGATGCTTCCTCTAGATTACGATGTTTTTCAACCTTGGCGTCTTGAACATGTTTGGACTTCAGCTCCCATTCTCAACACCAAGGTTGAGAAACACTACTCTAGAAGCTAATCTACAGTCCATAAGCAAGGCTTATCAATCCAAACAGGGCAGAAGGGGCTTGGGCCCCAGTAAACTGAAAAATCCTGTATGGAAGAAAAAGTATATTCTGGTTGTAGCTAATTCTCTGATGAGAAGGAGCAAAGCTGCAGTACAGACTTGATGTGATCCTGCAGCCGGGGGATTGTCTTTCAAGATGTGACAGACAAGATGCCAAATCTCTTCAATCCCATCAAAAACTACCTCTTTCCAATAATTCATATGGGGGTGAGCAGCTCTGACAAAAGAAGCTCTAAACAGATCTCCAAGGGCTATACAGTCCGGGTCAGGAAGGTGAAGAAACTGGGAGCACAAAGTACAATCCTCGACTTAACCACCACAAATGGCACCAGATTTTCTGTTGCAGCACACTACTAGAAAGGAAAAAAAAAATGAGAGACATCTAAAGAGATCTGTGTGGGCATTTTTTAAAACAAAAAGGCCACATTTATAGGAAATGGAAGAACATATAAACAAAGGATATAAGGCAGTCAGCAAATATTGCTGGAAGTACTTCAATACAGCTAAATTCAGAATATGCTCAAGTTTGGGAGAAAGGCCAAGAGGATGTCAGTCTGTTGTTAGGAGAAAGGAATAAACAGGTGACTGTACGAAGGTAGAATCTGTTACCTCATCTTTTACATTTCACAACTCTCAGAAGGAAAACAAAGGCCTAACTGGCCACTGTTGTTGTGCCACACGTGGAAAGAAGGGGTTACAATTCAAGGTACACAAGAGGAGGGTAGAAGAACACGGAGCTAATTTGACAAATTTAAGCTTTCCAGAACCAGGTGACTCACTCCCTAGAATACAGAAATTAAGCAAAACTGTTAACAGTGGCTCTTGTGACTGCCTGTAAAACTGGTATTCCAGGAAACTTGGAAGGTAGCAAATGTCTCTGGCCTCAGAAAAAGAAAAAGAAAGAAAAAGAAGAGATTCTGGAAAATTACAGATCTGTAAACTTGATGTCTATATTCAAAGTTTTGAAGCAGACAGTACTTGGATAGGAATGCAATAATTAACTAGAGCCAAACTAATCTTTTCTTCTTTTCTGACAGAGCTATTATTTATTTATTATCCTGCCTTTATTTTTATAAATAACATCACTATATTTTCAATAATAAAATAGTCAAATATGAGCTAGGTAGATAAGATGATAGATGACTTCATTGGTTGAATAATTGCATCTGAGGGCTCGTATCCTGGGCCATTCAACCTTTTTATTAATAACTTGGATGAATGGGTTCAAGGGATGAGGATTACATCTGCAGATGACTCAAAGGTGCTTTTTCCAAAAGGCAACTGGATTTTCTTGGTTTTTTTTCCCCTTTGAAAACATTGCACTTCTCTATCATCCCAAAAGCTTCCTCAGTTCAATTCTTCAAATCCTTCAGATTCAGAAGCGAAATGTTTTCAAAGGGGGGGGGGAACCACGCCTTGCTTGCCTTTTGGAAAAAGCACCTTTGGGACAACCATGACCCAGATGATTGAGAATTTCTATAAAAATCTGCAGATGATACACAAGGCAAGGAAGAATGACTAACATGAATCTAGAAGATAATAAGATGGGGGAAAACTTGGCTTGGTGTTCATGCGTTTTAAAAGGATCTTGGTCTTCTAGAATACATTTAATAAATATATATGCCTCCCAGCGACTCTGGGTATCTTATCAATGGTTTAAGCATCTTTAAAAACAAGCAACCACACAAAACGGACTAAACAAAGAATCGACAAATGCACAAAGCAGTCCTTCTGCCCCCCCAACCCCACCCCAGGAAGCCAGCAAAGCAACTCAAGAACAGCGCAGCCCAGGGAGCGCGGAGCAAATTAAAGTGTTGGATCAGATCCGGAAAGACCCAGGTTCAAGTCCACTTTGTGCAGTGATGACACCCTCTTTTTTCTTGCCAACAGATCTACCTCACCGGGCTGTTGTGTTGTGTGCAAAAGGCGAAAGAGAAAGAAGCACTTTGTGCATCGCCTGGAGGGAAATCCACGTTCAATGCACAACGAATGCACAAAATATGCAACCGTAGGTTGGACACACACACACCACTTGCCTCCAGCGACCTATTACATTGCAACCACACACACATACACACACCCGGCTCGCGACTATAAGGAGCCCTTAACCAGCCGGCAAATCTAGTTCCCCTGGGTTTCCCATCGAGTTCCTTGTTTAAACCCGGTACCTTCGCCTCTCCTCCTTTTTCCAGCAGCTGTTAACGATCCAAACGGGAAAGCCGAAGCGCCTCCGGCCCGGGACAACCAGGCGGCGCTGCGTCTAAAATGGTCGGTAATTGACAGATGGGGCGGTGGAGGCGGCGCCTCCTTTCGTTAGCCATGAGAGCGCGGCGCCCTCTGCTGGCCGGCTGCCTCCCTGCAACGAACTTGACTCACCCCGGGTTCTGCCATTGTCCGAAGCGGCTCGGGAGCGGTGGAGGTGGGGGAGGACGTATTCGAGTTTAAGGACAAAAGGATGCATTTTCCTCAGTTTAAGTTTCCTCAGTTAATTTTTTTTTTTTTGGAATTTTTTTTTTAATTTAAAACAAAAACAAAACTTAAACTCACCATCATTCAAATACAATTACAGTGTGTCGATCGGTTAGAATTTTTTTGTGCTCAATCCCTTATCCCAAAATACCAATTATTTGATTTCTCTTACTTAACAGTTTTAAATATTATACTCATTTAGCCATTGTCTAGCAAAAGAAAACCTTTCATCTATTTTACCATTACATTAATTTCATATTTCATCTCCATGCTTTATTGCCTAGCCATTGATAAAACAAGTCCCAAATCAAATAGTATTGTTTATCTTCCTGTTCTCTAATTTTGAATGTCAATTTACTCATTTCAACACACTTCATAATTTTTTTAATAACTTCATCTTCAGTAGGTATCTTCTCACCTTTCCAATTTTTAGCAAATACAATTCTAGCCGCTGTTAAAACATTCACAATTAAATATCTCAATTCTTTGTTATATATTTCTGATGAAATCCCTAATAAAAATATATCTGGTTTAAAGTCAATGTGTTTGTCATTTTTTTCCAACCATGTGTGGATTTCCTTATGGGGGTTAATTAATAACTACAGTAACAATATATATCCTTTATTCTAAAGGACAGCCCTTTATTTCAGAAAACTGTTCTTTATGTTTATTTGATTCCATTATTTCGTTTCTATAGTTTACCTTCGAATTTTCCTTTATAAAGCAGATTTTTTTTTATCCTCTTTCAGATTTGTCCCTTTTTCAGGTTGGACCTTTATTTTTCCCCCCCCAAGAAGATAGAATCGCTGTAGTTATAGCAACACTGGAATGCATCCTTAAAGCCTTCTTTGAAGTCATCCTTGACTGAAGGGCTTTATAAATGCAAATATTAAATGTGATATTTGTGGAAAAGTAGATTTGTGGATCCAGATTGGATCTTGTAATATTTGCATTTAATCTACCTCTGCTGTCTCAGGCAGTCCCCAGCCATGTTGAAATCTGGACTTCGTTATTGCACTGATTTTAACAAACCTGTTTTAAAAATGCTTTTTGTCCAAAGCTGTCCCAAGTGGCAAGATGTTTGAATAACCAAACAACTGCAAATGCTTCTTTCAGTTTTGAGGTGCAATGTTTTCTTGGAAATTCATCTTTCTTTGAAAGTCCTCAGCTTCCTATCTTCTAAGGAGTTAAGTTTGTTGAATGGATTTTCCCTTCCCTTTCCCTGAATGGAGAGTCACTTGGGAGTTGGGTGGCATAGAAATTCGATAAATTAAATTAAATTAAATTTACTTGCTTCTCCCATCACTCCATTCCTCTAGCAGAGATAAAAGGAGATATGGGATAGGATGTTAACAGTTGAGTAGACAGACTATCTCCAAAACATTTGCTATTAAAATGGCTGGGTAGTGCCTGGACATATTCTTGCAAAAAAAGATAATACACGTACGTAGAGTTTAACCCTTTTCTCCTTCCAATCTCCCTTAAATACTTAGGTTCCAGCAAGTTTTACAACATAATCTCACATAGGAATCTACTCAAGTTCACTCACAACATCAGCTGCAATCAAGCAGATATATTTATGTTATCTTAAACTGTAAATAATGATGATAGAGTGAGAATTGGCGGAGTTCCCAGAAAGCTGGAGGACAGCAAATGTTTTTGTCTTTAAAAAATAGGAGGAGGATGATCTAGGAAAGTACAGATTTCTCAGTTGACATTGCACTCGGGCAAAGCCCTTGAACGAATGATTAAACAGTGTGTTTGCATACTGAAATAGGAATGCAAAAGTTAATAAGAGCCAGCATGGGTTTGTCACAACAAATAAGGCCAAGCAGACCTTTATCTCCTGGACAGTTGCCACCTTAATTGTACAGAACGTAATGTAACTTGACCTCAGCAAAGCCTTCAACAAAATCTCTCATTATATCCATACAGGCTACAGGTGGCAACTGAGAATGACTGACTGACTGTACTCAGGAAATACACATAAACTGATCCATATCAAGCTGGTGATAGATACTGAGTTGAGAGCAAAAGAGACCTGTCCTGGGCCTGATGTTGTTCAACATTTTCCCCTGTTCAATCGTGTTGGAGTCTAAAGGACGGTTGCTCATCTCCATTTCTTAGCTGAAGGAGACAGTGTTGTCCAAAGACATTTCTCTGGTCATATGACCAGCATGACTATATGCTGAGACCCACCGAAAGCTGTTATCTTCCCACCACTGAAGTGGTACTTACCATATTTTTCAGAGTAAAAGACAAACTCCCCCCCCAAAAGAGGGTGAAAATTTGGGTGCGTCTTATACACCGAATGTATCCCCGCCCACCTGCCGGCCCCCAACCTTTGGCCTCTGCCTCCCAGCAATTTACCTCCTTGCAGCAAGCAACAAACAGCAAAACAGCCCATTTCAGCTTTAGCACAGCCTGCTTAGCATAAGTTGATTGTCAGTTGGACTGGCCTCCCGACTGTCAGCTGTTTCAGGCTGCAGGGATTGCCATTGCCTATTGCCGTGCAGGCATCCGCTGCTTGCTGCAAGCAGGCAAATTGTTGGGAGGCAGATTTATTTTTTTCTTGTGATGAAAATGAAAATGAAACTAAAGGAGGCTGCTGCAAGGAGGCAAACTGGGAGGCAGAGGCAGAGTTATTGTGAGTGTTTTATGGTCTTATTTTCTTTTTTGTGTCCTTTTGTTGTAAAAATTCTGTCTAGAATCAACAGTTACCTGGAATTTAAAAAGCATTTCAGTAACTTAATTAAAATGTTACCTGAAGGAAAATAAAGAGGGGGGGGTGAAGCTTTACATCTAACAGATTGTGGGCTGAATAACTTACTGATTCTGATTACAATACCAATCTATGCAAAGAAAAAAATTTTAAACAGTTCCAAACTGGTAAAATTTCATATTATTTCCCATATCCATGCACTAGCTTATATCTTGTTTTCCTCCCAAAAAAGGTAGGTGCATCTTATTTATTTATTATTCAAATTTCTATACCGCCCTTTCTATACCGTCCTTTCGGACTCAGGGTGATGAACAGCCAAGATAAAAACATCTATACAAACATCACAGTTAAAAATAAAGTTAAAATAATTTATAAATTTGGCCCATAATTTAAAACTTGTCAATTAAAATCAATATTAAAATTTTAAAACTAACCCTAAATCTTATAGACTATAGACTATAATCTATAGACTATAATCTTATAATCCGGAGTGTCTTATACTCTGAAAAATACGGTATTCATCAATTCCCATTTGCTTGCTTTCAAACTGCTAGGTTGGCAGAAGTTGGGGCACTCGGGCTCCAGTGTCAAGCTCAATGTCTTTAACCGTTGAGCCATTGTGCCCCCTAGAGGAGGGATCAGGCTTGTTCTTTGTTGACCAGAGGGCAGAACTACAACTAGTGAGTTGAAACTTGAGGAAAGTATATTCAAGTTAGATATTAGGAGGAGTCTTCTGATGGGAAGAGGTTATTAATCAATGGAACAGATTGACTCATGAAGTGGTATGTTCTCCTTCACTACAGGTCTTCAAACAGAAGTGGCCCAAATTGCATTAACAAGTGTTGCATTGAATGGAAGGTTGGATAAGATGACCTCTGAGACCCCTTCCAACTTGATAAATCTATGATCAATACAGGAGTAAGCGAGGGAGGAGGAAGAAGCATTAGAAGCATTAAGAAGATTGAAAGAAATCTGCTTGTCTGACAGAATTAAAAACAACCTCAACCGCAATGGTTACTAGAAATCTCCATGGATTTGTTAGAAAGAATCCTCCTTCTTTTATTTCATTTCATTTCATTTTATTTCCTTTTATTTATTATTTCTTAATTGGATTAAAGGCTTAGTGGATGGTTTGAATAATGGTGACACTTTGATTTCACCCAAGGGAGTAGACAGTGTTCCTTGTTATCTGTGATCAACAAACTTATGTGTTGACCTAAGGCTATCTGTTGAGCAACTCGGAGTTGGCTACATTCACAACATTCTCCAAGGTTTTTTGAATTGTTGCTTTGTCTTAATCTCTCTTTTGAAGGTCAGTTCAGCCTTCAGGATGAAACACATTAAATTGTTTAATAAACAGAGGCAGGATGGTAATTTTACATGGAAATAACAGATAGGAAGAAAAAAAAAAAGAGGCCAAAAAATGGGATCACCCAAACTTGTACAGGCAACAGTTTTGTCTTTTGAGTTTTGCATTACTGAATGTAACTTGCATTGCAACTTGCAACCTTCAGACGGATGAACTACCATCCCTGAGAAGGAAGAGTGGCTCTTTGTCACATACAAATGTCAGAAACCCCAGTAGCTCTGAATTTTATTTTATTATTTATTTATTTATATATCAAACTTCTTAATCATCCATCTCCCTCCTGGAAGGGCTCTCTCCCTCTCGCTCTGAATCCTTTATATAGAAAAAAAAATTTTTTTTTAAAGCTAAAATCTATGGAAAGTGGCTGGATAGGAAATAAGATCTCCATCGTCCAAATAGTTGCCGATGAGCATCTATTTGAGTCCATGAATGCTGAAATGGAGGATGCCTCACTCAGAATTGTAGAAAAGGAAAATGATGGTGTAAAGCAGGGGTGTGAAACTCAAAGTCCATGGGGGGATGCTTAGATTTGGCCCGTGGGGCTGTTCTGGAAACAGCAAAGGAAAGACCAGCAGTGTCTCTGCTAGTTTAGACATTAATGGCTATGTCTTGCATTATTTTGAGGGGACAGCACATTTACAGTTATACAAGCTATACACTCACTACTTTACATTGCAGCCAAGAGTCATTTCTTCAGTGTTCACATGAAAAGATATACTTAAATATTTACAAAATGTGAGGGGGTGTACTCACTTCTGTGATGTACTGTAGATCAGTGTGGTGGGTTTCAAATTTTTTTACTACTGGTTCTGTGGGTGTGGCATGGCTTGGTGGGCATGGCAGGGGAAGGATACGGCAAAATCCCCATTCCCACCCCACTCCAGGGGAAGGTTACTGCAAAATCCCCATTTCCTCCTGATCAGCTTGGACTTGGGAGGCAGAGAATAGATGGGGGCGGGGCCAGTCAGAATTTTTACTACCGGTTCTCCGAACTACTCAAAATTTCCGCTACCGGTTCTCCAGAACTGGTCAGAACCTGCTGAAACCCACCTCTGCTGTAGATCCAGCCTATGGGGCCACCCTGGAAACAGCAAAGGACTGGCCCACAGTGCCCCTGCCAATGAAAATGGAGCTTGGGAGGGCCGTGTGCGACCCCCCCTGAGCTCTGTTATCACTGGCAAAGGGATGCAGGAGGCTGTCCCCAGCTGAAAACGGGGCCCAGGTTCCATTTTCACTGGTAGAGGGCTAGCAAAACAAAAGGAGAAATGTCTCCCCTTTTGCATTTGAGCATGGAAGAAGGGACAGGAAAGGAGAAAGGAAAAGAGGAAAGAAAAAGAAAAAGGAAAGACAGGAAGAGAGCATGGAAGGAAGAAGAAGGAAAGTGGGAATGAAGAAAGGAGAATGAAGAGGGAAAGGAAGGAAGGAAGGGAAGGAAGGAAGGAAGGAAGGAAGGAAGGAAGGAAGGAAGGAAGGAAGGAAGGAAGGAAGGAAGGAAGGAAGGAAGGAAGGAAGATTATAATGAGAGGGAGGGAGGGAAGTCTGAGGAAAGTCCTGCCTTAGCTGGCCACACACACTCTGACCACACTCCCCCACCAGCCCCCTCCCCAGGTCAAACACAACCCTGATGCAGCCCTCAATGAAATCAAGTTTGACACCCCTGGTGTAAAAAATATGTGCCAGGGGTGAAATCCAGCAGGTTCTAACAGGTTCTGGAGAACTAGTAGCGGAAATTTTTAGTAGTTCGGAGAACCGACAAATACCACCTCTGGCTGGCCCCCGAGTGGGGTGAGAATGGAGATTTTGCAATATTCTTCCCCTGCCATGCCCACCAAGCCACGCCCACAGAACTGGTAGGGAAAAATTTTGAATTTCACCCCTGATTTGTGCTGAAGTGTTTGGTTTCTGTTTTTCAGGATGAGCAGTTTCATTTTATTATCTCTACTATCCAACGGTTACAGTCTTGGGTGTCTGGTTTCAACCTCAGAAGATGTTCATAAAAAGTTTTTCTGCAGAATCTTCTCAGGATGGAGGTGAAACCAATCCATCCCAGATAAGAAAGTGACAGGCCACATGAGGTGAGATCTGCAGGAGAGCCCATTTGGGTACCTAACAACATCCTCCCTGGAGATCAGGCCAGCAATAATTCATTCAAAGGGTCAATCAAAACAGAATTATTTTGCTGGACCTCAGAAAACGGAGGTTATCTTAATGCTAGTGTGCACTTCCGTCCTTAAAATGCAGCTACATTCATTGTAATTTTTTTATATATATTTTTTATTTTACATGCATTTTGATTTGTTTTTTTAATACTTTTGTGGCTGTGAGCTGCCAGGAATCTATTTGGCCAGGCCACACACCGAAAGAACGAAAAAACTGATTCAATGAACATTGTTTCAAAGGGAATACTGGGAGTTAAAACCCACACATCTTAAAGCTGCCAAGTTTGAGGAACACTGGTCAGCATTCTAATCCTGGGGTTTTCTGATGACCTCTCAAGTTTTAATATTCACCGAGTCGGAACCTGCTTAGCTTCCAAGCCCAGACAAGGTCAGCCAAGAGCTTTACACAACCACACGCCCCCTTTACCTAATCGGCCTTCTCCTCGCACGGAGACCCGTGTTGGGGGTGTCTTCCTGGCCGCCACCACTAGGGGGCTCTGCACCTAGGAAAGCAGCGGTTCCAACCTCCCCCCTCCGCTCTCTCGCCTCCTCTCGCTTCCTTTGTTCCGAAGCTTCCATCCCCGACTACATCCGGTCCCTGCATCCGGTCGGCCACCATATTGGGGTTGCTCGCCGCCCGTCAGGCCTCGGCGCCACTTCTCCTTGCGGCCGCCCGACGAGGCGACTGGCCGGGGCCCCGGATCCCGCTCCGATCGGCTCCTCCTCGATCCCTGGTTAGGCGGAGGAGATCGCGAACGAGGGTTGGTCTTCCGTGGGGTCCCAGACCCGCCGCCCTTCCTCCCCCCCCACTCCGAAACCGCAGGGCAGGGGGACGGTTGGTGGGGGGAGAAGGGGGGGGCTGGGGAGCGGGAGGGGGAGGAGGGCCGGCAGAGAGAAGAGGAGGGGAGTCGGGCTCGGGGCTGGAAAGCGGGCAGAGCAGCCAGGCGGGTCAGAGGAGACGGGATCCCCCTCTCTTCCCCCTTCCCCACAGCCCCCCTGCCCGGCCGGCCACCCACAAGGCGGGGAGAACCGGTGGCTTGACTGCCCAGGAGAGCCTCAAGGGGCTGGGAATTGGGGAGGGGGGCGTCCTCCCCTGCGGGGGAAGGGGAGGCTTGGGTGAGCCTTGGCTGCCGCCCCCCAGGGTAAATTGAGGCTAAATTGAGAGATTAAAAAAATTGGGATTATCCCCAAACTCCTTCCTACCAATGGAAGTTTAAGTTTAGGATTCTATTGTTGGAAGAAACATCCTTCTGGGTTCAGCTCCAAGTGGGGAAAAAGACACTGGAAACATGGAGACTGCTTGGAAAGATGGTTTAATGGTGGACAGGATCACATGGTTTGAGTTCCTGAACAGAAAAAGGGGAGATACAGCGAGTTTTTCAGGTTTTATACTCTCTCTGGCTTTACGTTTCCTGGGCCCCCGAAAGAGTATCCTGATTGGTTGTCAGACTCCCAGGGGGTGGGGGTCTTAGCTAGCCTTGCTGGCTGATGGTCACATGTGCTTCCCAGGTCACATGTGGTGAGTTTCTGCTGCTATTGTGTAGAGAGCTAATCCTATCTTCCTTGGATCTTTGGCAATTCCTACTATGGCTCTGCCTGAAGGAGGCAGATCTTTGCTATGTAGAATAGACTGGCCCAGGCCTTAATGGCCCATTGACAAAGGGTGGGGGCAGGAAGATGGGAGCTGTTCCAAAACATGCTTATCTATTTCTCATCCAGGGAAATATAATATTCTGCCTTTTTAATATTTCCTAAAATATTGCACTCTTCCAGGAAATGGGTGGGTGCTAATTTCCTACACTATGGAATGGAAAGGCAGAGAATAAAAATCTAGTAGAGATGAGCAAGAATGAGAAGTAGGTATAGTTTTGAGGGACTATCCTATGCGTTCAAAACAGCAATAAAGAGGAACAATGAGCAGTAAACTTAAGATATTCGCAGTCTGATGGGCAGAATTTCACATAGGAAATGAGAGGGGGTGTTCTGCATTATTGGCCGATGAATGGTAATTTTTCTATATTGTACATTGCAAATGTAAGATACTTTTGTGCCTAAATCCATGCAATGATCCATGTAATAAATACATCCATGTAATACATGTAATTACAAAATACACCTTTTGTCTAACTAGAATAGGAAAGCCAGCTTTCTTTTGGCTCTTTTCATGTTGTGCTAAATTGAGAGATTAAAAACTCTCTACATTTTGCTCACATCTTGGTAACTACATCCCTATGTTTATTTACTTTTGTTAGCAAACACAAGGGAAATAAGTTGCCATTGCCTTTTTTCCACGATCTTGTTTTTCCTATTTCTCAGTATAGTATCTGGTCCTGTATTTTCTCTCATCCAAGTCGAGGAAGGTCGGACCCGCCTTAACCTTTTGAGAAATTGAAAGAGCTTGCTGCTGCCATCTGCCTAGGAGAATTACAGGAATTGGTCATGGTCGACATATTTTTTACTACTTAGTTGTAGGGCCTCTCAGAATAACAGTGGGAAGGGACTTTGGAGGTCTTCTAGTCCAACCCCTTGAGCAGGAGTTGGACTTCCTTGCTCAAGCAGGAAACCCCATACAGACAAATACTTGTCCAATCTCTTCTTAAAAACCTCCCGCATTGGAGCACCCTCAACTTCGAAAAGCAAGCCATTCCACTTGTTTAACAGTTAGATCTAACAGACAGCCACTCCGCTGACAATCATAACACAGTGTTGGTTGCAGCCCAGTCATGCCCTATGGTCATGGGGCATATCCCCAAGTGAGCTGTGTGGTTTTTGAGGCATCATTCACGTAGCACAGTGTTGTCTGCTTTTGCATTTGAATCAAAGGGTGTTGAGTTCCTCTTCATGTTGAAGCTTGATTAATTTTCCTGCTAGGTTCCAAGGCTGCATTAGTGAGTAGGGCATTGGAGGTTAACTGACTTTCTCATTCGCAGGGGCTCATCTTGAGGCCTTAACAACGAGTGAGATCATGGAGGAAAATGGTGAAGATGTGGCTCCCCTGGGTAAGGATCCCTTCTCTATCATTGTGTTATCATCTTAATATTGAATGTTCAAGAAATTGTTATAGCCCTGGTTGTGAAACCCCTCACTGTGACCAAATTACCCCTTCCTTTAAAAATAATTGTAAGAACTTCAGTTGACACAGGTGCGGAGAGTGGAGTGGAGTGGAGTGCAGTGACTATGCTATGACTGGGTCTTCTTTTTATGGGTCCTTTGGGCTCTTTTAAGTTAAAAAAGAGCTCATTTCATTCAGTAATGTACCCCAAAAATTGGGAACTGGAAAATATGTCTGGGAGGGAAAAACAAATTCTGTGACAATTGTGTTTCTGAACAAGTTAATGAATAATATTTAATTACAAACTAAATATGATCCAGCAATAAGATGTGGCTGCAAAATTAGCAAAGATAGGTTTAGGCTGCTTCAACAGGAATTTGGGATGGAAGATCCAGGAGGGGTTGAGAACATGAAGTCTGGTGTTGTTTCCTTACCCAGATAATTTTGTCTTAATTAAGCTAGGTATAAATCAATCTGGAGAAATACTTTAGTAGGCTTTCAAGATCCTGCTACTTTATTAGCAGTGAAGGTGTTTCAAGAAAGCTAAGTAGTTCTTGTTCCTGAATGAGCCAGCTCAAGGGTTAGACAGAAGTGAAAATTCCACTATTGTATAGGGTGGTTGAATCCATTTTAAACATTATGTACAGTTCTGGGCAATCCAGTTTAAAAACAATGAAGCTTTTAGATAATCTCAACACATGAAAGGTCTATAGGAGTTGGGTTGCTGATGCAAAATCAGTGGAGTGCAGCATGCAGATGAGCAGGGCAAGAATTTTCCATTTTTCTAGTTTTTGGACTATCATTGAATTTGGGATTGTACATTATCGTTCCTGTTCTTGCCACAAAATTTTGGAATTTTTGACTCTTGCAGGTATGGTGGGGTGGGAGGGAGGGGGAGATAGAGGCAAAACTGGCTGAAAGATCATTTGAGGCTCCAGGGCCTCCGTTTGCCCATCCTGGCTCTGAGGCAGCTATTTTATTTTGTTTCATTTGCCTCAGTAGACTCAAATTATATTGCGTCTTTTCAGCCCCTCCCAGACCTGAAGCTGAATATTTTCCCTGCAAAAAAAAATAAATAAAAATAAAACAGGTATTTGAGGGAAGAGAGGATTTAGTCCTTATTACCAACATTATAATAGTAGCTCACTGAAGGGATAAGTATAAGTAGGTAAGTGGTCAACGGCTCCTGTGGCATCCATTTCAGAGAGAGCGGCAATTGGAGAACCACATTGAGAAGGATGGTTTTTTTAAGGCAGGTCCAGTGGTGATGATGATGATGCTTATGGCTTTTTTTCATTTTGATCCCTCTTATTCTTTCTTACCTCTGAATGCCAATTGGGAACAAAGCCGTGCCTCCTGTTTTCCCCTCCCTCTCCAGGCAAGTGAGATTTATCGCAGTGTCTTGGCTGAAGTTCCAGCTGGATGCTTTTTAGTTTTGTTCCAAGTGGGGAAGATGTAGATCTTGTATTCTTGAGGAAGTTCAGGCTAAAACATGGGAGCTACTGGCTGTAAAGAGGGTCATTTCATCTTTCATTATCTGATATTTTCCTGCAGCGTGTTTTTAGCTTTATTTAAGCCCTGATCCTTTTTTTGGGCAGTCTTGACAAGGGGATAAACACAGTGATGATAGCAGCTGAGGAGGAAAATGGGTGTACAGGTAGATCTTGAATTACAATCCCAGTTGGGACTGTGAAAACTAGAGAAGAGCTCAAAGAACAAGGAATAGTAATAGACTGGTGGCCCTACTCGCAAATAAAGGTAAGATACAGAAAGGACCAAGAGGAGGAAGGAATAGATTTAAAACAAAATCGATTGGATAAATTATTAGAATCTAAAGAAGGGAAATTAATTTCAAAAATTTATAAATATTTACTCGAATACGATTTGGCAGAAGAGTTGGTCAAAGGGCAGATGATAGCCTGGGCGAGGAACATAGGGCACAATATACAACTGGAAGATTGGGAAAGAGCATGGGAAGATAATTATAGCATGATAAAATCGGTAGCCTACAAAGAGAATCACTTTAAAATGTGGTACCGATGGTATCTGCCACCCACAAGGTTAGCAAAAATGTATCCAAATGTGAATCCGGCTTGTTGGAAATGTAAAAAAAATGCAGGGAACTTTTTATCATGCTTGGTGGCTTTGCCCAGAAATTAAAAAATATTGGAACAAAATAAAAACATGAATATTAGAAATAACAAATCACGAAATTGAATTAACACCCGAAGTCTTTTTACTAGGCATGATTAATAAGAATATTAGAAAGGACATAAAATACTTAATACTCCACATTATAACAGCGGCTAGATTAGCATTGGCACAACTCTGGAAAATAGATCGTTTGCCAACTGATCAGGAAGTAATACAAAAAATCTATATATGCGCAGAGATGGATAAATTAACCCTAGAATTACAGGATAAGGAAGACTCAAAATACTTCAAAATATGGAATAGCTGGTACCAGTGGATAAGTCAGAGGAGGGGGAATGGTTAGAGATGAAATTCAGGAGAAATCAATGTAAATAAACAACTGCACTGTCAGAGATATAGAAGGAAATAAGTCACTGTGCGTATGTATATATGTATATATAACATTAGAAAGTAGTTAATAGATGAAGTTGAGCACTATATATGTACTGTATATGTATATGTAATTTGTGTGTTTGATTAAGAGAAACTTGTTAGTTTTTCTTATATTTGTTTTAAATGTCTTTTTTTAAATACGAATAAAGTTTGTTTTTAAAACGAAAAAAAAAAAAAAAGAAACTTACATAGACATAATATTACCCTATCTGTATCTGGGGGCTAGCAGGCAAAGTAGTTTCAGTCTAGCTTCAGAATGTGTTTTTCATTTTTTTTTTTAAGCCAAGTTCCAGTTCTCATGGTTAAAAGGGTACAGAAATTCAGCTTTATTTATTTTTCCCATGAATGCACTCCTGTTGCAATGAAGGCATCTAAAAATGACTGCCTCTAATTTTGTCTGTTTTTCTTTTCTCCTTGAGCGGCCTACATTTCAACAGATGGCAGCTACACAGGTGAGTAATTGTTGTTTTGCATGTCAGTCCATGAAACTAAACCAGCCATGTCTCTAAATCTGCTCTGAAATTTTGTGATTGGAATCTATTATGCAACAGTGATGTATTTTCTTTAAAAGTATATCTTTGGTCAGGGGCTAGGCTAGTGAAGTTTAAGGAGGGATGGAACTTTAAAACTGCTTCACACATTACGCTAGACACCCGTATTGCACCATTGTCGGCTCTTGGGTTTTTTTTTTTTCATATGCAGACCCCCTGAGTCGTTTTCTTGAGGTCACACATGCTTTCTTTGCAGGCCAACTTGTGGGAACAAAGATGCGAGATGCGTGTCTCTCGTAACATTGTGTGAGATGCAGTGTCTCGGGGGGGTGGGGTTGCCAGCATAACCATAGAGTGCATTGTAGAGAGTGTCCCATCTGTCTCTATCCACACTCTATCATTGCACCCAAATCAATTGAAACGTTTCCTGCTACCATTATAAAATTCCCTGCTGCCAATAGCACCGTGTCATCTCTGGAGCACACCATGTTGTCTGATACCCTTCCAGAGACCGTGCCCATGCCGACTCACAACACACTGACGGCTCCCTCACAGGACTCTTCCTCTGCCACTAAATCAAAGCGCCAGCCTGTTTGGACTGACGAGGAGACCCGGGCCTTCATCCAGGTGTGGGGTGATGACGCGGTGCAGAGTGCCCTGGCATCAAACTATCGTACAGTTGCACAGTTCCAGTGGATAGCGGATGAAATGCGAGCCCAGGGTTACAACAGGGATTGGGAGCAATGTCGCGAACGTGCAAAGGCCCTTCGACGAGGCTTCAAAGTTATAGTGGATGGGAACAGCAATGCTCGCCATGGACGCCGCGTGTGGCCTTATTTCGAAGAACTTAATCGATTTCTTTGCATCAAGCGAAATCTGGTCGTTCCCCGGTTTTCAGGGAGCAACCTGTGGCCGCCTGTGAACCGCCGGAGTTGTGAGTACAGAGAAGCGCAAGATGCCCCGTATGAGCCATCCCCAGTAGGCAAGAGCAACAAAGGGACTTTTGAAGAGCCAGACGGGGACTGTCTGTTGTTGCCCGAGCCAGGATCTCAGCAGAGTGAAGCCAACATGGAAAACCAAGCGGCGTCTCCAGCAGCAAATTCTGATATTTCCATGGAGGGTAGCATTGGTCCTGGCACTCCCACCGATCTTTTGCCATCCAATGACTCAGTTACTGGTGAGTTTTGTTTGGATTTGCCGTGTGTCTTTAAACGGGTTTTGTATGATGTGTTGTTTCAGCCCTCTGGATTTCTAAGCACCTTCTTTTCAGTTTGTTTGGCTACAAAGGCAGGTGACTTAATGTCGTATTTGAAATATCATCAGATAAATGTCAGAGTTCCTAGGAGAGACTTGCGTAAAACTGCATCATTCAGAACAGCAGCGTCTGCATTCTCTGCCTAACTCTTCCTCCTACAGACAACAGGACATGATTGCACTAAGCAAATGTTGATATGCAACGGTACAGTTTCAGTTACAATACTTTTGGGTTCCAGCTTCTCACTCTTCCTTTCACATAATAAAATAAAATAAATGGGGCAACCTTGGTATAAAACCTGGATTTGTTAGGGCAAAGGATATTCTTTTGTAAGCATACCCACTGCCACTGATGTTTGCCTCCACAATGCCCCATCTGTCTCTGTCTCTGTCTCTCTCTCATTTTTTTTTTTAATTAAACACTCTTTGATCTTTGTTCCTACAGCACCAAATATACACCCTCAGCCTCTGACTGCTGCAGAGAGGATGCGTAATTTTCGTTGCCGGCAAAGAAAGAGAAGAGGGGATACTTTGAAAGAGCTGATGGAAGTCACCTCCCAGGCTACCAGTTAACTAGTCCGGACATTATCTGACCTCAGACATAAAGAGGTGGCTTCTTTTGAGCATGCTTATAAGGAGGATCCTGCGGCCCGGAGGGATCAGATTGGAGAAGAGCACTGAGGACATTGGTTAGCAAATGTTTTTGTCTTTAAAAAAAAATGGAAGGAGGATGATCTAGGAAAGTACAGATGTCTCAGTTGACATTGCACCTGGGGAAAGCCCTTGAACGAATGATTAAGTAGTGTGTTTGTGTACCTGTATAGCAATGCAAAAGTTAACAAGAGCCAGCATGGGTTTGTCACAAGAAGTTAGGCTAGGCAAACCTTTATCTCCTGGACAGTTACCACCTTAATTGTACAGAACATAACGTACCTTCACCTCAGCAAAGCCTTCAACAAAATCTCTCATTATATCCATACAGGCTACAGGTGGCAATTGAGACTGGCTGAATGACTGTACTCAGGAAATACAAATAAACTGATCCATATCAACCTGGTGATAGATACTGAGTTGAGAGCAAAAGAGACCTGTCCTGGGCCTGATGTTGTTCAACGTTTTCCCCTATTCAATCGTGTCCGGGTCTAAAGGGTGGTTGCTCATTTCCATTTCTTAGCTGAAGGAGACAGTGTTGTCTAAAGACATTTCTCTGGTCATGTGACCAGCATGACGATATGCTAAGACCCACCGAAAGCTGTTATCTTCCCACCATTGAAGTGGTACTTATTTATCAATTCCCATTTGCTTGCTTTCAAACTGCTAGGTTGGCAGAAGTTGGGACATTTGGGTGTTGAATGTAAAGTCTTACACTTAGGCAAGAAAAACCAAAAGTACACATATAGACTGGGTGAAACCAGGCTTAATAGCAGTGACTGTGAGAGGGATCTTGGAGTCTTAGTGGACAACCAGTTAAATATAAGTCAGCAGTGTGCGGCAACAGTCAAAAAAGCCGATGCAATCCTAAAATTCATGAACAAAGGGATACAATCAAGATCAAGTGAGGTACCAATACCACTCTATAAAGTAGTATAGAGTACTACTTAGTAACTAGTACTTACTTAGTAAGTTAGTAAGACCGCACCTAAAATAATGCATCCAGTTTTGGTCACCACACTATAAAAAAGATGTTGAGACACTAGAAAAAGTGCAGAGAAGAGCAACCAGGACGATTAGGGGACTGGAGGCTAAAACATTCAATGAATGGTTGCAGGAACTGGGCATGACTAATCTAGTGAACAGAAGGATCAGGGGAGAATAGCAGTGTTCTAATATTTGAGGGACTGCCACAGAGAGGAGTGGGTCACCTGAAGGCCAGACAAGGAATAATGGATGGAAACTGATCAAGGAGAGATTCAACCTAGAAATAAGGAGAAATGTTCTGACAGAACAATCAACCAATGGAAGAGCTTGCTTTCGGAAGTTGTGGGAGCTTCATCACTGGAGGCTTTCAAGGGGAGATTGGACTGCCATTTGTCAGGGATGGTGTAGGGTCTCCTGTTTGGGCAGGGGGGGTTGGACTAAATGACTGACAAGGTCCCTTCCAACTCTGTTAATTAATCATTACACCCTATCAATGAAGGGAAGAAGGACCGAGACCTGAAGCTTGAAAAAAAGGCTGTCGGCTCCAGTGTCAAGCTCAATGTCTTTAAAACGTTGAGCCATTGCACCCTCTAGAGAAAGGAACAGACTTGTTCTATGTTGGCCAGAGGGCAGAACTACAACTAGTGATGTCGTCATTCCGAGTAATGAACTCAGGGTAGTCAGGACTCGCGACACTTTGTTGAGGTTCAAGAGATCCTATATTGAGTACATCATATCAACACTTAGAAAGCTGAAGCTAGCTCTAAATTATTCCCGCACTTAGGGACAGTTAAAAGAATACGCTCTCCCCACCCCTCTTTGTCTCTCAGGTCACATGGGCCAGTCAGTCCATATGTAGGTTCCCGCTCAACTTCAACAGGTGTTTGTTGACATGACCTTGGTTCTCACGCCGGTTGGTAGATGTTATGGCCAGCTGGCTGAGGCACCACATTCCCGAGTCCCCCCTCCTCCCATTCTCTCCCCCCCACCACCCTTGAATGGCAACCAAGAAATGAATCAGAAATAAGTATGGCTTCAGCTGAAGTCGTTTTAATTTAATTTAATTTAATTTCCAATTTATATACCGCCCTTCTCCCTGAGGACTCAGGGCGGTGTACAGCCAAGATAAGAACATAGAATACAAATATTAAAAACAGTTAAAAATATATATAAATTTGGCCCGAAAGTTAAGAAATCACAAACTGATTAAAAGAATTTAAAAAATTTTTCTTAAGCCAGCCCGGCTTGCTGGAAAAGATGGGTTTTAAGGGCACGACGGAAGGCACTGAGGTCATGGATTCTCCTTATCTCAGGGGGCAGCTGATTCCAGAGGGTAGGAGCCCCCACAGAGAAGGCCCTCCCCCTGGGGGTCACCAGCCTACATTGTTTGGCTGATGGCACCCTGAGGAGGCCCTCAGTTTTGCAAGGTTGACAAGTGAATATATTTGAGGAAAGTATATTCAGGTTAGATATTAGGAGGAATCTTCTGATGGGAAGAGGTATTAATCAGTGGAACAGATCGATTTATGAAGTGGTATGTAGGTCACTGCAGGTCTTCAGTGGTCCAAATTGCATTACCAAGTGTTGCATTGAATGGAAGGTTGGATAAGATGACCTCAGACCCCTTCCAACTTGATGAGTCCATACAGGAGTAAGCGAGGGAGGAGGAAAAAGCATTAGAGGCATTAAGATTGACAAGAAATCTGCTTGTCTGACAATTAAAAACAACCGCAGTGGTTACTAGAAATCTCCATGGATTTGTCAGAAAGAATCCTCCCTCTTTTTATTTTATTTTATTTTATTTCCTAATTGGATTAGAGGCTTAGTGGATAGTTTGAAGAATGCTGACACTTTGATTTCACCCAAGGGAGTAGACAGTGTTCCTTGTTATCTGTGATCAACAAACTTATGTGTTGACCTAAGGCTATCTGTTGAGCAACTCGGAGTTGGCTACATTCACAACGTTCTCCAAGGTTTTTTGAGTTGTGGCTTTGTCTTAATCTCTCTTTTGAAGGTCGGCTCAGCCTTCAGGATGAAACACATTAAATTGTTTTAATAAACAGAGCCGGGATGGTAATTTTATATGGAAATAGCAGATAGGGAGAGGAAAAAAGAGAGAAATAGCAGATAGGAAGAGAAAAAAAAGAGGCCAAAAAATGGGATCACCCAAACTTGTCCTGGCAACAGTTTTGTCAATGGGAGTGAAGGAATTCTGAATGAATGAGTAAAATTCAGATTCTTTGAGTTTTGAATTCTGCATGTAAGTTGCAGACTGATGAACTACATCCCTGAGATCAGCAAGAGTGGCTCTTTGTCACATACAAATGTCAGAAACCTCCATAGCTCTGAATTTTATTTTATTATATATTTAATTATATATCAAACTTCTTAACCCACCATCTCCCTCCTGGAGGGGCTCTCTCCCTCTCTGAATCCTTTATATAGAAAAAAAAATGTTTTTTTTTTAAAAGCTAAAATCTATAGAAAGTGGCTGGATAGGAAATAAGATCTCAATCGTCCAAATAGTTGCTGATGGGCACCTATTTCAATCCAGGAACACTGAAATGTAGGATGCCTCACTCAGAATTGTAGAAAAGGAAAAATGATGGTGTAAAACACAGGTGTCGAACTCAAAGTCCGCAGGATGCTTACAGTAGATCTGGCCAGTGGTGGGATTCAGCCAGTTCGCACCACTTCGGGAGGACCGGTTGTTAACTTTCTGAGCAGTTTGGTGAACTGGTTGTTGGAAGAAATCATTAGGGCAGAGAACCGTTTGTTAAATTATTTGAATCCCACCACTGGATCTGGCCCATGGGGCCGCCCTGGAAACAGCAAAGGACCGGCCCGCAGTGCCTCTGCCAACGAAAATGGAGCTTGGGAGGGCCATGTGCGACACCCTCCCCCCCCAGCTCCGTTATCGCTGGCAGAGGGTTGTAGGAGGCTGTCCCAGCCGAAAACGGGGCCTGGGCTCCATTTTCACTGGTAGAGGGCTAGCAAAACAAAAGAAGTAATGTCTCTCCTTTTACATTTGAGCATGGAAGAAGGGACAGGAAAGGAAAAAGGGAAAGAGGAAAGACAAGAAAAAGAAGGGAAGGAAGAAGAAAAGAGAATGAAGAGGGAAGGAAAAAGGAAGGAAGGAAGGAGATAATGAGGAAGGGTCTGAGGGAAGTCCTGCCTTAGCGCTTGGCCACCACAGGTACCCCTGACATCAGTGACATTTAGCTGGCCGCACACCCCAGCCTCATTCCCCCCCACCCTAGCCACCACCATTCCCCGAGGTCAAAGACAACCCTGATGCAGCCATCAATGAAATTGGACACCCCCGGTGTAAAGAATCTGTGCTGAAGTGTTTGGTTTCTGTTTTTCAGGATGAGCAGTTTCATTTTATGATCTCTACTATCCAGCTGTTACAGTCTTGGGTGTCTGGTTTCAACTTCAGATGTTCATTGAAAGGTTTTCTGCAGAATCTTCTCAGGATGGGAGGTGAAACCAATCCATCCCAGAGAAGAAAGTGACAGGCCACATGAGGCGATGAGATCTGCAGGACAGCCCATTTGGGTACCTAACAACATCCTCCCTAGAGGTCAATCAAAACAGAATTATTTTGCTGGACCTTGGAAAGCAGAGGTTACCTTATGCTAGTGTGCACTTTTGTCCTTAAAATATGGCTACATTCATTGTAACTTTTTTTTTTTAACATGCATTTTGTTTTTATTTTTTAATACTTTTGTGGCTGTGAGCTGCCAGGAATCTTTTCGATCTGCCAAAACACTGAATGAACGAAAAAAATGAATCAATGAACATTGTTTTAAACGATTGACTTCGTTGGCTAGGGAATTCTGGGAGTTGAAACCCACACATCTTAAAATTGCCAAGCTTGAGGAACAAGGCCGCCAAGAGGATTATTAAGTGCTGGAACAAGACTAATATGAGAGCCCCCCCCCATGCATGCCCGTGTGCCCCCCCCTACCTGCATGCCTCCTGTGTGTGCACACGGTCCCCCGGCATGTGCTCCGTCCCTCACCACATGCGCGACAGAGACCCAGAGACCATTTCCACACAAATTAAGTGTGTGACATCCACATGGCGAAAATAAAGCTGTTTCTCATGGCAAAAAGCATTTGTCACCCCTTTTTATTCATCTCATCACCTTTCTAGTTTTTCCTTGCGTTTTCGAGCTCCGGATTTTTGAAATGACATTTCATAACCATTCATAAACTGAAATGAAATATAAAACGCATTCATAAAAGAAATGAAAGTAAACTTGCAAACTTAAATAAGTACTGAAATTAAAATTCCATAAATTACCTAAATAACAGTTCACTTTCAGATTAATAAAAGGTTGTGTCTCAAACAAGGCTGTGGAAGGCGGTTTTGCTATACATGCAAAGAATAGAGTATGGAAGTATATACCCAATATTGTTTTTGTTTTTAAAAAAATTGGCTTTGTAAACATTTTTTAAAATTTCACCCTGATTCATGAGCCCCGGAACAATGTAGTAGCTGAACCCCCCCCACTCCTCAGGCCTGTTGAGGAACACCGGTCTGTATTCTAATCCTGGGATTTTGTGATGACCTCTCAAATTTTAATATTGACCGTGTCGGAGCCTGCTTAGCTTCCAAGCCCAGACAAGGTCAGCCAAGAGCTTTGCACAACCACACGCCCCCTTTACCTAATCGGCCTTCTCCTCGCACGGAGACCCGTGTTGGGGGTGTCTTCCTGGCCGCCACCACTAGGGGGCTCTGCACTTAGGAAAGCAGCGGTTCCAACCCCCCCCTCCTCCGCTCTCTCTCCGCCTCTCGCTTCCTTTGTTCCGAAGCTTCCATCCCCGACTACATCCGGTCCCTGCATCCGGTCGGCCACCATATTGGGGTTGCTCGCCGCCCGTCAGGCCTCGGCGCCACTTCTCCTTGCGGCCGCCCGACGAGGCGACTGGCCGGGGCCCCGGATCCCGCTCGGATCGGCTCCTCCTCGATCCCTGGTTAGGCGGAGGAGATCGCGAACGAGGGTTGGTCTTCCGTGGGGTCCCAGACCCGCCGCCCTTCCTCCCCTCCCCCCCCACTCCGAAACCGCAGGGCAGGGGGACGGTTGGTGGGGGGGAGAAGGGGGGGGCTGGGGAGCGGGGGGGGGGAGGAGGGCCGGCAGAGAGAAGAGGAGGGGAGGAGGGCTCGGGGCTGGAAAGCGGGCAGAGCAGCCAGGCGGCTCAGAGGAGACGGGATCCCCCTCTCTTCCCCCTTCCCCACAGCCCCCCTGCCCGGCCGGCCACCCACAAGGCGGGGAGAACCGGTGGCTTGACTGCCCAGGAGAGCCTCAAGGGGCTGGGAATTGGGGGAGGGGGAGGCTTGGGTGGGCCTTGGCTGCCTCTCCCCAGGGTAGGCTGCCCACTTTCCTGCCCGCCACCCTCGCTTCCTTCTTTTTTGGGGGAAGGCTTTCCTGGCCGTCTCTCTCCTTCCCCGGGGGCCGGGGGAGAGAGAGGTGGGCCGCCGATGAGTCATACTAACCGCGGCGATCATCTCCCGCCTTGGCATCGCGGTTCAAACGAGCGAAAACGGTTTGAGAGCCGTCGTTTCCCTGGTTTTGTGGTTCAACAAACGAAACCGGTCAGCGTTTGCAAAATGCTTGCCTTCCCCCCCCCAACCCCCACCTCTCCCCCGAAACGCGGACGAGCCATTTGACATCTGGAAAGGACGGCTTAGTTTACAGCCTTTCCGCAAACCTGCCTGCCTGCCTGCCTACCCTATGGATGGGTTGGACTACAGTTGCCCCTGATTGCGCAGGCCACCAGCGCTGTTGGGGGTTAGTTGGGTGTATGTGAGAGTCCCAGAAGGGGAGCCAAGTTGAGGCAAGCCGCCTTAAGCTGGCCTGGAGTAGAAACCGCTTGATCAAGGCAGAACTAGAGAGAGAGAGGAGTGCTTAACCTGCTGAGATGGAACAAAAGCAATGCAGAAAGTGCAGAAGAAGAAAGGCAATATTATCAGCACTCATTTTGAAAGCTATAAGATTGATTGATTGATTGATTGATTGATTGGTTCGATTTATATGCCGCCCTTCTCCGGAGACTCAGGGCGGCTTACAATGCATTAAGCAATAGCCTTCATACTTTTGTATATACCTGCTTAGTAGGGCTTTCGCGCCCCCCCCTTTAAGCGGTGTTCCTTTTTTTATACAAAGCTTATTGCCCCCACAATCCGGGTCCTCATTTTACCTACCTCGGAAGGATGGAAGGCTGAGTCAACCTTGAGCCTGGTGAGATTTGAACTCGCAGTAATTGCAGGCAGCTGGCAGCTAAGTGCTACTTTAACAGCACTTTAGTCCGCTGCACCACCAAGGCTCTTATAGATAATAGATAATCATCTCGCAGTAGCGAGTTGAGTCCAAAAGTGTATATTTTTGGATCCAAGTTCGGATTATCCCCAAACTGCTTCCTACAATGGAAGTTAAGTTTAGAATTCCATGAAATGGAAAGGCAGAGAATAAAGAATGAGAAGTAGGTATAGTTTTGAGGGAATATCCTATACGTTCAAAACAGCAATAAAGAGGAACAATGAGCAGTAAACTTAGATATTCACAGTCTGATGGGCAGAATTTCACATAGGAAATGAGAGGGGGTGTTCTGCATTATTGGCTGATGAATGGTAATTTTTCTATACTGTATATTGCAAACGTAAGATACTTTTGTGCCTAAATCCACGCATTGATACTTTAATTACCAAAGACACCTTTTGTCTAACTAGAATAGGCAAGCCAGCTTTCTTTTGGCTCTTTTCATGTTGTGTTAAATTGAGATATTAAAAACTCTCTACATTTTGCTCACATCTTGGTAACTAACGGTACATCCATCTATATTTATTTACTTTTGTTAGCAACACAAGGGAAATAGGCTGCCATTGCCTTTTCCCAAGATTTTTTTCCCTATTCCTCAGTATAGTATCTGGTCCTGTATTTTCTCTCACCCAAGACTAGAAGGTCTGACCCGCATTAACCTTTTGAGAAATTGAAAGAGCTTGCTGCTGCCATCTGTTTAGGAGAATTACAGGAATTGGTCATGGTCTACATATTTTTATTACTTTATTGTAGGACCTCTCAAAATAACAGTTGGAAGGGACTTTGGAGGTCTTCTAGTCCAACCCCTTGCTCAAACAGGAAACCCTATACCATTTCAGACAAATACTTGTCCAGTCTCTTCTTAAAAACCTCCCATGTTGGAGCACCCTCAACTTCCAAAGGCAAGCCATTCCACTTGTTTAACAGTTAGATCTAACTGTCAGTAAATTTCTCCTTATTACTAGGTTGCTGTTCTCCTTGATTAGTTTCCACCCATTGCTTCTTGTCCTGCCCTCCGGTGCTTTGGAGAACGGCTTGACTCCCTCTTCTTTATGGCAGCTCCTGGGATATTGGAACACTGCTATCATGTCTCGCCTAGTCCTTTTCATTAAACTAGACATACCCAGTTCCTGCAACTGGTCTACATACGTTTTAGCCTTCGCTCCTTTCAATGTTTCCCTTGAAGTACATTGAACATAACTTACATTTTGTTTTGTAACTGTTCTATCATTCTACTGATCATCTGCAGGTTAAGTAAGTTTTGGGTGTTTATAAGGATTTAGTAGTCAACATTTTCACATGCGTTGGTAGCCACAGAAGAGCCCAGAGTTTTGTAAGTGCCAGTTGGGACACCAGTACAGCAGTCATTGGTGTTTAGTTTGTGGGTACAGCGTTAACAGACAGCCAATCTGCTGACAATCATGACACAGTGTCGGTTGCAGCCCAGTCATGCCCTATGCTCATGGGGCGTATCCCCAAGTGAGCTCTGTGGTTTTTGAGGCATCATTCACGTAGCACGGTGTTGTCTGCTTTTGCATTTGAATCAAAGGGTGTTGAGTTCCTCTTCATGTTGAAGCTTGATTAATTTTCCAGCTAGGTTCCATGGCTGCGTTAGTGGGTAGGGCATTGGGGATTAACTGACTTTCTCTTTCGCAGGGGCTGAACTCATCTTGAGGCCTTAACAGCAAGTGAAATCATGGAGGAAAATGGTGAAGATGTGGCTTCCCTGGGTAAGGATTTCTTCTCTATCATTGTATTGTCATTGTAATTTTGAATGCTTAAGATCTGTTTAAGAAATTGTTATAGCCCTGGTTGTGAAACCCCTCACTGTGACCAAGTTACCCCTTCCTTTAAAAAAAATGGTAAGAACTACAGTTGACACAGATGCAGTGAGTGTAGCATTAACTATGCTATGACTGGGTCTTCTTTTTATGGGTTCTTTTAAGTTAAAAAGGAGCATATTCTCATTTCATTCAATAATGTATCCCAAAAATTGGGAACTGGAAAATATGTCTGGGAGGGAAAAACAAATTCTGTGACAATTGTGTTTGTGAATAAGTTAATAATATTTAATTACAAACTAAATATGATCCAGCAGTAAGATGTGGCTGCAAAATTAGCAAAGATAGGTTTAGGTTGCTTCAACAGGAATTTGGGATGGAAGATCCAGGAGGGGTTGAGAACATGAAGTCTGGTGTTGTTTCCTTATCCAAATAGTTTTGTCTTAATTACGCTAGGTATAAGTCAATCTGGAGAAATACTTTAGTAGGCTTTCAAGGTCCTGCTACTTTATTAGCAGTGAAGGGGTTTCAAGAGAGCTAAGTAGTTCTTGTTCCTGAATGAGCCAGCTCAAGGGTTAGACAGAAGTGAAAATTCCACTATTATATTGGGTGGTTGAATCCATTTTAAATATTATGTACAGTTCTGGGCAATCCAGTTTAAAAACGATGAAGCTTTTAGATAATCTCAACACATGAAAGGTGTCTTAGGGATACGTGGGGAGGCAAGATTCCTTCTCAAGGGGGAAAAAAAGCCACATGAACAGATTGTTGTGCAATCTGTTTCAGCGTTTTTAAAGATCCTGTCAGCCTCTGCAGCTGTAGAAGAGTAATACAGTTCCAGAATTAGAGTTTTTGGATAATCTGTAACGGTCCATTGGATGTCTTAAATTAGACCAGAGGTCAGTTTTTGTTGTATTAATATTGTTGCCCTAGCATAGAAAGGTAATCCTGATTTGGGAAATCATTGTTTTGCTGAGAATTTTGCACAGAGCTGAACATAAAAAATATCCAAGATGTCATCCCCTTAATATTTCTAGATAGTTGAGCAATTGATTGCCATTATATATTGATCATTATAAATATATATAATTATATGTGTGTGTGTGTGTGTGTGTGTGTGTGTGTGTGTGTGTGTGTGGTGGCTCAGTAGCTAAGACGCTAAGCTTGTTGATCAAAAGATCGGCAGTTCAAATCCCTAGTGCTGCGTAACGGGGTGAGTTCCCGTTACTTGTCCCAGCTTCTGGCAACCTAGCAGTTCGAAAGCACGTAAAAAATGCAAGTAGAAAAATAGGGACCACCTTTGGTGGGAAGGTAACAGCGTTCCGTGTGCCTTTGGCGTTTAGTCATGCCGGCCACGTGACCACGGAGACGTCTTTGGACAGCGCTGGCTCTTTGGCTTTGAAATGGAGATGAGCACTGCCCCCTAGAGTCGGGAACGACTAGCACATATGTGCGAGGGGAACCTTTACCTTTATATATTGATCCCTGTGGTTCATGTTGTGCCAACCTTCAGATAACGTTGGCGTCCTTTCTAGTTGCAGTGGAGATTATGCTTGCTTGACATTGAGAGCAGGGCAAGTTGCTTGTCTATGTGTTTTCAAGGACTGTTTTAGTCCAGAGGTTACATAATTAATGACTGAATATCCCATTATTTACTCAGTTAAAATATCTGAAAGGTAGAGATGGTTCTGAAATAATAGTCTATCTCCCAGCACCCTCGCTTGTGCCCGGGGTTTTGAGTGCACAGTTTCTTGCCCCAAATTTATCATTTCTGTGGGCATCTGCAGGGCCGGTTTTAGATGAAAAGAGGCCCTAGGCTATTCCACTTACGAGGCCCTTTCACCTATAGTGAAAGTGTAATTTTAATTTTGCTAACAATTTGAATGTAGGCCCCTCTTGATCTTGAGGCCCTAGGCTGAAGCCTAGTTAGCCTATAGGAAAATCCGGCCCTGGGCATCTGGTTCCGATTCCATTCTGTGATTATGCAGAGATGAACTTTCAGCCTTGATTTGCCTTGGCTATTAGTTGGCTGGAGTAGAGACTGAGAAGATGGTTTCAAGGACAGCCATTGCTGTGGAATTCTGAGTCTTTTCTGTTGTGTCTAAGACTCTGAATTATCTCCTGTAAACGGAAAAGAGTACTGAATTAGAAATCTGGCTGAGAGGCTGGCTTGGGAAACTCAACCAAATCAAAATGTCTATGGATTTACACACCCGTATTAGGAAAATCTGAAAGGAGCCCCATAGAATGCGGTAACCTTGATTTAGTTTGTCAAAACCTGGCCAATTTATTGAAGTAGCTTCAAAAGTGAAAGTGTCTTCACAAAGCCATTATCCTGCTTAAGTATAAAAACCTGGTGGGAATGGCTAGGCTTTAGGTCGTTCTAAAGTGGGGGTCTCAACAATGTGAAAGAAATAAAACAGCCTGTTTTCAAGATGAAAAGGCCAGGAAGGTTTGACCTCTCCTCCTTGGCTATTATGGTACCCATCTTCCACATCCCTGCCAGATTTTTGCAGTGCCTGCAAAAAATATTTTCCCTGCAAAGAAAAAAAATAAAAATAAAACGGGTATTTGAGGGAAGAGAAGATTATGTCCTTATTACCAACATTTTAAAAGTAGCTCACTGAAGGGATAAGTCTTTATAAGTAGGTAAGTGGTAAATGGCTCCTCTGGCATCCATTTCAGAGAGAGCGGCAATTAGGGAACCACACTGAGAAGGATGGTTTTTTTAAGGCAGGTCCTGTGGTGATGATGATGATGATGATGATCATGGCTTTTTTCATTTTGATCCCTCTTATTCTTCTCAACCCCTTGGCTTTCTGATCTCTGAATGCCAATTGGGAACAAAGCCGTGCCTCCCGTTTTTCCCTCCCTCTCCGGGCAAGTGAGATTTATCGCAGTGTCTTGGCTGAAGTTCCAGCTGGATGCTTTTTAGTTTTGTTCCAAGCGGGGAAGATGTAGATCTTGTATTCTTGAGGAAGTTCAGGCTAAAACATGGGAGCTACTGGCTGTAAAGAGGGACATTTCATCTTTCATTATCTGATATTTTCCTGCAGCGTGTTTTTAGCTTTATTTAAGCCCTAATCCTTTTTTTGGGCAGTCTTGACAAGGGGATAAACACAGTGATGATAGCAGCTGAGGAGGAAAATGGGTGTACAGGTAGATCTTGAATTACAATCACAATTGGGACCACAATTTTGGTTGCTAAGCATTATGGTCATTGAGTGAGTCTTCATGGAACTCGACCTGATTTTATAACCATTTTTGTCCTGGCCATTGAGTAAGTCATTGCAGCTCTTAAGCAAATCACATAGTCAGTAAGTGAACCATGGAGTCTTTAAGCAAAGATTGCAAATTGCCACCATCGTAAATGCGACCCAATTGCCAAGCGCCCAAATTGCAATCGTGTAACTGAGGGGATGGAGTAACGGCTGTAATTTTGAATCGTAAGGTCACAAGTCACTTTTTCCAAGGCTGCTGTTAAAAACAGACTGCTGTAAAAACCAACAATCAAGGACTACCTGTAGAGAGATTGTCTGTAGGAGGCAGGCAGTTAGGCCCATAAAACTACTTTTTTTTTTTTTAAAGAAAACTAGTATATTTATGTCAATCATTTATGGCACATAAATGACTTACAAACCTACATAGACATAATATTACCCTATCTGTATCTGGGGGCTAGCATGCAAAGTAGTTTCAGTCTAGCTTCAGAATCTGATTTTCATTTTTTTTTTTTAAGCCAAGTTCCAATTCTCATGGTTAAAAGGGTACAGAAATTCAGCTTGATTTATTTTTCCCATGAATGCACTCCTGTTGCAATGAAGGCATCTAAAAATGACTGCCTCTAATTTTGTCTGTTTTTCTTTTCTCCTTGAGCGGCCTACATTTCAACAGATGGCAGCTACACAGGTGAGTAATTGTTGTTTTGCATGTCAGTCCATGAAACTAAATCAGCCGTGTCTCTAAATCTGCTCTGAAACTTTGTGATTGGAATCTATTATGCAACAGTGATGTATTTTCTTTAAAAGTATATCTTTGGTCAGGGGCTAGGCTAGTGAAGGTTAAGGAGGGATGGAACTTTAAAACTGCTTCACACATTACGCTAGACACGCGCATTGCACCATTGTTGGCTCTTGGTTTTTTTTTTCATATGCAGACCCCCGAGTCATTTTCTTGAGGTCACACATGCTTTCTTTGCAGGCCAACTTGTGGGAACAAAGATGCGAGATGCGTGTCTCTCGTAACATTTGTGTGAGATGCAGTGTCTCAGGGGAGGGGGGATTTGCCGGCATAACCATAGAGTGCATTGTAGAGAGTGTCCCATCTGTCTCTATCCGCACTCTATAATTAGGAGCTTCTTTGTTGCACCCTCCCCACTAGCACTCCTGTTACTGCGCCCAAATCAATTGAAACGTTTCCTGCTACCATTGTAAAATTCCCTGCTGCCAATAGCACCGTGTCATCTCTGGAGCACACCATGTTGTCTGATACCCTTCCAGAGACCGTGCCCATGCCGAATCACGGCACACTGACGGCTTCCTCGCAGGGCTCTTCCTCTGCCACTAAATCAAGGCGCCAGCCTGTTTGGACTGACGAGGAGACCCGGGCCTTCATCCAGGTGTGGGGTGATGACGCGGTGCAGAGTGCCCTGGCATCAAACTATCGTACAGTTGCACAGTTCCAGTGGATAGCGGATGAAATGCGAGCCCGGGGTTACAACAGGGATTGGGAGCAATGCCGCGAACGTGCAAAGGTCCTTCGACGGGGCTTCAAAGAGATAGTGGATGGGAACAGCAACGCTGGCCATGGACGCCGCGTGTGGCCTTATTTCGAAGAACTTAATCGATTTCTTTGCATCAAGCAAAATCTGGTCGTTCCACGGCTTTCAGGGAGCAACCCGAGGCCTCCTGTTGACCGCCGGCGTCGCGAGCACAGAGAAGCGCAAGATGCCCCGTATGAGCCATCCCCAGTAGGCAAGAGCGACAAAGGGACTTTTGAAGAGCCAGACGGGGACTGTCTGTTGTTGCCCGAACCAGGATCTCAGCAGAGCGAAGCCAACATGGAAAACCATGCGGCGTCTCCAGCAGCAAATTCTGATATTTCCATGGATGGTAGCATTGGTCCTGGCACTCCCACCGATCCTTTGCCATCCAATGACTCAGTTACTGGTGAGTTTTGTTTGGATTTGCCGTGTGTCTTTAAACGGGTTTTGTATAATGTGTTGTTTCAGCCCTCTGGATTTCTAAGCACCTTCTTTTCAGTTTGTTTGGCTACAAAGGCAGGTGACTTAATGTCGTATTTGAAATATCATCAGATAACTGTCAGAGTTCCTAAGAGAGATTTGAGTAAAACTGCATCATTCAGGGCAGCAGCGTCTGCATTCTCTGCCTAACTCTTCCTCCTACAGACAACAGGACATGATTGCACTAAGCAAATGTTGATATGCAATGGTACAATTTCAATAATAATATTTTTGGGTTCCAGTTTCTCACTTTTCCTTTCACATAAACGGGGCAACCTTGGTATAAAACCTGGATTTCTTAGGGCAAAGGATATTCTTTTGTAAGCATACCCACTGACACTGATGTTTGGCTACACAATGCCCCATCTCTCTTTCTCTCCTCTCGGATTTTTTTTTTTTTTAATTAAACACTCTTTTTGATCTTTGTTCCTGCAGCGCCAAATCTGCGCCCTCGGCCCCTGACTGCTGCAGAGAGGATGCGTAATCTTCGTTGCCGGCAAAGAAAGAGAAGGGGGGATACTTTGAAAGAGCTGATGGAAGTCACCTCCCAGGCTACCAGTGAACTAGTCCGGACATTGTCCGACCTCACACATAAAGAGGTGGCTTCTTTTGAGCGTGCTTACAAGGAGGATCTTGCGGCCCGGAAGGACGAGATGGAGCAGAGCGCTGAGGACATTGGAAGGCTTGTAAGCGCTTTGGAATCAAGTGATCAAACTCTGAAGGAGCAGCTAAGCAGCCAGACCAGCGTACTGCAGGGCATCTTGGAGGTTATGAAAGACATTCGGGGTAGAACATCGTACAGTCCTCCATATCCATCACAGTATTACGATTTTCCAGGCCCTAGCATGATTCACACAAGTGGTACTTCATCAAACGGCCAAGAGATGCCATGCTCCTCCCCTTCCAGCCTTCCATTTCCTTCCCAGCAGTCTGCCACCAGCAATGGAGATGTCTCTCCTAGGAAGCGGATGAAATGAAGCCATCAGGCAGAACGGCACTGCTGATTTAGCGTCCTGGTGGAAACCAATTCTCCAGTTCTTTTGTTCCTATTAGGACAACATATATTGCTTTCCTTACTGCCTTTCTTCTTGCATAGTTAGGACATGTTCTCATTCCCTTAACGTGTGTCTCCCCACAGCGTTAACGTTGTGGAAACAGCCGCCAGCAAATGTACATCTAGATTTTATTATTACTTTTTTTTTTTTAGCGTACCTATGTTAGTTTTCCTTCCATCTTGTTTCCAAAGGAATGCAGTGTTCGATGTACAAGTATAATTTTTTTAAAAAAAAAAATACACACTTAAAACACATTACCAGGTACCTGTAAGAAGGTAATATTTGAAAAGTAATAAAAACTGCACTGTTGTTCCAAGTTGTTCAACATGTGTTTGATGGTGGAGTTTTCAGGCTTTTTAGAGTTGCTAGGCTGGGTCAAATCGGTGTGGTTTTGATTCAGCTTTCTATCTTTGAAAAATGGCTGCCCAATTTCCACAGAAAGCTTCATATGACAAGGATGGCAAACCTTTTGGGCTCAATGTGTCAAAAATGTAAGAAAATGCCTAATTCTGCTGGTGGTTCACGCACATAGATATGGACAAAAGAAAAACAATTCTTTAAATAACCGTTTTTTTTAAAGTGCAGTCCAATCATATATTATATACAGGTAGTCTTTGACTTAACCATTCGTTTAGTGACCTTTTGAAGTTATGACACTGAAAAAAGTGACACCAGTCCTCACACACTGAAAAGGATCCCCAAGGATAGCAATAGCACTGATATACCGACCCGTAGTGTTTCGCAGGACTCTTTGGGCTGTTTACAATGTCTGCATATTGCCCACAACAATCTGGGTCCTCATTTTACTGACCTCAGAAGGATGGAAGGCTGAGTCAACCTCGAGCCCGTCAGCATCGAACTCCAGGCTATGGGCAGAGTTAGCCTGCAATACTGCATTCTAACCACTGCACCACCAGGGCTCCTTTATGACACCACCAGGCTCATTTAATTATCGTTTGCAATCTTACCAACTGTCTTCTGACAAAGTCAATGGGGGAAGCTGGATTCACTTAATGACCTCATGATTCATTTAACAACTGATTTGCTTAACAACCACTGCAAAAAAAAGTGGCAAGATTGTGTGGGATACATTTTACCTCCACCTTATCAACAAATTCTGGTCTTAATATGGTCATGAGTTGAGAACTAATCCGTATTATATAAAGGAACAACAAATAATTACAAGAATCCATGTAAAATAATGAAAAAGCCTAAAAGAGAAAAAATAATACGTACCCTGCTAATTGGGCTTAGAATAGTGCACTAAAAATTACTTTTATTAGTAATTTTGATTGGAAGTGAAAAAAAATACCACATACACATTTAATTTGATTAACATCAGTGAACGAATTTTGTTGCTGAGGTCTAATAGATAAGTCTGAAATTGAAGGTAGCTATTTTGTGCAGTGCAAATCCAAGCAAGCAGCACTAACTTCCTGTCATTCAGTTTCTTTTGTCTGTTTTAATGTTTAATGCCAAGATTAATGCCCTGCCAAGGTATGTAGAGGAAAAATTGTGAGTACAGTAAAGCCATTGCTAGATTTTTAAAAGCACTGAAAGTTTCCGGTATTCAATTCCTAGCATTCAAAATGTTTTGTTCGTAGTGTCAATCTTTATTCTTGAAGACGGTTTACACCCCACCCCCCTCAGATACTCAAGATCTCAGGTTGACATACACCTGAGTCTAGATGCTAACCTGGAACTCTGCTAACTGCGTCTCTAATCGTTCAATTTGTAGCCATTGAAAACCATTTAATTCCATCGTACTATAGATTATTCCATCCTGAAACTTAATTATTTCAATTGTCTGTTCTAAAGTTCTGAATTGATTAAATCTTCCACCCAATCTGATCAATTATTTAATTTAAAATGTGCAGGCACCGGTACCTTATATGCAAAGATTTCATTTCATTTAGCAGAGACAATCAAACCGTGAAATGTTATTTACCGGTAATTGTCGAAAATAGTTACAGGTTTTAGTCCCCACATCACATTTGAAAATTTGAAGTTTAGTTTCAAAGGCTTTTACAGTATGTACCCAAACATAACATCAATACTTTTGCCAAAACCTTGTAACTTTTTAAGTTCATTTCATTCCTGTGAACTGAGAGGTATGTAAAAACATCAATGTGCTGAGTCATGTACAGTCCCTGAGCTGATGAAACTTCAATTTTTTATTCTCGACATATAATTTAATTTCTTCATAGTGCTGCACAAATCTTTTCCTCCACCACCTCAGGTTGTGCATCGGCAGTCTGCTATGAGTTGGTTCAACTTCCTGCAATAATGCAAAAATTTTTCCTCATGAAGGGATTAAGCAGCTATAAAATTGGCTATTTTTGTTGTCATTACATCATACAGTTCTGTGAATCCTGCCTTGGCTCACAACACCTTCTGGAGGATAATGCAATGAAATGATACATTCTGGCTCTCCAAAATCTTCCGTAAACAGTTTCACAGATCCATCTTCCACCCCACCCCCCTCCGCCATCTGTCATCACAGAAACAACTTTAGACATAACAAAAGCTTAGGCCATGAAGTATTTTTACAACATTGCTTATTTTACAAGTATTTGTAAAAAAGTATTATTTTGTTCCGGGATATATTTATTAGAGTACTGTTCCTAGCTTTACCAGCTCTTCTCTCATTGTTTGATCATTGGAAAATTTAGACAATGAGCTGACATCAGTCAAGATTTATCATCAAGATAAATCGAAACATATTTATAACTAAGCCTCATTTTAATGGATATTATTTGGAGATTATTGTCATCTCTTGTCTTTAATGGTATTTCTGCTAACTGGTAAATCAGAAATATGTTTAATACCACCTTTATTTTGCACATCTTGAAATAATAAAGGTGCACATTTTAGAAGAGTTTCTTTAATAAATTTTCCTTCACGGAGGGCCTTTCCATGCTGAGCTACGGAAGGAGCAATGCTGAAACTTGCTGATGTTACATTCGTAGGACGTCTTAAGAACTTAAGGGATTTAATTTGATTGACCCTCTTTGAGGTGGAGCTATTGAGAAAATATATTTCTTCCTTCCTTTCTTCTTCACTTCTTTCCAAAAGCCAGTGATGATTTGTTTCAAGATGTCTTTTTGCATTCCACATTCTGCTTACTACTGTTTCATAACACAATAAGCAGAATAATTTGCCTTTTCTGTTAATAGCGCCATACTTCTCAATCTATTTATTTTGAAAGCTTCAACCATTTTCTTTATCACTCCATCCTGATTATATTTTGAGGTTTCCCCCATAGCAGGACTAGGACATTAAAGGAAAAAAAAATGTTCATATTACAAATCATGAATTTCACAGGAAATGAGAAATATTAAGGTGATCAAAACTCTGGCACTTGGCACTTAGCTTTGCCAAGGATGCAGACTTGTTCTATGGAAGATTTTCCTTTGTCATCCAAAGAAACAAAGCAGGGAAACTTAAAAGTGATTGTGATTGAGCTCCACCAAAACCAGCCTCCAAAAAAATATATTTTCAGGCTATAACTACTTAGAATGTGTTTTTTTTAACCTTGTGTTCTTTCAAACTGGTTATTTTAGGTGGATCTGTATGTTGTATATCTAAAAAGCTAAATATAAGAATATTTGTGATGTCGGAATGGGGCATATAGTTTTCAGAAAGAGGAAGTTGACATGTCAAAAGACACATTTCTTTTTTTCCCCTTGGCTGTCCCTTTTTTCAATCTCATATGCTTTGTAAGGTCAGTCTGGTCTTTCCCTGTCTTGGGGTACCTGCATCCCATTTTACAGAACTTTAAAAATTGTATTTTTCAGTTAACCGTAGAACTCTTAAGGAAAGTATGTTAAAACTCCTGTGATATATACAGTGCATATTGAATTGTTGCAGATTATCTATTTCTCTAAAAGTAACAGAGAGGGAACAGTTGAATCCACATGATTTAAAGAGTGCCAGTCATTTAACTGTGGTTGATCTCACTCGCAATTAAACATTTCAAAGCATAATGGTTTGTAAACAGCTTGTGAACAGAGCAAGTGCCTCAGGCCATGTTTCTGAAGTATTCATTGCTGTTTGAAATGATTAGTTCAAAAGTGCAAATAGTCCTCGACTTATGACCACAATTAGGCCCAAAATTTCTATCGCTAAGTGTGCTTATCAAATAGTTGCAAAAGATGATTAAATGACCCTGGGACACTGCAATCATCATAAATACCGGGCAGTTGCAAGTGTCCAAATTTTGATCATGTGACTGTGGGGATGCTGCAACAGTAAATTTGAAAAATGATCATAAGTCACTTTTTGGTGCCGTTGTAACTTAGGTCACTAAGTGAATGGTTGAAAGTCGAGGATTATCTGTATTCACTGTTGTTTGAAATGCTACAATACTTTGTGAAATAAACCTTCTTTACCAGCCCCACGTACCACTCAGGAAAAAACAAATGCCTATGGAAGACAGCTCCAGGTTACAAGAGGACTTCATTCCGGAAACTTCGAAAAATACTCCTGCATGGGCATTACAGCCTCTCAAAAATACTGGAAAGCATATGTGCTTTTTGGAAGCTCCAGAGGCCACTTGAGAGCCTGGCTCCCTTGTGCAACTTCCAAAAGGTCTGAAGGCTGTCCCAAGGGTAGGCCTCGTTCCCATGTGGCCTCTGCAGCTTCAGAAAACAGGCAAAATGAGGCGTGCTGGCATGTCACTGAAAATAATGTGGCTCATCACACGTAACATGCATGTCACAGTTTCACCATCACTGGTATAGGAGGTGATACAAGCCTGGATAGCTCAACAGACAGAAGCACTGTAATTTAACACCAGCTGTCTGCAACTAAAGTAAGATCGAATCTCGCCAGGCTCAAGGTTGACTCAGCCTTCCATCCTTTCTAAGGTAGGTAAATTGAGGACCCAGTTTGTGGGGGCAATAAGCTGACTTTGTATAAATATACAAAAGTATGAAGGCTATTGCTTAACGCACTGTAAGCTGCCCTGAATCTCCGGAGAAGGGCGGCATATAAATCAAATTAAAAATATATATATATACAGTAGTCTATAATTAAAAAACATACCACAATGGACCAAAGGTGCTTTTTTCATGAGGCAACTGGACTTTCTTGCTTTTCTTTAGGAGACATTTCGCTTCTCATCCAAGAAGCTTCTTCAGCTCCGATTGGATGATAGGGCCATCCAGTCAGAGCTGAAGAAACTTCTTGAATGAGAAGCGAAACATCATCTAAGAAAAACAAGAAAATCCAGTTGCCTTTTGAAAAAGCACCTTTGGGACAACCATGTCCTGGATGACTGACTGTCAAGGTTCCAAGTAATATACCTATGGCGAA